TGCGTGATATTTTGATGGCCATTCAAATTGTCAACAAGGCTTCCGAGATGCGGGCCCAGAATGCCCAGCAGATCGAAGGCGGAGAAGCGAAGAAGCTTCCTGATGCCAAGAGCACTAGAGCACGCTCTGCTAGCAAGACATCCATGACCGTAGCCAACAGGACCCGGCGTCTGAGCCAGGCTGGCGGACATTACGATCAAGCAGCCACACCGCGAAGCTCGGTTGTCCTGAAGCGCGAGGAGCTGTCAGCCAAGATCGACGGTGTTCGAGTCATTCTGATTGGCGATCTGCATGATCTGCCATTGCTCGACTGGAGCGTTAAGAAGTTCAATGTTGATGTGCGCGACTGGTCGTCCACTCTTAACGCCGATACCAACTTTGAGACGTTCTTGAATGTGTACAACTTCTCAAAGTCGGCATGGGAGCCACTGATCGAGCCCTGGCAACTTGGTTTCCATATGGCCAAGGAGGTCAACCCGGATATCTTCTCGATCGATGCATACTCTCACAAGACTATGGAGCTCACCGTGACGTCTGCTACCATTGCACTCGCCTCTAAATCCTTCCAATTCCTTTCTACCGACGAGGATGTGCTTTCCAAACCCAGAGGCGCAGATGCTCCATACAGAATCCGTAACTACACTGGCTTCGATCTCCGTGTTTGGGCTGATGTTAACGCTGGAGAGGATGGCCCGGCAGCGAAGTTGACCGACGGAGAGGAATCGCCATGGCGATTTGAAGACTCCACTGCCATCCGTGAGACATTGACACCAGAAGGCCACGGTGGAGTTGTTGGCGTTAAGCTGGAGGGAAGTGGATTCGATAGTATCAGCCGCATTCCTGTGGTTCGCGAAGGCGAGACTGTATATGCCCTCAAGCCGAAACAGGAGAATGTCCTTCACCGGTTGCTCGTGGAGGTCAAACTGGGACAAGACAACGTGAAGTATATCACCTTCCGCTCGCCGCTTCTCATCGAGAACAACACACAGATCCCTGTCGAACTGGGTGTCTTCAGCCCTGGAGAAGGTCACTTGTTGAAGATTGAGAAGATCTTGCCCGGTGATGCTCGACCGGCACCTGTTGGATCAGCCTATCTTCACTCTGTCGTCATTCGACCTGATCAGGGCTTCGGATATGACTGGTCAAATGAACAACTATTCTGGAAGGACCTCATTCGTCGTCCCACGCGAACAGTCAAATGTGTTAGTGAAAGTGGACAACAGGCTCCGCCATTCTACTTCCAAGTCAATGCCACCTATGACAGCAAGAATTCGCTGACCGGAGTGTATCCCTACATGAGGGTCCGGATCTTTGCTCCTGTGGAAATTCAGAACCTGCTGCCGTACGATTTCAAGTACCGCATCTATGACAAGAACACCAAGAAGGATTGGACAAACTTCCTGCGAAAGGGTGGAGTGAGCCCAGTTCATGTTGTGGAGCTATCTCATCTTCTCTTGCTCAGCATTGATTTGGAGGATACGGTCTTCCGCCAAAGCGAATTCGCTATTGTCAACGGCAATGCCCATGACTACCGTAGAGAGCACACCTTGTCTCTCAAGGATGAACGAGGTCTTCAGCTGAAGTTGCAGCTTCACTACTTCAACATCCCCAACAGTGGCGGTGCTTTCAAGGTTTCTGTGTACAGTCCATATCTTGTTCTGAACAAGACCGGTCTTCCTATGGACATTCAGAGCAAGGCATTCCTCCAGTCGGCAAGAAATGCCGCTGGCCAAGGACTCAGAGTCGATCCCAGAGAGGGCGGTCGTGCGCTGCCATACATGTATTCCTATGCCAACGAGGATCAACGAAACCGATCTATCATGAAGGTCGGCGATTCCGCATGGAGCAAGCCACAGAGTTTCGAAGCCATCGGTAGTACCTTCGAGGTCGTCTTCCCCGACCGCCAAGGCAGATCCGAGTTCCATTCCGGTGTCTCTGTTGCCGAAGGCGAGGGCAAGTACAAGCTGACAAAGGTGGTTACCCTCGCCCCGAGATTCATTTTGAAGAGCAAGCTTAACGAGGATTTGTTGGTGCGCGAGCCGGGTTCGTCCAACGTTCTCCAGATCCAGAGTGGCGAGTTGGTTCCACTTCACTTCCTCCGCCAAGTCGCAGAGAAGCAGCTTTGCCTCTGTTTCCCAGGTGTCAACAACCAGTGGTCTTCCCCGTTCAACATTGCAGACGTTGGCACGGTCCACGTCAAGTTGGCCAAGGCTAATCAGCGACAGAAGCTGATCAAGGCTGATATCATCATGGAAGGAGCAACTCTCTTCTTGCACTTCAGTTTCGAATCTCGTAACTGGCCATTCTCGATGCGTAATGAAAGTGACACCGAGTTCATCTTCTACCAAGCCAACCCCAACGTGGAAGATGACGAAGATGACCAAACGAGCGGTTGGAGACCTATCCGATACCGCATTCCACCGCGCAGTATCATGCCTTACGCATGGGATTACCCAGCGACGAAGAACAAGTCGCTTGTGTTGACCTGCCAGGGCAAGGAGCGACACATCAAGCTTGCTGAAATTGGTAACCTGATCCCAATGCGGATTCCGCCGTCACAGCCTGGTGGGTACCAGAAGATTATCGATATCAACATTGCTGCCGATGGTCCCACTCAGACTCTTGTGCTGTCCAATTTCAAGCCCTCAAAGAGTATGTACAAGCAACAAAGAGGCCAGTCTTCGCAGACCGGTACGGGTACTGGATTCGAGGTCAAGGAAATGAACTCGGATGTCAATTTCAAGGCCCAGCTTCGTCTTGGTGGAATTGGTATCTCTTTGATCAACCAGAACCTGAAGGAGCTGCTCTATCTCACCTTCCGCGAGATTGAGATCAAGTTCAGGGAGTCGAGATTGTATCAGACTCTCAACACTACGATCAAGTGGATCCAGATCGATAATCAGCTCTATGGAGGCATCTTCCCCATCTTGCTTTACCCCAGTGTTGTTCCAAAGACTGGCAAGGAGATGGAGGCACACCCAATTTTCCATGCAATGGTTACCCGGGTCAAGGACGACTCCTATGGTGTCCTGTACATCAAGTATGCTACGCTTCTCCTGCAGCAAATGACTCTCGAACTGGATGAAGACTTCGTCTTTGCCATGCTTGACTTTGTCAAGATCCCCGGTGCATCATGGACCGAAGAGCAAGAGGGCAAACTGTGCGACGAAGACCTCAACATCCCAGAGCCTCAACAGGCAGACAATGGTCAGGATGTGTACTTTGAGCTTTTGCACCTCCAGCCTATGCAAATGGACATTTCGTTCATGCGCACTGAGCGTGTCAACGTGGAGGACGCCATGCAGCCTTCTAACCCATTGATGTTCTTCGTCAATGTGATGACAATGTCGATGGGCAATGTCAACGATGCCCCCGTCCGGCTCAATGCCCTGATGCTCGAGAATGCCCGTGTTTCCTTCCCCAGACTGGTCGGCAACATCCGCGCGCACTACACTCAAGAATTCCTGCGCCAGATCCACATCATTCTCGGCTCGGCTGATTTCCTGGGTAATCCTGTCGGGTTATTCAACAACGTCAGTTCCGGTGTTGCTGCCATCTTCTACGAGCCATACCAAGGTTTGGTCATGACGGATCGACCCCAAGAACTTGGCATTGGTATCGCCAAGGGTGCTACGAGCTTCGTCAAGAAATCTGTCTTTGGTTTCTCCGATAGTATGGCTAAGCTCACTGGAAGTATGTCCAAGGGTCTCGCAGCCGCTACCCTCGATAAAGAGTTCCAAACTCAGCGACGGATGTCCAAGGTCCGCAATCGTCCAAAGCACGCGCTGTACGGAATCACGGCTGGTGGTAATGCCTTTGCCACCAGCTTGGCCAGTGGTATCGGTGGTTTGGCACGCCATCCATTGCAGGGCGCCGAGAAGGAAGGTATCCAAGGATTTTTCAAGGGTGTTGGAAAGGGCGTTCTTGGACTGGCTACCAAGCCGGCAATTGGCGCTTTCGACCTTGCCTCTAGTAGGTCAACTCACATTCTTCATTTGATGTTCGCAACTAACAGGTTTTCTTCGCAGACCTTGCCGAAGGTGTCCGCAACACCACTACCGTCTTCGACGCCGAGGGTCTTGATCGCGTTCGACTGACCCGTTTCATTGGCACTGACGGCATCGTCCGCCCCTACTCCCAGCGGGAAGCCCTCGGCCAATTCTGGCTGAAGACGACCGACGACGGCAAGTACTTCAACGAGGATTACATCGCCCATCTGGAACTTCCCGGCCGAGACATGCTAGTCCTATTGACCTACGCGAGCATCATGCTCGTTCGCACAAAGAAGCTCTACACAGAGTGGGACATCCGTCTTACAGACATTCAGACCATTTCCAAGGAGCGCACGGGAATGAGCATTACTCTCAAGGGAGGTGCTAATGGACCTTTCATCCCGGTCCAGGACGAGAGTTCACGGAACTGGCTGTATAGACAGATTGCTGTCGGTGAGTACCCTACCACTGCACTGCATGCATGATCCAAGCTAACTGGTCCCTTTTCTAGCGGTCAATGCTTTCAACGAGAAATATAATGCTCGGGGATAGAGAATGAGAGGTATCCGTATGGGTTTTCTAATGATATCATGAGATGACATGCTTTCATTTTTCATTTTTGGGCGGGACTATGGAGTGACTAAGAGCATATATCGAAGGATTGCTCTTGCGCTTCGTTTCCCGTCTATTCACGTACATAACTTGCTTAATGTTTTCGTTCCGTCCTGTTTGGCCTTGATTGCTTTTTTGTACAAAGCGCTGAATGACTTTATTTTAATTGTGATTGTTGTAGAGTAGAAATTGAATCCATTGCCAAATGCTTTGATTGGAAATGCAATCAAACTAATCCTATGCTTCGGCAAGTGGGACCGAATACGAGAACTGACACCTGAGTCATCTGGAGCTATATCCCGCTCGTAACCGTCAGAACTCCCATAGGTTCTCTTATAAACCCATATTCCCTGGTTTCTGATTCAAGTCGACTTCACCTTGACAAGTCCCCTCATCATGGCTACCCAATTCCCAGACTACCACCTCGTCGGGCTCTACACCCGGTACTCCAGTAAGTCCACCAAACCCAACCCTATGAATCACCACTAAGGAAAACCAAAAGGTTGGACAGCCCGCGTGGAAGCCGTACTGGAATACTTCAAGATCCCCCACACACACCAGTTCATCAAACTCTCCGAGGTATCCCAATACACCCAACTCATCCCGAACATCTAGCACATGAATCCCATACTCACGAACCAACCTAACCACGAACCCAATCCAAATAGACAAAAGCCCACTCCCCAACCGGCCTAGTCCCAATCCTGCACATCAAATCCCTAAACACAACAATAACAGACAGCCTCTCAATCTGCGAATTCCTAGCAGAATCACACCCAGACCTCCCCCTCTGGCCAAAAGACCGCAAATTACGCGCCCTGGCCCGCTCCGCGGCGTCACAGATGCATTCCGGCTTCGCTGTGTTGCGGAATACGTTTCATACGAACTTTCTCGCGCGGTATACGGGTAATGTGCCTATTTCCAGTGATGCAGTTGCCGAGATAGAGAAGATGTTTGGGATCTGGGAGGCTGCTAGGACTGTTACTAAGGAGAGACTTGCTGAACTTGGGGAAGTTGATGAAGGGTTCTTGTTTGGGGGGTTTAGTATTGCTGATGCTTTCTTTTGGCCGATTCTTTGGGTATGTCCGTCCCTTCTTGTTTGCCTCCCCCTTGGTGGTGGGTTGCTGACTTGGTTGCCATTTAGCGATTCCGCTCCTACGGTGTTCCTTTGGATACTGCCGGACCTGATGCTCTTGCTTGGATGGAGAAGATGTGGAATGATCCTGTTTTTAGGGCTTTGGGGGATCGGTATTATGGTCAGGCTAAGGATCCTGAGTCGCAGATTGCTCATTATGATGATATCTACCGGGGTAGGGAGGATATCCAATATAGTCTCTTCCCGCAAGATTGGGCTTTTTCTTTCCTGGGAAGTGAGAGGGATTTCCATGTTTCCATGTGATTTTGGATTAATTACTGATTCTATAGTTCAAGTTGTTAATGGCATACATAAGTTTCACAGGAGAAGCCATGCATGTGATATTATGTTATGAATAGTAAGCAAAGTATCGTGTACAGCTCTGGGGGTTGTATGTACACTGAGGTCAAATCACAGGGGGGGGCTCCAATAATGATGTGCAAGCAATAGACAGTCAGTGCATGAGACGGAGAGAATGTATCACGGGCAGAATTCGACGTATAGGAAAACAAACTCAACCATACTATACAACGGCAGGGTTAACAAGAGTAGGGAACATAATACCATACAAGGAAGAGACCCAAGACTGTAGACCGTGGAATCCAGTCCGTTCATCTCCCTCGGGTGGTTCTGGTTCATTCTGAAATTCCACAGGCGAGACCTGGCTCCGAGCAGTGGCATATGTATTTCGATAACTCACCACGTCGAGAGTCTCATTCGCTTCCTCGTTATCAGTGCTGCCCAGACAGCAGCTTTGACATATTTGGGCTTTGACCCAAGACAGGGCATTTGAGCATGTCGAAATGCCAGCATTCGGTTCGTCGTCCCCGCCACCTCGGACGGCCATTATGAGGACGGATTGGAGATGTGAGGGGTTTGATGGTTGATGATCTCCGATTACCCTTGTCTCAAGGACGGAAATTTCAACTGGCACTGCAGATGTAGCACTTCTGGGTGATCCATCCAGACCATACAGATTCTGTGGCAGTCGAAGAAGTGCGGAGGGTCTAGGCTGCCCCGGTCGACGGATCGTAAGAGGAGGTGGGTCCGAAGGAAGAGGAGCACCGCGAGATAATAGTCGGCGTCTGTGCGAAGAACGAGCCTGAACAGGTCTGCTAGAGCGACGAGAAGTCTCCTTCACATACGCAGCCTCAATATCAGCCTCGTGACCTTGATAAACAGCAGCAGGACTCGCAACAGGAAGAAAGCGCTCATGAAACGGATGTTCATTCAATTGGCGCGCGACATTCATTCCATGGCCACTCTGTCGATACGGAAACCGACCTTGCACAAGGGTTCCGTCTTCAGCTCTTCCAATTCCAACGACAGAATGCTGATTGATTCGCGACGTCGGAGGAGATAAACCGAAGAATCGTCTCAGGCTGTCAATGTAAGAACTGGTCCGTTCATCCCCATACCCAGCATCTCTACCCAAGCGTGGACTATTCTCTCGGGCCATGAACCGGGCAGAGTAACACATGGCCTCGGGGGTACCGAACGACGGAAGACCAGGAGGTGTAGGCGATCTTTCCGGTGGAGGGTATCGAGGTTGAGCAGGTGCCACCGCAACACCCATATTCGCCGGCCACCGTGGTCTGTGAGAGTGGTTGTCATTCGCCCCGAGTGAAACAGCCTTACGATGTGACCGGCGAGAAGTTGAGGCTCGCTGTGTGGTAGATTCATTCAACGACGGCTTGAACCGGCGTGGAGTCTGCCCATATTGCTCCGATAACATTTTCGACCGATGTCCTATTCTCTTTGCTATCCGCGCTGGTCTCCCTCGCTTTGTTGGATCGCCCGAGGGGCAAGGGCCGTCTTGTGAACCCGTTGGAACGAACATAGCCATGTTCTCTGCCAGACCTTGTTCGTGGGCGGGATTTTGGTGAGTAAGAGAGGCGTCGAAGCGAGAGTGGGATTCAATCGGGGTGTGGACTCTGCTGGCGTTGTATATGTTTCTGTCATCACTTTGCATAGACCCTGACGAATCGAGATTATCGTATGACGGTGAGAGGGAGTCTGAATCTCGAAGTCGGTTTCCGTGCCGGAGACTCTGTGATGCCGAGAAAAACTGGGAGGGTGGATTACTGCATTGGTAGACTTTTCCTCGACGTTGGATCGCAGTCATCTTGAGGGCCAAAGAGCGAAACCCAGTATAGAAATATAGACAATATGCATACGAGAGAGGCGGGAGCAAGATTGACTGAAAAGGGACCGTGATTTCCTATCCTTCATCGTGCCTGCCAAATGCGAATATTATACACAACAGTCTATATGTACACTTCTCTTCAAACGCTCAAATCCCGAAATGTAGAATGTCATGATCATAACGGAGTACCGCCGGAGCTGGGCATCTTGCCCGTCACCTGCGCATGCTCCTTTCTTAGGGCTCGCAGCAATCCCTCGATTCTGCGACGCTCTTCTTGTTCGGCCTGGAGAGAGTGAGTCAACTGAGACATGGAATACGTTGGAAGAAACTCACCCTCAAAATCTTCATATTCTCGTTACGTGTGTCACGCATCATCTTCTTGAACTCGTTCTTGAGAACCATTGTAGATGTCGTCTCGGAAGCACCATCACGACCCACAGATGTGGGACTACTCAAGTTCATCCAGCTAATACGTTCTTCTGCGAGTTGGGTCTCCAGCTGCTCGCAGCGGTCCCGGAGACTATCGATGAAGCTTTCAAAGCGCTCACGTTCCTTCTCGAATTCAATGCTGGCCTTGGTCATGGCTTCATAGTCATCAATGGTCTCGCGAAGCTCCCTTTCGAGGGTATCTGCCCGTTGCTGGAGATCGCCGCCTCCGCGCTGGCTCTTGAGTAAAGCGAGTTCCTCAGTGAGCTCAATGTTTCGAGTAACTAGAGCATCGTTCTCCTTCTGAACACTGGGATTGGAGGCAACCTCAGCAGCACGCTCAGCCCGAGTGCCATATGCACCATCCAGCTCTGCCTTGACCATAGTAAGTTCAGTGGTGACCCGCACAATCTCGCCTTCGAGCTCGGTCATCTCATTCTGCAGGCGAGTTGTGTTGGCGTCTGATTGCGCACGCTGATCATCGGCCTCCTTAACACGGGCATCGGATTGGTTACGGATTTGTTCGATGGCGGCTTCGAGCTGGGCGACCTCTTGCTCTGCGCGCTCGCGAGCTTCCAGTGCTTCTCCGTCTCTAGAGGTGTCATTCTGCATCGATCCGATGATGTCTTCCAGACGCTTCACCTCGCTCTCTGCGCGCTCACGAGCCTCTCTAGCGTCCTCAGCCTGGGCAACGGAGTCGCGCTTCATGGATTCCATGACGACCTGTAGACGAGTGACCTCACTTTCTGCATGGTCACGGGCATTTCTGATGTCTTCATGCTGGACAGCAGTGTCATTCTGCAGCGAGTCAATGATGTCCTCAAGACGCTTGACCTCGCTTTCCGCGTGGTCACGAGACTCCTTGATCTCTTTGGTTTGAGCATCGCTATCATTTTGCATCGACTCAATGACAACCTGCAGGCGAGTCACCTCGCTTTCGGCATGATCGCGCGCGATTATAGCCTCAGAGTGAGCAGCAGACTCGGTCTGCATAGATTCGATGACATCCTGCAGACGCTTCACCTCGCTCTCTGCGCGGTAAAGCGATTCCTTCATCTCTTCAGTCTGGGCAGAATGTTTGTGCTGCATCGTTTGGATAACAGTTTCTAGTCGCTCCACTTCTTCTTCGGCACGGTCACGAGCATCGCTGACCTCCTTAGACTTCGCACCGGTATCCTTCTGTAGCGTTTCAACGAGGATGGCGAGACGTTGGACTTCGCCTTCTGCGCGGTCGCGAGCATCACTAACTTCCAAGGCTCGAGCCTCAGTGTCTCTCTCTAGAGATTCAATTTCACCCTGCAGACGCTTGACCTCAGCCTCGGCGTGATCCTGGGCATCGCGAGCTTCACTGACTTCGTTGATCCTGGCATCAGATTCAAGATGCAACGAGTTGACAACACTCTGCAAGCGCGCAACCTCACCCTCAGTCTGAACAAGAGCAGCCTTTGCTTCTTCTTGAGAAGAGCCACTGTGGCGCATGGCTTCGAGCTGTTCCAGAACCAGAGCCAGCTCCTCGCGGTTGGCATTCCCCTCGCGCTCGGAGACTTCCAGGTCCCTGCGCACGTGGGTCAACTGCTCAGTCAAATCACCGATATGGGCATCTCGCTCAGCATCTGACTTGGAGTTAAGCTCGCGCTGCTGTTGGATTTGGGTTGTGAGGATGCTCTTCTGCTCCAACACGCCATCTACCCGGCTCTCCAGACCATCAACACCAGTTTGAAGGTAAGAGAGTTGCTCCTCTAGTCCATCACCATGGTTGGCATCAGGAGGCGGAGGCAATGTCGGTGAACGTGTCAAGCCAAACCGATCAACGATAGTCTGCACCCGGTTGTTGATCTCGGTGAGTTTGGTCTTCCAGGCGCTTTCGGCCTCTGGAGTGACCTCGCTCACAGCCACAGGAGCTGGAGCTTCGGTTCCCGTGTGCAATACAAGATTGTTCATACCATTCTGGATGTATGCCAGGTGCGCATCGACTGTTGCTGTGGGATTGACCGGGTCGCCATTCGCAGCTGGGTGAGGCGGAGGGTCGATGAATTCACCGGGGTTGGACTGGATCATCATATCGTGCATACGTTCACTGAGTTCCTCCAGTCGTCTCTCGGTCGCCTGCATGGCTTCAGTATTCATGGCCGCAGCGGCATTCGTCTCAATTCTGCCGTGCACGCCAAAGCTATCCAAATGTTCGGTCGTCCGGTAAAGACTGCGATCGTCGAATTCGTGTGCGTCGTAAATACTTTCTGAACCACCCAGAGCAGGGTTCTTCGGTCCCTTCTTCAGACCCTTGTGTGTCATCTGCAGCACACCTGCGGTATGCTCCAGCAAACGCTGGTTGATCTTCTGAGATCTCGTTTCCAGCTTCCACAGCTCCTGCGCTAGCTCTTCACATTTCCGCTGGCTCACCGCGAGCTCTGAATCACTCTTGTCCAGCGCCTCCGAAGTACCACTCCGTCCGAAAATACTGCGACTCCGCCGGTGTGTGGTTCCATTCGCGCCGTACTCGCCGCTACTCCGCGGACTGGGCGGGCTGTAAAGTCGGCCGAGCGATTGAGCAGCATCGCGGAGTTTCGTTTCCAGCGCTAATTTCCGCTTCGTGCCTTCGATGCGACTGGAAAGTACTGTCTTTTCCCTTTTCAATTCCTCCACCTCGTCAAAGGACAGCACTTCATAGTTCACACTATCTCCGATGGCGGTCTCGGTCAACAAGTACATTGTCACGGGGTCGTTGGCATGCAAGAGAGCCGAGCTGCGCGGGTGGGACGGGTTGAGCTGTAAGTAAAGCGAACACAATTAGCCGGAATCGCTCTTTGGGATTGGATCTGCCTGTTCTATCCTGTCCTGTCTCAACCTACCGGGTTATACCGCGACCGGTCATCATGCTGGGGGTCTAGAGCATCCCGATACCCATCAACAAGCGACGTGCCATGAACCGGTGCCGGGGCGTCGGAGGCGGTCATGGTGGATAGGTATCGAGGGTCTCCATAGGAAGACTGACTGTCGCGGATACTGTTCATGGTGGACCACTTCAATGATCAATAGTGTGTGGTTCGGTTCGGGGAGGGGGTTCAGGGACAGGGGCCGCGCATTATGGGGTTTCAGGCGCCAAAGTCTGTTGCGTCGCAGGTTGGTGGAAAAGAAAAAGACAGTGATCAGAATAAGGAGAGGTGGAGCGGACTCTCAGTTTAGCGCAGTTAAAAGATGGCGGGGAGTGAAGGAGAGGATCTGCATTTCAGCCACGGCAAATTTTGGATGTGTTCGGAGAATTGAAGTGATGGATCAACTCAGGTTCATTGTAATATAAGTCAACTTAGCTAAGTTCGACATGTAAGATGGGCTGAAAGTATACAGGAGAAATAAAAGCTTCGTATTCGTACCCCTGAAGAATGCAAGCGGAGCCACTCCGTATCAAGAATATCCATGGATGGTTTGTTTCAAGGAACGACTGGAGAGTTCCCCACTATAAACATCAAGACAAATGCATAACGGACTTTATATTCGCTTATATCGGCATTTCTGCTATCTTCCGGTCACGAATTCAATTAGTCTGCTCCCAAAGCGCAACTCCGCACATGGCAGCCCTGTAGGGTACCTATCGGTACTCACAGAGTGCAACGTCATAGTATGACGATCGATGTATCACCAGGTACCCAATTCAGGTTACCTCGGATCCTTCACTATCGGAATTGACAGAAGCCCCGCTAGAGCCAAGATGCAACACTTGGCTTTTCTTTGGTTCATTTATCTCTCGCGTGCCCATGGCTTCTCTTTTTCCCCCCAGACATGTCTGTTCCCACTGATGTCGAGGCCGTCGCGCCTGTGTACAAAGTGTACAAGCGACGGTTCTGGGGCTTGGCTCAGTTGGTCTTGCTGAATATCGTTGTTAGTTGGGATGTATGTCCATGTCCATGTCCAAAATACCCACTTGCGTGCGCATAGATCGCGATCGCCGTTGCTAACTCTACTCACAGTGGTTAACTTTCTCATCTATATCGACTACGGCGGCGGAATACTTCGATGTATCCGAAAGCGCTATCAACTGGATGAGCACCGGCTATCTCTTCGCATTCTGCGTTGTCAGCCCGTAAGTATAAAAGTGGATTTCACAGTTTCATCCCGAGCTGATCTGATCTGATCTGATCTGATCTAACCGTGATACAGCCTGGTCATCTGGATCTTAAACAAAGGCGGTCCAAAACCAGCCATCGTAACGACAGCAGCCCTGCTGCTAGTCGGCAACTGGCTCAGATATGCCGGCACAAAAGCAAATGGCGGTATCTTTGGACTAGCAATGTTCGGCCAGATCCTCATCGGATTCGCGCAGCCCTTCTGTCTCTGCGCACCGACACGATATAGCGAACTCTGGTTCTCAGATCGCGGCCGAACAAGCGCAACAGCAGTCGCCAGTCTGGCGAATCCGCTCGGAGCAGCAATAGGCCAGCTGGTCGATTCGGAATGGGCGACCAACCCCTCCGATATACCAAATATGGTGTTGTACATCTCCATTATTGTACGTGTCACCCACCTGCCAATACCAGCCTATACCAACCCACCGCAACCCAACAACTAACCACCACCACCACACCCCCAACAGTCCAGCGTCGCAGCAATCCCATCCTTCTTCCTGCCCAGCAGACCTCCAACACCAGCCAGCGCCTCCAGCTCCAATATGGACCAAACCCCCCTCCTATCAGCAACGAAACAACTAATAAGCACCTGGGAATTCTGGCAAATCCTCCTCCCCTTCTCAATATACGTAGGCTTCTTCAACAGCATAAGCAGCCTCCTAAACCAAATCCTCAGTCCGCACGGCTTCACCGAAACAGAAGCCGGCATCGCCGGCGCAATCCTAATAGTCGTGGGCCTAATCACAGCAGCCATCCTCTCTCCCCTAACAGACCGCTTCAAGCACTACCTGGGCAGCATTCGCGTCCTGGTGCCGATCATTGCAGCCACGTATATCGGGCTTATTTTCGCTCCTGGGAGTGGCGCGGGGATTGCGCCTTCGTATGTTGTTTGTGCGTTGCTTGGTGCATCTTCTTTTGCGCTTTTGCCGATTGTTTTGGAGTTTTTGGCGGAGATTACTTATCCGCTTTCGCCTGAGATTGGGAGTACGATTTGTTGGACTGGGGGGCAGTTGCTGGGTGCTTGTTTTATTCTTATTCAGGATGCGTTGAAGATGGGGAGTCATGCGAGGGTTCCTGGGGATATGCGGAATGCGTTGATCTTTGCGGCCGTTGTCTCTGTTGCTGTTGCGCCTTTCCCGCTGACTATTGGGTTGTTTGGGAGGGTTGTTGAAAGGAAGAGGTGGATTGTTGATTCTGGGATTGAGTTGAGGAATAGTGGGGATGAGGAGAGATCGAAGAAGGTTGATAAAATTGACTCGGTTGATTCTGGGGGTTCTGCTGATTCTGGTGGCTCTGGTGCTTCTGCCAGGGATACGACGACTCTTTTACGCTGATGTTTTGTGCTACTGGACTATAAGCGAGTTTTTCGTCTCTTTGCTCCTTTGGTGATGTTTTTCTTTTGAAGGCTTTTGCCATGGACCTAACCGAGATATATACCCTTGATCTTACCGGATCGAGTTGTGTGGCCCTCCCTATGACTGCGATGTCTATGCGATGCCCTCCATCTATCATTATTAGCGAATTGTCATCATTTTTTCCAATGAGCCAATTGATGAACATAACCATAAGTTATAATACTGGGTCCTTTCACGATCTGCTGCACCAGAGCACAGCGCATGCGAAATACATCGTATATGCTATTACTATGGCTTGCGTAAGGTCTCATACCTGCCGGCATGAGTGTTCACCTCACTCATAGTTCATCTTTGGGCAGTGAACAGTGGCGTCGCCCACACCTCGTCCTTTGCTTGAGCACAGATACCTTTATCTGCCAACTCTACTCGTCTTCCTTTATATTCCAGTCCTGGCCAATCGTACGGGAGAGACTGGCTGCAGGCAGAAGGCTTCGACAACAATGTCTGTTTATTAAAGATCTCCGCGCTAACAGAAAGAGGATACTTGACAAAAGGTGCTGACAATGTCATGATATACCACTTTCCTGCTTGTAATGTTCCTGTTACTCTAAGGAGAGGGCCCCGATCTCGCGGGGCGAAACCACCATGCATCGGTGGACACCCAGCAGTCAGAAATGATAGCTGAGCTGTTCATCGAGCTTTGCAAGACCCCACACCAGCAGGTGTCCGAAATTGGCCATCTAGGGTTGGGGGCTCAAGTTCGTTAACCTGGGTTCGTGGAAAAGGCAGTGAGCATTGGAGGATTTCTGCCGATTGGACAAAAGGCGAGGCTTTCGTGATAAGGGTTTGAATGAGTTCTGTACATAGAAGCAGCAGACCTAGAACTTCGCAACCTAAATACGACATCGGATACTAATACTTCAACGTATATCCCCCGCACATGCCTATACTAGTGTAGTTGCTTGCTGGCCACTGATGGAGCCGTGCCCACCACGGCTTAGACAGTCTGACGGACTCGCGCATGGATACTGAGTCTTTTCCCTTTTCACAAGCCGGACATAATCTACGAGAAGGTCAAGGAAAGGAGGACGAGCTGCATTAGAATCAAGTATCCTTTGTTTCTGCAAGTTGTATGTCCTAACACGATGTATAGGATGTGAGGACGCTTCCTTTTGACACGAAGGTGCAGAAAGCAACTAGCTAGACAGGTATCGGGTATCGTACTGCTCTTACTCGCCTCGACTACAGACAATTGCATCTACGCTTGGTTCCTGTGCGTCCTCTCCCTCCCGGTTCGGCAGTAGACGGCAAGTCAGGAGAGCCAGACGATGTTGCAGAAGAGGACGTATGGTTCTAGACGATAGTGAATGAATAGCCCATTTCCAACAAGGGAATTGATAAGCATGCAACAGTAGTGCAATCAACTATATCACGCGTTGCATCGGAAGTATACCAGACTAAGAGACGAGTGCCAATCAAGACAGATGAGATTCGTTTTAAAACAAGAGAGTAAAGAAAAATCAAAAGCACAGTTCGAACAGGCGGAAGACCAGCTATCTGTACATGCAAGACAGGGAGAAAAGGGTCAATGATCTATTATTCGTTTCCTCCGGGCCCTTCCTCCCTGCCTTGAAAACACAATATAATATGCGCACACATACACGAGGAAAGAATAGATGAAGAGGGAACACGTTCTTGATCAATCCTGCGTTCTCAATCCAAGGCAAGCCGCCAGGCTATCGGTATCCAAATGCCGTGGCGGCCATCAGAAAAACGGGATTGGGTTTTTGGGTCGGCGTGTCTATGGATTTTCTCGTATCGAGGGCGCGGAGAGCGAGGTGCGTCACCGGATCGATGCGGGAAACTATTCGGGCGCCGATGCAAACGTGGGTGAGACGTTTACTTGAGCTCCCTCCAGAGCTTGGGGGCAGCACAGGCGGTGGCGCAGTGGGTGAGGTGGAAGACTGGGGTGGTGTTAGTCGCACAACCGAGAATCAATGATAGACAATTCGAAGTGTGTCCGGCTTCATCGTTTGATCAGCTCTGATCACTGTTGGTACTTACACTCCTCAACACAGTCCTCCTTGGGACCCTTGTAGTCCTCATCCTCCTCCTGGCGGGTGACGCGCTCAACGCACTCGTCGAAGTGGTGCTTGTAGGGAGCGCACTGGGCGGAGTTGGCGCACTCTGCAGAAACAAGTCAGTTGCTGATCGAGATCAATGCAGATGTTGTTTCGACGTGATTGCAATGCCATTGGTGCTGTACGATGCAGGCGCTGATCCTGACACATAAGATGAAGGGTGCGACCAATTGCCCATTAAGCGCGATCGCAGGGCAATAAATATGGGCAATGCATCGGAAAACAACAACTGAATGAGCATGGAGTCACTCACCCTCCTCGAGCTTGGGCTTGATGTCCTCAGGCTCCTCTTCCTCTTCCTCTTCTTCCTCCTCTTCCTCCTCGGCCTCAGCCTCGGCCTCCTCTTCCTCGGGGGCCTCCTCGGAAGACTCCTCAGCGGGGGTCTCCTCGGCGGATTCGGACTCGGTGTTCTCCTCGGTCTTGTCGGAGGACTCGTCCTGGGTGGTTTCGGGTTCCTGGGCGGGAGCCTCAGCCTGGGCCTCGGCGAAGCCCAGGGAGGAGACGACCTCAGAGAAAAAGTCGGAGAGACCCATTGTGATGAATTGAACGACGGTGACCGGGGGGTCTTGGGTGTGGGGGGTGGGATTGAAGGGGGTACGGAATTGAGGGAGGTTGTTGGTTTTGCCCAAGCTGCTTCTTTCGGACTGGAAAATCGGAAAGCCCCGGCCGCTGAGAGACGCCAATTATGCCGCACGTGATTGGTCGATGGGTAGTCCAGACATTTTGACTATATAACGTTGTTTAATTCTATTTTTTTATATTTGATATTGATTTTACAGCCTATAATGCATTCAAAGATACTTGAATACTTCATATAGGCACTGGTGAAGACTGGTGGGGGCAGATGTGGCATCCAAGTGCGTCGCACCGCTTTCGTTTCGTTAACTTAACTGACTGATCATATCGTACATGTATGAAATAGGAGATTTTAGAAGTTGAAAGATTTCATAGGTTCATAAAATGAGATGATTTCCGGCTTCACATCCCAACATCTCATAAGAGAATCAGCTGGTTCGCCGTAACCGCGCCTCCAGCTCATCTGCGACACTCTGTGATTGCACTGCCTCATAACATGGAGGCGGTTCCACGGGCTCGGTGCCTGCATCGGATACCCGGCTGCTTGTAGGCTCTGTGGGTAGTTCACTGGGAACAGCGCTGGTCTGCGTTGCGTTAGGTGGCGCCTCGTACGCGGGCAACTCTTCCAGGTGGACAGCAGAGAGATCCACGTTTCGCTGGCCGCGGGTGCCTTCACTGCCATTTTCGACGGCCTGTTCAAGTCGCTCCTTGATGCGCTCAAAGTTAGTATGGAAATCAAATGCTCCCCCTTCCTTGAAGGTCACTTTCAGCTGCACGGCTGGCAGGGATGGTGAAATGCCTCCTCCTGATACGGGCTGTACCAGTGCTGTCCATACATTTGGACCGAAGAATGGAGCTGATACATGAGAATCCTTGACACTCAGAAGTGGTGATGAGAAGGACTGGAAATCATTTGTTCGGCTTGCCGGGAGATAGACGACCTGGTCAAAGTTGAGAGAAGCTCATTATATATGTCTGGACTGTACTAACTCTTTGGTTGGTGAGATGAATGCAGCCTGCGCTGCTTTGGACTGAAAGCTTCTCTGCGCCTTTGTATCCGGATGGCGGGGTTAGGGATACACTGGTGCGGGGAGGCGAGGAATATATTAAACGTTCGTTGGGAAGGCGGACAAAGCCTTCCTGGTCATGAAGCATTACCCAGCTAGAGAATCAGTTAGTCTTCATGCTTCCATACCTGAGAAGGGACCGTACTTGAGAGACATGATGTGCTATCATGCCAAGAAGTTGGGATCAGATAGATCAGAGGCAGAACAGGTGACCTCGGACTTCAAATCAAAAACTGCCAAATCACCAAAGACCGGAGAAAGTCAAGAAGTCAAAGATGAAGTTGGGGCGGGGCAGGCGGGGAGGTCCTGCAGGGGAAACGTGAACTTCGATTTCTTTGTAGATCAAAGGGTTTGTCTTCTCCACTGCATTAAGCTTATACAGAACGCATTTCGGCTTGGCCTGGTCGATCCGCTACTGCATACGCTTTGATCACAAGGATATTCTCCCAACAGAACTTGCATAGACGTTGGGATGAGGGGCAAATCTGGGGTTGTAGATGTGATGTATTGAGTATTGAGTATCTTGAGGCTACGAAGTGACCAGCAGCAGACCAAGTGGCATGGCCTGTGCACTGTTCCAGTCTCAGGCCACTCGAACGGTCTCATATACCTATATTTTGAGCTTCAACAGTAATTCAAGTGGAAGTACAAAAGCATTCGTATTGCAAAAGAACCTGTTCTAGAAGCGTCCGAGCCCGCGCTAAAAGCCAACTTCCGGTTTCGAAAAACTTCCGCTTCTCACTCCCCTTGATCTCGTGCTCACTGTCTACTATATTTCATACGGTAGCTGGGAGTGAACAGAAGCTGTCCAGGTATGTTTCTAGCTCTTCCGAGCTATTCCAAGCTCATCCGGTGCGGCTACTCATATTGCTAGGGACTTCATGTCGACATCATAAGGCACCACTCTTATCGCCGAACCGGGCCACTACAACATGGGAGACAAAGGACCCTACATTCCACCCCTCGTCGGGTGGATGTACGATCTGGTCCTGTGGACTTTCTCTGTGCTGATTGATCTCTTCTTCCGCGAAGTGCACCCCCGGGGATCATGGAAGATCCCTCGACGTGGTCCCATCATTCTGGTGGCCGCGCCCCATGCCAACCAGGTAAGCCGCCCAGCTTCCGAGACACATATAAGATGCTGACGGGGTCGCGCAGTTTGTTGATTCTCTAGTTTTGATGCGCGTCATTCGCAGCGAAGCCCATCGTCGAATCTCATGGCTCATCGCCGACAAGTCCTTCCGGCGCAAGTTTATCGGATTCCTTGCACGAGGCATTGGAACACTCCCCGTGGCACGTGCCATGGACAACTTGAAACCTGGCACTGGCACCATCTATCTCCCTGACCCGATCAACGAACCCACTCTGCTACGCGGTGTCGGAACGAACTTTGAAGGGCCCGGCTTCGAGAAGGACGGGACTATCGCGTTACCCACGATCAACGGAACATCACACAGTACTGCTATTGCGGAGGTCCGCGGACCTGAGGAATTGGTTCTCAAGAAACCATTCAAACACAGGGACGCGTTGGGTCAGCTTACTGGGCGCAAGGACATTGGCAGTGATGGAAAGTTCTCCGGCGACGCGTCCGAGCAGAACCCTGAGTTCAAGGGCACCAAATTCAAGGTTGCCCCTCATGTCGATCAAACCGCGGTTTACCAGGCAGTCTTCAAGCGACTTGGTGCTGGAGGCTGTGTTGGTATCTTCCCCGAGGGTGGAAGCCACGATCGCACTACACTGCTTCCTTTGAAAGGTAAGCTCTATTGGTTATGCGCGGTGTGACTTCTTGCTGACATTATATAGCTGGTGTGGCTCTGATGGCTCTTGGCACACTGGCAGAGAACCCGGACTGTGGCTTGAAGATCGTTCCTTGTGGTATGAACTATTTCCATGCTCACAAGTTCCGTTCCCGTGCTGTTATTGAGTTCGGTACTCCAATCGATGTCCCACGGGAATTGGTGGAGCAGTTCAAGCAAGGCGAACGACGAGAGTCTGTTGGTGCTTTGCTGGACATTATCTATGGAAGTCTCGTCTCTGTCACTGTCACCAGTCCCGATTATGAAACTCTGATGGTAAGCCTCGCACCGATTTCAGATATGTACTTCGGCTCACAAATGATAGGTTATTCAAGCGGCCCGTCGTTTGTACAACACCAAGGGCAAAAAGCTCCCTCTTCCCAGGGTCGTGGAACTGAACCGTCGCCTTGTGAAGGGATACGCCCACTTTAAGGATGACCCCCGAATCGTTGATCTGCGCAAGTCTATTGTAGGTTACAACAAACAACTTCGCATCCTCGGAATCCGTGATCACCAAGTTGCCTATGCCAAGTTCTCTATCCTTCAGGTGGTGGCCACATTGCTTTATCGCTTGGGCAAACTAGCCCTTCTGACAATTGGAACACTGCCTGGTTTCCTCCTGTTTACCCCCGTTTTCATCGCAACCAAGTATCTTTCTGCAAAGAAGTCCAAGGAAGCCTTAGCTGCTTCTACTGTGAAACTTCAAGGCCGGGATGTCATGGCTACATGGAAGCTTCTTATTGCCCTTGCATTTGCCCCTGCTCTCTACGCCTTTTACACTGCGGCTTTCACTTATTGGACCTACTGGAACCGAGTCCAAGGGTTCGTCCCAGACTGGGTGCCACTTTGGTCTGTGGTGATGATCGGCATGATTCTTTTCCCCACAATCACATTTGCGGCTCTGCGCATTGGTGAGGTGGGTATGGATATCATCAAGTCGCTCCGCCCGCTTGTCCTGTCCTTGAACCCGTCGTCAGCCAACACTCTGGTGAGACTCCGTGAAAGACGCGCTGCGCTCGCTCAACAAGTGACCGATGCAATCAACACCATGGGTCCTGAGTTGTTCCCCGACTTCGATGCCTCTCGGATTGTCACGGACCCGTTCCGAGACGAAGACTCGGAATCCAAGGAGCACGGACTGCCGGAGATCAGAAGAACCAGTGTCTCGGAAGCGGGCGAGGGAATGCCTACATCGGAGCCCTTGCCTCGTAACGAGTCCTTCCACAATTTGGCTAACATTGGCTTTTTCTCTACACGGCCTCCTAGCCGTGATCATAGCCGCAGCAGCTCTGCCAGCGGCCGACCCGGGTCTCGACACGGGCTGAAGCCGCTGAGCCCTCTCACCCAAAAGGATCCGCTTGAGGATGTCAGTTCACGTATCCGGGATGCTATGAGAGAACGTGGAGAGCGCCGTCGCCGTCGCAGTGAAGATGGAAGCTGGGATATGGCTAGCTCTGGTCCTGGCACACCCTCCAGTGCCGATGAGTACCGAAAAGACCTGTGAACTACCAGTATAACTGTTTTCCATCATGCACATCATAGCGGCGTCTGTTGTCAAATTGTGTGCATTTGCTGTGTTTATGTACTCGTGCAAGATATCCTCTTTGTTAATGAATGTTTTGACCCTATTCAATCCAATGTAGATATAGATACGCCTGGCCAACACGAGATGCCAAGATACTGGGTATCTCGGCACTAATGCAGGCGGTGATCTCAACAAATCGTAAACTCGACTTGTGGCAGATATCTCCGCATAACTTGCCACGTCCGAGAACAGCCTTGAGCAGGGGCCAAAAAGCCCAGAACAGGAAAACTAAAAAAAAAACAGTGCAGCCTAGCATCGCCTCACATGCAGTTCAAACCTCCTCGGTTTCGCATCGCAGCTTATTTCTTTTCTCTTAAATAATTGAACACGTTGCCTTTGACCGAGTCCACCCAGCCGCTAACCGTGCACTTTCTGCCTCACTCCGATCTCCCCATTCAACTCCCCCGACTTCTCCAGAGAGTCTGGAAATCAAGTCTGCGGGATTCATCTCGAATTACATCATGGCGGGTTCAATGCATATGTCGCGACTGCGGAACTGGTTTCTCGCCTCTCCGCCTGTTGAGTTCGCCATCACGAACCTGAAGGACCTGCTGATCGGCGCGCTCCAGCAGGGCCCTATCCCTCAGCATGTGGCCTTTGTTATGGATGGGAACAGGAGATTCGCCCGCTCTCATGGAATCGAAACAGTGGAGGGACACAACTTGGGATTTGAGGCTTTGGCAAGGGTGAGTTGCGACCTTCCACTTGACAACTCGACTCTTGAGGCAGGGCCCCTACCTCGTGATCTGATACTAACGACTACTTATTTCAGATCCTCGAAGTCTGTTACAAAAGTGGTGTAAAGGTAGTGACGATCTACGCCTTCAGCATCGAGAACTTCAAACGGTCGAAATTCGAGGTGGATGCGCTTATGGAAATGGCCAAGGTGAAGCTGTCACAGATGGCCCAGCATGGCGACCTGCTAGATCGATATGGCGCCAAGGTCCGCGTCCTGGGCCGCCTTGATCTCCTTAAGCCCGATGTCCTGGCTGCTGTCAATAGAGCCGTCGACCTGACTAGCCGCAACGGAGACCGCGTCCTGAACATCTGCTTCCCCTACACCTCCCGCGACGAAATCACCACCGCCATCCGTGACACAGTCGACGACTATAGTAAGCCGATCCCAAACGCCCGCTCCGCAGCCGCCGCATCCCGAACACCCTTCTCGGAATCCCATATTGCACATAATATCCGCGCGCAGACGCTCAGCTCGAAAACACACGATACACCCAGCGACTCGGAATCCACATCTGGATCCTCGGCCCAGGATGACGATTCAGTTACTCGAAACGACCGCACTAACCGTGTCTATGAGTCCGGTTCCTCCTTCTCATCCTCCACAACCCTCCACCTGGGAGGCCAACAAGAGCCTCACAAGGGCTCACCACAGACTGCCGCGGCGGAATCAGACAGCCCAGTCTATATCTCCCCTGAAACAATCTCCCGCCAAACCCTCAACGACCGCATGTTGACCAAGGGCACACCACCCCTCGACATCCTAATCCGTACATCGGGCGTGGAACGCTTAAGCGACTTCATGCTCTGGCAAACACACGAAAACACAGAAATTGTCTTCCTGGATGTAATGTGGCCGGAATTCGACCTGTGGCATTTCCTGCCCGTGATGCTCGGCTGGCAGCGACGGATCTCCAAGTCGCGGCAGGACCCTGATGCAGAGGGCAACTTTGCTGGTGATAGTCCTGAGTCTAGTGAGGAAGACCTCGATGCTATGCTGTTGCGCCAAGGTGGCAAGGATAAAGGCATCTAGATATATACCCATACCCTGAGTTTGACTTTCTTTCTTTCTTTCTTTGCCTCTTTTTTATAATCTATAACTTGTTGTCTTTTCAGCATCTTGCGGCGTTTTGCGGTATTACACTTCGGCATATCCTTATCCTTGTTGGATATTGACATCCCATACATACCTTTTTGTATTGATCTATAGAAGATATGTACTTCTAATCATGATGGCCATATATGGACTTAAGAGTTGATTGCCGTAGGCGATGGTAAATTTGCTATTTTATAGGAACCAGAACTTTTACTATCCGTTCATTCCGATGCCCACATCTTTCACAGACCGGGTTGGCTTCCAAACCGAACTTGTAGCAGCAAAGTATACTTCAGGCTGTTTTCTACCCTTACATCTAGCTATCTAGGTAGTCATAATTTCCCACCGCATGCAGAAATGTATCTCCAGACGCGGGTAACAAACTTAGTTAATCAAGCAAGTATGTTTGCTAGATTAAGTGACGAGGTAAAACTTGCATGAAAAGGCATTTCAATTACAGCCACAAGTAAGAATATTCCATCCAAAAACTGCTTATTTCTCTTCTTTTTCCATCTCCGTTCAACCCACGTCTCTTTCTCTATATATCTATAGCCGTCCTCATCCATGTCTGCACACCTACAATGCAAGAGCCAACCCTTCGGGCTTCCGCCCGACGTAGTAGCTTGGAATGACTCATGGGCTTCTTTGTCCGGTTCCTGACTGAGTTTATTGAGCAAGCTGGTAACCATGGCTAGACACCATGTCCTTGTTTCTGGTAATAGTTCATCCAAGTGCTAAATTGTTGGACTCACAGTTGACAAGTTCTATGAAGTTCGAATGTATAGATACAGACCCGCACGGCCCCTCACCCGATATCGGGGCACGTGACAGGTGAGTCACCCGCACATCGGGGAAGAAGAGGAGGGGTGGTTCAGTATGTGAATTCTCCAATCACCTCTATTATAATCAATTGAGTCAAAATGGTCAAGCAAATCGCCGGTTCCAAGGCCCTTCTTCTGGGTTCGGGTTTCGGTAAGCCTCTTCTATCTACTTCCAGGTCCAATGCGCAATGGCCGGAGTGCCCCGCATCGGCTTGCTATTGGCATGAAGTCGCTAACTGTTGACTTTGGATAGTTACCAAGCCCACTGTTGAGGTTCTCAGCAAGGCTGATGTCGAGGTTACTGTTGGTAAGTAATTCGGAGAACATTCATGGCATCAATGGAAGAAGAACACTCACTGACCATGTCGTAAACAGCTTGCCGTACCCTCGAGAGCGCTAAGGAGCTCGCCTCAGGCTTCAAGAACGCCAAGGCTATTGCCCTTGATGTTAACGACGATGCTGCCCTTGACAAGGCCCTCGAGCAGGCCGATGTTGCCATCTCCCTGATCCCTTACACCTTCCACGCCCAGGTCATCAAGTCTGCCATCCGCACCAAGACCAATGTCGTCACCACATCCTACGTCTCCCCCGCCATGATGGAGCTCGATGAGGAGTGCAAGAAGGCCGGTATCACTGTCATGAACGAGATCGGTCTTGACCCTGTAAGTACATAATTATGCCCGATATATTTGAAACACTGCTAACTCATTCTAGGGCCTGTAAGAAAACCACACAATGATATAACCCTGACAGACGCTAACATTTCACAGTGACCACCTCTACGCTGTTAAGGCTATCAACGAGGTCCACGCCGCTGGCGGCAAGGTCACCGGCTTTGTCTCCTTCTGTGGTGGTCTCCCCGCCCCCGAGTGCTCCAACAACCCTCTGGGCTACAAGTTCTCCTGGTCCAGCCGTGGTGTACTCCTCGCTCTCCGCAACGCTGCGAAGATCTACCAGGGTGGTAAGATCGTCAGCATTGACGGCCCCGAGCTGATGGCCGCCGCCAAGCCCTTCTTCATCTACCCCGGCTTCGCGTTCGTCGGATACCCCAACCGTGACTCCACTCCCTTCCGCGAGCGTTACGAGATCCCCGAGGCCCAGACCGTCGTCCGCGGTACCCTCCGTTACCAGGGCTTCCCCGAGATGATCAAGGTCCTCGTCGACACCGGCTTCCTCAGCGACGCCCCCAGCAAGGTCTTCGAGACCGCTACCTCCTGGAAGGAGGCCACCAAGCAGGTCCTCGGCGCCACCTCTTCCTCCGAGCACGACCTCCAGGCCGCCGTCGCTTCCAAGACCAGCTTCCCCAACAACGAGGAGCGTGACCGCCTCCTCTCCGGTCTCCGCTGGATCGGTCTCTTCTCCGACGAGCAGACCACTCCCCGCGGCAACGCCCTTGACACCCTCTGCGCTACCCTTGAGAAGAAGATGCAGTACGGTCCCGAGGAGCGTGATCTCGTCATGCTCCAGCACAAGTTCGAGATTGAGAACAAGGACGGTTCCAAGGAGACCCGCACCTCTACTCTCTGCGAGTACGGTAACCCCGCCGGTTACTCCGCCATGGCCAAGCTTGTCGGTGTTCCCTGCGGTGTCGCTGTTAAGCAGGTTCTCGATGGTACCATCAGCCAGACTGGTGTCCTTGCTCCTATGAACATGGAGATCTGTGCTCCTCTTATCAAGACCCTCAAGGAGGACTACGGCATTGAGCTCATTGAGCGCACTCTGTAAGAGTGTAGTCGGATGTAAGAAATATCTGGCTAGTAAAAATTGTTTAGGAATGAAATAGACGACGAATGACAATGCAATGTGCTTGGACTTCTAAAAAAATTGACTTATGTAGAGTTGAAGCATATTGACTATAACAGAGGTCATTAGTTCTTTGACGCTCCTACTTGATGAACCTACCATTTCGAACCACTACAACGTGAGGCACTTAAAAAAGAGGTAAAAAGAGTTGAAGAAGAGAGGCTAAAGTAGGGCAAAGAATTTCGTCTAGAAAACAGTTAATGCTTAATTAGCGGCATTGTATACAATATTACGGCCCCGGCTGTACTAGGAGACTAGCATGTCGCACCCGGACAACATATGTACATATACACACCGAGGGAAACGTGCACTGAGTATATGCTTGTGAACTCCATGAAATATATAGCACATGTCCGAGTTTTCTTTATTGAATGCCTAGTTTTCAATTTTTTTTTCCTTCAGTGATAGTCGGTTTACATGTTTGAAGTTGGGTATCAATCATCGCTAATTTCAAGCAACCACCACTTCTATCTTGTTCCCGTGTTGGGCGAGGGCCTCTATTAGTCGAGTATATCCTAGGAACTTGGTGGGGCGTGACTTTGCCAGCTCTGCCTCTCGAAATAGGGGTTGCCGTAACAAAGTAGACCTTAAAAACATGGGTTGAAAAAGGGAAGAGTCCCGAGAGAGCAAATAGAGCGCATTTGCCAAGACTTTGTGGATCCATGGTTCGAGACTCGGCCATTTTTGACGTAATTGATCCTATCGCGGGTATTTTCACCTTGTAATTTGCCACTTCACTCCTGCTCCCTTTCAAGGACCAGGGCAGATATAGCTGTTCAATCTTGCTTGAGGGGACTGTCTCGGAATGGCCAGCTCTCCAGAACTCGATGGTGACCGTCGCGCGCGGGAATTGTATCATTATTTTCAGCCTGACAACCCGGCGCTGCTTCCGACTGACGAATGCTCTACTGCCAAATCTTCGAACAAAGTCAGTCCCAATTTGGTGTTAACTGCTTTGGCTCAACTTGCGGCGATAAAGTTGGGGGCTCAGCGGGCCATCATCAGGTATGTTCCACTGCGAAGTGGAGGAGTCTGGGGAGTCTGTGGAGTTTATAACCGTCGTTTTCGGCGGATTCTTGACAAATTGGGGGCTGTTGCAGATCATTGCTAAAACTTGAAATAGTTTGATAGACAGGGAAACGCTCTATGTCGCTGCCGAAGCATCGCAGTCGTTAAATCTAGGCAGAACTGATGTCTATGGCGATGATGGGGATGGTCTCTGGATGGGCTGCGGGCATGGCCCTGTCGCGGGCACTTTATGCGAGGTGATAATTTATGATATGCGTTCTATCATCAATCATTATGCTGATTCATCTCTTGGCAGAAAACCATCACTTTGAAGTCCACTTCCAAGGAAAAATACCCATTCTTTGTCGTGAATGATCTAAAAAATCATCCTACTTTTCGCGACATACCCTGTGTGGCTGGGCCTCCTCACTTCCGCTATTATGCAGGGACCCCATTAATGACCAGAAACGGAATCAACATTGGCAGTTTATATGTGATTGATCCTCGGCCTGACCTGTCTTTGACCGACTCCCACAAAGAAACCCTTGGGACTATAGCAGATGCTGTCATCGATTACATGGAAGCGTCGCGCCACTCACTAGAAGCAAAGCGCTTTAGCAAACTACTTTCCGGACTGAACTCATTTGTACAAGGAGAAAGCAGCTTTGAAACCTCTCAGAGACCAGCATATCAGAGCCTTGGCCTGTCGAGCCAGGATTCTTTACTTACACCGAGTCCGCATCCAAACTTGGAGCGCGAGCTTAATGCTTCATATTTTACGGCCAGCAGCATAAACCTATTAGTGCGTTCGCCAAATCAAATAAACAGTATCGCCGAGGATGTATCGTCCAGTTTTGACCCCTCCGCGCCTCTAGGGCGCGAACTTCCAAACCCACAAACACCAAAGTCACCACAAGGCCAGACTAGAGACAGGACACAACAGACGTTTCAACGTGCTGCCAATCTCATGCGGCAGAGTCTAGATCTAGGGAAAGACGGCGGCATCGTCATCTTCGATGCAAGCGAACGCGCCGAGCTTGACTCTAACAATATTCTGGACCAGGAGCAAGGCCAGAAACGAAAACTGGCCAATATTCGGGCGATGTCAGAAACAGAATCTCACGTCAGTAACGGGGTGTCCCATCCAGCTCCAGCCCCACAGATAGATCTATACTTTGCCCGCCGAATGCTGCACCGTTACCGACGCGGTGGGCTTTGGTATTTCCACCAAGACGGAACGGCCTTTTCTTCCGATGAAGATACAGCCAGTACAGGGAGTCAGAAAGACGCACTTGGGCTTCCTCCACCGCTGTCTGCGCACCCACAGTCAACCGGTCCACTACGTGAGAAGGATCTAAATGCCTTGAAGCAATATTTCCCCAATGCAACAAGAATAATCTTCGTTCCACTCTGGGACTCCCTTAATTCTAGATGGTTTGGTGGCTGCTTCGGTTGGAGTTGCCTGGAAAACCGCGTCTTTAGTGCCCATGTTGAGCTTGGTGGACTATTCGGGTTGGGCTCATCCTTGATGGTCGAGTACAGCCGTATTCAAAGTCAAGAGTCTAACAAGAAAAAGGATGACTTCATCAGTACCATTTCGTGAGTGACAGATTCCCATTCTCATTCTCATTCTCTTTGCTCTTCACGCTATATCATGGATGTATCTGACAAGAATAATATTAAAGACACGAACTACGCAGTCCGCTCCATGGAATTTTAGCTGCCAATGAATTTCTAGCCGAGTATGTCGAGTCAGAATTCGCACGGAGACTACTTGATACTATTCGTGCCTGTGGCCAAACTCTGCTTGATACCTTCGAGCAGATTCTAGATTTTACCAAAATCAATTCCTTTGAGAGCAAGCGACACCGATCCCGTCCAGGTTCTCCTCGTTCAAAGACCGATCAGGAGTCTAGCAATGAGAATCCAAAAGCGCAGCTATTGCGTATTCTCAAATTGGTCGATGTCGTCGCAATCATTGAAGATGTCATCGAGAGTGTCTATTCGGGACATATGTTGTCGAACGCCATGGTGAATGGCAGCAGGGAACCTGGGAAATGGTCATCGGGTTCAACGGCATACTGTAACGGGACAACAGAAGTTTCTAACACTGCAAAAATTGACGTTTCAATTGATGCTGCACCCCAAGACTGGGAGTTCGTACTAGAATCAGGGGCATTACGACGTGTTGTTATGAATGTCGTCGGAAATGCGTTGAAATACACCCAGCAAGGAACTGTTTCTCTTCGTCTTGAAATACAACGAAAAGCCAAAGGATCCAATCGCCAGACATCGCCCGATACCATTGATTCCCCGGTACTCGTTCTAACAGTCTCCGACACGGGACAAGGCATCTCAGACGAATACCTTCGTTCCAAAATCTTCACGCCATTTTCACAGGAAGACGCCTTGTCTCCGGGAACAGGGCTTGGCCTTGCACTCGTCCGTGACATCCTTCGGTCTCTTGGTGGTAACATCTCAATCAAAAGTCAGCTTGGGGTTGGCACAACCGTAAAGATGACCTTCCCCCTTGCAGAACCTCAACACCATGAGCAGATTGAAGCCCACTCATCGATTTCTGATCCTTTACCACGTCCATCAGATCTTATCAAACGAGTGAGGACAGAACTTGAAGGGAAGGCTCTGCGGTTCATCACTGTCCAAGATCCACCATCCAGCATGCCTCCTTCAAATCATATGATCAGACATTACCTGACAGAGTGGTTTGGAATGAAGATCGAAAAAAGCGAGTCCTCAAAGCCCGTTAATCTAGTAGTCGTCGATGAGCGTCACTTGAATCTTGTCGAGAATGCACAAAGTCAAGCTTTAATTCTTGTCTTATGTCATCGAGCATCTCGTGCGCGCTCAACGATGACTGCAGCGAACATGCTATCTTCCAACACGGTATGGCTTAATCTTCCGTGTGGTCCTCATCAACTAGCCCGGACGCTGCTTGACTCTGTCAAAAACATTGCGTTAACCCAAAATCCCGGACTGCACAAAGACTTACATAATGTACCCACAACGCATCTATCTGAGCCTGAGCAGGCCTCAAAACAGTCCATATTGCCCGATGCGCATGAAAAAGCACTTAATCTGGCGCAAGTCACAGTGCGCTCTGTGCCAGACCCTGAGTTCGGCACCGAAATAACGCAACATCGGCACATCACAACACACAATCCGACGCACAGTCTACCATCGACGAAAGGCGATTCCATAGCTAAGGTTACGCATGGTATTAGCCGCACTCACATTTCACCAACTACCGAGACAAAGGATGGCATCAAGATCCTTTTGGTGGATGATAACGCAATCAACCTCGCTCTTCTCGAGAAATACATATCCCGAATAAAGCCACAAATCCTAGACACAGCCATGAATGGAGAAGAAGCCATCAAGGCAGTACAGAACATGTCTAGTGGCTATAAATACATTTTCATGGGTGAGTCTTTCTATCTCCCACATCGATTAATTTCGGCGCCATGCTAATATGAGTACAATCAGACATGTCTATGCCGGTCATTGACGGGTTCGAAGCAACACGGGCAATTAGATCAATAGAAGCAGCGCGAGGAGAGAAATCGCCGGCCACCATCATTGCGCTTACTGCTCTTGGATCTGATGAGCATATCAAGAACGCTTATGCAGCTGGTGTCAACGTTTTCCTTGCGAAGCCGATTTCTTTCAAGATCATTTTGGGACTGGTTGATGAGTGAAAGAAACTTCAGTCATAAGAAACTATCGTTGGTTTCGACACCAATAACGATTTGCGCTACTTTGATGAGTTTGCTTCGTGTGTTCGTGGACATGGACAGGTGATTTAGGGCATTGAACATCTATAACGCATTATTCCAGTCAGAAAAGATTTAATTACTTGCCTTGGTGCCCACACATCGCCTTGCTTCACCCTACGAACGAAATAGGCAAGGGCAATACCACGAAGACATGAACGTGTTAGGACATGTGGCTTCAATGTGGCACACATGCTTTGCATCTGCACCATATGTACTCACAAACCTAGCAGCACTCTAATAGCAATCCCCCACCACCTTGGATCGGACTGGTCAAATTACTGTGCAGTTGCCACCTAGGACCTCCCCTCGAGCATCCCAAACCCCAAACCCACGCGTCAGTCCAAGGAGCGCTTGACGGGCTATCTGAAGAATTGATCTTGGAGTTCCACCCTAGCGCCCAGACATGTACATAAATCTGGAGTATAGCCCGTCCTCATTCTAGGGAGGTCAAGGGTGTGAAGTACGCCCCCTCCCTCCCTGGACAGCTGCAGTAACGTAATCCACGACCATGTGGTCCAGCTACAACACCACCTGAGAAATTGAGATTTCATGATCATACATCTCAACAAACAATCCTTTCTATGATTCGAAATGTAAGACTAGTATATTACCATGTTAAGCATAGGTAGCTATATCAGTTATGTATGGAGTGAATCAAAGTTGACGATATTACCCTAAAATACGTCGCATTTTTACCTTTTGGTCTACAACTCTATATAACTGGACAGTGAGGTCTCAAAATAGTCTAAGGTGTGTGAGACATAACTTAATTGAACCCTTACTTGTAGTGTTTTCGCAAAGTTAAATTTACTATTAGACTTTGAATGTAGGAGTTAAGGATTGTAATTTATCGACTTCAAGGCGTGTAATCAGCAGGACCACTCGCCCGCGTGGGCCACTGGGTGGTGGAATACGTTACTTACTTGCACACATTGTATGTTTTATTCACTCGGATTTTTATTGTAATCCTAGTCAAAAGGCTTCAAGCGTGCGTCTGATTCAGCAGTACTGTGTACTGCACCTCATGATCTTCATGATCAATAATTTATCGCGGATGATTTCGGCGATCGACGGGATCTACACTTCGAATTTTCAGTGACCTCGATTCATTCATGTTCAACCATCGTAGCGTGTCACTTGCTACTACATCAGAGGACGATGGATACTATAATCCGGTATATACTCAGCCTTTTTGTTCTAGGAGGATTCCTTTCTGGCCATGCCAAGATTTCAGCTTGATGTCCTGTAGGATGGATCATTGGTGATCTCACTGTCGATCCATTTTGCATTCCCTAGTCAAGATTTATAGTGCAAGGAGATCTTCATAATGAGTCGTCGTGGATCCACCTACTATAGCTTGGCTGCATATGAGCCCTCACCCTAATTGGCAATGTCTCCCCAGGTTGCTAGCTGGCCCCGGCCTGAGAATCAAGTTGTGATCAAAGTGGACATGTATATAATTCTCAGGGACATCGCTGTCCTCTAAAAGCATCTTTCTCATTTCAACCGTTTCTTTATCCTACCAAGGCCTCGAGCCGAAGTCCCAAAAAATGCATTCTTCTATCCTCTTCGCCGCTTTCTTCGCCACTCGCTAGTGTCATCCCTAGAGACGCACCTGAGCACTCGGAACTTTTCACCGACAAATAGAGAGCAGAATATCGCGACTGCCTCCACACGAATCGTGAAGAGATCAAAGGGTTAGTTGAAGCTGTTCTCGAGTATATCGTCGACGACAAGCCCAACCAGGACCAACAAGATTTGATGGATTCCTACCTCATTCAACAGGTATAAAATTTCCCTTGCCATGTAGAGGTAAGTTTTGTGACCAACAGTACTCACACTGCCTTCTATTGCAGAATCGTGATAGGTGCAATGGTATTCTAGGCGTTTAAGACTAGATCGCAAGCGATGAAGCCCGTGTTCGGACCGCAAGATGCCGAATGCATCGGACCGAAACCTTGTCAATTTACTGGCTGAAGTCCATACTTTGATGTATTGTGAGAGTATCGAGAGCATGGAGCACCATCTGCCAATGTTGCATTCGGGGGATCCAAGCGGCGTCGACTTATCAATACACAGCTTCAAAGTATCATATTCAAATCAAGTCGAGCCTCTCGGACGAAAGCTTAATCTTCACCACGTCAGAATGCTAGTCATGGCAAGGTGGCTTCTATAGATGTTGCAGGTGTTTATCTACGAGTATTTATTTCCTGGTAGCAAGCTCTATGGCCCTGATTCACAGTATTTCTCGACGATATGCGGGCTTGGCAATCAGTAATTCTCACCAAGGCGGACAAATCCAGTCTTAATTGACTCCCTCACTCAGCTGTTCAGCGCATCCAATTTGAAGCTACTCTTCAGTCAATCCCATCTTCTAGATTTCAGACTAAATCAGTGTCATACATGACAGCGATTAATTTGATTTGTTTAGATCAAATCCCGTGTAGAGTTGTGCTGATCGTTGCTTGACAATATTTTCTTTGCAATTGGTGACATTCACAATTTACCACGCCTGTCTAAATTAATTTCCGGATCCTCTCAGGTGCTTCAGATGTCATCTGCCTTGATAACTTCAGGCTTTTTGAAGAGATCTGTGCATGGTTTCACGACATTAGGCTGAAGTCAGGCTGGGCCCCTATTGGGTAGGCCACAGTGCGTGCGAAATCGGCCGTTGGAGAATCCAGCGAATCATCACTTGGAGTTTCATACGCCCATGTGCCAAGAACCAGATTCAATCTGGAATACATTGTCTGTTTAAAGTCAAATATGATGCGATGAAGATCTTCCTTGAGGCCCTTCTCCAGAGTCTGAGCACAGACTCATCTCATGGCTACAACAGGGAATTCCTAAGTACATATGACAATCTATGACATAACACATATCCGAAAGCGAAAGGAACAGCAGGCTATGTGCTCGCTGTCGTATAATGATTGACGTTAGTCTGCATTTGGTCGCGATGTTTGGGGAGAGCAAGATCTTAGGGCTTTCTGGACCACAACTTATATAAAGGCATCTGACCATCCCAAGTAGCAAATTTTGAACCAAGAAAGATCCAACCGCTCTTATACCAATAAATCTATTCTGTCTCATCATGCCTCCCAGAAGCCCTTTGGCTGCTCCTTCTAGGGCTATAACCTCTCTCCGTCCTGGTATTTTATCTTCGGTCTCAAAATCTACCAGTAGAGCCTTGAATCCAATAGAGAGGTTCTCTCATCGGAGATCTATCCACACCGAAGATGGACTGACACAGAAGGTCCAAGCCACTCTGGAGAATCGTCGCGAAAAAGGGAGATTAATCGAGCCGGCAAATCCACAGCAGACCGCGCATATGGTGGACTTCGGTTCGAATGATACCCTTTCCCTAGCCTCGTCCGGGGTTCTGCGTACAGCGTTTCTTGATGAACTTGCCAATCATCCCCATTTTGAGGTTGGTAGTAAATCCACGCGGATATTTGAAGGGTCTACCCAGTACCTTCTGGACCTGGAAGACCATATGGCCCAGTTCCATCGAGCAGAATCGGCACTGTTTTTTCCGTCTGGCTATGAGGCCAATATGGCTATATGGTCAACTATTCCGCAGCCTGGTGATGTTGTGGTTTACGACGAGTACATCCATGCCAGTATCCATGACGGAATGCGCAATGGGAGAGCAATGACTCGAATGTTCGCCCATAACAGCTGCAAGTCCCTTCGAGAGTGTCTCTTGGACATACGTCAGGAGTTTCCAACTGTGGCGAATGGGGAACAAACGGTATTCATTGCTCTTGAGTCATTCTACAGCATGGATGCCGATATGGCACCTGTCCATGAAATGGTAAAGTTGGCAAAAGAGATCCTACCCCAAGGTGATGTAGCCTTTTCTATTGATGAAGCCCATTCAAATGGCTTGATCGGTGAAAACGGATCAGGATTTATCTGTCATTACGGCCTCGAGGACGAGTTTGCCATCAGACTGCACACGTGTGGTAAGGGGCTCGGCTCAACTGGAGGTAAGTTTGCCAAACAAGCTCTGTTGAAGAAGTCATCTTTTGGTACCAGAGTTTCTAATCCACCGTTAGCTGCTGTACTTGCCAACCCCTCCATCCGCTCCTATCTGATCAACTATGCGAGAGGCCTGATTTTCTCTACTGCTCCCGCATTTCCATCGTTGGCGGCTGTAAAGGCAGGATACACCGTTCTAGCTAGCAAGGAAGGCGAAAATGTTAGTTTACAAAGTGACAAAGGTTGAAGATAAGAGACGTTGTACTAACAGATAACCAGCGTCGAATTCGTCTGCACAATAACATTCGCCATTTCTATGAAACGCTCACTGGTCATTCCGAATGGGCAAAATGTGTATTCGGTGGAATTATCAGCCTCCATACCGAGAAGACCTGGGATGCAGAGTCATTCAATGCCCCAATTATCCCACTCGTCACGGAACTTGGACAAGCAGTCAGCCTGGCCAAGAAATTACAGAAATCCGGTTATCAGGTCAATCCTGTGTTCTACCCTCTCGTGCCTCGAGACAAGGAGCGAGTCAGGCTGGTCATTCATGCAGACAATACAGTGGCCCAGATTGAGGGGGCCGTAAACGTAATCATGGAATGGTCGTCGGAACGTTCAGGGGGCCAGTTTGGGAAATCAGCCAGTCTTGTGTCCGATGAAGACATGTATCAAAACACAGCCTTTTCTGATTAAGGCTTGCCTGATTAGCCACAAAAGATTGGGAATCTTTGAGTACCAACCGAAACCCAGCTTTCGGGTGTTTGCTATGTGGCCTAGCTGTTCAAGACCATTACGTGGTCATTTGAAAGGGACCATTAGGCGCCATTTTTTATGATTCTTGGACTGATGCTTCAAAAGTGGACAGAAATGAAGTTGAATTTTCGGGTTAAATTGCTCTATAATTTATGCGTTTGTATCCACGCAACATAGGTCCCGCAAATCCAAGGGTCCGTTTTATAGCCCAGCGGGACCTTCCCCAGACGCCACCTTGGTGTGTGGAATAAGCTCCTTCGAATCAGTGATAGAGACTGAGCTTGGAATAAAAGACACTTTTGAGCTACCATGTCCATTGCGTACAGCGGTTCAACACGCAAATAGTATGGCCTCTTTTCATAATCAAGTTACAGAGCTAATGGGAGAGAATCTCCCATTCTCCAACCATTTCCATAGCTGAACATTGCTTTTTGCTGTCTGTCCTCTCTTTTATATATTTCTATCATCCGTATTCACACTTCTTAAACCCGGCCTGAGATCCATCCCCTGTCCCATCATCGCTCGGTTCTAGCCCCTTTACCGTCCATGGAAGATCGCCAAAGGGGACGCGCCAGAATTTTATTGGAGGCTTCACGAAAATAATGGATAAATCGTTCGGATCGGCCCAAAGACTTTCAGTCTCTCGGATGCAAAGGCTCTACCTATTGCATACGGCATTGGTAGCAAATATCTTAAGGTAGGGTCCACTCATCCATCAATGTCAGATTTACCCCTTTCTTTTCAGTACCCATTCTATGATACATTTTGCCCTTCTTATAAGGTGAAACAATGCCTAGCATGTTATCTGCTCGTGACCCAGTTTAGCACCAGGCCTTACGCCGACTGTTGCGCAGAAATTCTCCATGTCATTAATCAAATCCCTCGACGTGCGGATGCCCTCTTGCGCAAGAGCAAAATGGAGGACTACTAGAATGTCGCCATATATTATTACAGTATCACTAAAACATTCACTACAATTTGACGGGGAATCTAACTGAAAGTTTTAGGATAGACTTTAACACTTTTGAAACCGATTGAAATGAAGCTATGTTATGAACAATTGACATGACATATGACCTGATGCCACTAGTTGAATGGATTGTCATTGTTTTCCAAGCACCTGAGCAAGACCGGATGTGGCTTTGGCCAAGTCGGCCTTGGTATTGCATGCCGCAAAAATGAAACGATCCATTCTCACAATCACATACCGCTTAGCGCCAACGCTCTTCCACATGAGGTTCTCATCATACCCTCGAGGTACTGGGCGATCAGTGCAGAGTGAGGATTGCGCGAACTCATCACCCGTGGCGGTGCGAAATACCCGACCCCACCTATCATCCTGCTTATAGGTTGAACAACTGGTGTTTGGAGCACGAGGAACAAAGAAGACAGTATCTTCCGCGGACAGCAATCCCGTTCGATAGGTATCGTTAAGCTCTTCTGACACAGCGTCCATCTCATCGAGACCATTCAGCAACACGACGAGGTGAAATATCTTCCCCCTCGAGAAAATGACATCGTCCGTGAACTGCACAGTTGCATATGGAGCCAGTCCAATGCAATATGTCTGTGGGAAGCAGAGCCCGCCATCATACTCTGGCATAAACGGCATTCCTGCTGAATGCGTGTACCGAATCGGACCGTCAGATCGCGGGCCCTGTTCAAGCCAGTGTTTCCAGCTGGGGAACAGCTGGAGGAACCACATACCCCAATCGCGGATGAGGGTGTGCTGGAGATTTTTCCCGTTCACCATGTCACCGTTTCGGATAGTAGAGGCTAGTGATTTGTCAAGTTGTTGTTTTCGTTCCAGATACCAACCGGTGAACAGGCTTTCATAATCCACTTGGGGAGATGAGCAAGCAATACTGAGGCGCCAAGCCAGTGCAATGGCGTCTCGGAACCCAGATGTAATTCCTTGTCCTCCGACTAGATAGATTTGTTAAATGGGCGGAATAACAATCATCAAATGCGATCGACTTACACGGTGGAAATACGTGAGCTGCATCGCCACACAGAATCACTCGTCCAAGAGCCCATTTATTGCAACTCCTCGCAGAGAATCGAAAGGGTCTCGATCGCAAGACCTCAATACAGTCCTCCGGGAACTGGACATCCTCAATGAGTCTGCGTACGCTGTCAGTCCAATGAAAACAATCACAGATCCTATAATATCTCATAACATACCCATAGCAACTACCAGCATGCGTCAGGTACGGGAAAACGACTTCTTTGATTTTTTCCCACGCAGCCATTTCCGTGCCATTCTCATCGGCCGTAATGACAAACTCAAAGCGCCAGAGTCGGTCTTCTGGGCGTCCAAACCGACCACATACAGCCGGACGATCCGGGTTGCAGAGGAATCGGAAATCGGCGGGGAAAAAGAAATCGTATACATCTTCCGGTGTATATCCAAGATCCCACAGTGGAAATGAGGGGTGTGTCTCCTTTGTCGGAAGACGCATTTTCCAGTTGAGAGCCACCCAAGTCTCCTCGTATCTGGACCTAGACGAAAGTTAGGGGATCGTAGATTGCTTGGTGATAGGCAATAGCTGCTTACTTCCCGGCCCACTCCAATTTGATACCCTTTGACTCTAGGTACTTCTTTCGTGTGAAACCTGTCTTTCCATCTGCTGCAGCCAAGAATCGGGCTCGGATTCCTTTTTCGGTGCCGGATCCATCTGTGTAGGTCACATATACCCAGTTCGCATCTTCTTTGATAGAGGTCAATGTGCAACTGGTTCGCAATTGGGCCTTATCGGACCGTTCCACGGCTGATCGGAGATATTTCTCCAGAACTGGCTGCTTGTGAGCAAGAACGCCGACATGGCCTGTATTTCCTTCGCTCTGTGCGTTATCAGTAGCTGTCCATCAACAAAGCTAGATGCACTTACAGAAGCTGTATCAAAATGAAGGAAAGGTTTGGCGTGTAAGTTCTGCTGCCCATCACTGATGAACCGAACCTTGGAAATGCCTAGATAAGAACAATCAGCTCAAAAGAATTTTCAGCATGTGAATGACTGTTTCAGTACTAACAAGACCCAATCTTCGTGAAGATGTGCTCGTAAAGTCCGAGCCCTTGCATGAACCGGATTCCGTCATCATCAAGAGCAATCCCACGCGGATCTGTGGTTATAGTCGGCTCTTTCTCGAGTACAACATTTTGAACACCCAGTTTCCCCAAATACGCCGACAGCATAGCTCCGGTAGGGCCACAACCGCATATCAACACGTCTGTGGTCTCCCATACTTGTTGAGAAGGCATTTTACCATCCGTGACAGTAATGGTTCTTGGGTAATGACAGTCCTAACCAGATAAACGACTGGTCATTAGAGTATGTAAGTTACTCAGATGAAGGTGATCCAAATTTATTGATCTAGTTAAGGGATATCCGAAATGTGGGGTCTATGTATTCGGCTCACATACTTAGGCCCCTCCGGCACACATAATTAGGCCCCTCCTTCACGCCGAGAACATATTCACATCGGTTGCATGATCAGCATATATCCGAGCATGAAATTCAGCGGTCGCAGTGGCAAGAGTGGATCTCGGATGTAGGGTGTTTTCTTATACCCGAATGTCGAATTTCTGACAATCTTAGGTATTGTAGTAGTGGAACCAGTGACAGTAGCCCATCAGTGGCCTGAGGTATCACAAACGCTTCATCAGATATACAGTCTTCTCACACAAGAGAGAGAATCATCATACAGCCATCCAATATGACTACATTTTTCACCAGACTTCTTGATTCATGATATAGCATCAGGCTCAGTACGATCTACGCCTTCAGAGACTACTTTCTACGTCTACTTCAGGCCATGGGAGTGGATTCTGTGTGATATTTTCGTTGGTGTTGACCCGTCTGCTATGCCAGACTGCCATCGTGCTCACTTAAAGCAACAAAAATAGACGACCTGTTCTGCTATATGTATAAGGAAATTCACAACCCCTTATCATTGACTCAAAAATAGCTAGTACCTGAAAGAGACTACAAAAGCGAAGCAAAAGTACAAAGTAAACTACTGCAAGAAGCTCGCCGGCACCTCAGGTCCCCACACAGCAAGAGACTCACTCCCAGCTTGCACATGCCCAATTGGCGTATCCTCATTCACCAAATCACCATCGGCGTAATGCTCAACCATGTTGCCAGTAGTATCCCACCAATAATCGAAGATCTGCGATCCAAGAACATGACGGCCGATTCCCCAGACAGATTTGTATCCCTTCTGAGCAAGCCATTGGTGGCCTAGATGTTGGGTGTCGTAATCATCCACCTCGAAGGAACAGTGGTGGACATGTGCAGCACCGGGATTTGCACTCAAGAAAAACGAGTGGTGATCTGTGAGAGAGCTGCCCAGATCTATGTGGGCGAACATGCTCACGGTTATCTTCTGGCCGTCCTTTTCGATGTATAGCAGGTCGGTAGGGACAATATTGAAGGTTGAAGTGTAGAACTCGACTTGTGCTTCAAACTTTTGTGTGCATAATCCGAAATGACCGAGCTTGAAAAGGTCAGTATAAATTAGTTTTATTGGTATGAATTCCGACATACTTTGTGGACAGCTGCTGGGCCTGGCTCAAACCGGTTAAATTCACGACGGCGGGCTTTTTCTCCGGTGTAATTCAATACGACCTTCTCAGGATGCTCGACCTGTACATCTAGAGGCTTTTGTCCGAAAACCAAGTTTATGGGGAACCCTTCGGGGTCGGTAATGGTCACTAGAGAACCGCCACCTGGTGCGTCGCCAAGATCCTGGACTGCACCGGCTGTTGGCAGACTCGCTGCTCTAAGGAAACAAGAGATGTCAAACGCATGTTTCTCCCAACAAGGTCAAATTTACTCACTGGTTGAAGTCTCGTTGGCTCAAAGCCTCAAAGGTGCCCCCTAGGAACTGCTTCGGTCCTTTCCGCGCATAGTAGACGTATTGATCAGATCCGTATCCCCGGTACCAAATCTCATCATCGGTTTTCTTTGCAACTTGCATTCCAAAATCTAGATTTGTCAGCTAACACTGACCAAGTAACGGGATGCTTAATATACCGGTCATGAATTGATGGATCTCTTCAAGGTCAGGGTGTTGGTATCGCATGTGGGACAGCTTTTTGACATGAATGCGGTTATCAGGGTTGATCTTTCGCTTCTCAATCCAGGCTTTTTGTGTTTCACTTTCTTCTCCAACGGCGACCACATCGGGGACTGTGGCGCCACTATTGGGCTTGATTTGGCTGGCTTCCATGTTGGACATTGTAAACTCCGTGGTGACTGAATCAGAAGTTATTCGTGGTATGCTACCAGGTAGCAGTGGGGTTAATAGTCTTATATGTGTTAAGACTTCCCCCTTCCCCACTTATAGTTTGGTGTGCGCTTGGTGTCAGGATTGATCCCACATGTGCAGAGAGAGCATAAGCCCCACCGCTGCCTCTATATATTCTATCCCAAACGCTTAGGATTACAAGGGACATAACTCGATATTGATTTGAAATGTCTGCATTCACCAAACTCGTCCGGTTCTCGGCTGGCTCGCGAACTTACTATGGAGATCTCGTGGCCTCTGTCAACGGGAAGTATACTGTGCGGAAACTGAATGGGTCTCCTTTCACCAAACTGGAAACTACAGAGGAGACTGTACAGGTTGAAACAGTAGGTTCAACTCCCAGAGACTCAAGTATAAATTTGACCGTTTTCAAGCTCGAGTGTCCCTTGGAAAGTGTTCCAATCATCATGTGTATTGGATTGAATTACAACCAACACGCGAAGGAGGCCAATGTTAGTATTGAGTAGACCCATTCTCAACTAATAGCCACTAAATTTGGAAAATAGCTCCCTGTCCCTACCTACCCGGTCATTTTCACCAAGCCCGCAGACGCACTTGCCGGACCCTTTGAAACAATTGACATCCACCCAGATGCGCGTGAGCTTCTCGACTACGAGGGCGAATTGACCATCGTGATCAGCAAAGATGCTAAAAACGTGTCGGAGGAAGATGCACTGGACTATGTTTTGGGCTACACAGCTGGAAACGATCTGTCCGCTCGGAATTTCCAGCGACCCGAAGCCTCGGGTGGTCAGTTCTGCTACGCCAAATCGTTCGATAAATTTGCGCCAATTGGCCATGCGATCGTGGCGGCACGCGAAATACCAGATCCCCAGGTATTAAATCTGACCACCAAGGTTAACGGCGTTGTCAAGCAAGAGACCAGCACCGGTGATATGATCTGGAGTGTTCGTCAGCTCATCAGTCACCTTTCCCGTGGTACGACGCTCCGAAAGGGGACCTTGGTTATGACTGGGACTCCATCCGGTGTAGGTTATTTCCGTAAGGAGTTCCTTACCCATGGAGATATTGTCGAGGTGGAGATTGAAGGAGTTGGAGCAACCAAAAACCGAGTTCAGCACTGAATGACATAAACCCCGCAAGATAGATCCCACATATTCAACGTCGCTCCTTTTTGTTCACCTTTCTATACATAGCTCGGTACGAGACTCTGCAATATCCATTGCATGATAATTAGTCTAACTCTATCTCCTACCGCCCTGCATTTTATTGGCTGTAATTTCGTGACATTGAAATATTGGGGGGGCGGGGTTCGCCACGACAGCGGGAGGAATATGCTTTCGCCAAACCTCCTATGGACACATCCCCCTCAATCCATGGAGTCTACCGGTAACGACAAATGTGCGATATGCCGCAAAATGTATCAACGTCCTGGTCAAGAATGACGGACTCAGGCTTCAAGGCCCAGCGCAGGCGCAAGACCTCCCAGGAAGAACGGATTTGTCCCGTCTGCACTCGGGCATTCAAGAAAGCGGAGCATCTGGCCCGGCACCTCCGGTCTCACACCAAAGAGCGACCTTTCAATTGCCCTTTGTGTCACAAAGTATTTGCCCGCCAGTAAGTCACTCGAAGATACATAGGGGCTTGTCAAGGCCAGCACTGATGCTGTGAAGGGATACTTTGCTGCGACATTCAAGGTCTCACCCCACTATCAATGAGGGATGTGAAGTGTCAAAGATGAAAGGACCAGTTGGGGACGATGATGAGCAGAACAGAAGCGATGAGCATTTGATGACCCAACCTCGCATGGAGTTGATAGCTCCGGACCAAATGGAACCCGGGTTGATGACAGGGAACATGCTAGCTCCCTTGTCCCCATCTCATAGTACACCAATTGATCAGCAGCCCCCCATGATTCCTGCCCCTGGAGATGGTTTACAGAATAGTCAAATGACGCCCCTGACGTCCTTATTCTCTTTGGAAACGGGTGATGATTGGCGCGGGAGCTCACAATCCGCCTTGTGGGATTGCCAGCCTGACCAAGATTGGGATGCCCTATTGACTGGAGAACTCTTTGATCTGGATGCTGTTAACATGACCCTTCTCAATGAAGCATCGGAGCATTTCCCTGCATTGCAGACGCCACCAGAAATACCCGCCGGTCGACCCCAGCGTCTCGGCCAAACTTGTGACGAGCATGTGGGCCAACGTCAGTATGATAGTTTACTCCAACGTAAATGGCATACATTTTGCGAGTTTGTTTCATCCTCGGGTCAGATGACCCCTGTGGTGCACCAGGAGGGCCATGATATAAACGATGCTTACCGGGAAAGACTCGCGGAACGTCTGCAGCCATCAGTGCCATCTGGAATCCTGCCATCTACCACATTTCTTGTATTTTCGGTCTTTCCTTTGTCGCTGACTCGATTTGTTGACTTATCAATAGGACCTTTGCATTCAAACTTACTTTTCAAAATTCCACGCTCTATTCCCGGTTGTGCATATGCCCACATTCCGGCCCGGCATCCAAAATTCGATACTGCTTCTTTCGATATGCTCTATAGGCAGTCTGTTCATTGGATCTACCCGTGCACTAGCTCACGGAGTTAGCATGTTCGAGCGGCTCAACAAAGCCATACTTGCATCGGTATTCTGCCCAAGAAATGAACGTGACCGAATTCGCTAACTGTTGCAGTGGGACACTTACCTTTCCACACCAGGGTACACATCCACAATAGCACTGCAAGCTTCACTTATCGGTCAAACGTTTGGCCTACTAGTGGGGGTATGTGCATCTTTCATTGCCTCTTTACCTCGATTCCCCATTGAAGATATAATCTATCAAACTAACTTTTTACCCGGAACCTAGCGACCGAAAGACCTGTTTGGGATTGAAATATTCCATGGGAGTTTGATTGCTGTAAGTATTCAAACAAGAAGAACTTGTGATTTTGATCTGACAGCATAAAGTGGGCTCGCAAAGCCAAGCTGTTTCATTCAAGACATGCAGACAGCAACATCCTCGACCTAGATGGCGACGAGTTACAAGATGCTTGGAGTTCATGGATCAAAACCGAGGTGAACATGCGGTATGCGGTATTAATGTGCCCTAACAGTGATCTTATATGCCAACTAAAATTCACAGAATTGTCCTCGGCCTCCACATTCACGACGCCGAACTCGCACGGATTCATCACCACGAACCCCTTCTTCGCCACTCCCTCAGCCGATTACCTCAAATATCATCAAACGAGCTCTTCGCAGCATCAACAGCTATCCACTGGAAATCACTAATGGCAGAGAACCAGTCCCGACAGCCAACAACCTCCTGCTCCCAACAATCCTCAGCGAACACCCGATCCCGATCCCAATCCCGGTTTCATAACAATCCCACCTCCACACCCGGCGACTTTGCTCTGAGCGGAATGCTAGAATCAATCAGCGCATTATCCAGTGAAGGCAACACCTCAATAACAGAATGCCGTGCCCTCCTAACAACCTGGCACGTGGACTACGCACCCAAAGCCCAAAGCAAGCCATCCTGGCGAAATCTGATGATTCTTTGGCACTCAATATTCATAGCCTTACACGCAGACTTCAACGCGATAGAAATAGCCTGTGACCGGGACGGCCACGAAGCAGCACAAAAATCCAGCCCCTACGTGCGATCATGGGTCCGCTCAGCCGACGCAAAACGATGTATCCTTCACGCCATGCTCATCCAGAAGAACTTCGAGTCGCTCCCCGCTGGTGCCGAGTCGGCAATTCATGTCCCACTTTGCTTGTACTACTGTGGTCTTGTTTGGGCTTGTTTTGCGTGTTTCAGCGACAAGGATGAAGAGCCTGTCACTGTTGATAGCACGGATAATTTTCATTTTGAGGAGTTGTTGTTGGAAGGTATTGATGGCGTTGGTATATTGCCTGAACAATCAAGTGTGCTATTGCCGAGAAGGTTGGCTTTGGGGTCGTTGTTTCGTATTATTGATTTGTTGCAGAGGGTTAGTCATTGGAGGATCTCGCAGAGTTTGGCTTCGACGCTGTTGGCGATTGTTGACGAAACGCAAGATTTGTTTTAACATCCCATGATAGGTCTCCAAATGTTACCTACTTACCATCTTGCATGTTCCAATGATTTTCAATGATTTTTATAGTAGCTTGAAAAGATGCAACGCTTGTCGGTCATCCGTCGTGTTTCTCACGCGACATGTGGAACTGTATAGGTTGCGGTGGACAACAGAGATAGCAATTTCATGGAGTCAGAGGATATCGGATGAGACAGTCGTCTTATATTATTTTATAGACGAGTACTATCTCTATTTCTAATGGCTGTCGCCGACCCAAAGGAGCGAGTGATATGGAATGTGGGGCTTATCCCATCCAAACCAACGTTGCAGGCCAATGTACTTAAGAATGATACCCCGAAATTCAAAACTCTGCAAAAATGAAAGACGCACCATCGATACAAACTGCAAACCCAAAGATGGCCTCTAAATCAAGCAAAAGACGAGGCAGAATAGCAGGGAAACCAGCATGCAGTGCCTGTCATGCTCGCAAGAGGCGATGTGACATGGCCCCGCCGCGTACCCAATGCACTTATTGTCGCAAAAGGGGGGAAATATGCTCGCCTAGGGCCTCTAATAAAAGGTACGGGTTCCAGATCGATGTATTGTAAGCGATTGCTGGTCAAAATTCAATAACTTACAAGAGCCCCGCTAGTCGAGCGTCTCACTATGCCAACGATGGCAACAGCTTCGAGCTATCATATCAAATGTTGAACCTACCTCTACCACAAGGAATCGACCATGAAGTGCCGCGATGGAGTGCACTTTATTCATTCTATTCTGAGATTCGACGATTATTGCCTCCGCCGGGAAAGGACAATCGCGATTCGGACCACGATGAATCTTCATTAGCCGACCAACCCAAGAATGTCTCAGGCCTATATAGATTGTTTGAAGGGGATAGGACCACCAATCAGGAGCACCAACCAGATCTGCGATATGAGACCATTTCACAGCTTGGAGGCTCCCGTATACCAGGTTCTCACTCTTTCTCGCCCTCACAATTTCAAGCAGAGTCAGGCCAAGGTGCACGGTTGTGCAAGTCTGGCTCTCAATTTTTCTCAATGCAGCAGGGCGAGGTTGAATGCCCAGGCGATGGAGAACTGGGCAGTGATATTTTCATGAATGATCTTGACCAATTGCTTGTATTCTAATTATTCATTGCAATAGTAATGTGATTCTCCTATGAATAGAGAATTATGGATTATTTGCTTCAGTGCAGCCATTGTGACGATTTGCGTCCCGATGCGCCTCCCTGCAACCATTTGCGCTATTGGAACAAGCACTCATCGTTTCTAGGGGCCTCCCGCCTACCCCGCAAGGGAGGTGGTCCCTATACAATATAGGGCCCGCATTAGCACATGACTCCCCACTTATCTAGAGACCAGAATGTCTCCGAAAACTATCTATTATTCCCCCCCATGACCGAAGAAAGAAATTATTGTCGAGGCGGCTGTCATCTATGTGCAAAGGGGTTATAACGAGTGTGATGCCTGTGATGATGTGGTAACTAAGGGCAAGCCAACTAAGCCCTAACTCCACATAATATCAGAAAGTGGGGAGTTTGAGAAGCAGAGAGGGATCATTCCAGCAGCATTGAAGTTTGTGGGTGCTGTAAACATGGGTCAAGCCCCAGCTGCCTGCCTGCTCCCCACATTTGGTTGCATGGACCAGAGCTCCTTTGTCGACTCTCTTGGGTCCAAATGCGGAATGATGTAATGATACACGTGATATTGATCCACGGTGCTTCAGCCGCCAGGTGCTCTTGCAGTGGGCCATCTTCCCCATCTGTGTCCACATTTACCTGAGGGGTTAATGCTAGATGTCTGCAACTCATTCAAGAACAAAAATGTCCAGGAATGGCGGAATGGAACTTTGAGGGGTTTCATATTCTTTATCTCAATTAAACGCACTTTAAAGTGCAGTCAATTGCGACCTCAGTTATAAAGTTATCCCAGACTGTTTTTAATTCGCGGACACAAGTCGTTTTAGCTGACTGTGGCATCATTTCAACAGAACCGTCGTCATAGTCATTTTATACTGCTAATGAGTCCTCGTTATAGTACCGTGATAGTGAATGGAACTAGGTACTCTTCAATTGTTCATCTGGTCCCACTGCCAAGACGCGCTAGTCTGTTTTCGACCTAGATACGGAATATCTTTAGTCCTGTACTACTCGGTTAGAATACGAGGCTATGTCCCTTCACCTCACGGGCAATCGAAAGGAATCAAAATATGCCTCAGTAATGTAAAGATGAGACTGTGAGTGGAATTAAAGACACTATAGAGTCTGAATAGGAGAGGGTATCCAAAACGGGGGTCAAAAAGACAGACTGGGAGGCGTTTGGAGGAAGGAACGGAAAATGAAGACCCGACAAGTCAATCAAAATTGCCTTGAAAACTTTGGGGCTTAAAGTTGATGAGACCGAGAATGGTTTAGTTCAGTTTATTGTTACAGATTCGAAATAGGAAAACCCAAGGCGACCCTCTCGAGCAATTTTGACTACGTCATGACTTCACCTTTATGTACGTATGGCCACCAAAATAGTCAAGTCACCCATCTTTCAAAAACTGCCTTTTAAATTGATAGTGGCTACAAACATCTTTCAATGGCGTCTCAAGGTGCGCCTCAGCACCTACCACCCCCAGGCTTTGACTTATTAAGACACTTGGCCATCATCACGGAAAGCATTGCAACAAATTTACAACGAAATCGACTAAATAGGATATCCGTTCGAAAGATACTTCACAAGTACGCTCTTCGGGCGGAGTCGGACGGTCGACTCCTCCACGCCGCAAGGGTCAACGAGTGTGTTGATCATGCCTCATTTCTGGCCTACGCCCATCTAGAGCTATTATCATGGCTGGTGAAGAAAAACTACAATCTCGAGTCGACGGCAGTAAAATGGTATAGCTACAAAAAGCTCCTTCCTAAAAACCAACTACCTTTATTTTTCATTCCTCGACAGACAGCAGAGCTTCGCAAGTTGATGCGCAAAATCGAGAAGGAAGCGGAATCTACATATGCGGATCTTTATGCTAATAATGTGAGTTGGAACCGGTTTGACCTTAAAGAGATACACATTGACTGATTATTCATAGGTCCCAATCCCACCTACAACCATCAAATATCGAAAAGTCCCAATTCCTTCACCCAGAGTTCATCCTCCGCAATGTATGAAAACATACTCCCACATGCCAAGTTAGCCAGCCTTGCTAATCTCAGATTGATCAGCTTTTGAAGCCTTCCTTCATCGAGGCTCCGTTCTTAGGCAGCAATTAAGCTGGCCTGCCACTCAGTATTTCGGGGAAGTCGGAGGTGACATTGTAATTAAATAAATAATGTATGGGCATTGGAAGTGGAAGAGAAAAATTCACAAGAGCTTGATAATAAATTACTTCGAAGCAATGGGGTCTTTGCTATATAATGTTATGAAAAGATACTAGATGTAGCGCAATTCGAATGCCGGGTTTGGGATTGGGGTTGAGCAAAGTAAGACGAGTGCGGAAGTATAACCGATTTACAAAAATACTGCATTTTGTTACGGGTATTGAGGGTGTTTTACATTCAAGGTATCTGCCATTCTATGTGGAAAGAACCTTAATATACCGGTTTGTATTCAGTCACCGCTAGACATTGTCCTGTCGAGAATGCTTGGCCTGCAGATTCTCGACTGGGGCATCGACTCCATAGTTCATAACACTCTTCAAATCACCCAAGAAGATACATGCTAAGATAGCTACCACGCCAAAAGGCGCTGCTATAATGAAGACAATCCTAACTCCATCTGCGTAAGCCTGCTTGAGGGCCATGACCCCCGCCTCAATAATGTGGGAACTGACGCCAGCAACTTTCTGGAGAGCCGCAGTATCTTCAGATGTGAGAGCTTTGATAAAGCCAACGAGAGAAGATTTAGGAAGTCCTGCCTCTAGAGCGGCTTTGGCTGTGTATGTAGGGATATACTTCTCCAGTCTGCTATTCATAGCCGCAGAAGCGATAGCTGTAAATACAGCCGCAGCGACAGCCCGAGAGCATGTAGTTGCAGCCGTGGCTGTGGCAATGAGATGATGTGGGACCGACAGCTGAACTCCGGCGATAATTAGAATGAGTGGCGCACCAAACCCGAGACCTGTTAGAGCAGCGAATGCAAGGGCGTTGAAGTCATTGCCAGGCTGAATAGTTGTTAGTCCCACAATACCACCTGTTAATATGACAAATCCGGCAATCATGGGAAATCGGATAGTTCGAAATTTGACGCTTGCGTATCCGTATACCAAAGTGCTCAAAGCTGAGGCAATCCAATATGGTTGTTGTCGGGCAGCATTGAGGAATGGGTCTGTTTCAAACAAAGTTTTTGTTCTATTAAGACCAATTGTTAGTATATTAAGAGAGGTTGCCTTCGAAGAAAGTTATACTCACAAGACTGGATAAAAGATGACAAATGCAAAGAGCAGAACACCCTCGATAAAGATAAGACCAATGCAGATTCCGAAAGTACGGCCACCGTGGTTTGGACCTTTAAACAGGTCATGGTGAAGAATGCCAGTTGTGGTAAATCTCCACTCATAAATACCAAAAGCAATCAAGGCGAGAATCCCGATAATCAAGGTCGCCAATACCGTGGCACTGGCCCATGGATACAGACCACCGCCCAGATTAAGGCCAGTCAGTAGCAGTGTTAGCCCTGCTGTAAGTAAGAACATTCCGGGAATATCCAACCGGCCGAGCTTCTCATAGAACGACAGGTGATCTAAGCGAGTGTGTCGCTTCGGTGGTCTGTAACCAACAAAAAGACAGACTGCAGTCATTCCCCAGAGAGCCATCTGAATCCACTGAAAGTCTGTCAGATAACTTTAAATTGCAGAAAAAGATACGGGAAATCTCACGTAAAAGTAACGCCAGCCGGTGTGCGGGTTCTTCTTGGTCAACGACCCAATAATCAAAGGTCCTGCACAAGCACCTAGAGCAGCCGCAATATTCATGAAAGCCTGAGCCACTATATGATAGCTCATTAGAGATTCATAGCATCAACCTTTGTCAGATCGTAAACATACTAGGTCTCCACTTTCGTGGGATAATCTCACTGGGGATACAGTATGCCAAGGGTACCGTAGCAAACCCGAACCCGATCAGGACTTGGGCTGCAATCAGGCGATATATACTGCCTGAACCAGGTGCGATTGCACATCCAATGAATGATATAATAGCTGGAACAACCAGGAGTACTTTGCGGGCTTGGAAGGTGTCCGACGCGGAGGAAATGAGAGGAGCGAGCACCGCTTGAACAAGCGAGAGGGAATTTGGCACCCATGTCCCGTTGAGTGTATCATTGAGGTCCTTTTCGATATAGGACAGCTTTTGAGAAAAATTTTCAGCATGTCAATGTCAAAAAATGTAGGGTTAAGAACGTCATTGGCATACACCTGACGGTGGCCCCAGAAGAGCGAAGACTTGGACCAGGTTGAGAAGAAACATGGCAGCCAACGCGATATATGTCTGCGCATGAAGTTCGGGCTCCTCATCATTTTCATACGTCAGGTCTTCATTGGAGGGTTTTTCAACTCGCTCAACATGCTTGAACTGTTGTAGTCCCTTTTGCTGACCCAATGGGTCGGAGGAGTCATGAATCACAGTGGAAGAAGACATTTGGAATTAGCAACAATCAAGTTGAAAAAAAAAATCGATCATAAAGAAGAAGTGCGAGATTCGCTTTAGATATAGCACATCTAAGTTTCCGCTTGGTTCCCCCCATTCCCCGGATTCCCCGGATTTACCGCGGGTCGGGACCTAACAATGCGGGGCCCCGCCTTATGTCTACAGTCTTTCCATCCCCACAAATTAGATGTGGCAACCATCTGTTTGCTAGTGGCAATCCGTCCGTCTTCGATGCTTTTAAGGATTTCATGGTTCCTTTTCTGGGTCAAAGAAACTCAATTCCCCATTCACACCCCCGACTGGCGAGTATATTATGGAACAACTTGCGGACAAGGTCATACCGATAGATGTGAAGCACCGCTACCATGAATTTATAAGACACAGCAGAATTCTCGCTCATTTGTTTCCTGACACAGGTCGAGCAACCTCTCAACCAGACTCGAGAAAGCACACCACAGCATACCACTGATAGCTACATCGGCGTAGTCTAACCGTAAAGCAACGACCAGAGATACAGCTATCCAAGGTACAGTTGCACATTGGCTGTCACGTTTATAGGTTAATTGCCATGGAGATTATGGTCCTTGAATTAATCATATGGTGTGTCAATCCACCCGCCAAAGCCCCAGGGCTATCAGTGCATCTGGTGCAGCAGGCGACAACAGGATTCATAAATGAGATCAACACAGAAACTAAGACACGTGTCATTTAAAGATCTACTACCCTAGAATCAAGAGCAATCTCCTGGCCAGGATTGAAATGGGTATTTCTGACTATATGCAGTGCCTCATTTTGTTTGTGCATGAGAGTCATGCCGGAAACTGCACTGGGTTAAATTGCCCAGCGGCCATGCATGCACTCAGCCAGCCCTGTTTTACCTGCAGAATAATAACCCTGCCCAAGCACAGGACCACCTGTTTCATTTTCTTTAGCCTACCAATGAGAGTATACGATCGGGATCGAAAGACAAGGCGATCAAAAAAGTAAAAATCTCAGCTATACCTATGTAAGACTCACCTATCACATTTGTGCGTATACAGGTTTCACTTCATGCGTCTCGCAAAATAAATCCACTCAACAAAATATCTCTCGGGTGCACAAGAAATCTTGGCGATGCGATTACCTTAATTTCTGACATGAAATGACAATTCTGAGAACATAAATTCTCAGCCCTCCTCTCTGTACGTTGACATGCAAAACACTACCCATTTGCAACCACATAATGATAGTTCCAGAGCCTTCACCGATAGCTCAGGATTCCTCTTGCGTTGACAGTAAGATGCAATGGGCTCAGGATGGCACAGCTCAAATCTCTAGTCAGCTCAAGAGCGGCTACAATCATACGGTGTCAGCTATGTGGCAAGCAGAGCGGCAAATTCACAAAGTGAGAACACCAGTACAAGTTTTCAATTACTTTATATGCTAATCACACATGCAGTCAATGTTCATCTATCCTGTTTTCTTGTCTGCCGATCCAAACATGGAAGAGCCTATTCCAGGCCTTCCTGGCCAGTACATACGAGGACTGAACAAACTGTTACCTTTTCTATCCGAATTGGTCTTGAAGGGTCTTCACTCAGTAATTTTATTCGGCACTTTGCTCAATATTCACACAAAAGACAACATCGGCTCGATGGCAGACAGTATTGATGGTCCTATCAGACCCGCCATTCCACCCATTCGCCAAGCCTTTCCCGAGCTATATGTTATTGCAGATGTAAGTCTTTGTGAATATACGGACCACGGACACAGCTCAGTGCTCTTCGAAGACGGCACGGTAGACAATGAGGCAACCATCGCGCGCGTCTCCAATATGGCACTGTCTTTCGCCCGGGCCGGTGCCAACTGCGTCGCTCCATCAGACATGAGTGACGGTCGTATCCGCGCAATCAAACTCAAGCTCATCGAGGCCCGACTCGAAGGAAAAGTCGCCATTATGTCGTATTCTGCAAAATATGCCAGTTGTCTCTACGGACCTTTCCGTGAGGCTGTCTCGTCAAAACTTGTTACCGATGAGCACAAGCGCTACTTGTTGCCGCCTCCCGCTCGTAAACTGGCTCATAAGGCCATGCTCCGCGACATGAATGAGGGCTCTGATATGATCATTGTCAAGCCAGGCTGGGCTGATATAATTAGCGATGCCAAAGGTATATCTAACGTGCCAGTCGTAGCCATGCAAGTATCTGGCGAATTCGCCATGATTCATGCAGCTGCCAGTGCTGGTGTTTTTGACCTGGAGACCATGGCTCTTGAGACAACCGAGGTTATTGCTCGCGCCGGGGCTGATGCTATTATCAGTTATTTTACTCCGGGCTTTCTAGAATGGTTGGGTTGAGATTGGAACAATGTCCCCATGCAAGAAGACGCCAGAAATGAGTCCTTGTTTTCATTCTTATACTCTAGTTGGATTTCAATACTATTAGCCATTTGCATATCTATCAACGGTATTCATGAAAGTATCTCTTGGTAACTGAACTCAAATACCGCTATCATAGGCGTGGTCGGTATGGTTTCTGGGCAACAACCCTCATCAATGTCAACGGTGGAGATTTTCCCTCTGCACAAAGACGCCGATGCTGCTCGATCAACGTCTGAGCTTGTTTCGATGCCGCTGCCTCGTCGGCGACCTGCTTAGATCGCCACAAAAGATTCGCATACAACGTTGCAATTATTGCGGCTAGCCTGCTCTCTGTCTCAAGGCGGAGATCACTATTTGAGTCTGAGCGATAATGTAGTCTCACGACATTCCAGAACCCAGCCGCGGTGCATTCTTCAAAAACTTTGGCTGATGCCGCAAAGCATTTACCCTCGGCTTTCAATGAAAAGTCGAAGCACCGGCGTATCTCCCGAATGACAGCGTTGTCTGGTGATAGGTATGTTTCTTCGTCAATTTCCTCCCATTGAAGAAAACCACCGGGCTCTTCAGGAGGGGAAGGATAGGTGATTAGTGTTCATGGTAGCAAGATTGAGTGATCATTGGGCGATACTTAGGATGGCAGATAGGTTTGATATTGCGGCTTTGTAGTCGGCTTCATCAATTGCAGCTACAAGCAGACGGACGTGGACCAGATCATACCGATTCCAGTGTTCTTCGGGAAATGGCAATGTTATGTCCTGGGCAGAAAATTTGAGATTTCCCGTATCATCAGGGAATTGATCCGCGGAGATGTCAAAACCGTGGTAGTAACAGTTGGTGTTTGTCTTGTTCAATCCTTTCGAAACATCCTTCAGCCAGATACTTGTCATAAATGCATAAATTAGTCTTCGTATTATAAGAGGTCGACAGCAGACTTACCCGGTTCCAGTACCCACGTCTGCAACAGAAAATATACCGTCTTTGGGAATTGAGGGGTGGATGAGGATGTTTCCGGTCACTTTGGATAACAGGCTGTGCTGTGCGTCGAGTCTGGAGGGTTAATTGGCAGTTTTGATTAGACATATTGCAATTAGGCTGGACCTGGGAGCTCTGGCTGACCGCTCTGATTCTTTTTTATCTCTGCCAAAAACATATTTATCCCGAGTAACGGTCATTGTGATTTGTGCGAACTTTTGGTCTGGATGACGAGATGATCAATCAAGATAACGAAGATGATGTGAGTTCTAGATGCTTGGATTTCCTACTGAACATTCAAGAAAAACAGGACATTTTATCTTTCTTTGGCACCGAGGCACGAGGCGTGTATGAAAGCCAACCACGCTCACGCATTTCACCTAGATCTCTCTGATCTTTAGTTAAGAACCAATCATAAGTCATTATTTAAGCCCAAAAAAAATAAAGGAGGTTCACAGCACGACAATCGATGACAGGAATACAATAATGCGGTGAGCAGGAGAAACGGTCAAAATAAGCGGCGCACTGCAAGTGGCGCTGGGCGCGGTCTGGCTTAGCTGAAACGCATTAAACCCCTGGTATACTTCATGAGAGCACAAACATGCAGGAATATCTGCGACACGTAGAACACAGATCAGCTGCCCCACTCTTTTTGATGCTTCCGTGGACGAGGCCTGCAAGACTAGATTGTGGCTATTTGCCTTTTTCTTCTGTATGCTTCACCGAGCGGTGACGGGGCTGTTTGAGCACTGCCGCTCGGCTCAACGCGACACGCCGAATTCTCACCATCACTCTCATGGAAAATACCACAACTCCCTGGGTGAAATTATGCATACTGAGCAGAAGACTACAAGGGCGTTGCGGGCTGCTTGATCGGCTAGGGCTGGATGGCGACCGACGGGCAAAAGCATAGTGGGCTAGTCCCCATTGCCCCGGCACCGAGCACCCGTGGAGGACTTCATAGAAGCGGCAGTGGCGGCCTATCTCAGTCTGCCATGTCATACAGTTGCCAGACCTGGGCCAAGCGGAATGCTGAATGTGACAAATTGGCCCCGATTTGTTCTCGATGCCGCAAGGGTGGCTACCAGTGCACCTACCAAGTACCTCAGCCACGGACTCGAATAAGAAAATTTGAGCGACGAGATGTTTGAAAGACTGGCCCGGTATGAGTCTATTCTACAGCAAAATGGGCTGCTGAACGCTGAGATATCAACCGTCGAAGAGACGCACCTCGGGATTCGGCATCGGGTATCAGGCCTGGAGCGCCAAAAACCGGTAAACTTTTGCCTGGCCAGGGAGGATTAAGATATATCGACAGCCATATGTAGTACAATGTTGGAGAGCATGAGATTCAACACATGTCTGATGATGAGGATGAGGATGACATAGCCTTTGGCGATATCCGTATCGCTGGACGTGTCACACCAGATCCGTTGACGGGCGTGTTCATAGGCTTGCCACAAAGCCTTCTTCGGTATCATCTGAGCCATAGAGATGCCATGTTTCTATGGAATACGCATATTGAAAACGTGGAGCCTCTCTGCAAAGTTGTACATATTCCATCAACCGGCAAAATGATTGACTTAGTTTCGCAACGTCCTGGAATGTCATCGAAACCTAATGATTGTGTGTTGTCGGCAATATACAACGCCGCGGTCTTTTGAATGTCGGAGGAAGGATGTAATACTCAATTCGGACAGACGCGCTCTACGTTGATGCAACGGCTCCACTTTGCCACGCGGCAAGCTCTTGTGAATGCATCGTTTCTCAAGACAACCGAAATCTCTGTACTGCAAGCTCTTTGCCTCTTTCTTCTGTCCAGCCGTGAGGTGTCATAGTGTTGACGTTGGCAGCGAAGCGGCGGCGCTCCAGCGACGGTTCTTCAATTTCGCCAAATGTTGGACATCATGGTGGAGTCGACCGACAGTGGATCTGTCGCAGTACCTAATGTGTTCCCGTTGTCCGGGGATCGATTTATGTTCGGAAATGCTGTGGGACACAGATATATATTTATATTATCGAAATCGGGGGGCCCCAGGCTTTGCCTGCGAGGGCGGAGCCTGACACTACAGCACGAAATGAGTATTATTTTACGCAACGTGATGATTTTTTATGTGATAAAAAGGGATTGACAAAAAACCCAAGGTGGTGTGTTCTTTCACCTGACGAAGAAGAGATAAGATAACGAAGGTCGAACGGGGAGCGTTCGAAGAGGGAACATGATTGGAGCAAACTTTTTGGAAGAGAGTGCCCCACTCTCTACTATAACATTGCCCCAAAAAGTTGAGCCTGAGTCTCAACGTAATTTCCCAATTAGGGGGAATATAGGGAATATTGGGGGACCCCCGACGATAGGAGGAATCAGCGCTAGCACGGAAGTCTACGCATGAAGGTAATCGTGCTATTTAAGCAAGCCGTGCTTGCTTCACGAAGACGACGACACAAAAAGATCCAAATCCATTGGTTTCTATGCCGTCTTAGGTTAAAGCGCGTAGAGCACCGCGCAGCTAGAAGCAATCACTTGCTTCTCTTTCATAATTAGTCGACAGCCGTCCACATTGGCAAATAAGCTGCCAAACAACCTATTTTCTGAGTAACACCATCCGGTGAGGTGTGCTACACCTCTGACACTATCAGCTCGTGAATAGTGCCTATTTTAGAAACGTTCTTCTTAAACTGAACGCAAAATGTATTGTTCATCTACGATCCGCACATACTGGATCCTGACGGGGATCGCGGCCTCCATAGGCCAACGCATAGGTCTCCACCGGGACGGAGAGAAGCTGGGCCTGCCACCATTTGATGTGGAGATAAGGCAACGGTTATGTTACCAGATTGTTCCGCTGTATGGTAGAGCGAGCCAATTTGCCGGTATTGGCTTTCTCAGTCTGCCTGAATCATAGGATACTCAGCCACCCTTGAACATCAATGATGAACAGATTTGGCCACAAATTACAGAAAAACCAGTGATTTTCCGTCTGGCGCGCGCACACATTGGAAAATCCCTAGCCAGATCAGGACAGCCAATCAACGGTACAGCCCCTTGGAACTTCGCAGATCAACACGGAGCGGAGAAGGTACTGAGCACAACAGAAAGCGAGATCGAAGAAAAGTTCATCCGCTATTGTGAAGCGTTGTTGACCCACTGCACTTTCTCACTAACGGTCTTCTTCAGTCGTTTTTGATAACTATGTGCCTCAAAATCTGCCTTCCGAAAGTCAGAGATCAGACTGTCACCGACAAAGAGCGGAAGGAGCTCTTCCAGCTCGCGCAAAGTCTTTGGACACTGATGCGGCAGTTCATGCCTGCAGAGGTACCATCAGGTATCAGTGGCACATGTTACCATACTTTTTTTGGGGGGCGCTTGATTCCTTCATTCTTATCCTGACTACGTTGGCGAAAAGACGTGATTTGCTATCCCTTGGAGAAATCGATGCTGCTTGGGCAAGTATCGCACAAAACCACCGGACACGATAAAATCTTCAACAGCAAGCAAGTGCTGCATGTGGCACTTCGGCGTCTTGCTCTGAAGGCTTGGGATACTTCCCGTCTGAGCGGTGGTGCCCGGAGCCAGATTTTGTCTGCACCTTGCGAAATTTGATAGAAAGAAGAGAGAAGAGACAAGATAAAGGAGGCAACTTGAAATATTTCACCGATGCGGCATCATCACACCCATTCTCTGCAAGTGATGCCAATACATCACTCGACAGTCTGTCGGAGAGCATTGGTTTCGAAGCGGGTCCCAATTCCGAGATCAATGTAGACGATTGGATATTTTAGGATCAATTGATGCAGGATCACCAAGCACAAGGCAGGTAGCAATGACTGAATTCTTGAAACAACAAACTATACTCAACCCAAAAAAAGCATTGGTCCGTGACAGCTGTGAGTGGTCCATTGCTCGGGCCTGCGTCTTTCAGCCAATCAACCGCTGTGTTATCTCGGGTCTCTCACCGTTCTGATGCCTGGGTGAATCTCTTGCGTGGTGCTATGTAATGTAGAATTTTTTTCTAATCATTGTGATTGAAATAAATGTATTTAGACGCAAAGTTGTCTCACCTCATCGCCAACCCATAATGTCAAACCTGAGAGTTTTGATCGTGGGCGCATCCATTACAGGCCCAACAGCAGCCTACTGGTTTGCCAAAATGGGTGCAAAAATAACAGTCATCGAACTGTTCCCACAAATGCGAACCAGCGGGCAAAACATCAATATCCGGACGACCGGTGTTTCGGTGATGCGGAGAATGCCCGGAATGAAGGAAGCCGTGCGAGCCAAAATCGTGCCCATGGAAGGCATCAGCATTGTACGTGAGAATGGCCGACCTTACGGCACCATGAAAGCCACCGGAAACCACGATCAACAATCGCTTGTCTCCGAGTATGAGATTCTCCGTGGTGATCTGGCGCACATTCTCTTCGACCTGACGAAGGACCATGAGGCTATCAATTATGTTTTCGCCGAGCAAATTGCTTCTATGCAGCAAGATGAACATCGCAATGGGCCTGTTACCATCGACTTCATGAACGGAACTCCGTCCTCGCAGTATGTTCTCGTTGTCGCCTGTGATGGAATAGGCTGTGGTGTACGAGACTATATCCACCCGGTGAATGCTTTAATAGCTTTATTTTCCATAAAGAAGGACCTTCTTGACGATCACCAGATAGGCGAGGGATACAGCGCCATTCGTTGGAGGACGCACCATTTGTATTGGCCCCGATGCCACTAGTGGCAATCGCGTGACGTTGATAGGAATGAGCCCACCCAGCGGTCACGACTCTGTCCTCCAATTTCGCAAGGCGAACAAACTCGGCACCGAGGAACTGAAGATTTTTCTCGCTCGGCATTACAAAGGCGCAGGCTGGAAATCTGACCAAGTCATGCAGGGTATGACGGAAGCAGAGGACTTCTACGCCAGTGAAATGCTCCTAATCAAAAGTGCAAATTTATACAAGGGACGCTTTGCGTTAGTCGGCGATGCAGGCTACGCAACTGGCCCCACAGGCACAGCCACCAGGTTAGCCATGGCTAGCGCCTATATGTTGGCGGGCGAGATCAACAAGCATCGAGGCAATCTTGCTGCCGAGCTGAAAGGGTACGAAGAGCAGATGCGTCCTCTTATCAACGGGATGCAACGGATTCCACCCCTTGTTCCGATGTTGATTGGCACTCAGACGACTTAGGGGATCTTGTTGCGAAATTCTATTTTTGAATTTATTTGTTGGAGCAGAATTCTGCTCCAACAAATCAATATTTTTCATCGTAGAAAAAGGAAAGCAATGACAGCAGTTGAAATAGCAACTGAAATACCCATCGTGGTTCTCGAGTTGACAGTGTAATAAATGCACAGACCAACTAGGGCGGTGTAGAAATTCTCCCTTGTATCCGACAACAACGATATAAAATTGATCATGTCTACCAGTCGAGGTGTAATCCACACCCTTGTGGAATTGATCCGCAAAACTATAAATCGGGATCCTCTTTTCTTTGTCAACTCCGGACTTTTTGTGGTCGGTCTGATCACTTCCCTGCGCTCTGCTGGGCACGTACTATACAACTATGCAGAAAACATATGCCTCTCAACAGTACACGTAAGAGCAGAGGATCCCCTTTACAATGATATCATCCGCTGGATGAATGACCATGTATTTCGAAATCGCAACTTTCTCTCCGTCCTGGCACAAACAACCAACAATTCCGACTCCGACAAGACTCTAATCCGGTCTCCGCCGCTGGATTCCGACAAGCTGATCAGCTACCGACAGGTAGAAGACAATTCAATTTTGGAATTGAAGCCCTTCCACGGATCCCGTTTCTTCCGCTTCAAGCAGACATGGATGCTTTTTAGCCATGCAGCGAGTAGTCCTGACAGTATCCGTCCTCCGCAATTGGATATGAACACCCCCTTGAAACTGCAGTGTCTCAGTCTGTCACTTTCACCGATGAAAAAATTCCTGGACGAAGTTCGCGCCTACAGTCGTACAGTTTCGGTGTCTAGTATCACTATTTACCGCACGACGGCTTATTCCCAAGGCATCATCCGTTGGAGTTCCGTTGCTTCACGTCCATCCAGAGATATTTCTACTGTTATTCTTGATAAGCACAAGAAACAGGCTCTTTTACGAGATATCAACGAGTACCTCCATCCACATACGAGGCAATGGTATGCCAACCACGGCATCCCGTATCGGCGTGGATATCTGTTTTCCGGGCCTCCGGGAACAGGCAAGACGAGCCTCGCTTCTGCAATTGCAGGCGTCTTCGGTCTGGACATATATGTCTTGAGCTTGCTCGATCCAACAATGACAGAATCGCACTTCACCAGTCTGTTTTCCGAGGTGCCTGCGCGGTGTGTGGTGCTGTTGGAGGATGTCGATGCCGCAGGGCTGAACAGAGATGACTCCGATTCCGGTCAAAATTCCACTTCAAGATCGCCGAGCAAAACACCAAACACATCTGTTTCTCTATCTGGGTTGCTCAATGCCATTGATGGGGTCTCGTCTCATGAGGGCCGCATATTGATTATGACGACGAATGCGCCGCAGCAGTTGGATCGCGCGCTGATTCGACCTGGTCGTGTGGATATTCATGTTCGCTTTGAGCTCCCTTCGCAAGAGGAGCTGCGGGATCTCTTTTTAAGCTTGTATAGTGACATGTACCAGAATGTGGACTTTTCGTTGGGAGAGCAAAAGAGGGAGATGACAAGGATGAACGAGATGGCAGTACATTTTGCGGGGTGTCTACCCGAGAGGCAGTTTAGTCTTGCGGAGATACAGGGCTTCCTTCTGCAATATAAACGCCAGCCGGAAGGGGCTTGTGACAATGTTAGAAGTTGGGTGGAGGAGATGGAATATGGAGAAATGCAGGAAGGAGTCGCCGTTGGAAGGATTTAAAGGCGAGTCCCTCTGGTATTATTGACCCAGTGCGGCTCAACACCCAGAGTCAGAGGTGTTGGGTCATTGTACAACACTAGTGCATGTAAAATAGTTTGTAAATTACTCTACCTATGTACATCTATATTGCAGAATGGAGGTCTTGGTTGGGAAATAGGATAACAAGCAGTAAATCTACGTCCAGAATCCTATTTGTCAACGATGCAAACTCAACCCTATGAGACCCAGGAATGATGGTGTCCGGTTTTCCTCCGTTGCCAACAGGATCAACAACATCAACCCTCCAGGGTGGCTTTTTCACAGTGAGTTTAGCATATTCTTCTAGACTTTCACAAATCCACTATTCAATGCAGCCACCCTAATACTAGAATCGATAGGAATCACTGATCGCTGTATTGTCGTGTCATTCACTAAAACGAAAGGCAAATTGGTCAGTCCAGCTCTCCCCTGGTTGATGACTCAAGAATAACTCCTTATCAGTGACATTGACTTCAATATCAGGTCTATCCACAAGTTTGTAAGAGAGGCTTCATTGATCGTGGAAATATGCCTCCCTCCGGATCATTATCATCTTAATCCCACTGATCATAATCGTGACAACGACGATATAGTCGAGAATTCAAAAATAAAGAGCAAAGCTCCGTATCATAGTTGTTTTTTCCTCTGTAAGGACTATCTCGTCATCCTCGTTGGTTACGTCATTGTAGGTTACCTTCATCATGACCGTAATCTTTTCCCCCCAAATCATTTGGAACAACTTTCTAGAGACACGCTAAGACAAGGCGTCCCGGCGCTATAAATAAGTCCAATAAGTCAGTAGATATAGAAAGCGAGATTTCAGCTATTCGGATATCCTATATTCGCCAACATTGGCTAAGAAGAAGCTCATCAAAATACGCATCCTGACCTTTAACTTCAAAGTCTCGGGAGGTAAGAGCTTATGGTTTCCTTCAAGTTTTTTCAGACCTTCTGGCATGTGTTAGAAGAGCATAAATCCCGAAGATCCCGATGCATCACACAACACGATCTTGCAGAAATGCAGCTAAACATCGTATGGGCCGATATTCTCTATTTGGAGTTTACAGTGTAAACACCAGAAGTCTTTGATTGATAACCACGCCAAATCGTGGTCAGTAACCACTAGAAGAAAATTACACGATAAAATCACCCTGACTGGTTGCAACAGAGCACGCTGGGAGACAAAGTCTTCTTTTGGAAAGAACCAGGATGATCTTGATTGCATAGACCAGGGTAGTAGGAGAATACGCATATAAGCAGCTACAATGTAACCTACACTTAGTGCTGCAACATGGGCAGCTCTCGGGCTCTAGCTCTACTTGGCCTTTTACAACTCACAACATAATAGGGGTGAACGTCTTTGCTCACATCACCAGTGAGCGAGGGTTGGGCCGAATAATGATAAATGATACCGTTACATATCATGGAGAGAAGCAAGTAGCAAGAGGCAAGTTCGGCACAGCTGGAGCTGTTACGACTGAAAATAACTATTTTGTCTCAAGAGAATGAATGGAAAATCAATTGGGATAGAGCAAGACAAACAAAGCCAGACTATAAACAGAACAAATGGATGGGTTATGTAAAGATGGAGGCAAGAGGCTCCATTGCAATCTCTCAGGCCAGGGACGTTTCGGCCCTATATCGCAGAAGGTAACCAAGATCGTTTGCCATCATCTTTACTAGCTCAATGTCGTTCCCTGTGCCTTAGCATTCGAACTCCACTTTGCATTGGGAGCCAGTGGCGATGCCAACACCGTAGAACTCAGAGTCATGTTTAGGCTCCAAACCTTCGATATGAGTCTGAGTACCGTAAGCACCATGGCATTCTCTAAAAGAAAGAGAAGAAGGTCAGATCAAAGTCACTCGTTAAGTCAAATGTATCAAAAGATGATCGGCGTACTTAAACTTGGTGAGATTACAGCTGGCCGCCCATGCGAATTTGTCTGTCAGTCCGTCTCCTTCAATGTAAAGGAGGTCGGTGCAGGCATTGCTGTCGGTTGAACCGATCTCGTTTCCATCAGGATCGTATAGGTGAACACTGTTGCTCACTCCTTGGGGACCGAGTCCTACAACAGAGTTGTCTGCCATGGCGCCGACAGCAGAGCATGTCTTTGCTAGGGTGGTTGGAAGGATAGTTGCTACCAACAAGGCGGGAACGATAGACTTGAACATGTTGATAGAATATATATGGCAGTGGATTTGAAGAGGTTTCCTCGGTATGGATGTTCGGTGAAGATGAGATGAATAGGAAACGATCCATGACTTGGGGGATAGTGCCTTTAAATATCTTTACGGCCTGACTATAAATAATGATTCAAATCTGTATTCAGCAGTTGCAAGGCAGCTAGAGCCTTAGTAAATAATGTGATGTCAGTCCAGACCTCTCTGGCTTACTACATGTGTAGTGATCGTTCCTTCAATCGATCAAATCCACTTTTAGAAATGGAGATCGCTGCCCCTTGGGTTACTTTGGAGCTTGGCATTATATGGCCCCTCAATCCCTCCAGGGAGTCGCTTAGAGAGTTCGTTATGACGCAATAGCGACATTAGAAACGCTACTGAATGAAGACGCTGTGCTTGAATTCATTTCCTCAATGCTAGCATGTCTTATAAAATCGACCCTAGGCTGCCTTTAGTAGAAACTAAAATAGAGACTCAAAAGTAGACCAATTCCAGTTTCTGTTTTTCTGAGAATTGTTTTAATTCAAGTGCATCAAATTGGCTTGCTGCGTGTTCAAGTCAATGAATAGGGGGCGGATTGATGTCTACATTGCCGTTACATAAGAGATTGTTCGCTTTAGTTACCATCTTAGAAAATGTAAAGGCAAGATTTACGCAACAAATGGCCCCCTGTTTACAGTGTCATGTGTATACCCTATGTCTTGAGCCCCACATCTATAGCCCCATATGCATAGCCCCTGCGGTTCTGATCCAATATGACGAACGCCAAGGTTTGTTATTTTTGTTTCAAGGTCATTATCAGTTGTGGAATCATGGGAGCTAGATCCAGGATAGGCTAACCTTCAGAATACACCGCACAAACAATAATATTGGCGATAGGCTAAAGTGCAAACAGCCACGCCATGATCATATGACAGAATTGTACCTGTAAATGCTTATCATGTCAAGGTTACCAAGCTGACTCTGCGATATGCAAGCTCCACAATCCGAGCCCGATCTAGAGTGGGTAAATGACTACGGAGTGGAGGAAAGAAATCAGGCCGCAGGAGAAGTGTCATTTCATTTCATATTGGACAAGAGCCTGCTTTGCTTCTAAAGCTAGTTACTCTAGTGTTTTAAATTCATAGGTTGAATACAGAGATTGTTAATATTCCAGATATAAGACCTTACTCTTCTCCGGTCCGGCGACTGTGCCTTGCTGTAGACTCCGTGTCATAATACGTAAATCTCGGATTAGCCTTACTTGGCCATTTTGCATTTCAGCCCCATCGTTCAGCCCAAGTAGTGATGTAACCGTATAGGGAACGGAAGCGTGCTAATAAGGGTGCGGAGATCACATGCAGCGTTGATTGGGCGAACATCTCACATACCAGAATAGGCTAGCGCATTCTAGCTCAGCCCTACATGTTGCGTGTCTGACTGGCCACTTCCTTTGCATCTCACTCCACATCTGGGGAAGAGCTGGTAGGCTGGCTGGGTTAGGTCCTGGGTCAGAACCATCGACCCAAAGTAGGTCATGCAGAAGTCCAGTGGGACCCCGGTGTTGTGGTTGCTTTTGATGACGGAGAAGTATTTGATCCTTTATACTCCGCCAATGAATAGTAGTTGGGGTTTTCCACTAGCGAAACCTGATTTGTTTCATGTGTTTATGTTTTTTCTTAGAGATTCTCAATTCAGAGAACTGTATATGCTGCATCGCTTGTTTTTTACAAGCATGGAATCCCGGGTTTCATTTGTTCAACTATTGCAGTATGATCCGCAATAGAACTCAGGGCAAAAATTTATCGATTTTCTACTAAGATATACTCATTTCGGCACGGTCGCCCATCAGTGTCCAATAGGTCCCACAGCACCCGGGTCCAGCATTTCATCTATCCCGGACAGGTATCATACTGGTCAATAAGCGGCCATGCTTCAATGACCTTGACATACCGCACTATTAGGTCTTCACGGTACCTAATCTCCTGCGCCAGGGCCTTTGCCGATGTACCTAGCAGCGTCTGGAGACATTCATCATCAATGACTACACATTCGGTATTTGTTGAAGCGATCACGTTGGCAAGGTGCAGAGGGCAAACGACGCTATAGCTTTAAGACACACTATGTAAAAGCCCTCGTCCTATACGTTGAGCAAGAAGGAGTCCTCGAGACCTATGATGATATACCCGATAGGCTTCGCGAGAATCTGTATGCTGAGGAGAACCAATGGCTTAAAAAACGGATGAAAGTATAAGAAAACCGTGGAAGTCTGTATCTGTTGGGTACAGCAATGTTCCAGTGCCAATGATTTCATCCCGCCACCACCATCAGCCCCATGTTCTCTTCATCACACCATTCAACAACCAATGTCGGAAGCAAACGGCGGTGACACCCCGGGCCGTACTTCAATCGAAAACCAATTGTTTCTTGTGTCCTTATACGCTTTCAACTAGCCCTGCAAGCCTTAACGAGAAGACCATAATCAGATGCTACCGCCCCAAGGGCTCCAAGTATCCGATCTCGGGTTGTCAGCATGCCAATTTCTTGTGTCTGTCGGATGTATCTGAGACCTATTGGAACAAACCCTAAGACCACAGCTGTAAGGCCGAGCTAGACGAAATATGGGTAGAAGATCGCAGGGAGATATAGACTATAAGTCGCGATGATATTAGGGCCCATTCCAGAGTAGGCTTTGAGAGCATATTGGTCAGGACTATCGCTCGACTGCACAGCGATGTTTATAATAGCGGGAAATCCCCCTGGGAATGGGTACTTTTCGAAGTAATGGACAAGTAAGGCGAGGAAATTGGCTATCAGAAGTTTTTGAGGCATAAGAAGAGTTTGACGATTACCACGATAGTACCTAATCATGATAATGCTAGATGTGACACCAAGGTCATACCAATGGTAGATGATTAGGTCTATCATGATGGTAATCTATGAAGTCGTATCTGTATGTCCTTAGCAAAGGCCCTTCTGGGTCGATCATTGTATGGGAAGAGAATGACATTCAGAAGTCTGTGATAGAGAAATAGCGAGTGCTTGCAGGTTCCCGTGCTGTAATTCAAGGCTTACCATACCGTCAATCCAATTGTACCCGGGGAGAGACAACAAAATATTAATGGATTAAGTTCTGACAGTCAGTCGATACTTCACACAAGTCCGGATCGAGTTACTACCTCTGACAAATTTGCGGTGAGTAGCCCTGTTCTTCTATCGGCGGTCGGACTTATTTTCCCGCGAGGTTAGAAACACAGTAGCCAGTGTTACCAGACTGAAGAATTTTGCCACTGAATCAATCCAACCTCAGGCGTCATATTCCTTGATAATTGTGGTAGAAAATGGTGTGGGAGGAACACGTACATTAAGTCCTTAAACGAGCCACCCATATTAACATCGTGTTTAGAGGTCCACGATAACTCCATCCGGAATAAATACGACGACTTTACGAAGCGTACGTCACACCGGTCATTAACTACGCTTCGGCTGTCTAGCATAATCCACTTCAAGACAAGACCTATCTACGGTACCTACGTTCTGTAGCACTTCTATAGCCATCGTTCTCGGCAAGTAGCAAAAAAACAATGGATAATGTCTAAATTCAGGTTGGGAGAATGATTCATAACAGCGAATCGCAGATGAAGCTAACATGTTGAATATGTGAAACTAAATGGTAATGGAAGGTGCAAACGAGCTTCAACATTCAAATTGAGGATCATATTTATGTTGCTATACATACTTGATTTCCTCCGCCCCTATGCATTTGAAACCGGATGTAACAGCAATTCGTAATTTTCCTTTGCTACTTCACAGAAATTATCTCGTGTATAATCGTCCTATCCTCACGCTTTCAGACTTTCAAACCAAGTGCTTCTTCATGAACTCCGCAACATCCTTCACAGCAGGCCCCACATAGGCTTCGTTATCATAAAAGTCCATATGAGCTCCATTAGGAACGATGTTCTTCTGAGTCGCGCCGCCAATTAGCTTATCCAGCTTCTCAGTATGCCACAGAGATCCAGCGTCTGAGCCAGCGATGAGCAGAACAGGCTGCTTGAGGAAAACATCCGCAAGATGGAAAGCGTCGAAGGTGAGCACGCGGGGGAAGCTAAGATATAGCATCTTATTTTCAGCACGGGGATGCTGTGCCCGCGGCGTAAGATAATAGTCACTAGCCTCCCTCATGTCTCGAGGGGTCTTGTCGTCAGGTTGAGGAGGCACATATGGCGCACTAGCACGCTCAGCACCTTTCGCCTCGGCTGTAATCTGGGCTGCCGCTGCACGCAAAGAGTCGACTTTGTTGGATACGTCCTCATCGCCATCCCAGCCTTGCCGCGCGGAGTCCCCGATGTTTACCATGCTCACTGTTGCAGCAGCCTTCAGTCGATGGTCCCCCTTAGCGGCGGCTATGGCGTAGCCGCCGCCAGCGCAGATGCCCAGGACACCGATCTTCTCCGAGTCCACGGAGTCGAGGCTCTGAAGATAATCGATCGCGGCGTAGACATCGCTCACACGTTCGTTTGGATCTTCAAGAAAATGAGGTTCTCCTCCACTAGCACCCTGGAAGGCTGCATCATAGACGAGCGTCGTAAATCCGGCTTCGGAAAGTCTCTTCGCGTATGTTCCTGCAGTTTGTTCTTTGACACCGCCGCCAGGGTGAACTATAACAAGGCCCGTTGTTTTACCAGACTCTCTAACAGGGTTAAAGAGAAGGCCCGCGAGACTGGAAGAGCCTTTTTTGATGGAGACTTTGGACATTGGGCAGGTGAATTTAGCTGAATGAGGTTGGGGCTTTTGAAGTGGTACTCGAAGAACAATTGATCATTCAAAAAGGTGGACAATGTTTGGTTCTTATGTTTTCTATGAGATCACTGAACAGCGGTCGTTTGAACGATCGGCCGATTCTCTTCGGGGCCGAAAAGATTTCGGTCGAAACGGGATTATCGAACTCATGACGTCATCGTAATATGCATATGGAAGTATCTTATTCTTTTCGTACCGGATCATACTCAATGTCTTTGTCATCATTTTTTGTTCTGCTGCAAATGAAGTGTCTTAGTGGGGGATTAAGTTTACCCTTTCTGCAGCACCGTGTACTCATTATTTTCTGCCCGAAAGCATTTCGGTTTTCCGATAGCCTTCGGACTTCACTACATCAGGACGTACATTTTTCTCTCATACCTCTGAACCTATAAAACGCGTAGGAAATCTCATCTTCAATTATTCCACAAGATATAGTGAACATTGTCTTATCACAAACTACTACCATGTCTACAATCAAGGCTGTCAACATCCCAAACATTGCTTGGGGGACTGCCGCCAACATTCTTTTCCCACCTAACTTTGACGAGAACAAAAAGTACCCGGCCGTCGTGTCTGCTCACCCTATCGGGTCCTGCAAGGAGCAAACATCGGGTAATATCTATGGGAAGTCAATGGCGGACGCAGGCTTCGTGGTCGTAGCCTTTGATGCGTCTTTCCAAGGTGCTTCAGGCGGCGAGCCCCGCTTCATTGAGAACCCCGAATTTCGCGTCTCCGACTTTCGCTTTGTGGCCGACTACATCCAGACGCTGCCTTATGTCGATGCTAAGCGGATTGGCGTGCTCGGTATCTGTGGTGGAGGCGGCTACGCGATCAATGCAGCTATGACAGATTACCGCTTCAAGTGTTGCGTTGGCATCACGCCGGTGAATTTTGGCCGCCTTTCCCGAGAAGCTTTCGGCAACTTCGATCCCGCTGCTTCTCTCGAGAAGATGGCGGAACAGCGTACCCTTGAGGCACAGGGTGCTGAACGCCTCGTCCTCAATCTACTCCCTTCAACCGTCGAGGAGGCCAAGAAATCGACTACGGATATCGACGTCATCGAGGCAACCGAATATTACAAGACTCGGCGCGGCCAGGAGCCTAACGGCTGCACCAGCGGTCTGTTTTCGTTCAATAGTGCCGCCCTCGGGTGGGATGCCTTCAATCACGCGGAGGTGCTCATGACAAAGCCCCTCATGGTGGTCGTCGGTGACAAGCCCGGGAGCTTTGGCGCCTACCGCGACGCTCAGGAGATTCATGGTCGGGCAGGCTCTAAGGAGAAGCATATTGTCGTTCTGCCTGGAATTTCACACTACATGCTCTACGACAAGACCGAGGCCGTCAAGCCCGCGCTCGACCAAGTTCTACCTTTCTTTAAGAAGCACCTTGGCGAAGCCAGGTAGATACAGAAATTATGTGCCTAAAGAAGGGTATCTAGTAATGAATGGTTCAATGAACAATGTTATTCATAGAAAATGTCTTCTAGAATGTACACAGCCGAAACCTCGGTTCGGATATTTCGGTGGAGAGTAAAAGGTATCCTTGTGCTTTATCAGGTAGACGTCCTGTCAATCAGGTGAAGTGTAAAGATAATAAATTGTCAAATAATAGCAAGAGAAAGGATTACTTAAATACAACATTGATTTCTTGAGAAGCAGAAATTCTTTTTTGAATAACTTTGTCTTTTATACTGCAGATGAGCGGTAATGAGAGGGTAATATAAAAGTTATAGTATTAACGGAACGAACATAATGAATGTGCACAAAGATGATACAATGTATTGACGTTCTTATGATCATACTACTTGTTGACGTATAATGATAGTCATAGTGTCTGCAAACATCGACGTTTGGTCGACGGATCAGTATTGAAATGAGGTTATGACGAAGGTTATCCGTTACACTAACCACATATCCTTATAAACTCGGATAGAGTTAAGACGAGCGGCGATCCCGCGACCCGGGGTGATTCTTAGCTAGATCTCACCAATTAAATTACGCACTCGACCTTCTTACCCTTAGCGGCGCGACCACAAAGCGGCGAATGGCTGTTTCCGTACTAGGCTAGACCAAATCGTTAGCCAACATAGACATTCGGCGTGTAGCTTATATACAGTCAATATTCGGGTAGGTGCACGAGAAGAAGTTTAGGGTGAGAACCACTCCAGCGTCGCGCGACCGGGAGCGAGAAGGGTAAGTGCTCTGTAGACGGGGTGAGAATCAGAGTGAGAATCACGAATACTGCCCTACCGAATACTTTACCCTAAAGATTTTTCTTCTGCTAGGCCATGCTTCGACTTGGTCATTATTGACTTTGCTCTTTGCCTCATAGTACCTAACCTAAAACAGCCCTGCGCAACCCGTGGACAAAGGGTATGCTCTGATCCACATAATTGGCAGTACCTCAGTACGTACGGTAATGATGAATGGTATTCAAACAGATATTGTATCGGGGCTGCATGGGCTATGTCTGTAGAACTATTCGCTTGCAAACAAACCAAGCAAATTAGCTTGCAGGTGATTCGGTCATTGGGAGAAATCATTTTATCCATGCGCACTTCTGCTCAACTTCCTGCTCAGCGAGCAGACGGACTCATTCTTGATTGAAGGCCTGGGAATACTGATGCATTGGTAAATGAACGTGATCTTAAGGAATTTGATTGTCTAAGCAACCGAGCTGAAACCTGTGGTTTTGATTTCCCGTATTGTCTTCTGGTGAAAGCAATGCCGCTCAACGAACAGTACATTTGCTGATGTCACCGCACTTGATGGTCAGAAGAAAATTGATGATTGATCAATGGTGAACGTTAGGTAGCGCCAGTAGAGTGCAGATTGAGTTTGATATCATCTCGCTCTCGCTCTCGCTACAACTGTCTAGGCAAAATTTGGGTCCCGACTTGAGAATCCTAGCCGCCGTCATCCACAAGTGATCTTCCTAGATATAGCTCAGAGATCGTGAGCCAGATCAAAGATTAAATCATAATGGACTAGTATTTCCTGCTATATTGCAGTCGTCATAGACTTTATTATTACCATTATGTCAGGCAATGTCTCAACAGTCTATATATCTCGAAGTCCTGCTTTTTGTGAACAATTCTATTATTCCAGACAAAAGCTGTTACCTCTTATTTTAAAAGTAATATCGCAATTTTTCAAGATGCGCGGAAAAGTATCTTTTGAAGAAGCCTACGAAATTCCGGCTCTGGCCGACTCAAGTCGCGATCAAGCCGCTCTGTATATTGCTCCTAAAGACCTCGAGCGGTATCTAAGTCAGATCAAGCAGCCCACCGGCGAGCGTCTTGATTTATCCAACCAGCACGGCATTGGATACACGATTTCTTCATTGACGGTCCCGGGCTGCCAAGGCATTACAGACAAAGCTAAGGCGGAAAAGCATGCCCGTGATGCAAATGACTGGATCGCCAAAGAAATCAAGGCGTACCCTGACCGGATGGGCGCGTTTGCTGCGCTTTCAATGCACGATCCTGCCCAGGCGGCGCAAGAGCTCGAACGTTGCGTGAAACAGTATGGATTTCACGGAGCTCTTGTGAACAACTGGCAGCATGCGGGAGCAGATGGAGAAACGTATCTTTTCTATGATCAGCCTGAATATGACGTCTTTTGGAAAAAATGTGTGGAGTTGGATGTACCTTTCTACCTCCACCCGGCGGCACCGATGGGGAACCATTTCAAACAGTTCTATGAGCAAAGAAGATATTTGGTTGGACCCCCAGAGTCATTTGCTATCGACGTCTCGCTGCATGTTCTGGGGTTGATAACCAACGGAGTTTTCGATCGTCACCCTAAGCTGAAACTCATTGTGGGCCACTTGGGCGAGCGTATGCCCCAGGACTTCTGGCGCACGAACCATTGGCTAAGAGATGTTGAAAGACCACTGGCTGAGTCACGAGGCGATGTCATGTGCAAGCAAGATCTTGTTTACTACTTCAAGAACAACATCTACCTTACGACTAGTGGCCACTTTTCAACTGAGACGGTCAAGTTTGTCTGTGACTATGTGGGCGCCGATAGGATCCTTTTTTCGGTTGATTCACCCTACGAGAAGATTCAGGATGGTGCATCTTGGTATGACAATGACAAGGAGAATCTGTCGAAGGCTCTTGGTGGAGCGGACAACTACGCTAAAGTTGGAAGAGAGAATGCGAAGAATTTGTTCAAGTTGGGTACGTATCACGACTCGACTGCTTAAAATGCTGGGGAAATTTTGGGTGAGAATCTCTTGGTAGATATAGTAATGATACAATTTGGAAAATTGCAGCCAGATGTTTGTAGAAAAAGTCGTCGTGAATATGCGGCTATGTCCCGCAAGTACTCGTTGCAAGGCGATGCATCGCTAATACTGTCTTTTTAGTTATTGCTTATAATATTGAGGTTCAATTGCAAAGACCAAGCCATACTCTATTGGTCCACCCATTGTGCTGGAGAATATTTATCATACTGTGATCGTATTCTCGGTAGGTTACATAACAGCATATATATCTCACAATACATTTCGAAGTCCTAAATCTTGCTGGATCAAACATGGACTAGCGTGTTTCAAGATGAGTTCGAGAAAGAATAGAAGAGGGTAAGGTCTTTGAAGTCCCCATTTAGTGTCAGAGCATGGTGAAACCACTTTTTTTTCCTTCAGCGGCCGTTTACAGATGTGAATTGTTTTTTATGAGATTCATTGTTTGCAGATTTCAGATCCCGGCAATAAATGGCCCGCATTGGGAAATTGACTAAGCTTACAAGCATATCCTTACTTGATCTCCTCAACTGAAAGATTGAAGCTCATGTCTTCGAGATATTTACAGCGTTAAAAGTTGCGGGAAAACAGGGCCTTCTCTCTTTGCGTGGCCAGTTCATAGTAGGGCAAAATGCTCAAATCAGACCTGAATGCTGATCTCGTTCCCATAACTCTGAAAAGAAAAAAAGTCTGACATTGATAGTAGAATAGGATAGTAGAGAAGAATCAGATTGTTGAAAAGCAAAGGTCTATCAGGGCCCCAGCGAGAGGACTTTAGACGGGATTATTTGACTGAGAGCTACCTGACCCGGACAACCTTAAAAAGATTATCTGGAAGATCGATCTTCATTGACGCACTTCTGGTACAGTAACTCAAGTGTATACTTACTTAGCATGTTCACCTAGTCTTTACCAAGCACAACACTCGGGATTAGCCCAAGTTGCAATGGAGACGTGCATTACACGCACGTGCCGTCAGGAACAAACTTACCGAAGCTCGTTAGCTGGTCCCTCCGGAGATACTGAGCTAGCTCTCACTTAGAGGGGCCCACAGAAGGGATCCAACAACGAAGCCGATGATATTGACACGATCAATCCAGAATCCGCTCGCACTGCCTTGGTGAACGGCTTGAATGAAACCTGGTGGATAAGTCGGTAACCCGTTAATTCTTCCACATTCCTCTACTAACAGCAAAAAATATAGACAATGAGTCTTTATCAAAGCATCGGACACAGTGCATTTGACCTGGCTATGGTCGTCTAGGGGCAAACTCATCTCATTGGGAAGGCTCTCCGTGCCGTGACACCACTTATGCCTGGGTAAACTCTTCAGGTACCTGATCCTCTGCGTTTCTACGGAATCGACGAATTGGAGAAAGGGTTCAGGATATTGCAAGGAGGAAAAAGCTCTGGAAAAGTCGTTTTTTGAGATACGCTACTACGATTTCATTGATGTATGCTTCTCTCCTTTCTCCGAATACTTCGGTCTCTTGCTAGCCGGTGATAGATCCTTACCTTGTTTCGAGCACCTCATACTTTCGATCCCAATACCACTTATATTATTTCTGGAGGTCTAGCAGGAATTGGAAAAAGTATTGTTTGCTGGGTCGTCTCTTGTAGAGCTCGGTATTTGCTTCTGCTGTCTCGGTCGGGGGCTTATAGTCGCTAAAGGATGGTTTTTATACGTGAGCTGGCTAGCTATTACGTCAAATCTTAGGCTCCTACTTGTGACACCACAATCGCTCAATACTAGAGGCTGTCCTAGGAGATATGTCGTTTACTATGCCCCTAATCAAGGGGTTTATCTAAGCCACACATGTTCTCCGGGTAAGTACTATATCACCTACCTTAGTATTTCAATTAGCTCAATAAACGATACTAGGATACAATATTCTAGCAGAAGACTTATTCGCAATAGGTTCAACCAACAGCCCCTAACATTGCGAGAACCTAAAACTATATCGGCTCCTACCCTCTAACCTTTAGTTCTTTATTATGCTCTCCTCTATCTCAAGTATTATAGGCAATAGAGGCAGAGGCCAAGCAAACTATGCTATAGCAAATTGTTTTATAGACGTACTAGTTTATCACTAGGTATCGCACGGGGAGAATCCTACTTCCTTGAACTTAGGTTGTTTTTCTTTGCACCGAGCTAGTTGCGCAATTTTCGCCCTTGAAAGACCGCTACACTTGTAATATGCCGTTCGTTCCCGTCATGGAGGTGGAGATTCACGCACTTCTGTCTCTTTATTTGGATCTATGCGCGCTCCGATGGAATGGAAAAGGCTGTCAAACAATCATTACCGTGACGAATTCTAAGGATGTGTACAAGCGCAACCCAGACGCTATATATTGGCTCGAGAAACCTACTTTCCGTCAGATCCTTGACCACGCAGAAAGTGCCGAGGGAGGCTCAAATAACCAGCTCTCTAGTAGTCAAGTCGGCAAGAGTCTTTCATGCGCGGATTCAAATGAGGTAGCGGGTTCAACTGTCACTGACTTACTCATCACCAAGCTATCAAAGACCCCGGGCTTCCAAAAGAGGATATACATAGAGAGAGATCACTGCATAGCTATAGAATTGATTTTCTGATCTCAGAAGAGCTTCGAATGGATCTTCAAAGAGCTAGATGTTGAGGTCGCAATCTTCGACATGCTCGGCGGCACCACCATTGCCGCGGTTGGCAAAACATTTGCCAATCGGGAAAGTAAAAGAATTGCTCTCGGTAGCCATGTGTAATGCTTAAATCGCGTTAACTACTCAGGAGAGAGGCGTTCAATGTATCCCAATGCATTTTTATGTTGACGATACGACTAAGGAAAGTACGACAAAGATGCTCAACATTAATTGATACGAAGAAACGAGAACTTGATAGTCATAAAAATTGGACTAGGAATATTCAAATACTCAAACGAAAAACACTCCCCAAGCTATCTCGGTTCAATACTCCGACTCTTCCTAGTAAGAGGTCGATCATGTTGAATGCTTCGACCGGTTCGACAATGTTGGATTGCCACCATCAAAGGATATTTCATTTCTTGTCTCTGCACATGCACTTCTGAGCATCCCAATCCTTACAATTGGGATCCTTTGGGCACTGCGGTTGATCTTTGCAGATGCATTTTTCAAAATCCCAGTCCTTGCACTTAGGATCCTTCGGGCATTGCGATTGATCTTTGCACATGCACTTTTCAAAATCCCAGTCCTTGCACTTAGGATCCTTCGGGCATTGCGGTTGATCTTTGCACATGCACTTTTCAAAATCCCAGTCCTTGCACTTAGGATCCTTCGGGCATTGCGGTTGATCTTTGCACATGCACTTTTCAAAATCCCAGTCCTTGCACTTAGGATCCTTCGGGCATTGCGATTGATCTTTGCACATGCACTTTTCAAAATCCCAGTCCTTGCACTTAGGATCCTTCGGGCATTGCGGTTGATCTTTGCACATGCACTTTTCATAATCCCAGTCCTTGCACTTAGGATCCTTAGGGCAATGCTGATCTTTGCACATGCACTTCTGGGCGTCCCAATCCTTACAATTGGGGTCCTTCGGGCATTGCGGTTGATCCTTGCACACGCACTTGTTCCAGTCCCAATCCTTGCACTTAGGGTCTTTGACGCAGGGTTTATCGTTACAAATGCATTTGTTCCAATCCCAGTCTTTGCAGTTCCAGTCCTTTCGGTCACAATGCTTGTCGTTACAGGCGCATTTTTTCCAGTCCCAATCTCTGCACTTGAAATCTTTGTGGCACACCTGCTTGTCGTTACAGAGGCACTTGTTCCAGTCCCAATCCTTGCATTTCGGGTCTTTCTGGCAGTGCTTGTCTTTACAGACGCATTTGTTCCAGTCCCAGTCCTTGCAGTTCCAGTCCTTTCGGTCACAATGCTTGTCGTTACAGGCGCATTTTTTCCAGTCCCAATCCTTGCATTTCGGGTCTTTCTGGCAGTGCTTGTCTTTACAGACGCATTTCTTCCAGTCCCAATCTCTGCACTTAGGATCTTTGTGGCACACCTGCTTGTCGTTGCAGATACATTTGCCCCAATCCCAATTTTTGCACTGCCAATCTTTGCGATCACAATGCTTGTCGTTGCAGATACACTTGTCCCAGTTCCAATCCCTGCATTTCACATCTTTCTGGCAGTGTTTATTGTTGCACACACACTTGTTCCAGTCCCAGTTCTTACACTGCCAGTCCTTTCGGTCACAATGGTTGTTTCGAGCTGTGTTGGTTAGTAAAAATATGGTACGCTCTGCTGCTGAAAACACACCTTGAAGAGCACTTGGATCGGCCGGTGCGGCGAAGACGTCAGTTCCTGACAGCAGCAGGAGAAAAACGCCTGTAACAATGCCTTGGATCTTCATCGTAGGTAGAAGACCGGCTAACAGCCAGGCTCAGACTCAGCCAAGTTGAGTGTAAAGGAACCTTGAAAGATACAATATAGTGCAGTCCTGAAAGATTCTCGATGATTGATGATGAGGAATATTCTGAGATCGAAATTGGCTGAGGAAACAAGGGCTTTTTATATTCGGACTCCATGATCAATTGAGCAGTTTGTTCTTCGTATCTCAAGAGACAAAAGCCCCTATACGATGCGAGCGACGAATTACTGTTTAAGGATGAGTTCATTCTAGACCTTGAGTGGCGTGACTCTAAATTTGTAAATGATCTCTATACTCTCATGGACTTGACAGTCATTTTCTGGCAATCATGATGTAAAGCGATCCAATCGGTTATGCGAACCTATTCACAGACACACGCCTTCTTTTTCCTACCACTCACAGACCAGTATCCGTGACCGAGAGCGAGGGATCAGATCGCTTTGAACAATGCTTCCTCGAAGTCTATCTCGTGGCTGCTATGTGGAGCATGGACCTCGATGAATCAATGAGATCCATCTCACATCATGGTCTCAAAAGACCTTCTGGCGGCCGCCATCCGAAATTACGAGATTATCGTGCTGGTTCCAGCTGAGATGCAGGCATCTAAAAAGAGTACTTGAGCCAAAATGGGTATTTTTCAATACATTTAGAAAGATCTAGGGCAAGATCATGAGCAACAGTGGTTCCGTAAGAACGTTGAGATACCTTGACCTTGTGGGCGATGCCAAGACCGCGATCGATGCCAAGCCCACCACGGAACGAACCCACTCCGAGGAAATCCTTGTCACGCCCAAGAAGTCGATCACCTCGTATTGACAACCATTGAGGCCGAGCATGTCTATACTTTAAGGGGATCTATTATTACATCTTTGACTTTTAAAGTGATCCAGCGCCTCGGAGAGTACCATCACCTGCAAACCCATAAAATGCACATAGTGATCAACACACAACCCCGGAAGGTATACAGGATAATCATTGGGTACTCGGAAGAAGAATAGAGAAGCTCACTTGATCGATGACTACACTATGTTTCTTTTGGCTCTTGGTTCACATCAATGCAAGTTGATGGGTTCAATGAGTTTGCCACGAGATTTTGAGTTCAGGCAAGATCCTTTTAGGGTGAGAGCTAGTAGGGTCGTGGATCAATGTTGACGAGCCTCTTCATTCCATGTTTATTTTGTCTCAGGGAGCCGAAACTTTGTTGACAGGGCTGGACTCGTATTGCGACCTACCTTGGTTATGAGAGGTTCTTGTTGTCTTTGGAACACGGTAGCGGAGCTGAAGCTGCCCAAGGCTTATTATATGTGAAGGAGAGTATGAAACATAGCCATTCACCACTTGAAATCAACACGACTTGGTGGAGGGTGTAAGAAATGTATAATTTGCTTCTGATAACTGATTCTGTGCGTGATGAATTCGATAGTTGGTGTTATTTTTTTGGGATGAGAGACCCGCATTGGAACATATCGGTCGAAAACTCCTGACGTAAGGGCGCAAGGGGCAGGAAAACAAGATTTACAAAGCAAGTGTCGGAATCTGGGGTATGTCTGGACCCTCATGCAGGGTCCTACAACAGCTTACGTGACGCCACGCTTCGGGTGTGACCAGTGATGACTTCAAGACCAGTAATGAGCTACAGTTGGTATACGGCGTTTTCGTTTCATTTAGATCCTGCTTTGTTATTCCCCGGATTAGTCACATCGGTAAGGGTCTCGATCTAACTGGCTTATCTGTTCAACGGCATGTGCTGTCCAAATTGAGGAAGAATAAGAGAAGAATTAACCATACCAGGTCGAAAATGTTTCGCTCTAGGCACATAGCTCCATGTCACAATTCCCCCGAGCTCACTTCGTATTGCTTTCAAGACATGGGATGGAGACAGTTCATGCATACATGTCCATGCTCGCTTCGGGTGAACATAAGCGATCGATGATTGTGATCACAACTAAACCCTTGGAGCGTCACGAGGTCATGCATCGGGGTCAGGGAAGTGAAGGCTAAAATTGCACAATAGTGCTGCAGATCTAAATCAATCTACAGGGACTCATTATGGCTAAATCTGACCTGGAAGATGTTGTTCTGGTTTAAATTGGCTCGTTCTTGAGCCTCTGTCTCGCTTGGCAACTAAAACCTCTCACTTTTTAACATAATGTAATTCCATGGGATAAATCACTACCATTTCGTATTTTTAGCCATGGGCGGGCAATTCGCTCAAAGAAAAAGGCATCTACGCTTTGCATGTGTCGTGCTGATTTAGACTTTTTGCAATCCAATTTGGTCCAGGACACTTTGACAAGTACATCGCAAGCGATTAAGAAGTAGTTGTCATACATCGGTCTAGTCTCAAGAGCAATAATCAACACTCTAAAAATCCTATTTGCGGTTATTTAGCCATTTCAACGGCTTTCTATGCTAAAGAATAGACTTTGCTTGTTTAGCTCGATCCACGGTTCGTCAACCGGACACCGTCCCCGGGTGGACGCCATTTCATTCCGCGTGCTTGGCAACCCAAATCGGATCAGGTGCTAAAATTAGCTATTCACACTAGATCGAGGGTGATTTCACTATATCATTGGATGTTGCGGGTAAGTACAGTGTCCAGTAGCTATGGAGGTGGATTCAAGGTCGTCGATGATATTTACCTCATGAGAGAAAAGTTTCCTATCTGAATGAATGGGGGAACTGCTATCGATGTTATAATACTAGCTTGTGTTCAAGTACTTTGCACGTTCTACACGGTGAAATAATTCAAAGTCAAAAGAAAGACGATGGAAAATGACGTATATCTCACTCTACAGTGCATACGATACTGTTACAATTTTGTCTGAAACTTGCTCAATGAGAGGGAGAAAACAAAGTCAATTTGAGGCTGGCGCATAGGAAAGCTCATGCAAGCTTGCGGCTCTCCCTGTTTCACTTGCTAAGGGCTTCGGAGATGGCCAATGTTTGCGCTTCGTGGGCATTTGCAGTCACTCAGTCTATGTTCAACTGGAGAAATTGTATGATGATCAAGGACAACCAACACAAAGATGCACAATATAGCACGCTTTCATGCATACGGGTCAAATGATGTACAAAACCAATGCCAGATCACAGAACAAAAAGAGCGGCAGCAACTCCGGCACCACCAAGCACGACTCCCTTAGCCGTAGCGACCGGCATAGCCGCATTCGTAGTTGGAGTCACAGAGGTCGATGCGGTACTGGAGCTTGAGCCAGAGGTTGCGCTCAATCCAGAGCCTGTGTCGGTGCTTGTGCTTGTGCTAGTAGAGGTCGCCTCATTGGTCGAAGGTCTTGTGTTGGTAGCAACAGCCGCCGCCGATGCCGAAGAGACTTGATCCGAATAGTCACTAGCCGTGAAAGGAACCAACTTGAAGCAATAGTCCGCTCCAGCCCATTCCTCCTCAAGTGACGTTGCAGTTTTTGTGGCAGTAGATGTGGTTTCCGTTTTGGGCGTCGAATCAACGACACAGCAGAAAGCATCCGCGTCAACAATTCTCATGTAGCCATAGCAGCAGCGCGTTCCTTTATATGTATTTGAGTACCAGTTTTGCGGGCAATCACTCGTCGTCGTGGTAGCGGCGAATGAGGGGGTGGCCGCGAGAGAGAGAATTGCTGGAAGAAGGAGAGATTTGAGAGATAACATTTTTGTGCTAAAGGATGAGACAAGGATACAGCCAAAAGGGGTGAAGATATGAAATCTAGGGAGTCCGCTAGTTTTTATGGAGGAAATGTATGCCAAGGAGCCGGGGTTCAGTTACCGAACACAAAGATGAAATAAGTGTCGTTCTGATTGGAATACTAACACCAAGCGCTTTCCTAAACAAGGAAACTAAAAGTCAATAGCGTGGAACCGAGACATAAGGGCTATCCAATCGGAATGGCAGGTAATTAAAACTGGGGAAGCGCGTGGGGGCCGCATTCACTTGGCTGTCCGAACTGCTCAGCAGAACTTCTGTACGTCGCAAGTGCTATTAACCAGTTGATCCTCTGCTCGCAGCTCTGATAAATTAAGGGGTGTCAGGATGATAAACCTGGGAGCATAAGTGTTGTCTGAGTGGTCGGATTCATGTACAAAGTACTATCTCCTAGCTAATGTACAGTAGCCGCCCTACTAATGCAAACCAATGTTTCATATGCCGAGGTAGCAGGGAGTCAGAAAGTGTTAAAGGCGGCATGCCGCCTGCAACTCTTCAATTTAACAGACAAACACAGCATGAGATCAAAGCCACAGCCTGCAACTGTACACGACGTAGATGACGACGACAACCCCATTCTGCATCGGAAAAGCTCAGCAGATCGAATTGGGAAGAAACGGTCATCCCCAAAACAAAGCAAGCAATTCCATGACTTTGGCTCGGATTGCGTTATCGGCGAATCGATATGCAGAGGCTCGATTGCAGAATTGGTGCAATGCCGCGGTCAGAGTATCGGAGTCCCCCTTACTATCTTCACTCGAAGTCAAGACACTAGCCCGGAGCGTAACGAGGTGCCAGGCTATAAATTCAGGAAAATTTTCGTTTCTGGTAGGTTGTTTTTTTATCGCAGGAGAATGGAAATAGCTAATCGTTGACGAATAGACGACCCGAGTATTCTGAATGCTAAAGCGACATACGATGGGGGTCGTTTAGCCCCAATTACGGTATTCATCGCTAAATTGGACGAAGAGCAATCCAATCCCAGTATATACATCGAGCAGCGCGTATTTCAGAGTGGACGTGAGAAGATCATAATTCATGAACTCCAATTTAGGGGCAAGGTCCAGGTCGAAAAGGAATACATCTTTAAAGGATGCGGTGATGAAGATTTACACCTTGGAAAGCGTGATCTCAGACTCAGGATACAAACAGTAAGTCAATCGAATACTGTCATTTGCCGTTTTTGGGGGATGCGCTAAATCGCATCTAGCTTGAAGAGGAAGTCTTCGAGGGTTACATGCGTCGTGCAAGTTACTATGGCTATGATACGAAAGATTGCATCTGGCTCAATAAACATACTGTGAGCAGTGGACTTGCCCATACTGTCCAGCGTTATGACGGATCAACCCCCTATCGTATATCGTTCAACGCCGATGATCTTAAAATTCTTCGAGATGCAAAGCTCAAGGGACCAAACTCGACGAATGACCCGTTTTATGAGGGATTGGAGCTTCTGAGGATACGTTTCAAAGGGCAGGGGGAGCCTACAGAGGACAACGGGCACAAAGGTGATCTTGATCTGCGGGTTATGTACAAGACTGCCTCCTAGACCAGTAGAGTTCGTGTATCTGAGGCTGTTTGTGTGATTTCCAGAATTTTTCGCTAGTATTTTCAACAAAGAATTCAAGAGCGCTCGTTCAATGTCTAAGCCGTAGTAGGCGCCGCGAAAATCAAGGGCATACAGCAGAGGTCATCTGTTCACGGAACCATCAAGGATTAGATAACTTCTATAATTGCTAAATCTTCCAAACAAAAAGTGTGCTATTTGATGCATGCTTTGTGCATTCCTTTTCCACCTTTTTTTTGGCTCATTGTTGAGTGCCTTAGGCTCATCTAGATCAGCCAAGGGCGGGGTTGTGAAAGGACTCATGGGCTCTGCTGTGGCTGAATCAAACATAATCTTATCTTCATTATCATAGACATAACACCATCTATCGTAGCATCATAGTGCCCAGACCCAACAAGAGTGCAACCGGGCCACGGGTGAAAAAAAAAAAGTGAAATATAAAGAAACACGAACTGTAAACAACATGGTAAATCTAGAAGGTCTTGCGGTCTTGCGGTTTTATCTGTAGCCAACTCATGTAGCCATAAGAAGAAAGACATCGAATGCATTGATTTGTGCTTTTCATGCCACCGGTAATATATCATGCAGTCGATCAGAGAATAGTGCCAAACCTATAGCAAAGAGAAGAACAAGCGCCGTTAGTAACTGATTCCATGGCCAAGACGATGTGGGAGGATAAGATCTGTAGACAGGGCCGCGGATTGGCAAAGATGTCCAGGAAAAAAACGAGGGAAGATCCCATCGATTCATGGAAGAAAGGAGGCAAGGGGAAGGGAAGAGGTTACATACCCGAAAGTCTGCTTAATGCTGCGAACATAGTACATGTCCCAGTTCTGCTTGGTGACATCTTCCTGACCAACAGGAACGCCAGACCAAGTAACACGCATCTGAGTAACACCGTCGATATCATTCTGGTCGAAGTTGATCTCCTGCGAACTGAAGTGACCCTCGGGCCACTGAGCCAGACGCCACTTCTGGACAATCTGCTTGGGCTCGTTGAGAGTCACGAACTCGCCGGTGACGTTGCCGTCGAAGATGGCGAACTTGCCGCCAACCTTGGCGCCCTCGAACTGGCGGGGAGGACCACGTGTGAAGGCAGCAATACGCTGGGGGTCGGTAAAGGTGCTGTAGAGCTCGCCAGCTGTGGTGCGGAACTCATCAGAGGCAGTCACGGTGGTGGTGTTCACGGCGACCTTGCCGGTCTTGGAGGTTGTGGTAGCCTGAGCGGTGGAGGCCTCGACGGGCTTGGTTTGGGGGTGGACAGAAGCCTTAGGGAAGCCGCTGGAAGGGTTGACGCCGGGAGCGTGCTGGAGGTCCTTGGCGTGCTCGGTGATGAGGGCGTTGGTGAACTTGCCCAGGGTAGAACGGAGTTGGGCGACGAGCTTTGTGCGCACCAGGTCCTTTACGGGCTGCTTGGAATTGGAGTCGGCGTGGTTTTCGATCTCAAACTGTTTTACGGGTTAGTTTTACGGGGGAATTGTCTTGGGAGACGGGGACAATGAACGTACGACGTACTCGTCTTCCTCGGTATCGTGGGCTACCTCGGGGATGCGAATGGTGCCGCTGACATCCTCAGCATCCTTGGTCTTACCTGTGGAAGCGTCTCAGCTGCCAGGTCCAGGAAAATAAATTGGTATTGGACTACAAACCTGAATATTCTAGCGACAGCTTGACATCGAAAAGAGTGATGACCTTGCCCTTGCGCTGGCTGACATCTACGTCGCCATCCATGGACAACAGCTTGTCTACTTTGGCTGACACGCCCCCTTCTTCGACACTGATACCGACCAGGTTCTGCTGCAAGTATTCCTTGGCCCAGCCCGAGGCATCCTTGTTGACCCAGTGCCAGTTGTTGGGGTTGTGAAGAACCATGATGAATTGAAGCTAGGGGAAAGAAAAAAAAATCTGATTTGGGGGTTGAGAGGCAAGATCCTCCTTTTTTATTCTGTGTGAATGCTTTTTATCGCGAATAGGGGAAGATTCTGTTGGAAACTCATGTTAGCCATGAACATATTTTTTCATGAGAAAAATTGCATGTGGGAAAGCCATTGTCAGGACCGGGGCGTATGTTCCCGGACGAAAAAGCGTTGTCCGCAAATAAGATGGTTTAAACCACCTATCTCAGACTGGTGCCAGCTGATGTCTCTTCATATGAGGCCAATTGGAAAATTTCGAGCTCGAGGGGCAGATTGAAATTTTGCCACCTCTCACTAGAGTGAAAGGAATTCAGGGGGGAAAACATGGTTGACACTCACAGTTGACGGTATATCAAGTCCAGAATCAGGGACTTGCGGAATAAGAAGAAAGAGAAAAGAAAATGAAGAGCGGAGGGGGAAGAAGCTATTTGAGCGCGGAAGACTCTAGAAGGTGCACGTGACTGTGGGTCCGCATTATTCACTATCGCCATCTATCACTTTCCAGAGTTATCAAGTTAGTTATGTCCAGATATTGAATCTTGTATATTTAGATCCGAATCCCTGAAGACCAGTCCAAAGCCAGAAAATCAGGTGTGCAGGCACTGCCAGAATCACCCGATCTATAACGAACGAATGGGGATATCACATAAACCAATAGCATAAAAAACACTCTATTCCTCCAATTGCTCCAATTCCTCCCATCCATCTTCACTCACAAGCTGCTCCTTCACACGCTCTCGGAGTCCCACGATCTGACTCCCCAGCGCCTCGGTCCATTGACCCTCAACAGTAGCAACCTTGTCCTTGAGATCCGTCGTAAGAGCCAGCTCTTCATCAGCACGAGTCATCTCCATCTCGCGACGCACATCCTCTTCCGTCTCTCCCCTTTTGATGCGCTCCGCTTCAAGGAGATTGCGGTTCGCTCGCATAACAGCAGACCGCACCTCATGCAAAAGACAGAGCAGATTCGTCTGCGACTCGATGAACTGGTAACTCGACTTCTCGGCATGCGATAGCAGCGTGTAGAGATACTGGAGCGGGTGAGAGTGGTAGCTCGGGTTCTCGTCGTATTCGTCTGCCGGGATCTGCACTTGGAAACCGCGCAGTTCCTCAGGAACCTGCTGCACAAGCGCCAAGAGCGATGGGGCAATATCCCAGAATGCGGATAGTTGCACCTCCACACCTCGCACAACGTTCTGCTCAATGACATTCAAGAATGATTCCAGTCGGGAAAGCGATTCGTTCTCATGCTCTACCCGTCTGTCCAGTGCATCCTGGGCAAAGAACGCTTGTGTCTCGCGCAGCTTGTCTTCGTTCTTGTTCTGTTTATATGGCAGGAGTGCGACAGCTTTGTACTTGTCATCGCGGTCACTGACCAGATCGAACAATTCGCGGTGAAGCAACTCGCGGGCTTCGAAGAGCCACTTTAGCTGTGTCAGCTTCTCTAAGAGTTCGGGTTTTTCGTCGCCTTCTTCTTGTGTTGAGTCTGGTGTATCACGTTGGGCGTCGTCGAACAGCACGCTGCTCAATTTGTCGATGCCTGCTGTTGCTCTGCTGATTCTGTCGGCAAGTATGACATGCATGGGCTTCAAAACAGTCTCTTGGTACGTATCAAGCTGACGTTTCACCATCGCTCTTTCACGTTCATTCTCCGCGACGATCATTGCTGCCTCGGCCTCGGCTGCCTCAGCGAATGTGAGACTTCCTTCTTGGATCTGGCTTTGGATATTGGACTTGAAGTGTCGATGACCTTCGTCGACTTGTATTTGATGTTCCTGAAGCATCCGTTCCACGTCGGCCTTGTATCGGTGCCGTGTGGTTTTTATCTCAGTCAGATCGGTGATGGACCGCACTGTAGTCCGATGAGTAACGAGGTCTGGGTGACTGTTATTCACAGCAGGATGATGGCGAGGATAGGGCGGAGGCAATGTAATCAAGCGCGAAACGTCCAATCTACGGCTTTCCGGATACTGATATCCAGTACTGGTAGAGTTTGCAGGAGAGCCTTCATGCCATCCGACTTTCTCGGGTGGATACTCATCAGGGCCATATTCCGTGTTCCCGTAATTCATGCTCACATCTTTGGGTTGTGAAGGCGTCAACTCCTGGTCCCACTGCATCGCCTCTCGAGGCAAGCCCATGTACTTGGACTCCCGCTTGGATCTTTGAACTCTCCTCTCCGCGCCCTCGCTGCTAGAACCAGTCTTTGACTCCCACCAGCGGCTTGGTGCACGACCCCGAGAGCTCATCTCATCATTGCTCATGTTGAGACTAGCGATCGGTGACAGACAAGGCTGGTAGTTATTCCACCACGCAGACTCAGGCCGACCAGCTCGGTTGGATGGGATATCCAACTTTGGCTGGGGCTTAGTCTTTGATGGCTGAATGACGGGCAGTTCGAAGAGATTCCGGCGCACATCATCCACCTGGAAAGTCTCCCAGACCTTTGCATATCGCTGGCGCCGGATCTGAGACTCGGCGAGGATATAATCCGCAAAAATCTTGAGCGCTTCAGTCTCATCTACAGTGCTGGATTCTTTCTCGATGAAAGCCCTGTGTCGTTCCATGGCATCTTGCAAGAAAGTAGGGTCTTGTTTGATAACCGCTTCCATTGATGCCTGCTGTGTTTGCTGCACAGGAGTACGACGCGGTGACAAAGGCTTCATCATTGACACAGCATCGTTGGGCATATGAAGAATGTGCGAGAGAGGGCGGTCCTCTGCTCCTCGTGACGGAGCACGAGAACGAGAGCGCGGCCTGACCTCCTTCCCAGAGTTCAGTGGAGGAGTCGGTAGAGCCTTGGGTGGAATCGCTTGGCTTGCCTCTTTAGGATATCCGGAAGATCCCTCTCCGTTTGGTGAGAAGGGAGGAGTGTGTGCAAATGCCGCAGAGGGACCAGCGCCAGCAGAACTGGGTTCTTGTCTTGGGGTACCGTAAGACGATTGATCCGAGAAGAGACCAGTGGAGCCCGCTCGGGACCGTGAGGTTTGTTGACCCTCCGAGCCAATGCTGCGTGTAGTGCGAGGGGTTTGTCTAGAGGATTTCGGATGCTGAGTTTGATCCGGGCTGGCGTTTTGGTCATGGATAATGAGATTTGATGGTTTGATCTGCTCAAGAGCATCGGCCCACGGGTTGCCACTCGTGGATACTGCACTAGTAACATCTTCATAGACCTGGCTTTGACGGTTTCGTCGTTCGATCCGCCTTTCACGGATGCCCTTTGCGCTTGGGTCACGCACTGCTGAACTGCGGAAAAGACCTCCACTCCCGGGTGTCCGTTGGTTGGCTGTATTATGAGGATCGTTTTCTGACGGCTCTGGTGCTTTAGCTGCTTTTGCTGTATCGACATACAAGGGCTCCGTTGGTCGACTGTTCAGATATCCCTCGTCGATCCAGTCTGCTGGTGTAGGCGGGATACTTCCAAGTCCTGTTCCTAACACTGGTGGTGCTCTCCTCGCCCGACCAGCAGAAGCAGACCCTTGAGGTGTTCTCATGGATGATTCTGACGAGCCACTCACACTAACGGATCTTGTGGTGGGAGGAGGTCCTGGAGGTGGTGGTGGGAGTGGCATACCAGGTTCCCAATTGTTATTCATTGATGGTGATCGATTCCTCGTCTGACTTCCCGCCCTCGATGATCCCGCACTATTCGGTACTGCCCCGGCAGATGCGGCTCTTCGAGATGCAGGAGGTCGAGACGGTGTCTCTAAGTGGGCCGGCGTCACAGAGATTTGCTCATTATAACCCTGGTCATATGAAGACATTCTGGGTCTATGATTTGGTGTAGCATTATAAGGCACACCTTGGTACTCAGATCGGTTTTGGGAGACAGACCTACCCCCTGGGTGTCCCTGTGGTGGAGGGGGAGGAGGCAGAGACTGGCGATGAGCCTCCGCGTTAGATGGGTATACCATGGATAGAGGCCGTGGGCGGTTCGCACGCCGTTGGTATTGAGCCGGCATATCAAAATCACCTTCTCTCGCGTTAGGTGGAGAAGGTGTTGCAGTATATTGAGGGTTGGCTGGACCAATAAAGTCTTGCGGTACTCGATTTTGGTTGCTGGGTGGTGAATATGGTGGTGGTGGTGGAGATACCGGAACTTCTACCAAGCATTAATAACGTTTCAACTTCTTGGTATAGCCCAATATAGTACAAGGACTAGAGGATATACTAACCTGGGTTATTACTCCTCTGCGGCGTCACCCGATGCATAGCTCCGGGTTGAAGATAGCCCTGGGTCGAAGGCCTACCAGGAGGCCCCCAGTCTTGAGGGTTGTACGGTACATTGTATGCATTCCTCGACGCCATCGACGGTGATGAGACCGACCTCCCGTTGATAGGCGACGGAACACAAGGCGACTGGCCGTGTGTAAAAGGGCTCGAAAGCGAAGTAGATGATAAAGGCGTTGGTGTGAGCCCCAGACCTGCCCCAGGGCCCTGATACTGAGGACCGCTCAAAGACGTAGTCAACAACGGCGGCTGTACGGCATGCTCTCGACGGCCTGGTGATTGCTGATTACTCGGACTACCAGCAGTCGACGACCAGCCGGGATAATGGTTGCTCAACGGCTGCTCGTCGGCGGCATAATTTGAACCCAACCAACTAGAAATGGACGATCAGTATGGAGTCGTCTCGTAATGTAGCCAGGGCATAAGAGGGTTTCAGAAACAGAAACACTGGCAAATAGCTAATGCGCACCTATTCATACTGGGCTGTGCAGCCTTTCTAGGAAGCAACCCGATCCGAAGCCATGGTCGCCGCGCGCCTGGATGGAAGAGAGAGAGTATCGAAAGCCCAGCAGGATTGTGAGAAGGGAAAGCTATTGGCCACCGGTCAGGCGAGACGCTAAAATGTTTCTATTCTTTGCTACAGCTTGGTGGAGGGCTGGCTTGCCTAGGCAGGAGAAATTCATCGTTTACGGCGTCATAGGGCCAATGAGTGAAGACCCAGTGGTGTGGTGCGCTATGGACTAAAAGGAATCTATATTTGGAACCGAAGCAGAAGGAAGGGATGCAGGGTGATAGAGAGGCCGGAATTGTTATGCGGTTTGGAGGTTCTCATCACATATGGCCCGTGCTCGGCGCTTATAGTTGGCTGTGACAGGCTGGTGTTGGTGTCTCCGCACATTCTCCAGCAAACCAAAGCCAAGAGATCGGAGAACACGGGATTTAACACGGGATTTATCAGCTCCTGGGGATGCAGGGGTGTCCGAAAATAAAGACCAACTGGGGCCATGGTTTGTTTCAAGCTAATCAAGAGACTTATGTTGGGATCAAGGTTCGGGGGTTTCTCAAATCATTCTTATTGGTATTCTCGAGCATAAACTCCTAGCTACTGCAGACTTATAAATAAGTCCTGGAGATGATCGGCCACGTGCTTCGGCCGACATAAGACCGTCGGATGCGACATGGGTATAAACCTGTTCTTTAATCGATATTAGTTTCATGGCTAATAACGATAGCAAGAGAGATGTGTGTAGAGGGTTTTCAGATCAATGCCTTGTCACAGGCGATAGTCATCAATATAAATCCTTATGTTGACCGTCGTGATAATGTTGTAATGATTCATCATTAAAAGATGGGGAAGGGATGAAAGAAGCAAGGATGTCTTACCGAACAGAGACCAGGTCGCCAATAGCGTCTGTGGAATTAGTGTTCTCAAAGTGTGTGTTTCTGTTCTATGCGAGATACATCAGCATCTTGTACTGACTGAACGTGGCAGCAGTCAAAAGGCTTGAGACGAATCAGGCAGGACGGTTCTCGTCTTCACCAGCAAGCTGGCTCGGACATATGCTTGTCTTTGTTTGTGTCGTTTCATCATAAAAGGCTGGAGAGGGAGAGAGGCGAGGCGTACATACACCTTAGGTCTGACCAAATACTCAAAAGAGTCCATGAGGGAAAAAATCTGTCTTCAAAGAATCATTAGCACAAGCCAACAAATTTTGATGAATGAATAATGTGTAGAGGTGAATGTCAGAAAGGCATGAATGGTTATTTAAAAAGATGTGTCAGCATCGAAAACTCGAATCAGACTCGTCATCTAAAAGGGTATCATCATAGAAGGTGGGTGGTGGAGATTAAAAAAAGACAAGTTCGCCTACCTTCTACAATTACAATTTGCTCTCAATCGAAAAGAAAGAAATCGCTTCTATTCAACTGATTAGTGACTGTCACGAAACCATCTCACGAATCGGTGAATATATGACATGTCTCAGTGGGCGAGGTTTTCTAGGCCTGCCGCAAAATAGGCATATCCGTCATGACCGAACATCTTTTGATGCCGTCGGAGCCCAGTGCCGTTTCATCTTCGGACATATGGTGGGGAAGGTGAGGTGTCTTAGGCTTACCATTTGAGCCAGCAGCGCAGATACCTAAGGGTCTTCTGAAACATTAGCATATGATCGGAAAAATTCTTCAGGATGCAAATGTGAAGTTGTGGTAAGGATCAGTAATAGCCATTAGTTATCATCAACGACCCGAAGGTCTGAGACGGTAATTTCCAGCGTATATAATACGTGTGCGTTCATCATGATAAGAGGTGTTGGTGGGAAGAAGAGGGTAGTGCTCACCATCTGCGCTTTTGGTGGGATAGTAAGCTGCAAAAATTGGGGTTTTATTTTCACAAAATAAAAATACTAGAAAGGCGGGTTAGCTCAGTCCAATTAAAGCTTGTGCGATAATTCAAAGCATTGATGTGATATCAGCCTGACGTGCAATAACATGAGTTTCACTTCCCGTAGGATCAAAGACTCTAGTTTGTATTTGGTTATAGGTATCATCATGTTGGGTGCTCGAGGGTCGAGGAGAGGGAGACGAGAACGAACCATTTTTGCAAATCCTGCCGAGCCATTGTTGGTTAGTGGGAAAAAAGCCATTGCAATGTGTTTATTGTTGGCCAAAGGCCAACGGTCGACTCGAGTCACCCTTCAGAAGAAGCATTGATCATGCTGAAGGATGAGCATAGGATGGAGGAAAGAGAAGAAGTGAAAACACAAATTTGAACTTTTTTCAAGCTCCTCCGGCGCGGAACCACGTACAGCCGGGGTTAGGCTGTATTGGGACTAGTGCCACACAGGCGAGTTTCGCTTACGTCATGTGCCCCAACCGCCTCGAAATGGATGGAATATCGCCAATGAGGAAACAGTATGGAAAATGGGTTAGAAGATAACAATAGTTGCTCTAGTTTGCGTTGGTCGAATACATACTTACAATATACCCTTCATCTTGAAGATGAGCACTTTTGTCCAATGTATATCTACACCAAAGTAATACCAAAGCTGAAGATTTCCATGAAAAAGTGGCAAGTTTTGATCTATTATTCTTTCATTAATTGTGGTGGTCAGCCCATCTAACCAGCTTTCTGATATATCTCAAACGATTTGAAGTCCTATGGTGCTCTATGACCGAGACCTTTTCTGCTCACGGGCCCAGAACTGCTGCAAAACTACCAACATAACAATCATACACACATCAAGCGCAATAGTCCAATTGTACCCAATGAGATACCTAGGCGCATCCACCGTCCTCCAAACACTAGAAGAAGAAGAAAAGTCAGCAAATCTCAACAATGACCATTCCCAAATCAGCAACTCACAAGATCGGAATCCAAGCCCCGAAGGTATTTTCAATGGTATTCATAGCACTGATAACAATAGCCCACTCTTCAGCGCTATGTGCACAGATCTCATTAGCCCAGGTAAAGATGATATAAAGCAATGCCACCCGCAGTCCCAGACAAGAAAAATCCAAAAATTTCAAGCCAACGGGGACATTCCAGATCGCAAGAACAATGCAAGTGAAGATATTCAGCACGGCTGTTGTAGCAATTAGACTGGGCTTTGCGTCATAGATATCCGAAAACCCCGCGCAAATCACAGATGCAACGATTGTAACTGCCGGCGAGACCGTGGGTGATCATGTTGATATTCTCAACTGAGCAGCCCTCTGCTTTGAGCCATAGTGAAAGACCACTATTCGAAGATACACCGTCGGCTTGAGAGAAGAAGAATGCAAAGGCAACTAGAACCCACAGTCTCCAGCCTTTGAGAATTTGAAAGACCTTCGATTTGGTAAATGGTTGGCGAGCCTCGCGGTGTTCAGATGCCATGCGTTCTTGCGCGAGACGGATCTCGTGTTCGCCGAGGAAGCGGGATGTGCATTTATCTGGTGTGCTTGGAAGAAGACAGAGACTGAGGAATGCAATGGGGATTGTGCAGGCAAAGCCTTTGTCTGAATATTAGCCATGTTCTAGTAGGAGACATGCCCATGCATAGATGTATCCACTCACAGATGATTTGTAGCCATCTCCATCCCTTAATTCTATATCGACCATCTAGTCTGGCGTATGCGCCTGTTTGAACGTATCCAGAGCTCATGCTGCCAACCTAGCTTGCAATAAAGAAGATGGCACCGCGGCGTGATAGTTCTGAGCGTTTGTATCAACTTCCAAGGTACCATTCCACAGCCGAGAAGAAGAAGCCACCAAGCGTCCCCACAAAGAAGCGCAGGGCGTAGAGCCTAGTGACGTTACTTGCCTTGTATTGTGCCAAGGTCAAGACTCCCCAGATTAGGTCGGCTGCTGGGAGGAAATAGTTGACCGGGCAGCGGGTCATCTATGGACTTCCAATTAGCAACCTAGGAGCCTATCCATAGGTTGGCTGATAAATAGATACGAACCATGAGCGTCAGAGATTTGCCTGGTAATAAAGCCAACCCTAAATCCGCCAGCGCTGTAGATCCCACATGGCTGAAAGTCCAGAAATCGCATACATGTATACAGTTTGTAGGTAGTTCAGCTGGTTCCCATACAGCTTCAAATCCTCCTTTATTCCGCTCACATATGCGGTACTCGTTGCGGACGAATGAAGGACCTTAGCCCAATACGCCAGGAAGACGAAGACAATGATCAATCCATCGAGCTTGAGGATCAGTTTTCGCTCAGTAGGTGTATCTATCGGCGCGAACCAGTCGTGCATGTGGGACGCTTCATCTCCTTTTTTTTTTTTTTTTTTTTTTTCTTTGAAGTATTCCCTAACCGAGAGGTGCAGGAATTGCCACAGGAGACAGACCGTGTTTTATGTACTGCGATTGTAATGGGTAGGGCCTTGCATAAAGTTGGACAACACAGGCAACTTGGGGATCCTTTCCTCGACTACCTCGATAAAGGAGAACAGTGTATTGAATACTAATGTTCCGAAGTTTGAAAAAGGCTATACTTTGAGGTAATCCACAGAGATCCATTCATGTAGCGTCGTGTAGGAATGACTGTATGCCAAAACTCAGCCTTCAAGATTGATAAAATCTGTACTCACACTTTTGCTGTACTATGTTATCCCAGAAAGAATCATATTGATATAGTGTTGCGTGCAACGGCGTTGGAATAAGGTTTCTAGGCTAGACGTAAATCCTGTTTTCGTTGTGTGAACATCTTGGTACCAGGATTCTTTACTAAACCTAGGAGATTTATGTACCTCTCCAAGTACGCTGAGATATGACACAGTAACCCATCTATAGACTCAATCTGCATGTGGCGATAACTAGCGCCTCCCAAGCGTTAGCTACAGCGCCGGAGTGGCCCTACGCTGTTTCCAGATGCTGAAGCCAACAACACCTTAATGAACCCCAATCTTGATCCATCAGGGCACGATATCGCAGTTTTTTGCTATCCAGGAGGGAGACGTTACAAGATAATATTTTAATAGGATTGAATCATTGTTTTGGCTCCAAGATTGCGCTAGCAATGAGCCTAGCATTTGCAACATACATTTCGATTGAAGAAGATAGAAAGATAATTGAATAATTTTTGTAATTCCTTTTATTTCCGAGATGAAGTATCATAAAACGCTTAAAACAACAAGACCGCAAGACAAGATGTCAAGACACCAAACCACAAAACTCCGACCAGCTAACTCACTAATCCAAAAGAAAGGTTAATGAATAAAAGCTTAAGAGGGTAAAAAAGGGCCAAGCTATCCCGGCATCCAAAAGAATCAGAAAACATCTAGATGAGACGCTTATTTGTGGTACTTGTTGTACATATCAATGACCTTCTGGACCTCGTCCTTCGAGCCAAGGAAGACACCGCTCTTATCGTGAATGTTCTCAGGAACAACCTCCATAAGGCGCTCCATGCGAGAGTTGACAGCCAGACCACCAGCGTTCTCGAAGAGCATGGCCATGGGCGCACACTCGTACAAGATACGGAGCTTGCCCTTGGGGCTCTTGGAGTCGGCAGGGTAGGCGAACATACCACCGTAGAGGAGGGTACGGTAGGCATCAGCAACCATGCTACCAATGTAACGGGCGCTGTAAGGTTTCTTGCCCTCGCCGGGGTACTTAAGGCTGTGAAAGTACGCGTTGCACCACTCATCCCAGTACATGCTGTTACCCTCGTTGACGGAGTAGATGGAGCGGCTGGGGGGCATCTGCATGTTGGGGTGGGTGAGAATGAACTCGCCGAGGGAGTTCTCGAGGGTGAAGCCGTTGACGCCACCGCCGCGCATGGTGATGACCAGCTGGGCGGAGGCACCGTACATGGTGAAGCCGGAGGCGACGAGGCTAGTACCTGGGTGCAGGAGATCCTCGGGGCCGACGGACTTGTTGGGGCCGAGGACCTCGTCGGGGAGCTGGAAGATACCGAAGATAGTGCCGACGGAGACACCGGCGTCCAGGTTGGAGGAGCCGTCAATGGGGTCGCAGACGACGGCGTAGCGGGCATCGGGGTGCTCGTCGAACTTGATCACCTCTTCCTCTTCTTCTGAGACGACGATGCGGCACTTGCCGGAGCCGCGCATGGCGGAAATGAAGATGTCATTGCCGATCACGTCTAGCTTCTTCTGGTCGTCACCGGTTGTGTTGGAGGAACCGGCCAGACCGGTCAAGTTGATCAGAGAGGCACGACGGATGTAGTAGGCGATAGACTTGAAAGAAAATTGGAGGGCATGGCACAGAAGAGTGAAGTCACCGGAAGCTTCAGGGTACTTGATCTGCTCTTCCGTGAAGAAACGGGAGAGTGTGACAATGTCGGTGTTAATGTTCTCCTGTCCGACGGGGGGTGCGCCTGAGGCCATTTTGAGGGGTATAGATGGGGGAAGTGGGGATGGTTTGGTGGAAGAGTTGTAAATTAGGATGCAATTGGGATGAACTGAATTGAGGGCTTAAGTAGCACTGTGGCAAGCTTCAAACAAGAATCTTAGAAATAAAAAGTTGTAAGTGGACCGTAACGTCAGAGGGGAATCAAGGTAGAAGTAGTCTGGGGGAGTGACCTCAGTCCCGACTACCGCCTGGTTTTCGTCATTCTGCCCCGCGTGACCCTCCGAGCCCCCTCGCCCGGTTTTCCCCCCTACTGAAGCCGGGAATCCCCGTGCGATATCTATATAAATTTACTGGAAAGTGGCCAGGTTTAATTGCTGATCATGTATTTTCATATCCCATAGTAGCCCATAGCCTAGCAATTTTCCCGAGTTACACCTTGAACATACACATGCAAATATACCCAATTGACGGTCTAGATTCTTCCGGTCTCTCCCTTGCCCGAGTCGGCCTCGGGATCAGCAACGGAAGAATGAATTCCCTATTCCCCACTCATAGTCATGCGGACTTGAAAAGATCCAGATTTAGGTAATGCGATCAAGAGTATTGAGGCTATCTAGGGCTAAAAATAATAGTCCAGGGGGATCTACGGGGCATTGTATCAGGTGGAACTTAACAATGTATATTTTAGACCCTTTACATTACAAAGAAAAGTGGGAAGAAATCCCGCATGTGAAAAAAGCTATCTAATCGACAGGATCATCCTCGAGGAGAGTCTTGAAGCTGAACGGCATGAAGGGAATACCCTCGCCGACAAAGTGCTTACTCATAGACTCGACCCAGTGCAGACGGAGTGAGTGCAACATGGCACTGGTTCCCTCCATCACACAGAGAATGGCAATTGTCAGCACAAACCAAAGATAGAAGCTGACAACAATCATGATAACTCGCATGACGGGGCTCTCCTGGTCGAAGGCACCACCAATGGTCATGGTCCAGAGAACGATTGACAGCTGCTGGTGAGCGAGTGACAAGGCCCACAGACGAAGGTAGGAGGCCGTGTGAGAGATACAGTTAAGACAGAATTCGATGGTGTGGATAACCTGGTGGATCATGACTTCGCCAAACTCAAACTCCTCATGCTCTTCACCCTCGTGGATATCCTGAGCGATCATGGCGACAGCCTCTCCATCACTGGCAAGGCTGTCACGGTTGCCGAGGCCGCCGTCCAAATCATCGTCTTCGAGAGCACTAACCCGGGATTGCTCGCCAAGGCCACGGTAACCAAGAGCGCGAGACTTGTTGTGCTCATGGCGGAGCCAGAACGGCTTGAGGAAGAGCATGATAGGCACCTGGGCCACGGCAAGTAGGAGCAACATAACCTGTACAGTTGCCTGTCCAGGATAGAGCTGTTCTTCAACAGTACCGGGGCTCAGGAACATGAAGATGAGCATGTTGAGGAGACCTGGGGGATTAACACCCTTCTCTCCCCAGTTAACGGACCATTTGTAGAGCACGGTAAGGACGAGGTAACCAAAGATGGACTGGAAGAAAAGCATGCCAGGAATAAAGTTGCCCCAGATGTCAACCTTGGACTTGAAGTGTCGTCCATTGACGTACTGCAGGCAAAGTGCGTAGGTCATGTGGCACCAACCGAGGAGAACACTCATCTTCATCTTCATACTGTTGGAGAAGAGCAAAGAGTTGTCTGCTTCATGCCAGTTCCAATCCAAACCGAAGGGGAAACGATATCCTTCTTTCAAGGTCGCTTCGACCATTTGGCCGCGCTGGATTTCCTCTGGCCACTGCCACTGACTGGGGAAAACAGTAAAGGATTTCGAGAAGATATCGTTGTAGATAAATCCAGTATAAATCGAGAAAAGACCCATCATCAACATGACATATCGTCCGTAGAAGGCCATATACATCAGCTCATCCAGCTTAGCCCGGTGCAACTTCTTTTCCCAGAAAATCATAGCAGATGCGGCCATGGTCATCAGGAGGCCGTGACCGCAGTCACCGAACATGACAGCAAACATGAAGGGGAAAGTAACAACCGCGTACAAGCCAGGGTTGACCTCCTTGTACTTGGGGATGCCATAAGCGTTCATGATGGTCTGGAATGCTTCGGTGAACTTGTTGGTCCTAACATAAGTAGGAGGAGTCTTGTTGGTGCGGATCTGATTAACAATCGTGGGGACAGTGAGACCGGCACGGTCATTGACATCCTGAAGAGTAGACTTGATCAAAGCAAGGGAGTTTGTCGGGCACCATGCCTCGGCGATCAGCGTCTTCCGTGCTTGATCGTACGAGAACTTGTTCAATGTATCGTAAACGGCTTTCTCTTTCTTGACAATAATCATCCAAGCGGCGAGAGAACGAGAAATCTGTCTGAGTTCCGCATCAAGAGTGTTCTTGGTGTTGTTCAGAACGTTGCCAACGTCTCCCAAACGAGTGTTGACTTCATGGATCTGGTCCCTGCGCAGCTCGCTGTTCTCGTCAACACCGTACAAGGATGCGTTGAGCGACTCGGAGATCTTGCGAATCTTAGCAAGGATGTTCTTTCCGTGAGCGAAGATAACAAAGACATTCTTGTGGATCTCCTCGTTGGTGACGGGGTCGATGATAGGCTCCGGGATCTCGGACTGGTTCATGTAAAGGTTACCACGGAGAGTACGCCAGAGGATACGCTCAAAGGCTCCGATACGGTCTCGGGGGATGACACCAGCCACGAAGCCAATGTTCATCTCGGAGAAGCTCTGCTGGCCGTGGGTGTCCCCGTTCTGGCGAGGGGCATGCTGCTCAACGTCGCGGAGCAAAGGAGCTTCGTCGTTATCGAAGGATTGGCGGATATCTTCCGTTTGAGTGTGGGCGCGATCGAAAAAGCCACCGGCCTCTCTGAGTACCCAACGCCATTCGCTAAGCTCGACTTCGCGCTTCTTCAGGGTCTCGTAGCTATCGTTCAAGGAGACGATTCGCTGCTCGAGGCTCTCGCTGCGATCGGCCAACTCGTCAATCTCGGAGGCCAAGGGAGCAGCCAATGTATCGGAGAACTCAGAAGAAGATCTCATGGGAATAGCGGCCTTGTCCATTTGCAAATGGAAGTAACCTATCAAATTAGAACATTGTCGACTTGAATAATTGGGTAGACGTACGGAGCTGTCTCTCAACATTATCCAGGCGACGAATCTCCTTGGTAAAGGTGCGTTGGAAAGCGTTGGTGTCCGGGTTCAACTAAAACAGATCAGCGGGGACATCAGAGCAAAGCCATCTGCACCACTTACATCACGGAACTGAACCTGACCGACTTCACCCAAGGCGCTCACAACCTCTCTTCCGATTTCGTTGGCAATATAGAGCTGTGTCAAGCTCATATCCGCCGAGCGGAAAAAGGTGTCCTGCGGAGCCATGATGGAAAGGAGGCTACCAGGAGCCGTATCGTTTCACCAAGGGGCAGGAGGGAAATAAAAGAGAGACTTAGTTAGGTCAACAAATTCGAAGAAAGACACGAGTCTCCGTGTCTGTTATTGCAAGAGTCCTGACGGCTCTCCTTGGGTACTGCCTGTTCTCGCGGTGGCTCGGGTCAAGTTGGCCGCTTTGATCGCACGTGATCTTGAAACGTCAATTGATGACATAATGTGAATATGATGACAAAGAAATTGTTAAGTTAGTTATATCAACAGCAAATGCAAGGTTATCAATCGGAAAGTATATGGCTACTCTCTCCATGCTTTAAAGGATGCCTTGAAGATCATAGAGAAGTGGTTCAGTAAATTTATTTTCAACTACAAATACCAAATCTTTTCAATTTTCTATCCCAATCTAAGTAAGCATCGTACTGTGATAAACTGCTTCTCGCTCAGATTGTCTTTCAAGTTCTTGGTTTTAATTGTCCTTATCTTGTTCTTCTGCTTTGGTCCGCATAGTATGCGTTCTAATTTTCTCCTCTCGTCGCAAGCAGTTCGCATGTCGGAGTCGTCTTCCAAGGTCCATCTCAGATAGATCCTCAGGCGCCAGAACGAATTCGTTGTTGGCTTCCTTCTGGATTTCCACTTAGGAGATATTCTCGGACCCCAAGTCGAATCTTTTCCTGATCCTAGTTTCGACCGTTTCCTCAAATCCCATCTCAAAGAGATCCTCGGACTCCATGTCGGTTTCATCGCCAGTGTCCTTCAGCAAATCTGCCTCCAAGCTGTTCCCCTTCACGCTCAATGACCTTAACAGGAACGTTCTCTTTGATCGGAGTGACACTAACTCCCTTCATGGCCTTGATCACTTCTCTGACATCGGCCTCCGAATCCATCAAGTCGGTATCAATACGGGCTTGGGGATCCTCAGTAGCCTTTCCGCCAAGGGAGTCAAGCAGGGAATCCTCCACAGCCCTGGTCTTGTTATTTAATTTATGTGATTTGTCGTTCAACTTGGTGGTTTTGCCCAAGAGGACTGTTCTGCCTGTTTTGGCCCGCGGGAGCTCATTGCAATTAGACTTCATTTCATTGAAATTTTCTTCCGGTTGCTTAATCTAGATTAGTTCCAATGAGATTTGATATCTTGTACCCTTTTAGCGAGGGCATACATATCCCGAGCTTCACAATTTGTGCGCTCGAAGTTAAACCAGATACAGTTTGCACATGTGCCGAACGTGACCACTGGTGTGTGAAAACATCCTTCGAAGGGGCCTTTGTCAGGTTCACATCTCGAGCAAGGTCTATCGGTAGCATCTCCAACAGCTTGAACCAGTGATGCCCTCAGGCATCTCCGGTCACTTATCATCCTTCACTTTATTTCCGCTTCCGGGAGCTTGCGCGGTATAGGCTCTCGCGGCGGATTATGTGCTGTAGCAAGATCTGAACTGCCCCGACGACATGTTGTGGTCAAATTTCATGATAAGCTTCTGCAAACCTCTATAAGTAATCAAGAATTATGAGTCCCAACTTGGACAAAAGAGTGAACGGCTTGACCCACATCGTTGTCTTGGAAAGTTCGAAGGCAGTTTTCGTTGCAGACGCTGATGATAATGAATGTATGTTAGGCAGAATTTGTGGTGAGGAAAGAAAGAGAGAAAGGAAAGAAGGATTCTTTCATGGTATATATACGGCTAGAAATGACTGCACAGTACAATTGTCCTGGAAGTCGCTTGGTATTCACAACAAGACGCAATATCACTGTAAACACAATACCCCGGGTTTCCACATTAGTTTCCTGTTCTGTCCACTCAGATAAGTGGTATCTCTAATCTGAAAAGGGCAGCCACTTCCTCCTCAAGAGCCAATTCATCATACATAACAAATCCAGATCTTTGCAACACTTTAACACTACCCACATTATCCTTATTGCATGCCGCAAACAATCTCTCTTTCGGTACCTTTAATTCAAGTCCCTCTGATATCCTCCTTGGAAGCTTACACCACTGATCAACAATCGCAGTAACAGCCTCGGTGGCATATCCCTTCCCCCAGAAGTCAGGATGGAGAGTGTATCCAATAGACGGGGCTGGGACAAGAGAATTGACTCCAGCAGCACCAATCACTCTTCCTGATGGATCATTCAAGCAGATAATGGCAAAAAAAAATTGTCGTCCAATTGTGCCTGATGCGTCTGGTGTTGTGAATGTCTTTTTAGCGATTAGAGTTTCAGACTCTGAAATATATTGGTGAGGAGTCTTTTGTCGACTAAAGAATGGTCAGTTATATCGTCTCCTTCTCGGGCTGTTGCGATCTTCATCTGAGGATTTGTCTTACAGCCAGTCTGCCACTTCTTGTCGACGTCTAAAATCGAAGATTGCAGGGGCATCCGCCATGGTTATGGGTCGAAGATACAATCTTTTTGTATTTATAGATTCTGCATTTTTGGGGACTATCACCGTGGTAACTTGGTCGGGATATAGACTCATGTTGGTAGGCAGCTATACTCAGGCTGGTCGGTGCTGGCGCAATGGATGTTGAGGGCAGGCAATACCATCCATGAGTCATGTCTAGCGGGTTTTTAACCCCGGGCCAAAGTACTACACTACATATTCGGCCACTTATTTCCATGCATAATTATCAATGTGATAAATGAATCGGACTCATTGCAAGAAAATTTGGAGTTTTCTATTGTAATGCTTGTCTCCGTGGTGAATGCGGTATATATTTATAGATCTCGAACCTAACCCACGAGGACGACTTGAATATACCACAACCAGATCGTACCATTGCAAATTAATCAATTATTGACGGATTTATTGAAAAGAGAGTAAATATCAATAATCGTAGAGGATATTCATGAAAAAAAGAAGTGTAACCCCCAACTCCAGATACACAACGGTCCAGTATTCACCCGTGGATGGTATCCATCAGCACACACAAGAATCACAAGCAATGTGGTATCACTCAAGCACCACCATCCCTCTTAGCATATTCCTCCTCCATGCGCTCCTCATACAAGCGATCCGCTTCCTCGCGCGTCAAAGCACGACCACCCTCTCCATTCTGCGCCGACGAATCGGACGAAGCGGGCGCACTGGTAGATGTGAAGTAGGTCGCATTCGAACCTTGTTCCGTGGAGGAATGCGAGTGTCCATTTGTAGTAGAGCTTGTGTCATTTGCTTCGTTTTGCTTGTCGAAGAGCTCGGCGGTTGGGACAGGCATGTTGGGTGTGGATGTGCGAATGTGTTTGGTGATGGATGGTATGGGGTATGTGGGATGCGGTATATGGTTTAGAGGATGGGGGGATGTGAGGGTTCGTAGGACGAGGGTTCTTGAAAGTGCACGGTAGATCCTGGTGATCAGCTCAATTGAAGCTGTGGCTTGATAGTGGGCTGTTGCTTCAATTATAGCTGTGAGTGGATTCAGAGCTCTCGCCACAGTTGTGGCGAGGCGGGTGTTGAGTCAGACGTCATGTCAACACGGCATCGCCCGATGGAGCGGGAGACAGGCTACATCGTAGATTCAGGAACATGAGAGCTGGGATTCTGGATGGCTACGAGATGGACATGAGGTCTTTCAGATTGATCAAGTTTTGTTGCGCCTGACACCAGGCTTCTCGCGACGGAATTGTGACGCGACATTGTGAGCTTCAAAACAAACCGTCCGGCGGAGGGAACAGCGTAGTATCCTACTCGGGATCAGTATTGCAGTATGGTTTACGCGAGATCTACGAGTCCTCTTCTCCAAACATGAGCCACTGGCCCGATGAGTGATGAAAAGAAAGAATCCACGAATGGAGAGTGCCAAAGAATACGCCTGTCAATGACCCGAAAGCCATTGAACAGACTGTTCCGCCGCGCTGTGCAATGCAGGGACCAGACTGTGGTGAGCCGCCTTCATGATCGCAGCCACCCAAACAAGGTAAGTATGAAGAAGAAAGAAAAGAGGAGGAAAAGTGGCGAGACTGGCGAGTATATATGCTGGTGTGGAATGACGCTAGTCCCAAAGAGGGAAGAACAAAAGCTAAGCGAGAAGCTATGCTGGACGTTGATTGGTCGACAACCGAGTATTGACTCCCTTGCTTGACACCTCAGATGCCCAGTAGGTACCTGGCTACGGTGGTCTGCCTTGCATTTTGCATGTCATTTTTCCTGCCTAACCGTCCTACAGGACACATGGTTGAAATATTGTCTACAAGATCGTGAGCACAGTCGCCAAAATAGTCAATAATCGATCCTCCTCGCAAACCACTCGACTCCTCAATTGCCAGACTCCATCACCAAGCTTATGTGGATCCCCACCCCTGGACAACTTTGTATTGTGGTCCTCCGTAGCATCTGAAAAACAGAACCATCGAAACTTCGTATCTGTCCTGAATCGGGATATCGTCCGTCGGGAGTTTTGCTCTGTTCCGAAAAGAACAGTCATGGAAAGAGGACACAGTAGCATCCAGGCAGAAACCCACTCTTAATCTCTCTCATGCTAATATTAAACAAGCGCGCATCTTCATCAAAGTGTGCCATGGTTAAGGACCTCCTGAGGCCTTGTCTAGTTGCACGCTAGAGGGAACGGGGTGCTTCGGAGAGCGCTTGATGCTCGGGAAATACGACCCCCTGTTCACCGCATGTCAAGCCCGTGCTTGGCGAATTAATGTACAGTTGCCTTGATTTTTCTATTTGTTTTCTTTCTAGTCTTGCATCGCTAGTTTTTTCTTTCTTTTATATTTCTCTAGCAGGATGCATCATGTATGTCCAGGGACAGTAGTTTCGTCCAAGAAACCATGTCCATGTCCACGTCCATGTACCTGAACCTCAACACCACGATGGGAGCATGGACCACAGGGTACAGTACATGTACATCCCGAAAAAAAGGCGGAAAAGAGACTCTCTAGTCGCCGCTAACGTTACTGCACGCATGGCACTTGCATGGTGTCAAAGTTTGCGGCATCAAGAGAAGAAAGATCAACAAACATTAGCCTGTAGGATCGACGATGGCCAGTGAGTCTGTGGCCAGTCAGCAGAGGCAGCAGAATCAAGGCCCAGACTTGAGCCACTGGTGGCCTGGCGACCGCAAAAAAAGGGCGGAAACGGCAGGATTGGCAAAAGATGAGTCTTGGCCCTAACGGGTGGAAAAGGGGCTCATGATAGGGTGTGATGTGTCTCCGAGCCAGGGAGTGGATCACCCGTGTGGCCATCATTACTAGAAATGCTCCGGAGGCCGTAGTCTGGCAGAATGTGTCGGGACCGTATGTTGATCGGTCTGATAGTCGTTGCAGATCAGAGACATAGTGTGCTGTAACGGCGGGAGACGGCAGAACTGTCTCTCCTGGCGTATAGGTGTGTACTATAACGGGAATCCCATGCAGACTCTGTGTATATTGAGGTCTTGGTTACTGTTTTGTTCTGGTGATTGTATGAGTCACCCAAAACACAGGACAAAGCTCTTTGATTCGAAGTTTCTGGATAGGGCTGGCCAGCCCCCTATTCGTTGAGTCATGGAACCAGCGTTATTAGTCTAGTGGGGCCCTTCGTACTTTTTTTTTGAGCATTTGACCCAGGACTATAAAGAGAAAAGGGGCTTAATTAGGGGCATTTAGAGTACAGTGCTTTATTGCGCGAATTAGAAAAGAAGAACATTCTATGAAATGATGCGAGTATCACGTAAAAAGAGGGAATCCTGAAAAAGTTTCTTTGAGTATCATGGGATCCTTGCATGATCCATGATACGCCGATAGGGCAACTTATTTCCCCAAATGCACAGAAAGGAGGGGTTGTACTACTGCTGGTTGGTCGAGGGATGCCACGCCAGAGTCTGATTTCAGAGGGTCATGGGGTCTCAAGATTGCAGTGATAACCAACCATTCTGCAGAACCTAAAGATGGGCATCACGGAGTTCTTCCTAGGATCATGAAACACGAAAATGACAGGTTTCTGGTGGGGGTGATTACAGGGATGGCCTTACAGTACAGGTAGGACCTCCAAAGGGATACAATATACTGATAGCCATTCCGAGGGAGAGCCTGTCAAGTTTGAATGCGGATTAATATCAAAGTCCACAATCGCCCGCCTCCGTTCATTTGAAAATACGAATGGCGATTTCATCGGCCCCCTTGACCCGTGTAACAGGCAACTATGTAGGAAGGCGATGTGGAACGAATGCCAACGGGGGAGGTGGCCCACCGAATCGTAAAAACCTCCTTTCGGGCAGGAAGTATGGAATCATCCACTCATATAAATCTATTGTGCCAGATGACCTGATGCCGAGAACCCCGCCATGACGATTAGATGTATATAATTTATCTAATCGGCGCAGCGGATTGATGAAGGTGTTAGACAACATTCTTAGAAACGCCTTGTTGCATGTTAAATGGATCTTAATTTGCTGTCATATCGGTAGGAGGTTCCGAGCTGCACGGGTAAATTAGGGGAGGCCATACCGGGGCCGTTCAACCTGCATGGACGATCTATGGTGTGATACTGGTTTCACGACTTAGCCAAGGTAGAGAAGAGTTTTCATCCCAATCAATATCCAGCTAAATTCAGTTAGACCATATGTTCTAGCGTCAGACTAGACAAAGAATATCGGATTCGTGTATAGATGGGTAGATGGCTTATGTTTCACAACCACAGAGAAGTTAGACTGAACGGTACTGATTACAGCAGTACAGATATCATGAGATGAACGATAGTATTCTGTGCGGTTGAAACAGGATCCAGTTCTAACTACTGTACAGAGTATAGATAATAAAAATGAAAATGAAAAGTAAAAAAATAAAATAAAATAAAATAACCCCTGAGAGTTACATAATCAGCCCCACCGTCTGGGCTCCCTGCAGGTCCTTTCCCCTTTGGGAGGCGCAAGCGCCGTCTCTTCTTTTCCTCCCTTTTCTCTCCTTCTTCTTCCCTTTCTCATACCCCCCCCCCTTTCTGACTTCGTGATACCCGAGCTCTTCTTGTAGCTCTTATTTCTTTTGCTTTCCTTTGAGATACCCAATACCCCAAACCGCTTTTTCTACGAAGCTCTGCTTCTTTAATTTATACCCCAACCAACTTCGGTTTAATACTTCTAATCATGTCTGAAGCCCCCAAGACTATTGAGGAGACCCCCGCGGTCGTCCCTGCTGTTGAGACCGCCGTCGAGACTCCTGCTGAGACCACCGAGGCTCCCAAGGAGACTGCCGCTGAGCCTACCGAGGCCACTGCTACTCCCGCTGCTGAGGAGACCACCGAGGCTGCTGAGCCGGCCAAGGAGGAGGTGAAGCCCGCCAGCGAGGGAACTCTCGGCTACAAGGCCCCCGGTCTTGTCAAGTAAGTTGCGCCTGAATGCGCCGACACGGAAACGCGAGCTAACATGCTTGTTTTAGGGGATTCCGTTTCGCCAAGCGCCACTTCTACTTCAGCGAGGAGGCTGTTGAGAGCAAGAACCTCTCCGTTTTCCACCAGAACGAGAAGCCCGCAGTCGCCAACCCCACCGCTGCCTGGGCCAGCCAGACTGGCAAGGGTCTTCTTTTCTTCACCAAGCGCGCTGAGGACAAGGCCACCCCCGCTGGCATCTTCAACCTCGTAAGTACACACGAGACTGGAATTCGATAAGATCGAAACTGACATGTAAAAAGGCCGAGGTCTCTGACGTGACCAAGGAGGGCTCCAGCGAGTTCCTCTTCAAGGTTGGTGGCCAGAAGCACACCTTCCAGGCTTCCAGTGCCGCTGAGCGTGACAGCTGGGTTGCCGCCATCGAGGCCAAGTCCACCGAGGCCAAGGCCGAGAAGGAGACCATCACCTCCAGCGAGGGCTACAAGGCTGAGCTCGAGAAGCTGACCAAGCCCGCCGTCGCTGTTGCCGCCGCCAAGAAGCCCGAGGAGAAGAAGGCTGAGGAGAAGAAGGAGGATACCCCCGCTGAGGCTGCTGAGCCTGCCAAGGAGGAGCCCAAGGAAGAGAAGAAGGAAGAGAAGGCCGCTGCCAAGAGCCGCTCCCAGTCTCGCAAGCGCACCAGCATCTTCGGTTCCCTTCTCGGAAAGAAGGACGCCGAGGAAAAGAAGGAGGAGAAGGTCGAGGACAAGAAGGAGGAGACTCCTGCTGCCGTTGAGGAGGCCAAGGTTGAGGAGCCTGCGACTGAGGTCGCTACTGAGACCCCTGTCGCTGCCACTACTGAGTCCACTGAGACTCCTGCTGAGGCTATCGAGACCACCGAGGCTGTTGCCCCTGCTGAGGCCACTGAGGCCGTCAAGGAAGAGCCCAAGGAGGAGAAGAAAGAGGACAAGAAGGAAGAGAAGAAGTCCAAGCGCGCTTCCATCTTCGGCAACTTCTTCCAGAAGGTCGCCAGCCCCTCCCAGGAGAAGACCGAGAAGGAGGCTACGGTCCCCGCTACTGAGGAGACCGCTGTCGCCAGCACTGCTCCCCAGCTCGAGAACCCCGTCGAGGAGGCGGCGGTCAAGCCCATTGAGCCGGAGAGCGTGACTGCTCCCGCCGAGGCCGAGGCCCCCAAGGAGGCCGCTGCTGAGACTCCCACCGCTGAGGCCTCCACCCCCAAGGAGAAGCGCCGCACTTCTTTCTTCGGTAACCTGGGTATGAAGAAGGAGAAGAAGGCCGACTCTGACAACGAGGGCACCGACGGTGAGACCAAGGAGACCAAGGCTAAGTCAAACAAGCTCGGCGGTCTCTTCCGCAAGCCCTCCAAGGCTGTCAAGCTCGACAAGGAGGAGGTTGCTGCCGCTGAGACTGAGGCCAAGACCGACAAGGCTGAGGAGACCCCCGCTGTCCCCGCCAAGGACACTGAGGAGACCCCGGCTGCTGTCGAGGAGGCCCCTAAGCCCGTCGAGGAGGCCACTGAGGAGGCCAAGAATGTCAACGTCCCCGCATCCACCCCCGTTCAGGCTGCTGCATGAACTGAGACTCCTCGGAGACGTGTCGTGGAGTTTGAAAGATGGTGGGACATGTCCTACCCACCCACGGCCCACGATATTCCTGACGGCCTCGTCCGCTGAGACCTGAAGGTGCAGATTTGATACCATTTCGCTCCGTTGCTGTTTTATTTTGTTTTTGCTCGCCACTGTCATCATCGCAGCACCCTACGCCTTATATTTCGCGAGGTCTGAGATGGTGACAATGAGATACCCGCTGTCGATTTTTAATCTCTTTTCTCTAAAAAATAATACCATCGGCGCCAACGACGCCAGCAGCCTATCGCGACTGCTGTCCATTCCTTTTACGACTTGCAAACCGCGTCTGTGACTTTTACTCGCGATGTGCTTATGCATTACGCGGTGTGTCGCCCGACTAGATTGATACCACTGCCGTTTTTGGTTTCTTGCTTTCGTGTTCGATACCCTGTGGGGATGATGGGTGATCTTTTTGGCCTTGTTGTGCGGATTTGGATCTTGTCGCGTCGACTCGCTTCTTTTCTTCCTGCGGCCCCCAGATTGTTGCCTCTAATGTTGTCTACCGTTGCACCTGTTCCTCGCGGTTGGTTTATTTCCCGCCCCTGGAGGTGGCACGCCTTGCGATAGGTAATACTTAATAGAATCTCTCAGTTTTGTTTTAGATATTTTCCTAGTAAGCCTTCACCGTACAGATGGTAGTTTCATTCTCGACATGAAGTTGGTCGGATAACCTTCGTCTCGAGTCGACAGTCGATATTATTGTTGACATTGATATCACCGTCGACGGGTATACCCGTGATCATATATGGGTCTAATGCAACCTCTGTGGGAACCCACTGCAGGGCCCAATGCAAGCAATACGGCAGTCGATCCTTTAGTGACTCCATCGAGATGCGTTGTATGTTACCTAACCGTTCAGCTTCGAGACCAATGAGGGCCATGTATGTGCAAGTTGTAGTTATGTACTTGCTATGCCTCCAACTATCCGGCCGCGAGCATGACATCTGATATGTTCTTTTGATCTGTTATGTCTGCCTGCTTCGGGGTTTCCCCCTTGAGCTCTTTCGTTTGTTGCGCAGTGGTTAAACTAGGAGAAGATACACCGACAGCCAGTCATATATTGAAGACCCCACTGGAGGGACTTTTTGTCCATTCGATCTGACATGTACCAGTCGACAGGCTCCTGGATTACTGATCCTAAAGCCACGTGTACATGTGTCTGTGCTCGCAGCAGGCGCAGTATGAGCCAGCCTGGGCATCCCAGAACTTGATGGTCATATTTTGCTGGACGAGAGCTTATCTCAGTTTCTGAAGGGCCAAAACGGCCACGGCTCTTTTGATACTATGGGCTGCGGCGACTCCGTCTCTAGGTCGCCCAAGCCTTCCTTAGTACTGTATATACATAGCATATTAAAATTCCTCTCCATAAGAACCCTCCCAAAGACTAACTAGTACTGTTAACCGCCTTAGAAGGTATTTAGCTATCATAAAGTTCCTCTACCTGCGTAATATCTTCAACAAACGTAGCGCCATACTCTTTCATCATCTGTATCTTCTCCTCCATATTCATCGCTAAACTCATTCTCCCAAAACCTCTTGGCATTTGCCTAGCACTCCCAAACCTCAACACCCACACACCCGCTCCATCCGTCGGCCAACCACACACTAGCACCTTTGCTTCTTCCTCTGTGGCCTCCCTCGCGCCTAACTCCACCTCGATCCAATACTCTTTACTCGGCCACAACGTCGCACCAGTCCGTCGCATAAGATTACAGAATCTGTCTTCTTCGTCGGCACTAGGTGAGCGCTGCGATACATGAAAGCGGGAGAGCGATAGGAAAAGCATATCGAGAAGGTCAGCCTCTTTGATAAGAATCCCACCCGTGGAGGGGTAGCCGTAGACAATACATCCTAGGGTGCCGAACTCGGTCCGTTCCGTCGTCGATAGAGGAGGGCTTCTAGGGCATGGGCCGCGCTGTGAGCGGTCGTCCAGTACTGTTCGTTGATGAAAGATAGGCAGAAGATTTAGAAAGTAAGAGATGATGGCGACGAGCATGCTGCTGAACCTCATGTCTCTATAAGGCTACAAACAGGAAAAGACCGATGTTGTGTATCACATGACTCGACCTCAGAAGCTCATGAGCGCGCTCCCGGGGTCATGCAGATGACCGTTTAGGTATTGTTCTGTTGTTCTGCCGAGGCCTGAGTTATGAACGCTGTCGCTAGGACAGAGTCCAAAAGGCTCTAGCATGGATGGGGAATGGTGGAGAATGCGATTTGAGGCGAAATATTGCTGATTGGATGGGAGGATTAGACGGATTCGCTTCGGGTAGGGCCTCTTAGACCCAGCGCTACAATACACCTGTGTGGAAAAGAGCAAGGGGTTGCACCATAGCATTCTTGGGATATGAAGGGGGATAGTTGGGTTGCCTAATTGTCTTACAGTTGAAGTTGTATGGAGTCCATCAGTACCACCAACCCGATGGTTAGATCCAGGCCATCCAATATACCCGGCCAACTGGACAAGGAATGCGATTTAGATTTTGATGACTATGGCCAGCTTGAGGACGGCATATAGAACTGCCATTAAATCAACTGCTCAAGTGCCGCACCTGCCTATAGCCCTTTCATGGACATCAATTACCGAATAGATCGAAGCCTGAAGAGGGTTCTGGGTTATAGAAGTACGGTACGAGATTGACGTATCATGGGCGATGAATAGTTCGTACAAAAGAGAGTTTGGAGATCCACTGTACCACAGTGGCTTTTGGACAATGTAGTGAAACATAATAAAAAACCAAAATAAAATAAAAGTGGCTGAATGTGGCAATATAATTGCATACAATTGGATCCCTCGTATAAAGCTACAGAACAAGCATATGCATGGTCATGCCAATTAGAAATCCGGTCGATAGCGGGCTCCCGATTCGGCACCGGTCCGGTTCCTGCCCATAGCCAGCAAGCGTCCACAAAACACGAAACACGAAACACGAAACACGAGTTAGTGGGAAAAGTAACTGCTCAATTGGGGGCTAAACCGCGAGGGCTGGTCTCGCCAAGGACTTAGCTCCAGGAACGAGGCCTGAACCAGAAAGCGTAACCGATGTTTCTTTGAAACATCAAAAGCCTGCCATTGAATCCCACCGAGGTTCCCTCAGCATATGTAGGGTGTGAAATTGCAGACCGGAGTTAATAACATCAACTCCGGATCCGAGAATGTCAAAGTCAATTTTACGCCCTTCGGCAAGGCTAAGAGAAAAGCGGACTCTCTATAGGACACGGGCCATGGACACAGCCCGCCGCGGGGACACAATTGGGAAAAGATCGGTGGAGCCTTATCTGTAGAGCGTCATTCCGGATACGTTAGGGTAAGCCCGACTTCCTTGATTCTCAGTAAGCACACAGAGGGGACAATAATGAGACAATTATATAGAGTAGTCTGTTTGGAATAGAGCTGAATTGAGAATATACAAGATCATTCATGGGAGAGAGATTATAGGGATCAGTGGAGTACTTGGTAGATACCTCTGATGCATGCAAGAAATGCAGGACGCGCAGGTATCCAGATGTATCCAGGATGGATGCCTTGGAATCGTCGCCAGTGAACCAATCAGAGGGGCACCCTCACCTGTGACTCACACCCCGTGACCTGCCCACCAGTCAGCCCCGTGCGGCTCTGGCCCCCGATTGGTCAGCACCGCACACTGAGCCCGAAACGCTTAAGAAGTGCCTGAGTTCCCGCGAGTGCCTGAATTTTTCTTTCTTTTCTCATACCCGTTTCTTCCTTTACATCCCACAATTCACACCCAACCGCCAAATTGCCATCTGACTACAACTACACTCAATCTACATACAGCCAAAATGGGTGTCTTCTAAACTCCCCCTCTCGCGCTAGCCAGTCTTTCTCAACAGAGAACGACATTATCTTTCCAACCGGAACCCAACCCTTTTCCTCAACAATTCACCCCTCAGAGTCTCCTGTTCCAGGATCTCTGAACTTCAGCATCGCTTCGCGTAGCTCAAGTTCTTCCCACAACAACGCTTCCCCGTTCGACTTTTCGTCGTTCACCACGGATTACCAACAGCAACCATGGCTTCCTTCGCCCCCGCACACCCAGCCCTTGGCTTCCAATCAGAACAACAACAGCAACAGCAACAACAGTGCCCGAGAGGACTTTGTGCTCTATCCTTCCGCTCCCAGACCGCAGCCTCGCAGAGACTCGCGTGCTCCGACCGTGAACACAACCCTTAGACCGTCTGCTCTCCAGCCTTTTCTGGCGCAGAACATTTCTCGACGAAACTCCTTCAATCTGCAGTTGCACCGACACCTTCAGCAGCAGCTCTCTGGCTCTCCTGTTCCAGATCCCAGAGTGACCCAGCTTGCCCGGTCTCCCTCTTATTGGTCCCACCCCACGTTTAAGCACAGCCGTCATCACGCGGCTTCTGTGCCTTCCAATTCTCCACACACCAACCGTCCGCCGATACCGCTTTTCAACGGTCAGGCCCCGAACCAACAGTACAACACTCAAACATATCGCCGCATCATGTCTACTCCCAATTTCCTGGAAGGTAATTTACCATACGTCTCACCTTACTCAAGCGACTCCATCGCTAACTTTGCCCAAGCCCCTCACGACGACCTTTTCGGTCTTCCCTCTGCCGGTTTCCACGGCATGGATTCTCCCCTCGCTTTTGAATCTATCCCCATGGGTGACGATGAGCTCTTCTCCGGTCCTCCTGGCACCATCTCTCCCAAGGACCTCATGATGGACAGCTCCGTTCCCCCCTCCGGCACATTCACCGATCTGAGCACTCCATCCTTCGAGTCGCCCGGTAACTTTTCTCAGAACACCTCCCCCATGTTCACCGACATGGATTTGGTGGGCCACGAGGAATGGCCATCTCTCTTTGACGGCTCAGAGCACATGAACGCCTTCGACGTCGCTTCCCTCGACGTCGCGGCCGTTCTTGCCGCCGAACAGCCCAAGAAGCCTTCTCTCCGTGTCTCAGTCGCTCCTTCGTCCCCTGCCTCGCCTGCGCTGAAGCGCTCTTCTCCTGCTCGGTCGTCGCCTGTTCCCGCCTCCGGTGGTGTCAGGCACTCCAGCATCTCTGGAGTCGGCGCCCGCTCGCGCAAGAACCTGTCTCCCGTTGAGTTCGACCCCAGCGATCCCATCGCTGCCAAGCGTGCCCGTAACACCGAGGCCGCTCGCAAGTCTCGAGCAAAGAAGATGGAGCGCCAGGCCGTTTCCGAGCGCCAAATCGAGGAGCTCAGGGACATCATTGCCGCTCGTGACGATGAGATTGCCCGGCTCAAGGCTCAACTTCAAATCCAAAACACCTTCCAGTGATCATGATGCATCACTTTCCTTTTCCAAAATATGTTTACCTGTTTCTTGTCTTTTCGATTTTGGTTCATGCCGACCCGTTTGGGGTTCTGTGGTGGGCGCGGGTGATGGGTTAAGCCTAGCCTCGACGTCTCACCGAGATACCAGTTTGCTTTTCATCTGGATCTCTAAAAGTTTGAGACGGTCATCATACACGTCCTTGTGTTCTTTCTTTTCTTATTCAGTCTGACTGTCTTTGCTATTATTATCTTTTTCAACCGCTCTCGGTTTTCTTGTTCAGCCGGTTCTGATTGTCTCCCTCACTTCTAGGTGTTGGGATTGACTCGTGGCTCTTAATATGGTATTTGCTTTTGATTGAATCAATTCTCTGCTTTATTATTACACCCTGGTATCATCGTTCTCTCGTAAATATCTTTCCCGTAGATCTAGTACCTTTGGCGAGTTACCTTCTGCGAAATCCATACAACATGAGTAGTATTCGTCATGTGGATGACCAGGCAGGAGTTGACCTGCAGGGCTTTGATATTCGCAACCTTGAATCCAAAATATCTAGGTTAGAGATTCTTATTTGGCTTGACCAAGTACGAACTCTTCTATTCCAGATCGTCGACTTCTCAACCCGAGAAACCATACTAAAGAAGAGGCCTGATCAAGAAGGCCGGAATCTAAATTTCGTCTTCCTTTTTTCTATACGCCCGAAGCTCCAGCAATGACCCTAACAATTATACTCTGCATGTATTCCTTCCTACTACAGAGGAAACGAAATATTGCCTTATAGACTACGATGACAGGCTTCCATAAGAGAGGTCTCCCCCTTTTTATTTTTTCTTTCTCCTTCCTCTTACCTCTCGAAGACAATCTTAGAAGTCTATCAAACGCGCCTCCTCTCTCTTCCCTTCTTCCTCCGCTTCTTCCCTCCGCATCTATACAAGTCACTTCCTGTCCTCTTTCTTTTCCTTCTTCTTTCCTCGGCTACTTTCTCATCATCAAATCAACCGAAAACCTCTTGTCGACACTTTGCTTTGCACTACTATCTCTTTCCCAGTCCTCAACTAAGTACATATCCCCCTCCACAAATGATGGTTCTGACTAAAGTTGTATGTTTTGTTGAATAGGCCATGGACATTTCGGTGCTCTATTCTGAGCCTGGTCGGACCGTCAACAGTCGCGACTTTTTTAACCTTTTATCTTGCAGAGCCTGTTTTCTAAGTCCGGTTAACAATACCCCCCTAGACCACTAGCAACACCGAACAGGCGACTTGCCTGCGCAGACGAAAAGGAACGCTGAGAATTCATCTTGGGACGCGAAACCGTTTCCAAAACGCTGCTAGGTCGGACCAAATCAGCTTCAATCAATCGCCTTGTACGCCCATTGCTCAACTATTTAGCACTGTTCCGCCGTGAGAAAGTCCAAGGTCAATATCCACATGAAAAATTAGATTCTCGATTATATCTTGGGTCACAAGCCTCGGTTCAGGGTTAGAATTGATCAACGACAATGATTGTCAGAAAGGTCAATCCAAGGGAAAGAGAACCAAAATGGAAGCACTCAAGAGACTAACCAGACCTGGTGTTGGATTGATGGATTCTCGCTTGTTGAAAGTTTAGGTTAAAAAGACAAAACAAATCTTTCATACAGGCCATTTAGTGTAGGTATCGTGATGAACATTGAGTCAAGTCAGAATTCTACAATTGGTTAACCTACTCGAACAAATCATATCCCCAGTAATCGCGCGAGGAGATATAACTCATCCTTTCAAAAACAGGTCTATGGGTATGTGTATGTGTATGTGCATGTGCATAAGGGTGTACAAGGGACCATGAAACAGAACCAGATCAGACTTGCCTTTATAGACCTCATCAACTCCTCCAACTTCCCTAGTCCACAACAGCCCCAAACCATCCATCCACACCCACAAAGAACCCTCCTCACAAGATCCACGAAGCTACCATAGAAGAACACGAACATCACTCATACCTCTTCCTACTACACCCTGCCCGATATCTTTCAGTATGAGCCCCACGCTGGCAGGACAGCTGTTGCTCTATGGCTGAACAAAAAAGGACAGAGAGAGCAGAGTGAGGGGGATATGAGGCGTTTGTGTTTCTGGTGTGGCGTGCTTTGTGGGTTGTGAGATGGGGATGTGGGCGTTTGTGAACTTCTTTTGAGTTGAGGTGTTGTGGGTGGGGGTGTTGAGTTCATTTCGGAAGTATCTGTTTCTATGTTGTGTCATCATCAAAGGTGGTTCATGGCGTTGAGGGTCATGCGGAGAAGAAAAGGAAGAGATTGCAGAAGAGAGGGAGATGGGAGAAGAGAGTAGGAGAAAAGAGATAGAAAAGGAAAAAGGAAAAGGGATTCAAGGAGGTAGCTAAGGGTGTGGAAGGGAGAGAGGGAGTGAGAGGGTAGGACTGGGAAAGAGAATAGACAAGGCAGGTGCAATTCAGCTCAAGGCATCCGTGCCTTTCGATCTGCCCGTTTCCATCTTCGCCGTCCTCGCCCCAAACTGAATAGCTCTCTTCTTCTCACGAGAAACCTTTGACAAGCCTAGCCGAAGGGCAACAAGCCGCAACGCCAATTTCTCAGAATCGATATCAGCTGTCGCCTCAGTCTTAGGAAGTCCAAAACCGCATTTTACCCACACCGGGGCTTGCGACACCCACGCCACGAACTCTTCGTCCAGATACGGAAATCGAGTTTCCCGACCCCAGTGAGAGAGGACGCGGTCATCGCGGCCGAGATTCCTCGAGCCAAGACGGCTGACGTCAAGGTTGATCTCGGCGATGAGGTCTTGGAATCCGCCGCGGGTGAAAGCAACACCATGACGGCCATAGCCTGCGAAGAGCTCATCTGCCCCGAGGCCCGAGAGGAGAACGCGTGCGGATGTTGTGTAAGGTAATGGTTGTGACTGCGGGTCGGCTGAGCTGGTTTGGCTTGTTCCTTGCCCACGAGATGCGAAGTACAAGGCACATGCGATGGATTGGTCCATTTCGGTGTTGTGGGGTCTCATTAGGCGCTTTACTTGCTCGCGGTGTTGGAGAGTTTCAGAATAGGGGATATCAATGGCAATGAATCGCCAGGTACGCCCAGGACATGTTTTTTGGAGTTCAATATGTGCCGAACGGCCGGTCATTCGGTCTGGGCAGTTTTCGTAGATTGAGAGTGATGGTGATGACGAGTTTTGTGGGGTGGCTTTTGCAGCAGCTGCCACCCTAGGGTTTTCAAATGCCACATTGAGGAGGTCAATTGGCTCTTCGAGGGGAATGATGTCGTGAGAGAGTCTTGCGAGGAGTGTGCAGTCCAGGCCACCGGAGAAAAGGACCGCGGTTTTCGCGGTCTTGCCTGGAAGGTAGTTTGGTGGCTCTGGCACGTTCTGTATCCTCAGCTCCAGGGACTGGCGTAGCATTGAATCAAGCTCCTCGACGAATGGAGAGTCTGTTGTCAGTGCAGGGGGCTGCTCTGTGGGCAGAGATGTGTTCATTGGAGAAATTGGTTTTCTCTGTATCCCGTCAGTTGTTGCACCTTTATGTCAATTATGGACACGTACAATATGACCTGCAACTGATGAAGCATCTGAGCTCCACGGCAAGGTCTGAATATGGCACAACTCCGTGGGAGAAACCGGAGAATCTTCAGTGCGTTCGAGATTAATCGTATAAACGCCTTCCGTTCCCACCTCCTTGAAGCAAGAAATTGATGAGCTATCGCAAATGCTGCAGATCTTCAGGTTGCCATGTTCATCAATCCCCTCGAGAAGGGATCTTCTTCCCAGGCAATCCCTGCTGTAGAAGAGTCTTGAGTGAACTGCATCGTAGAACACAAAGGCGAATGGCCCAGAAAGACTTCCAATAGCTGCAGCCATTCGTTCGATAGCATCGCTGGATTCACATTGAACTGCCTGCAGAAATAAGTTGAACACGCGCTCTGTATCGTTTCCTTGGACGCGCTCCCCACTGATCTTCCAGGCTTCTCCGTTCCAGCAGAGCACAGACTGGGTGGTGGGGTCTACGATTGGCTGAGTGTACACATGGTCACCTCTCAATGAAAGGACTGTCGACGTGAAGGTAAGATAATAGGAAAGGGGTGGAGCTGACCCATCCTGAGCCTTGATATCTTTTTGTAACGTGTGAGTTTTGTAGCTGTCTGGCCCTCGCTGTTTGAGCAGATCGCAAGTCTCCTGTGTTGGTGGCGTCAAGCTTGATGGGCTCAACGAAAAGAAAATCCCACACATTGTGGTGACAGGGCGAGGAAGGATCATTGTTTGGAGTTGGGGATGGACTGCTTTTTATGGCTTGTTGCCTCAGGCCGCAACTTAGTCATTCCTCTCAACCTCCAAAATGTATAGCTGGTTCATTGGACAATATACAGGACACAGAGTATTATCCGGAGCTAATTTTCTCAAAGAAGAACCTGCATCGCCGTCATTTACATATCAACACGTGGAGTTGACACCTGACATCCCAGGCGCAAATCGGTTGAATGATGATCCGCGCATCAACATGAGCCTCATGATAGCGCATGTTCGTCGTCTTTAAAAGCCCCTGAAACACACCCCTTTTTTGCCCTGGCGCACATGAAGACCACAGATGTCGGCCTCAGACCTCTCGATGTCTCAGCCCCCCGAGACGAGGGACCTCCATAATAACGAAGATGTTGAGACGCCCGTAGCCGCTACTTTGACCGATCTCTCCGCCCAAACACAGGAGGAAACCTCGAAGCCAGATAACAACCAAACCGGCGAAATGGGTCATGAAAAGGCAAAAGAGCCACTGGTATTAGTTGACCCCTCCGATTCCGCTCCGAAATCTTCGACAACAGCTCCCCAGCCCTCATCACTACTTGATCAAGAGCCACTTGCGGGGCAGATGGAAAGCCTGTCGATCTCAGGAAATACGGTGCCAGACCAGTCACCCAGCGCGAATGCTCCTCCTCCACCTACTCCTCCCGAAAAAGACGATGTTTACCTCAACTCAGCCTCCGCGGCTCCTGCGCGAACACTTCCGCCTATCGATACAAGCTCCGCCGGTCCCGAGAAAGAGCTCCCAGATGTGCCTGGCCGGAATGATACAGAGACAAATCAGGCTGGTCAAGGCGAAGAAGCTCGAGAGGATAATGATTCTCAGCCAGAGATTCAAAATATTATGGGGCAATTCCAAGACCCCGCGCGAAGCTTCGACCAACAAGAAATTATGTCTCCGCGACTCGAACTTGCTGATCAGTTCCGCGGTCCCGGCTATTTCCCGCCGCGCAAGTCGAGTCTTGATCCTGCGCCCCAGGCTGAATCTGCAACTTCTCCTATAGGTACATCGCCAGAGAGCCAGGCATTACCCAAAGTATCCCACAAGTCTGTTGCTCATGACGAGTCGATGTCAACTCGGCGGTCGTCTACCTCCACCGTTCCACCGATGCCGGAACCTGAATCAGACAAGCCCTTTGACTTCCACCGGTTCCTCGAACAACTGCGTCACCGTACTGCCGACCCGGTGGCTAAGTTCTTACGCTCATTCCTTATGGAGTTTGGAAAGAAGCAATGGATGGTCCATGAACAGGTCAAAATTATCAGTGATTTCTTGACATTTATTACGAATAAAATGGCGGTATGCGAAATATGGCGGGATGTGTCAGATAGCGAGTTCGACAACGCCAAAGAAGGCATGGAGAAGCTTGTTATGAACCGTTTGTACTCCCAGACTTTCGCGCCAGCCATCCCGGCCCCCCAACAATACCCAGAAGCGCAAGCCGGAGCCGACGGAGAGAGCTTGAGCGGCTTCATGGGCCCTGGCGTCGAGGCCAGCACCAAGAGGACATCGAACGAGATGATATCCTGGCCCAGAAGATTCGCATCTATGGGTGGGTAAGTGAAACACATCTCGATATTCCACCTGTGAGCGGCGGTGGACGTCGCTTCTTGAATTTAGCGCAGCAAGGTATGTATACATCTTGAATTCTCCAGGCTTATCTGACTTGCTTCATAGAATTATCAAAAATTAACGGCTACCGGGCTCCCCGAGATAAGGTGATCTGCATCCTGAATTGCTGTAAGGTCATCTTTGGTCTTTTGAAGAATACTAAAAAGGCCGATACATCCGCCGACTCTTTCATCCCTCTCTTGATCTATGTTGTTTTGCATGCAAACCCGGATCATCTCGTCTCCAACATCCAATACATTCTACGTTTCCGCAACCAAGACAAACTCGGCGGGGAAGCAGGATACTACCTGTCGTCTTTAGTATGTCTTCACCCCATATAGACCACTTTGGTCTGCTATACGGCCTATCAAGCTGACTTGTTCCAGTCTGGAGCCATCCAATTCATCGAGACACTCGACCGCACCAGTCTTACCGTTAGAGACGAAGAATTCGAAACCAACGTCGAGGCTGCAGTCTCTGCCATCGCAGAACAAAACCGTGAATCAGAAACCTTACAAGAAAAAGCCTCAACCCAACCCCCCTCCCAACCTCAAGCCGGCCCAAGCCGCAAAGACGCCCCCCAGTTCAGTAGCGACGACGACACTTCCGCCCCCGTCGCAGGATTACTCCGCACCATTCAAAAGCCTCTCTCCACAATCGGTCGCATCTTCTCCGATGACGGTGATGCCGGCCCTTCAGCCCAAGACCGACCTCAACCCGTTCCCACCCCTCAGCCTGGAGTCGCTCCACCCCGACTCACCCCTAACGTCTACCAACCCCCGCGCACAAGCAGCGAGGAACGCCGTCGGTCCGGCGACGAGCGCTCCGGCCCTATCCGCCACGGCAGCGGAGCATCTGCTAAAAAGAACTTAACCCGTGTGCTCGATGCCCAGGACGCGGCAGCCCGCCAGGCTAGCGCCGAGGATGCCGAAGCGCGCCGTATCCAGCGCAAAGAACATAATAATGTTGTCGAGACGCTGTCCAACATGTTCCCCAACCTGGACAAGGATGTCATCGACGATGTCGTTAAGATCAAACAGGGCAGGTAAGTGCTCTACTTGCACCTCAGGAACATCCCGTTAGATCTAAGTTAACCCATGACAGGGTTGGTCTCGCCGTGGATGCATGCCTTGCTCTCAGTGCCGAGTAATATATAGAATCTTGCATTTCTTGCTTCGGAAAATCATCTCACGAACAGCGGCAGTATCTTTTTTTTTTTCAGATTCAGATGAATTAGCGCAGCGCGAATAAGTAATGGCTTTTCATACTGAACGTACTCCTTATACAGTAGTAACGTGTTGGTTGTAGATGTCCTGATACCCACCATTTCAGAAAAAGGGTAATAATGAATTGAATAACTAAATATAGAAGAACAAATACTAAGAGCATGGCAAATACCAATAGTCTGTATTGAAAGCTGATTACTGCAGTCCATAACTCTGGTGAATCGGCAGTTGAGTAGCGCAAACTCCCAAGATCCTCGGCTCCCCGCAAAAAGACCGCGGCCTCTCTCCCGGAAATTTATTGAACCAAATCCCCATACTTCTGGGAACTTACAGAGTATACGCCTCGCTGTCTCTGTCTCTGTCTCTCTCTTCACTCTCGGACATTGTCCACCATGTCCTCCCCCTTCCGCATCGTCGAACATGTCATACCAAGTCAACACATCAGGGAATACCCCGGCGCCACAGCCAACGAACAGGAAGAATCCCTGCAACTAGCCGTGAAACAATACATTCCCCTCGATAATCCCAACCCGAGACCAGGCGACGTGACCATCCTCGCTGCGCACGCGAATGGCTTCCCCAAGGTGTGGAACAAAATGCCGAGGTCCAGCTCCGACCCGCTCCCGGAGCTGCGCGTCGCATTGTAATATGCGAAAATGTCGGTTGATGATGTACTAACCATTTTCTCAGGAGCTGTATGAACCTCTCTGGGAGGAAATCCACGCGCGGTCGCAGCAGAATGGTTTCCGCATTCGCAGTATCTGGATGGCTGATGTCGCGCAAGAAGGCGAGAGCAGTGTGATCAATGAAGACACGCTGGGAAATGATCGTATGCGACCTGACTCCATATGGCACGAAGACTCTCATGCTTATTAGACCGCAGCTAGCTGGTTCGATCACCCGCGCGATCTGCTCCATCTGGTCAATGTCAAGAGGGCAGAAATGCCCCGGCCCATCGTCGGCATTGGACACAGCATGGGCGGTGCTCATCTGTAAGTCCAACCCAGCATTTTAAACCAGCGCAATATATAACTAATCAAACCCCAGCACGCAACTCTGCCTAATGCACCCCCGTCTCATCCACACCCTAGTCCTCCTAGACCCAGTGATCCAACGCCAAACAACCCAACTAGACGGCCTAAGCCTGCTCAAGAGCAAGCGCGAAATAGCCAAAACAACCCAACTATCCACGCACCGGCGCGAGATCTGGCCCTCCCGCCAAGCAGCACTAGAAAGCTTCCAACGAAGCCCCTTCTACAAAACCTGGAACCCACGCGTGCTGGACCGCTGGGTAAAATATGGTCTCCGGGATCTCCCAACAGCAATCCACCCACTGCCCCCAAACGCAGACAAATCCAATCCTCCCGTAACCCTCCGCACACCCCTGCATCAAGAAGTCTTCACCTTCTCCCGCCCCAATTACACCCACATCCCAGGCAGCCCAGACCCCGTCAACCGCGTCACACACCCAGATCTGGACGCCGACCATCCAGACACATATCCATTCTACAGACCCGAGCCTGCGCGGATCTTCGCTCAACTCCCGCATCTGCGTCCGAGTGTACTTTACATCTTCGCCGGGAAAAGTGATATGTGTCTGCCACCTATGCGGGCTGATAAGTTGGCTAACACGGGCACTGGGCTTGGGGGCAGTGGAGGTGTTGCAGCTGGGCGGGTTAGGGATGTTTTCCTGGAGGAGTTTGGGCATTTGCTTGCTCAAGAAGCTGTGGATGAGTGTGCTGATGCTGCTGTTGCTTGGCTTGCTCCTGAGTTGGGACGCTGGAGAGATGAGGAGGAGCAGTTCCGGGCCGGTTGGGAGCGGAAGTCCAAGATTGAGAAGGTTACTGTTGATAAAGAGTGGTTGGACAGGGTCCCTGCCCCTGTTCGGAGGGCTAAGAAGGTTGAGGCGAAGCTTTAAGGGGGGAAACATCATGAGCCTGTGACGCTTGCTCTTCTTCTCTGCTTATTCTCCTGATATTTTCTTGCCTTCATACCCCGGGTTGGACTGGACCATGCATGCATGATACGGCGGAGTATGCCACATCTTCATCTACACTAGCACCCACGTACATACCTCATCTAGAACTTGAAACCAGGATGTGGATCGTGAGACATTTTCTATTGCACTTCATATCCTACGAATGACACTGAATGAAAACTCCCCAAGTCCAACCCGACTCCCATATATAGCAACGACCCCATCACGCCTCAGTTAACAATGTATTTCTAAGCACCAAAAGCGAAAGCAAAAAAAAAAAAAAAAAAAAAAAAAGGAAACTTCCGTCTCAGGGACGAATCGAGAACGCCAAGAATTGAAACGATCAAAAAGTGCCCCGAGTCTCACAGCAAAAGGGATTGAGATAGACAGGAAGGAGCGTGGTATCTAGTTCATGTTCATTTGCAAAATTGTGGTATATCGCTCCCAGGCATAGGCGCTGAAGTGAGCCAAATACACCGACGGGAAAGCAGGAGAGGGGGAGACACTGAAAAAAATCTGGGCCTTTTCAGATTGACTTTTTGTCCTGGGTGATAGTGTCAGCGGTGCGGACCACTTCGGGAATATGCCAGAAGCGCGCCCAGCGCAGTTGGTATTCGTCCTGGCGGCCGTTAAGACAATGGCGGAGCCAGATGCCCCAGATGATATAGAGATAAGCGCCTAGTCCAGTCATGACGTGCCTGTATGAAAGTCATTAGCGGGATGCCCGATGATGCCAGTCTACGAGGACAATAAAAGTGTAAGCTAAAACATACCACCAACCGTGACCCTCCAAGATAAGACCCCAAGGCAAGCCAACCTGGTGACGCAGCCGCCGAACCTGAGAGCAGAAAAGATTATCCAAGTTCCAGATTGCGAAACCGCCTAGGAACATGACCAGTCCATAGCAAACCATGAACCACATGGTATTGAGGGTCTTCTGATCGCGCACGTTCTCGTAGTGCTGGCGCTCCTTGGTAGGCACAGGGAGACCCTTCATCTGACGCTCTAGGCGGTCTTCCTCAGTTGAGTGGCGCCACTTTGGTCGGAGGGTTACTTCCATGGTGTGCATACTCCGGAACACCACGACGATCGTTAATAGGGCGTAGGCATTCTGGTGGAAGACTGGGTCTTGGAGGTAGTGGTAGTATAGAGTGATGAAGATGGCAAGGCCGGTTAGGGAAAGGGCGAGCCAGACTCGGAGGATTACTGAGCGCGAGTAGGAAAATGAGGCGTAGACCATGAGACAGGTCGTGTATATCATGGAGAGCTCGTCGACTAGTTGCATAGGGTCTGATGGGGCTGGTTAGCTTGGTTCTTTGATGTATGCCCTGCCTTATAATTGTCGCGGTTTGACTTAAATTCTTGGGCTGTGGGGAACTTGCATTTCAGGGTTGAATGGAAGAGGAAGCTTCCTGTGCCGACTACTAGGTAGCCTAGCAGCGAGACGATGAAGATCTGGTCATGTCCATTGCGAATACAGCTGCGGATGCCCTTGAATCCAAGCCACATGAACATCAGATTTGTGAGGGTGTTGACAATCTCAGCGGAGTATTCGGTAGCATAGTAGTCCTGGGAGTATTTGTTAGCTATGGCTCATCGGTGTCCCGCCATCTATCGCATAACTTACCTCTTCGCACCAGTTCAAGGTGGAGGTAACAGGCTCCCAGTACCCATCCTTTGCAGGAGGATATGGGAAATGAGGTAGATACCGAGCCATCAGGGTTATCAGGCCTGTCTCAGTTGGTATTTGGGGGAAAAGTGAGGTTGAAGGGAAAACAAGACATGACGTCGATTATCACCCCCCAAATTGGCGCTAACTGATTGGTTGCCCGAGTCCGCGCCATGCCGGGGCTGTTTGCGGCGTTTCTCTTTTTCTTTTTTTGTTGTTTTATGTTGTTTGTTTTCGTTTTACTTGTGTTTTGTTTATCTTGCGATTGATATCTATTGTTATGCTATATGCAGGACTATAAACATAGACATAGGCATAGGCACAAGGATAGACAGACATAGATCTAGCCGCATGTCTGAACATTGGTGCCTAATTTAAGTGGACGGTGGCATGTTATATAACAATCAGTTATGCAATTTGGTTGTGCCACTCAATTTCATGCATTTGCAAGTGCATAAGGGCATCTCTGTTTAGTTAGCGTTATGTACTTCTGTATAGCAAACGGCAGCGGTGAATGCGGCGGTGAGGCTTATCAGTTGCAGATCCCGATGACTTCACTCCGAGCCTCTTTTTTCCGAGGTTCACAACAATTGCTTCGTATTTTTCCCTCCAAGTCATTCCCAGGTGGAATGCAGGCTATTATCTGACTGTGACGATTGTGGTCTGGGGAATTCTTCGCTGTTTTGCTCTTGCTGTTTTGAGAATTTTTTACGCATCCGGCTATCACCATCCCGCCTCGCATACACGACTCGCACCTTCGATCTGGCATCGAATCCCCTATCCTCAGCCTAATCATCGCTGCTGTTAAACTACTACGGGTCGTTTGTGGCTCCTGCACAATGTCGAACAACGGCGCGGTAGCAGTGCCGCAGGTGAAAACCAGCCCCTCAACAAGTATGCCTCGGTCAAATCTCAATGGCTTCTCCTGCTAACTGTGTATTGTTGCAGCATCCAAAACTCCATTCCACTTTGCCGCAGGACTTTGCTCTGGGCTCACCTCTTCCATCCTCCTCCAACCCGCCGATCTGCTCAAAACTCGAGTCCAGCAATCCCAGGGTGCCTCCCTCCTTCCAACCCTGAAAGCAATTATCTCCTCTCCAAACCCAATTCGTGGACTATGGCGTGGTACACTCCCCTCAGCCCTCCGGACAGGCTTCGGGTCCGCCCTCTACTTCACCAGTCTCAACGCACTGCGCCAAGCCGTAGCGCAGACCAACCCAATGGCCCTGGCCAGTCCCGCAAACTCCGCCAAATCCTCCTCCGTTCTTCCTAAACTCTCAAATACAGCAAATCTAGCCACCGGAGCTGTTGCAAGAGTAGCCGCAGGCTTTGTAATGATGCCCGTGACTGTCCTCAAAGTTCGCTATGAATCCGACTACTACGCATACCGGAGTTTACTAGGCGCAGGACGAGATATTGTCCGAACGGAAGGTCTACGGGGCCTATTCGCAGGATTTGGCGCTACAGCCGCCCGTGACGCCCCATATGCAGGCCTCTACGTCCTATTCTACGAACAACTCAAGCGCCGCTTCTCCGTGATGGCCAACAAATCCACCAACAATGAGACACCAACCACAACGGTGTCCTCCTCCTCAATCAACTTCGCCTCCGGTGCAGCAGCCGCCGGTATGGCAACCGCCATCACCAACCCCTTCGACGCTGTCAAAACCCGCCTGCAGTTAATGCCAGCCAAATATGGCAACATGGTGCATGCCACGCGGCTGATGCTGCAGGAAGATGGCATGCGCAGTCTCTTTGGTGGCCTCGGTCTCCGCATGGCCCGCAAAGCGATTAGCTCGGCGCTTGCCTGGACCGTCTATGAGGAGCTTATCCTGCGCGCTGAGAAGCGTCTGGAGAGGAATCACAAGATGGGTCTTTAGGCTTGTGTTTTGTCTGTCCTTATATTTACTTCTCCTGTATACATACTCATCCCACTTTTTGTATAATAGCCTAGAATCGAAAGCACTGGTCTGCGTCCGTGCCCGGATGCGCATGTGCATGCCTTGCATTAGGCTTAGTCCAATGGGAATTCTAGAGATGGAGATTGATGGACTGCTTTGCATGTTGTTTATCAATTCTCCGACTCCACTTGAAGCCTTCAATGTTGCATTCATATTGGGGAGTTCCCAGTTGCTACTGTGCTCAACTTCTACTTGTATAAAACCCGAGAACGTCACCAAACTGTTTATTGACAGGCAAGGTTGACCGGATACATAGAATTGAGCAGCGATAAGTGAGACTGACAGAGAGAAGAAAAGACGGGAAAAAACCGAGTCATAAGCTCATGTCGCGTTACTGTACTACCACATGTTCTGTGACGTAAGAAAAGAAACATGACCAGAAATAGAAACAAAGCGCAACGCAAAATAATTTCAACCACAAGCAATCGCATCAATCGTGATCAAGCCAAATCCCAAAAACACAGAGGCAAGACAGTGCGTAAATCAACAAGCATCAATCGTATCAAACTCTAAATGGACACTCATGCGAAGACGCGCAGTCGGCCCTTAGGGCTCTTTTTCCGAACGAGGAACATCTTGTCCTTGTTGCGGTCGTTGACTCTCAGTTCAGTCATCGAGTGGGAGGTCTGAGCGATGACTCTTTGGTTCTCCTTCTGGTGACGGATGCGGATAGTGTGAGCAAAGAGCTCCTCTTGAAGGTCCTCGTTGATCCATTTTTTGATGATGATGTATTCGGAATCGTGCTGCTGAGGGTTATTATATTGTGACGGATACAATTGATATTTCTCTTACCTCGTCCCAGTCCCAGGGCAGTCCGTAAGCGAGCAAGGTCTCCGGCAGCAAGTGCTTGCGATGAACCTGATAGACAATTAGTCAAATCCCCAAGTAGAGGTTGGAAGATGCATACCTTGATCCAAGTAGCCTTCTCCTTCTCCTCCTTCTTCTCTTCCTTTTTGTCCTCTTTCTTCTCTTCCTTCTTCTCCTTCTTCTCCTCCTTGTTCTTCTTCTTGAGAATAGCCTCAATCTCCTCCTCAGTATACCCAAACTCAATGCGCAGCCGATCACGGAACTCCTTGTCCTTCCGCGCAGCCTCCTCCCTCTGCCTCTGCTTCATCCTCTCCTGCTCAAGCTTCCACTCCTCAACCGCAGCAGCCTTCATCGCCATCTCCTTAGCCCTCTTCTCCGCATCCTCCCTCGCCTGCCTAGCCTCCTCCTCCTTAATCTGCCTCACAAGCTCATCTCTCTCCTCTTTCTCCTCCTGCAACCTCGCAATCTCCTTCAACTTCTCCTCCCGCACAAGCCGACTCCTCTCCTCCTTCTCCTCCTGCAACCTCGCAATCTCCTTCAACCTCTCCTCCTTCAGCTTATGCTTAACCTCCTCCTCCTCAGCAGCAGCCCGCTGCGCCTCCTCAAACCTCTTCAACTTAAGCCTCTCCTCCGCCTCCCGCTGACTAGTCTCATCCCGATACTTCCGTTCATAGCGATCAAGCTTCCTCAACCGATCCCTCATCTCAGCCTCATAAGCCTCCTCCTCATGCAGCCGCCACGCCTCCCTCGGATCAATCTGCGGCTGCGGCTGCGGCGCCGGCACCGGTGCAGGTGCAGGTCGCTCCTTATGCGCGCGCTCATGCGTGCGCGCAAGCTCCCTCTCCAACCGCTCAATTTCCAGCTGATGTTTCCAGAGATCCATATCCTGGCGTATATCATTCCGCTCCAGCGAGTGCTGGTTAGCGACTAGCTCATGGTCACGGTGGAAATGCATCGGCGAGGCATCGCGCGAGACGCTGCTGTAGCTGCGCTCGCGGGAGTGGTGGTGCGCGTGGGCCGGCACTTGCACGGCTGGGGCTGGGGGTGGCGGGGCTTGCGGGACTTGCAGGATGTCTTCGTCGTGGAAATGGTTGCCGTTGTGCTCGCTGACGCGGTGTTGGACCCGGCGCGATGAAGGCTTGTTCTCGCTGCGTTGGGCTTGGTCGTTGAAGATCATTACGGTTGGGTTTTGGGGTGGGTCGCGCTCGCGTCTGCGGCCGCCTGTTGAGGCCGACCGGTGCATTCGTGTTGGTTGCGCTGGTGCTAGAAAGGTCTTCACTTCTGGGTGGGCGTGATGGTGGCGTGAGGTTGAGCGTTGGCGGATGTGGGTTCGTCGTCCGGGGCGTCGGAGGGAGACGTCTGTCTCTGAGAACTCCGAGTCCTCGGAGGTGTACTCGTCGTCCCAGACATCCACGGGCATTTTGGGTGGTTGTGAGGTTGTTGGTTGGGGGTGTAGATTGGGCCCGATGGAGGGGGCCGGGGGGTGTAGTCCGATATAGAGGGAAATGAAAGAAGAGTAAGGGTGAGATGAAAATCGAAAGTTAGAAAATAGAAAATCAACTAGAGCAGAGGGGCCAAAAGTGCGTCTATACGAGAGGCTTATCGGGCGGGGGAGGGGCTGGGAAGAAAAGAAGAGGGAAATAGTCAGGAGAACAGGTATTTATTGAGCTCTATATGCATTTCAGCCTCAGGGATCTTACATGTCCTCGATTTCGAATCCGTTCTATTCTATACCCTCGACCGTATTCCTATTCCCTCGCCATTCACTCTATTACCCCTACTATTACCCGATTTCCCTCCGTCTCTCACTGTTCCTTACACACACCTTCACCCATTCTCCCAGGGTTCTCCCACAAGATATCATCATAGAGGCCCACTTGAAGCCCACTCCAACGCCCTATCACCCCTTCTAGACCGCAAATTACAAAACCCCACCTACAAAAATAGGCCCGCCCCCCAACTCAGAATGCATCTCAAATCCTAATGCCCAGTGGTGCCCAGTAGAATATGAACTTATCGCGCGCGTCTTTGAATAGTGTGGACGATCCAGAGATCTAGATTTGCGTTCTGTTCGTGGGTTGTGTTTCGTCTCGTTCCTACCCAAGCGCCGACCCTGGCCCTGGCCGCCCCGGCTCTTAGTCTGGCTCCTAGTCTGACTTTGACTCCCGACAGGGCGTAAGCGCCTAATTACTGGATAGGTCGGGCACCAAGGGGTTGTTTCATCTTCAGTTGGATAGTATTCTAGTGATGCAGTATATAGATCTGGAATGTGAATGGAATGGAATGTGAACCCGTGGATTAGTCGGGTGTTCCCGTGAGTGACCCATGGGCACATGATGGCCACCTCGTGCCCAACAGAGCCCTATCAATGACTTCTTCAAGTCTAACTCGGGCAGGGAACATACTGTAGACGAGACAAAGATCTCACTAAGGTCTCACTTCTCAAGCATACCATACACATCCACACCTTATACCAACAACAGGTCAGCCACAATCCGCTCAATGATCTGTGGTACAGTATACATGGACATTCTGTGTACCGGCATGGCAAGAAAAAGTACCGCGCCACGCTACCTAGGCACATTCACATCTCGTGCTAGACCAGATCCCCTCCTAGGGAGACGGTAAAGACACTAACAATTTATCCCGTGTACCCACTACCTTACTATCCATGCACTATACAAGTCCATACATACAGAACTCACCACAATAATACTCCGTACAAATAAATCAGTTACACCACACACGGTGTCAGTGCATACAACATTCCCGGATTCCAGGCGAGAGTGTGTGTGTGTAAGTACGTCATTTTTAATATATGCACGGGTTGTGGGACTCCATTTGGCCGGTGACGGTAGCCCTACTTTTTGTGACTTGGGGATGACGTTAATGGCGTTCAGTGCAGGGATTTGGTTATACGTGAGTTTGTCTAGATGATCTTGTTGGTAGAGTATGATGTTTTGTGTATTTGGTTCGGTTATATTATTGGTGTACAGAGTAATTTCTTTTTTTTGCTCGGTTATCATGTCCTGGCCGGGTTAAGTATTAATGGCTTGTATTGATGTCGAATATATCGTCTGTGATCTGAAAACTTGATTGAGCGCTCTTTGACATTTCTCCTTGCATTGATTGTTGCTGCATTTTGATAAGACCTTATCAGCCCCACTGTGCTGCTTTAAGGATGCAACTAGTACATGTCAAATGTGAGGCTATTTTGTTGTCTGTGGGACAGTTATTTCATAGACTTGGGCATAGAGTCCAAGTATCATGTTTACGACTTTGCGTCGAATGTGCCAACATCGCGTCCCGATCTAAACATGAGCATTCAACGTGTATGCCATCCTACAGTCGATCGACATTATCTTGATATCAGATCGACAATGATAGAACAAATATGGAGACATTATCTGAAGATAGACTCGGTAGATAGCCTATCTAGATATTGTAAAAGAGATAGGATATCAAGTACACCTCTCCTCTTTCATCAAACACATTGCATCAAAGAATAAACTCCTGGGTATCCAAGTCACAGCCTGCAGCTCAAGTATACATGTGTAGAACCAGCCCAGCCGGACATAGAAGGGCGGCCATCAGTACCCTAGATGTCTCCGGGTATCCATTCCCAAGATGACATCTTCTCCATCTCCATTTTTGGTGTCGTAGGCCGACAAGAAGACAAACAGACACTCCTGTCGACCGTCCTTCAGCTTGGGGCCATTGGAATCGCCAAGCCCCTGGTAGAAAGATACCCTTAATAATATGCGCTCCTATCAGGCGCATCACACCTGTTTTCCTTCATTCTTATCATCCAATCATATCCCTTCACGCCCGACCTCCAGACTTGAGGATCTGCTCAAGGTTCTCCCGGGATTTCTGATGCGTCGTCTCATGGTACTGGAGCTTCTTCTCCAGATTCGTAATCTCAGAGGCAGCCTCGCCGCTCTCGCGTGTAAGGCGCTTGTTAATGGTATCGATGGGGACATTAACAAACCTGAGCAGGGTTCAACGTCAGTCTCACATCCAAGTAGATAATCAGTAGAAGCGACACAATTGGGTGAATGTCTTGAACCCCGAGATCGACAATCAAGAAAGAAGAGGAAAAAAAGTCACAAAAAAAAAAAAAAAAAAAACCACCCCAAAACAAAACACAGCAAAACAGAAATAGCAGGAGCTTACATCTTGCCAACACCCTCATATACTTTTGTCTCGGATGGCAAGTCGGACAACTCCTTCGATGTAAGCTGCAACATACGGATATCGCGCTGCTTGGCTGTCATGTGGGCCTTGGTGAGTCCGATTTGTTGCTGCGAAGCGATAGCGCGACTTTCGATCTCCGAGAGGAGCTGTAGTGAGACTGGTTAGCGCCTCTGCACGGATTATACGGATTGTACAATTTTAAGAGCTGGGATTTTTGGCGCGTCTCCGAGATGAGATCAGAGGCTGAGACCGATTCTCGGCGCCCCCTGATCCAATCGTGGGCCTGCTTCTGTACAGGGACGCTGAGGGGTATTTCGTTCGACACGCACCTTCTGGAGAGCTTCGTTTGGGATCGACATATTGGATATGTGGGTGTTGCGTTGGAGCTTGGGTGTGGTTGAGGGGTAGGGTGGAGGGGTGCGGAGGTTGTAGCGAGATTTATCTTTTTGAAACCGAGGTGGTGGAGATGGGATTAGGATAAATGATGATCGGCTGAGTTCAGGTTCGTGTGAGAGACTGTTTCAACTAGGTGTCACCACGCAATGTCTTAACAGAGTCAGTGAACTTGTTGCTTGGGGTCTGATGAAGGCGGTGGCCGAGAGGGCGGTGAACAGCGGGCCTTTGGGCTCGAAGTATACGAGTTGTGTTGACTTCACCATCTATTTGATTATTCTATTGAGGATTTGTTTCTTGGAATAACTTGGAACGGATATTTGACAAGTAAAGCAAATTCGCGATAAAAAGCAGATTACCACCCTGTCATCATTCTCCGACATCAGAAATCTAAAACTAAAAACCAGACGGCCCCCAGTTTCGTACTTGATCAACGATCAACAACAAAAATCAACATGATAGTTCCCCAAAGAGACAAACAAGGTAACATGGCACACACGAGAAAAAGAAAGTCGAAAAAGACGAAGCAATGAAATCCTCCTTGAGGCTCAAACTCAGACGCCCAACTCCATACCACCTAAGCTTTTGTTGTCCAGCCCAACGGCATGGCCAGCTCTTATGCTCTTCTAAGCGAGGAGTGCAGCAGTAAGAAACAATGAGCATAATCAGTTGAGCGAGTGGACATATGAAAGCTCTTGTCCAAAGAAGGAGTGAGCAGAACAATGGGGCTTAGTAGTTTTGGGCTGGGGCCTCGCCGCACCATATATCAAACTCGCTATGAATAGTATCAGTCATGCCAGGATGCTCGCGTTGCAAGTCCCATGTTTGGTCCCGAGCATCGGTGTTGTGCATGCTGGGGAGGTAGGCGGAGACCATATGAGGGTTTTGGTATGGGGCCGGGCTGGCAGTCATGGGTGGGGCTGCTGTGCCGGGGAAGTAGTTTGTGGTGGTGTCCTCGCCCCAGTTTGGGTATGATGAGATACCAGAGGCGAAGGCAGCTCCGGTCATGTTGGGGAGCCCGACAGCTTCAGTGCCATTGGGGTACACGAGCAGCGCCGGGTCCATGTGGGGGGCTGCGTGCGTAGATTGCGGCTGGAGCAGCTCGTGATGTGAGGCACCGGGGAGACCAGCGAGCGAGGAACCGTATTGGGTGTCCTGCTGGATTGGGGGGCTGGCTGCGCGGAAGTGGTCTTCCTCCATGTGGGTCATGCCATGGAATGAGTTGGACTGCATTGACAGGCCAGTGGGGTGGCTTGTGTTGGACCAGGAGGAGCTGATGTAGTTGGGCATGGACATGCCGTGCTCGGGGGTTCCGTATGGTGAGGGATCCCGGCTAATGTCGAAGTAGCTCTCTTCAAAACTCTGGTTGCGGGAGTGTGCAAATGATGGCCCTGGTGTCATTCTGGAAACTGTTGAGCCAACTTCACTCTCAAAATCCGAGCAGAATCCCTCCTCGAGGACGTGAGATTGTAAATGAGAAGATTCTTCATCTCGCCGGCTGACAATCTGACCTTGCTTGTTTGGGGAGAACTTGTATTCCGGGTGGGTTGCGGCGTGAGCATCGCGCTCAAGCTTGGCCAAGTCTTCATACTTTTTGCGGATATCATGCGGCTCCAACTTCCAGCCTTGACCCGCAATCCTGGAGACGACCTGATGGTTGGTCACCCCGACGAGCTTCTTGGTTCGTTCTGAGTATGCCGAGCGATAGAGCATGAAGGAGTTCATTGGCCGGGAGATCCTTCCCTTGGCCTTGGCTTCTTTCCTGCGAATCTCAGCAGGTCGGGCAACCCACGCGTCCATATCCTTGATTGGAACATCATAGTCTTCGGTAAGTTTGCTGATAGCCTCCTCAATCTTCAAGCCAGGTTCAGACAGAGTGCTTCTGGTACGGTTGCGCCGTTGTTGTTTTGCCTTGCCTGCTGGTGCACGGCGGCGAGGTGGAGTGGGCAATCCCATAAACTGTTCATCTGCTCCTGTAGGAGGTGTGTTTACCTGAGGACCAGGAATCATCATCTTTTGCAAAATCGGATCAGTTTGGCGAACCGGGTATTGCTGGGAAGAAGACTTACCATCTGAGGCGGAATAGTTTGAGGGAAAGTATTGGCGTTGAAGGTTGAAGGAGAGCCATATTGCTGTGGAGATTAGCAAGTTTGTCAACAACATAGAATAATAGACTCACCATGCCATGGGCCATGGTCCCGTTGAAATCATTAGAAGCCACGTTCATGCCTCTGTACATAGGCGGGTAACCTCCGCGGCCATCGAAGGGCTCTTCTATAAGGGAGGTCCCATCTGTTGACTGGGGAGGTGAAGGGGGAACAGGTGTTATCAAATTCATTGTTGTGGAGGTCTGGGAGACCCTAGATTGAGATTGGAAGCTGTTGCAGACTGGATATCCAGCGACAAGGAAAAGCCAGAAAAGGATGCCAGAAAGAGGAAAGAAGTGGAAGAGAAGTAGAATAAGATATGCTGTCGTGCTACCCTGACGATGGGCGGTTTTGCGTATGTGGTACTCCTGAAAGAGCGGGTCTCAAACAGAACTGCAGTGATGCCGGAAAGTGAGACAAACAGCGTAACCCAATTGGATAGTCAGAGTGTGTGAATGTATAAGCAGGATGAAGAGGGAGATCGGTGGAGCAGTGTCAAAGAAGTAGAAGACAGAAAGCCATAGACTTGAAGATTGGAAGACGGGCGGGTCTCGAACTAAATAAGAGAGGCGAAGATGGAGAGGGGAGAAGCAGATATGCAAACAGCGAAGCAGAGGCTGAAACTGACTCAAGAAGAAGGCCTGGAATACAATACGTCTGGTGTCGATATATTTCGCCTGGTCGCTGGTTTATTTTATTTTGTTTCTTTTTTACCCGACTTTATTTTTATTTTTGATATTATTATTTTTTCTATTCTTTTTTTTTTTTTTTTTTTAATTCTAAATCTTGGAAGTTCTTGTCGCAGATTAGCTTCTTTGTCCTAGTCAAAACATTCTATTCTCATTGGCTTGAGACGCAGATTTTCCATTCGCCTTCCATGGGTCATAGTTCATCTATAGATCCCCTGGTCACGTTTGTGCAGTGCGCAGCAACATCTCAAACAGCTGTCTTTGTGCCAAAATTGGCGAGCACAGGGTCTGGTCGCAAGAATAGATGGAGGACAAGTAGACAGTGCACCGGATATCCTGAAGCCCACATGGGATCAGACATGGTATGCTCTGGGCCATGCCACTGGCGGGGCGCAGACCATGGCACCGTAAAAACTTTCCAGTCGCATGATACCCGGGGATTTCCTGGGACAGATGGAAATGGGAAGGAGAGAATACTGGGGTAAGGGGTGCTAGATGGGTCGGGTGTTGCTATCCAAGCTCGGTCATAGAAGCTCTGGTTGGTTCATTCTCGTTTTCCTTTTTGGGATTTGCCTTTTCCCCATTTTTCCTTATTTTCTGTGCATATCCAACTGCCACTGTGCAACGGAAGCAATTATGAATATATATGGAATACTCCAGAAAGAAGCACGCCTACATTTGCATTTGGAATTCAGCCTCAACAAGAGCTCCGGTGTTCAAGGATTCTACAGTAGAACGTCGGTGTATTAGATTGGATGGACACGGGTAACTTTGGGGGCTTAAGCTCAGCCCTGCAAGAATTTTAACGGCTATACTACCTAGATACTAAGTGCATGACAATACCAAAACCTCTCCACTCTCCAGTCTCTGGGATGGCCTGACATCTGCACGAGGGGGATCATTATCAACTTCCCCGCCGAGCATTCGGTGGACCCATCGATCTCGAAAGTATCCAAGATAGATTCAACTCAACCATGGAATGGCATCGAGAAATAGGAAACAGTCTAGATCTGAGAGCCAGGGATTCGGGGAGCTCTGGGTTTGGAACTCAAGAATGAAATACAGTTACATGTAGCTCGGAACCTGGAAGCCTACAATGCCGGGGACGAAGACTTATGCCTCCCCTAGAAACTTCCCGTCTATCTCGGCTTTAGTCGAGTAGATCCTAAGGGAGCGTCGGTTCAGACTGTCGCGCCACCTGAGTGATTGGCGGGGGCCGGTTGATGTATCCGGTCGAGTCTGGTCGGTGTCTTGGCAGACTAAGCTCCTTTGGATCGGAGCGTGACCTCCGATACCCTAGTTTGTCCAACAGGGTTTCCCCCATGGGCCCCGTTCCATAGGATTCTACTTTTTGACTTTGGTCTCGGGAGTGCCGATCTATATGACGGTTCCAGTTTGTGCTTGCCCCAATGAACGCATGAAGCATTTGGAAGGTGTACTCAACCACATCTATCCAATTCTATCCATAACAGCGGCTCGCGCTTACGCCACTAAGGTTTAGCGTCTGTCTACTCCTTTGTTGACAGGGGGAATCGCGGAGACAGAACGCCTCCGCAGATCAGATCCATGACCTGAGGCATGCATCTTCTTTGACGGGGTCTTGATCGGGGGGCTCAAGCGGTTCAAGAATGACAGCTGCAGGGACTTGTCGCCCCGACAATGCGGTGAGAGCCCATCTAACCCCTGTGTTTCCTAGTAATGAACCATAATTCTCTCAACGCCCATGTCATCTTACCCTGTTGTGCGCAGGTACGGCTGGCCACGTTTTCTACCCTCGTCGGGCTTGGCCATGCGATTTCCCTTTGTTTGACCCTGCAAGTTGGCTTCGTCGGGGATCTCTTGAGAACCCCGGACCATACAGAACGACTATCAATTGCCGAAAAGTTGGAGAGCGTTGAACTGCATGAACTGTAATGCGCTATACAAGTGCTGTGGCAATTCCCCCTTGAGGGCTGACAGAATGCGACTTGCGTCTGCAGGTCCATGTGGTTGACTGCTGTATCAAAGGAGTTCATTCAGGCCGACTCATTGAGCTTATCTTTCTTTTTATTTATTTGTGGGGTCGCCCCCAAGTGCTCCTGTCAGCACTCTGTTAGATGTGTGGGTATCTACAAGTCTGGGGGTCAGCATGAATGCACATAAATCTCAATTTCGGATTATCAAAATTACTTCGTAGTACTCCGCAAAAGGTGGAATATTTCACCCTCCGCCGACTCGGTGGACAGTCCATATCAAGGGTCTGTATTTCAATTCAACATGCCCGCTCCCGAATGTTGAGCTGTCGATTTACCCATTTGCACAGAGTTCTCTTTCCGGAAAACGGTGCTCTAGGTTGATTACCAAGGATCAGGAAGCGGACCCCACCTGGAGTCGGTGATCACAAAAGTATAATACGATCATCCGCCGAGACGGTGGAATCCCACCTGAGAGTCAAGCAGTAATTCATACCAAACTCAATAATAGTTATCCTCGTATTCGATTCATTCAAATGAATGCACAGCCCTCTAAGATTGGACAGCCGCGATAACAGCCCTTGCATGCTTTCCAAAAAATAAAAAAGTGGAAACACGATTGACAGCAAGGATCTCCGCTCAGGGCCCTTTCCTGCCCTTCTAGAAGGCGTTGGAGGCTCAGCGCCATGCCGAAAAAGGGCAATAGAGAAGAAATTCCAACGCTACATCAAGCCATCGGGTCTTCTGACTCGCGTTCTTTGGGCACCGCCCTGATCGCCGCAGTTTAAAACAGCTGCGGTTCATGAAAACACCTCCTTGCCCAGATCGCCCGGTCTGGCAGGTCTAGAGATAACTACGTTTCAGCGTGTTTCGAGTTGTTCATTGTTGATGCTATTCTCATCGACCCGACGGGAGGGTTAGAGATGAACAAGAGTCGTTATAATTGGGACGATCCAATCTAGATTGCATCAAAGAAAACAGAACAAACTGAAGAGATATGAACGAATCAATCCTCTGTTCATGCGAATCCACCCAAACTAACCCCCTAAGTCACTAACTCACTTCCAATGATGCCTGTCTAACCTCTGGTCCCCGATGCACCGCTTTGATGAACGCCGGCTCTGCAGGGGTACCGGTTGGTCCGGCAAAGAGAGGGTTATTTATTGTCACAATCTGCCGCGATATCCCCAACGCAAGTCAAAAAGCTCAACACACCCATGAGACAAGCCCATCTGTCGCAATCCCGGTATACCACGCCCTGCTCAGCGTGGCCAGGTCGGGGATCAAATCATCCAAGCTAAATTGGGGAGAAAAGATAGAGATGGGCAGAAAGGGCGAGGAGCGGGATGGAAAGACATGGGGTTGACAGGCCTACCAGGGAAATTCACGCAAACAAGGATCGTCCATCGACATCACAGTGATGTCTTCAAGCCCGATTGACCTCAAATTACCCTATCAGATCCCTGACCAAGCAGACGGCGGTAAAGAGGCAATAGTCAGCGTCGGCGATCAAAGCCATAGATACGTTCAGACCGCTATACGGGACATGTATCGCGAGGCACCAGCTGCACAACTACGGCCGTCTCATGGTGAACCAACCAGGGATGTGGACGCTGCTAAGCTCGAAAGGGGAAATTGGCAGCGATAATCGATGGCGAGCAGTGCATGCCAACGTTATCATCCAACAACTAACACTGGTCGGGATTGGGTAGGCGATCAACGGGTTTCCCTGCCATACTATAATGCGTCGAGATGCGATGCTGCAGTGCCGCAATGTAGTTTAGCGGGGATGTTTCTTATTGACCGGGTTTCTTGTCCAAACGCCAAATTCACTTGTCATTCTGGACCATGCTGTTTCCGGTTCTACCATGTATATAACATGGCTGTATGTTTTGTTTTGTTTTTTGGTTGTTGTTTTTTGGTCGGTGGCCACTAGCTCTGAATAGCGTCAGTAATGGGTATTGATCTTCATATCGTCGAGATTCCAGTGTATTTTCCCCACTTTGGGTTTTTTGATCTCGAGGGGCGAGTCGTGTTCGCATTTGTCGTTGGCATAATTCGAAGTACGCTCCGTCGAGGCTCGAATGTGTCGAACCCGACAGCCTCATTATTTGGAGGAATCGTAGTATATTGGGAGGTTGAGGCTTCAGTCGCCTGTATTGGCTGTCTTCGGGTAATGTTATGACAGAGGTCATATTGGGCACCGAAACTATCCTTCATTAACCTATCTCGGTAAGTTTGGAGCAAGAGCAATCCCATCAGAACGGGCTCCCCGAAAATCCCTTCCAGCCTTCCAGGCCGAAACTATCCTTCACTTGCCTATTTCGGCGGCATTTGGAGAGTCTAAGGGGATGGCATATGCACAGATATCAGTGTCAGTGCCGAAATGCAAATGCCCAGAAGTAAAAGATCGAGTGGAAAGTTAAACTCCAGATCCAGCGGATCTGGATGTGTCACATCCCCCGTCCAAAAGGAGACCGGAGTTCAGGACTCGGAGTATACGAGGGTAGACATGATTCATGTATCCCAACTATATCCGAAATAAATGCAAAGCTAATGAGTGCCAGAATACGAACTACGACCCGAGCCAAATTGCGAACTACAGATTGACCATTGATCTACTAGCTTATAGCCGACAAGCGAAGGCAACGTGACGCGGCACGGTACAACGGGGCCGTCGGTGGCCGCATCGGCGTTCGTATCGGCCGAGCTCATCGGAAGATTGGCCAGCTCGAGCGAGATCCCTGCAAGCAGCGCGCTAGTCGCTGCGTCACCAGCATGAGAGGACGGTCACCTGAAATCCGACACTCGAAATCCGGGGACCCATGGGCAAGGCTGACAGGGAGGGAAGTCCTGCCGCGTACAGTACATGTACATGTGCATGTGCATGTGGACATACAGCATTGGTTAGCCCTACAGAGCACAGAGCGCGCCGGATCTGCAGATAGAGTTACTCGAACCAGATCAAGAACGGGCAAGGTCTGAGCTTCTTCGATTCAGGGGCCCCGGAGACACTCGGCCTTGGAGGATCGGAGGTCGGTGGCGTGGGTAGATCGTATCTATCCAGAGTAGATGCGGTACAGTACTCCATACTTGTGTGATAGTGGTGGTCATCACATCCAACGGCAGCCGAGAGTCCCCGCTTCGCCCGGTCATGAGGCACTGGACGGGGGATTACCGGGGGTCTGGATGTATAGTGTGTTCATCTCTATGTTGGCGGTAGGGAGGAATGCGATCTCTGCGTATGCGCCACGAAAAGTCAATGACTGGTTCATCACGCACATCCCGGTTGGCTCTTGAGCGGATTGGAGGTCTCTTCTCCACTTCTAGTTACGCCGGCTACGTCCGGGAGTTGGGGAGTTGGGGTGGGGATGGAGCGGCGGGAGATTTGCGGAGCACGGTCTTATAATGAGATGTATAGTATGTAGGTACGTTGGTATGTTGGTGTGTTGAATATGAGATATAAAATCTTCGGTCTAGCCTGAGGTAGAAGCGATCCTTTGCTATGCAGGGTCCATCGAGGGGGCAAACGACGATCTCAGACACGAAGGAAATTGTCCCGTAGTCCCTCCTGAGGTTGAACTTCAAACCGTGACATATTGGAAAAGAAATCCTCGGAAACGCGGGAAGCGAATACTATACGACTGGCCGGGCCAACGTCCAGAACTCCGCAGATGGAAATGAACAGATATGGAAAATAAGCGTGTAGATGAGCTGCATGTGTGGAGAATATCGGATCGTGTCTGCTGATGAGCCTAATTGCATCGGAGATTGCAGATCCAATGAGTTTAGCTTCTTTTACAAATCCTCTAGGCGCCGTAAACACCGATGCATACGGTACGGACAGTTCGGATTGTTTCCCCCTTCGAGGTTAGCATGCCTATTCCCAGTGAGCAGTGGAGCTTCATATCCCATTTCCTCGCTCGGTGGCTCATCGCGCGCAAGTCTTGACTCTCTGCTCCGCTGTATGACCGGTAAAATCAACGCGCCAGTTCAGGGATCAGCCAATGGTCCTTGCACCTGTCAAGTGATTATGTTGTTGCCTATCGTTTCGATTCCTTTGGATCCACCGATCTACCTCTGGAAGACCGTGTTCTAAGTGGGCGAAAGGGAATGACCTACAGAACTATCGACTGTTGAATCCGGAGCTGGAAACGAGGTTCGGCATGAGTCTACTGTATCTGGATCTGTCTTGTCTCTCGTATTCTTGATTTTGCTTCTTTTCTATATGTTTGACTTGGGTTTAATCTCATTTAATGTATTTTTCAGATACGTCTACTTCGGGGCTTGACTCTTACCTGACGGGATAGGCGGCAGACGGTGTGTACCTTTGCAGCCCAGCACCAACGGTAGTGTTAGTGCTTGATCTACATCGATCGCGTCAAATTAGCTCCACGCAAGTTGACTGCGCCGCATGTCCAGCCCGACAAAACAAGTCTAGGGCCGTATTTCTGCTCGAATATGACTCGTTCCAGCGATGGGTTTTATGATGTTAGCGCGCTCGATTTAACGTCGGGCATCTGCCGCCAGGGAACCTACCAGGCTAAGCTGAAATCGTAGACAGTATTCTCTTGTGGCGACGGTCTAGGACAGGAAGGGGAGGTTCTTGATCTCGGTGCTTTCCCCCTGGTCATGGTGGTTATTCTTCCCGTGCTACTGTATCATTGTCTTAGTAAATGAACGGCGAGAGCTGGAACTAGAGCTCGGCTACCGCGCTGGACTTCGGCTGGGCACTGAGGTGGGCATTGCAGCTGTAGGGATGCATGCCGTTCTTGTTATCAGCTGATTTAGTTCTGTGCTGGGCATTGTACATTCTGGGAGGTAGGTGCAGTATGCCGTTGGGAGTATTTTTCCTTTGAGTGTGTTGGCGTGTGTTGGCATAATGCGATTATACTATTGGGTGGTATGTTTCAAACTACAGTATATTAGATGTAGCACTATACAGGTAGTCTTGGATCCGATTTGTTATAGATTTCTCTTCGGAGCCGCAACTATACAGTCACCATATGTATCTTGCCTACACTCATAACACCACACCCGTAGAAGAACACAAAATTGCAATCAAATAAATTGTCTATTAAAATACACATGCCCTAGTCCCCCAAAACAACTGGCAACCAGGACCAGAGCTAGACCATCTCAAAAACGCCACTCGAGTCCCCCCACCCCCATCTTGATGCATTGTAAAGAGAACAAATCAAATAAAAAGAATAAATTCAAACGCCATTCCATCAACAACCCCTCACAGGGCCCAACTACCCCAAGAGAATGCCTTTCAGAATTCAGAATCCCCCAATATGGGGAAGCCCTGACACCGAAGGAGAAAATTCGTTATCAAAACACAGGTACACCGAGAAGCCAGTCTGCAATAAGAAGAACTTTTGGAAAAGACAGGGTAGAGCACAATTGCTTGCAGATCCAAGTCAAATGGTTCATTTCATGCTATTGGTGAGGTTGGATTCTTGAGGTGTCGTCTCATGGATATAATATCCGGATGGATACCATTCGCGCTCACAACCGTTTTGTAAAAAAGCTAGAATAGACGTCAAAAGCAACTGGAAAGCACAGGCCTCTTCTAAGGACGAATTGTGAAACCACTAGCAGGGAATAGACTAATCCTCACTGTTGTACTTCACTGTTGTACACTGTTGTACAGATCTCTTACTGACCATGGCCATTGCTTCCACGCTGAGGCGAGGGAACCGGATCAGGGTACTGAGAAACAGCACCAGAGCCCAGAGGAGGAATGCGGTTTAGCGATGGTGACGACATCAGATGCTGACCATTGGTATAGCCATGAGCGTGGTGTAGCCTTGAGGCATTCTCTCTCTGGCGGCGTTCTTCCTGCTCAGGAGTCATGCATTTCACAGGAGGAGGAATAGGAGCATCCGGGGAGCTGCGGCCCATGAGCTTGGGGCTCGGCTCCAATCGGCGTATTGGCGGTAGTATAGGAGCACCTGCCATGCTACCAGAAGTCACCGGTCGAGGAGACTGCTTGGTTGGACTGATTCCTGACATCAGGCCGTGGGAGCTCTGGGGAGGTGAGGAGTGGTTGCCGTTGGGCGTCGCGGCAGAGAAAGATGGGTAGTTGTGAGACATTGCCGAGATGTTGGTGACGCCATGGCCAGACTGGGGGCGTGGAGTCGCATGGGTATCATAGGAATTCCACGGAGATGAGGCGTGAGGAGCAACAAGAGGGAAACCAGCGAGAGGGCCAACATCGGGGTTACCTTGTGTAGGCGACATGGATGGCTGGTTCTGAACGGGACTCTGGTTAGAGTGAGAGGATGAGGGTCGTACGGATTGGAACGATCCGATGGGAGGAAGGTGAGGTGCCGCGTTCATAGGCGGCAGGTGATGTTGGGCAGAGCTAGGTCGGGGGTTCTGTTCCGTAGAATGTAGCAGACCATTCATACCCTTGGGAGGAGAAAATGGAGGACGGGGAGGGCTTGACGAAGGCAAAGGTGTCTGATTTGTGTGATGGGCCGGACGCTGAGGCGAGGGAGGAGGATAGAAATGACCATGGTTTAGAGTAGGCGGAAGAGAAGGCTGCGTCCTTGGGAGATCATTCTGGATGTTGGAAAGAGCTGTATGGGATTTCTTCACGGGCGAAGGTGGCACCTGGTCATCTTCAACCTTCATCTTACGCTTATTGCCGATAGTGGGAGAAGCTGATGGAGATGCCGAAGCGCTGACGCGGAATTTCAGGGGTGGAAGCTTGGGCTTGTTGGCGTCTTGTTCCTTCTGCTTGCAATCGTGGCAAACAAACTGGAAGTCGTCTTTTTCGGCGGCTTGTTGAGAAATACCGAGGCACTTGCTATGCTGCCACACATTGCAATTCTCGCAGGCCACGCTGTGGCTCCCGTCATCCTGTGAAACAGTCAGCCCCAGATCACTACCTAGGTGTCCATGTCAAAGAGTTGAACTCACCAAATTCTCCCCGTACACTCCACAGCCAGAGCAATCAAAGATCCACTGGTCATCCTGAGAAAGTTCCGCCAAGTTCTTCTGCGACTTCTCCAGCTCAGCCTTGAGGTTTCGAGCAGAGGCCCTGCTTTCGCCCTTTTCAAGCTTCTCCTGCTCCTCGGCGATGCGCTCAAGCTCTGCTTCGTGCAGAATGCGCTTCTGCTCACGGTCCTTGATGCGCTGCTCGCGAGTCATCATGCGAGATTGACGGTCGTCCTCGAATTGGCTATGCTTGGCCTGTTCCCTACGAGCCTCAGCCAGGTCATGGTCATGTTTCCGAGCAGCTTCTTCGGCTTCTCGTTCATGTCGCTCCTGTTCCTGCTTAGCAGCAAGTCGGCTGGACCGCTTGGCACCCGCGACAAGCTGTAAGCTCAGGAGTTCCTTGTCACGCTTGGCGCGCTTGCGCTGAGACGCCTCCTCAGCCTTTTCCAAGATAGGCAAGATGTGATCCTCAACACTAGACCGAAGGGCCTTCTCATCCGCATCCTTAGTCTTCTGGAGCGGCTCCAAGAAAGCCTGATACTCCTCGAGGGTAACAGCAAGACACTCCCACTTGAAGGGATCCGCAGCAAAGGCCGCAGCAGGATCATCATCAATCGTATCCTTATTCTCCTCGTCGGATCCTTCTTCCGCAGCCGCCGTGGACGCACGCTTGGACGCCCTCGACGATCGAGAAGATTTACCCTTCGCCTTCTTCTTAGGACGCTGAACGGGCGGAGGCGCAGGACGATCGGTGCGGCGGTACAAACGATTATCATCTAAAACGTAGTATGAACGGCCTTCACGATCCCAACCAAACTCCTCAATGCGCTAGCAGATGTCAGCAAGCGATCCTCAGATCTCAATTCCAAAAGACCATCAACTCACCCATTCCAGCTGATCAGTCTCTCGCTTCTCGGGCATCTTGTCGCGAATACGGTCTGCATTCCAAAAAGTCCAAGTGCTCAACGCATGAAGAACACGAAGCTTAAGGAAAACATCAAAATCCATAAACTTCTTCGGCTCCTCATCGTATCCAAAGGGATTCGTAGTATTGGGTGCTTTCGCATTGTACTGGCGGCGAGTATACTCGTCGAAATTCTCATACCTGCCAGCGAAGCCAGAGTCAGCTCCAATCCCACCCAAAACTAGTATTGCCAAAGAAATAGAACGAAGTATACATACGTGAGGCCGCGATGCGACGAGATCCACTTCAGCAAACACAATCCAATTTCCAAAAGCTTATGAGAAGGTTCCGGTTTAAGGCATTCGGCTTCGAGATCCTGTAAACGAGAGAAGGGCAAGTTGTCAGCCTCTTTCCGACCGGACGAAGGACATCGCTATAAAGCGATCTATCAAATGCGACAAGAGATTCAACTTCCCCCATGCGATGTGAACGTGTAGCACCTACCTCGATCTCAAATTCCTCGTCTATCTTCATCACCTGCCCGAAGATGGCGATGTACTGCATGAGACTTGCAAATTCCCAGGTACTCCTTATCTGGGTGAGCAGGCTCTGCTCCTCTGGAGCGTCTTGGTCCATGGGGATGGCTTCGGAGCGGGTGCGCTTTCGCGATCCCATCGCGGCGGGACAGCCGTAGGGCTGGGGTTCTTGGGTGGTCGGCTGGGGGTACTTCACGGGAGTGATATTTGGTTGATAGCAAAAGCCGTGGAGGAGGTTACGCTCGTAAAATGGGTCGTGCGAAATGCCAGAATTATCTGTATGTAGGGCGGATAGTCATAGGCTCTTTTTTTTGGGAGGCAATGCGGATGGCGAGGCGCGTCGAGAACTGGGTCACGTGAGTGTCGCGTTTGGAAGTCGGTGGCTGTCAGGGGATTCTCGTGATTTTAGGGTATTTTATACTAATTGAGAGTTAAAGGATCAATGAGATTGTCTGGAAGAATTGCTAGGTTCTGTATTTAAGCTGGAATACCTCCTATGTCGAAGTGTTGAACTTCGAGCGCAGTTCTAACATCATATTGCTATGCCTTTTAGCCGCAATGGTGACGAAAGTACACCTGAGTGGACATGAAGATAGCTTAAATTCTGCCGCCAATCATCCAATGGATAAGGGAGAACAATACCATTGTTCTCAAAGAATACTATAGAAGATAAATTCATTCATGTTTTAAAAACACTCGCGTATACACAGACAAGACAGAAAAGAAAAGCAGACGCCTGGATCTTTGGTATCTCTCGCTCAAAGGTCTATCTCACACAGAGCAGTTGAACCTTGTCAAAGACAAGGAGAAAATGCACACAGACGACAGCGCCGACCAGAATTCGCGCCACCCGACAGTAACAGCGTCTGAAACACGATCAGAGAATGAAAAGACAGAATAACATATTTCCTCAAAGCACAATGCAAACAAAAAAATAAGAAGCAAAGATAGAAAAAGAAAAAAGACACAAGAATACATTAGACCCCGGTCACGCATACATATCACCGAACCCTTAAGTGACCCAATATAAATGTGGTGAAAAGAGAAACAACCAAGAATGAAGAGAAAACAAATGGTGGACCCGATGCCCTCAATCGACGACATATCTCACGCGTTGGATCCAGCCGGTTCTTCACCCACACTTTGCGCCTTGTGACCGTTAATCGCCAGTAGCCTTTCCCATGCATATCATAAGGTGGAATATTTCGGGGAGAAAGAAACAGATGCTTTTCGTATTTTACATGGCTGGCGGAGCTCCCTCCGAGATGTTGTCGGACAGGTTGATGAGGAGCTGAGCCAGGCAGCGCTTGGTGGCTGCGTCGTCGCGGAGGACCGAGGAAAAAGTGGCATCCCGAAGAGGCTCGGGGAGACATTGCCGCAGAGCCTCTCTGGCCCGGCTGTTGTCGCTCAATCTAGAGAAGTGTTAGGAGTGTTGGAAGAGCGAGAGGGAAAGACATACCGAAGGAAACAGCGCACGACGTGCTTGAGCAGGCGGACCGTCTGTTGCTCGACAAGCTGGGTGACCATGTTGCTGAGAACAGTGCCCACTGCGTAGAACCTCTCGTATGTGGCGCAAATGTAGCCCAAACCCACGTCATCGAGGAGGATTTTCTGTACAATGAAAATTGCGACAGTCTTACTCAGCTCCGATCCAGTCTCCATGATACGAAGGCAGAGAGGGATGATCTCGGTTGTGAGGAGGAAGTTGATCACATCGGACGAGTCATTTTTCACCAATGCGCCGATAACGCCAAGCGACGTTAGTCTGAGGTATTCGAAGGGGCGGGACTTGGAGGTGGTGTTGAGGAAGGGGTAGAGGAACAGAGGGATGTGAGCTGCACGAAAACAATTAGTATGCACATTCGCATACATCAACGTAGATATCGCTCACCATTCAAGAAAAGAGTACGGGTTTCGTTATGGGATGCGACACATTGCAAAAGCGCCAGCGCATTGCAGACTCGATTTGAAGCGGCAGCCGTCAGCTGAGAAGGGTTCAAAAGCGGATAGACCGAGATGATTTCCTGTAGGAGCGCAGTCATGACACCTGCAAATTGCCGACCGTTAGTTTCCGTAGACAAGGATGGATAGGCATAGACATAGGCCCAAGCGAAATCGGAACCAACCAAAAGAGTGCCAGATGACCAGGGCCAGTTCGGGGACTTGTTCGCGCTTCTTGCTCAGTTCCATCAAAGCAGCTTCCCTGCGAGTGGGATCCAACAGTTCGGCGACCCAAATGAAGACCTTGCGATTCTCCTCGCTGATCCCACCGTCCATGACGGAGACCGAATTCGAAAGACCCTCTCCGCCCATGCCGCCGGCGCCGCCGGCTCCCTGTGCGGAATTACCAGCGCCGTTGCCATTCATGGCGAGACGGCCATAGTGTTGTTGCTGCGCGGCGGCGGCAGCAGCCTGCACTTGGGCGTGCTGCTGGGCGACTAGGGAAGCGTGCTGTTGCTGCGACTGGTGTGGGTGCGGCTGGGCCTGGTGGTGCTGTTGCTGTTGCTGTTGTTGTTGTTGATGCTGAAGCCATGAGGGATCAGCCTGAGGATACTGATGCTGATGAGAGAAAACGTGTTGCTGGCTCTGCGCTTGGAGCATAGTGGTCGGTGATGAGTCGGGGACTCGTAATACTCCGAAGGATCTCAAAAGCGGCGAAGGGCAGAAGAATCTCTAAAGGTATATGAAGTAGAGATATAGCGTCAGGAGATTAATCCCGAAACTAAAATCATTGATGATGCGAGGCTGAAGTGAGAAATAAGGTGAGGGAGGGAGAGAAAGAGAAGTTCGGAAGTGAAGGCGGGGAGAAGTCCCGTAACGCTTTGTGTGGCCGCTTCTTGGAGATCTCCATCCCCAAGTTTTTCCCTCACTGCATCTACCTATTCAATTATTTGAAACCCAATCCTCTACGCGCTTGTACCGCAGATTGCCTTATCCTAGCAGAGCACATTGTACCTGCAAGGCCGCTCTGCAGCTGTTTGCACTCTGCAGCCTTGATTCCATGTGCAAGCTAGCTACTTACAGATATCTAATGCCGGTGCCCGACTCTTCAACACCCGAGAGGGCCAATTTTAAGAGCAGCTGGTCAATGCAATACTGTCCACTGACCACTGCCAATCATCTCATTCAAATTCACTCATATTATCATGTCCAGTTTGTGCTCATAATGTCATATGTACATCGCAACGTGCTGTCGACAGGGAAGAAAATCTCACATCCAACTGTCTCGTATCAACATCGAAAAAAGCAATCATACCATCCAGTCCAAATTAAAAAAAAAAACAAAAAAAACAAAGAAAAAAGACAAAAACATCAGGTAAGTCGTGGTGATACATGTCACGTTTTAACATCAGCGCCATAAATGCATGACCGAAATATCGGCCAAAAAAAGGGAAGAAAAGCAGGGGAAAAAGAGGTCATGGTCCCTGTTCATATCAGACGGAGATATCCATCAACCACGGCCTGAGCGAGTGCGCGATCGTCGTGATCGTCGTGTATCGCGAGTCCGCCGGTCTGAACTAGCACTACCTATGAGGATTGTCAGCAAAGATCGTTCATCAGAATGGAGGGCAGACGTACTATTCGTGTAATAGTCAGAATAGTAATAGTACGAGCTGGGGTATGAAGATTCCGTCTTATCATCATCGTGATCTCTATCCTTGCGTCTCTTTAATCCCAGACAGAGAGCAAGAGCACCGAGAACAATGGCGATAGTGCCCCAGCCAAATTTGGACTTCTTCTCGCTGACTTCACTACCGCCATGAGGTCTGCTTCCGAACCACGTCCGGCCCGCAGGAGGAGGTCGACTACCGTGCGAGTGGTGCGAGTGTCGTTCTTCAACATATGTCGTCTCTCTCTTACGACGCTTGCCGCACCCGAGCGCTGCAAGTAAGCCATCGATGGCACCCTTGAAACACAGACAGGCGCAAAGGAGCAGCAACAAGATCACACCGGCGATCGTGCCAATGACGATTCCTGCAATTGCACCACCGCTCAATCCTCCGCCACTGTTTGCAGCCTTGACGCCGATCAAATCTGCCCCGTCTGTTCCGACAGGTGCGGTGAAGCCTTCGGTTGTGGTGGGTGCCGATGTCTGCGTTACGGTGCTGGCGCCGTTGCTCGTCTGTCGGACTCCGGGTGTAGCCTCTGCGCCTGATTCTGTGGCAGTAATCGCAACCGAGGAACTCTCTGCAACACATTCGCCGTTATCGCACTCCTGCGCAGCCTCGCAACATCTCGTACCGCACTTCGTTTCGCCGAGGTCGACTCTGCAGGTGCCTGTGCTGGTCGCTGCGGCGATCTGGCTACTCCATACTGAGGTGATGGTTGATTTGTCGGTTTCGGTAAGCGTGTAGATGGTGGTGAAGTATTGGTAGCTCCCACTGCCACTATCCGCACAGACGGCTTGGTTGTCACTGTTGGTTGTGCATGTTTGTCCGGTTTCACAGCAAAGCCAGTCGTTGTAGCCACAGGGGTTTGCGCAGCTGCTCCTTTCGAGGAGAGTTTCCTCCAGTGCAAGCGGGGTTGCGGTCGTCAATAGCGAGTGGGTGAGAAGTAGGGCTAGCGTTGAGAGCGGGATGGATAAAGAGCGCATGGCGAACAACGAGCGAAGCAATGCTCGCAGATATTTGAGTTAGGCCCAGTGAATATCTGCAATCTCGAGGGTTTTCGTTTGTGTTGAGCGGAGGTGCTCAGCACTAGTAATGTTGTCTCACCCGGTATACAGTACTTGAGCGGTCTTCCGTACGGAGATCCGCTATTCAAGCCAACGGGGAGATCTTGAATGTTAAAGATGGAATGTGGGCAAAGAATGGAAGAAGAGAAGAGAAGATCGAGCACAGAATAATAGAACACAGTCACAAAGTAGGTCCCCAGCCTCCAGGGCCCTACCCAACCACCCGATTTACAACGCCTCACCCAACCCGACCGTCTTTCAACCGGAGGCTGGGGTTTCGGAAATAACGTGTCCAATCCAATTAATTGACTGCTCTTATTCGTGAGATACTAACTCTACTCAGGAAACAAGGCCTGAAAGTCGCTCTCGTGCATCATCTCAACGACGATCGACGCAGTAGATGCAAGATTCCCCACTGCACAGCAATCAGATCGACACCGCCATTCTACTCTTCGACTCTAGCGTCTGTTCAAAACATCATGCCCAATGTTTTAACCCAATGACTCAGTCCAGTCTCATAAACCAGGCCAATTCAATTCCTCTATGGTCAATTCCGAGCCCAATGACTCTCAAGCCCGACGATCCGACACCTTGTACCTGCAGCCAAATTCCAAATGCTCAAGCATGGGCCTGTAATGACTCCAATGTCAAGAATAAACACGAAAAAAAAAAGAAATATACACAAAACCCTTCATCAATATCCATCACATCATATAAACATGCCCGCAAACCCAACAGCAAGCCCTAACACAAGATCCGTCAGACTAGTAGTCCTCACAGAAGCCGCATTATCACTAGTATCAGACCCAGACCCCCCAGTCTGCGTAGCCACAGAACCACAATAACCAAGATTAATCCCATGACAAGCCTCAACACTCAAACTCGAGCAAATAGAAGTAGCCTGCGACGCAGCCGTAACAGCCTGAACCGTCTTCCCCGCCCCATCAGTATTCCCAATCGTAACCGCATACCGCCCCATCAACGCCCCAGTACACTGCGTATACTCAGACTGACAGACGGAGTAGTAACTGGAACAAGACTGCGGATTATTAAACGCAGTCGGCACAGCGATAAACGGATAAGCGCCGTCGATCGTCGAGTCCGTTGCTGACGTTCCCTCGCTCGTCGCGGTCGCCGATGCAGTCTGCGGGAACATGAAGCTCGTTCCTGTCCCTGTCGTTGCGGTTGTTGTGCCTGTTAGACTTCCTGTGCAGCTTGCGCCGGTCGCGCAGCAGGCGATGTTGTTGGCCGCATCTTTTGAGCAGTTCGTGCCTTGTTTACAGCATGCGTTTGAGTTGCCCAGGTCTGTGCAGGGGTTGTAGCCTGAGGGGCAGTTGCTGTCATCGTCTGCTCGGCGGAGGAGGCGGAGGACGTCGAAGGCCCGTTTGTTCGTTTCGGCGTTTGTTGCTGGTGTGAAGGGTTCTGTTGGGGTTGTGTGGGCGATTGGGAAGAATGCGGCTGTTATCCAGATCCACTGGGGAGTCCGCATTCTTGTGATCGGGTCGGAATGGTTTTGTTGGATTGTCTTGAGGGTTTTCGTTTCGTCGTTGGGTGTTATCGGGTGGCTGGACTCGGGTGTCAACAGACTACTCAAACGAGTAAGATTAGCGTTGGAGTCACGGAACAGAGTTAAAGATCGAGGTGTTTAAGGGTTGAAACTTACTGTACTTTGTGAATATGAAATATGATAAGGTCAATGTGAAAGGGTAGAATGATGTAGTTTCACATCTCCACTGGGAATGCCCTAGCAACCGCAGCCCGACCCGTGTCCACCTGGGCACAATGGCCTTTCTTCCCAACGCTTCACCGCATACATTGTTCTCGAAAATCCGAATGGCTGGGTTTAGTTAATTGTCGACTCTGCATATTTTGAAATGATCCCTCCACTTCATGTTCTCGCCCTAACCCGAGTCCCTTGCCAGCTGTGGCTTGCTTGCCCGGCTATTTCACCCCACGTACTCCAGCTTGAGGGGAGTTTCTATTCCAAAAATATGTGTACCGTATCGTGGGCGATGAGTTTTGGATAGACATCTTGGACTCATTCATAAGCTATGTCACTAGATATAGAGATCATCCTAGATGTAGGTCTAAACATAACTTCAAGGTCTAAGTTACACCGAAGGCAGACAATTCCATTCTTATACATTCCTATAAACACTCTAGACATTTGATTTCATAACCAGTGACACAAAGCCGCGATTGGACAAACAAAACGCCGAATGTCTAAGATCCGAAGGGTCTCACCCAAGATCTACGAGTCCCCTCCCAATCATCCCCTCCAGATACGCTTAATCCGACCCACCACCCTAGTACGGAATACTCCGTATCAGAATATCAAACATCAGAAGCCATATCTCATAGACAATGGCATCCACAGAATCCATCTCCAGCATCCCCATCGTGGACTTTTCCAAATGGAACATAATCGATACAGCCTGTCAGCAAGTCGCACAGGAAATTGTCACCGCTTGCAAGAAGGTGGGGTTTGTGTACATCACCAACCACTCACTACCAGAGACAATGTTAGACGAAGCATTCCACTGGTCAAAGCGATTCTTCAAGCTGGCACAGGATAAAAAACTCAAGGCGCCTCATCCGCCAGGTTGGGATGTACACCGGGGGTACTCGTGGCCCGGGCTGGAGAAGGTGTCACAGGCTATGAGTGGTAGGGATGATGGAGATGTGTCTGGACAGTTGAGGGAGATACCGGATATCAAAGTGAGATCAGCTATCTGATATGTTCTATCGCCTGCATGTGCCTGATATTCGATATCGATATGGATATCTCTTCTCTCTATTTGATTTGACCAAAAACTAACCAAAAGCAGGAAAGCTATGACATAGGCAGCGATGAAAACAAACCCCAACCAAACCAATGGCTACCAGAAGAAGTACTGCCAGGATTCAAAGAGTTTATGCTACGCTTCTACTGGAAATGCTCCCTCGTGGGAGGCGAGATCTTGCAAGCACTCGCCATAGGTCTGGACCTAGACCAGAATCACCTCCTAGCCAAACATTCAGGCCACAATAATCAACTCCGTCTCCTACACTATCCACCAATCCCAGCTGAAAAACTCGAATCAAACCGCGCAACTAGATGTCCTGCTCATACAGACTGGAGCTCGGTAACGATTTTATTCCAAGATGACTGTGGCGGCCTATAAGTAGAGGATATCACTTCACCTAGATCATACATCCCCGCGGCACCTATTAAGAACGCAATTGTGATGAATTTGGGGGATTTGCTACAGATGTGGAGTAATGGTTTGTGTTTCGTTTGCTCGCATGGTCACATGTGTAAGTTCTATTTTAGGTGCATGCTGACTCGAGTATAGATACCCTTCGGTCTACGAATCATCGAGTCACTTTGCCGCCTCTTGAAGATAGGTTTGAGGGTGTACAACGTATGACTCGGAGGAGGTTTTCTATTCCTTATTTTATGGCGCCGGATCCTGATGAGGTTATTGAGTGTATTCCTTCTTGTATGCGGGATGGTTTGCCTGCTAAGTATCGGCCTATTACTCAGGCTGGGTATAACCAGATGAGGGCTTCTATGCAGTATTAGTTTTATTGTTTATACTGGTGTGTTCGTAGATCTGAAATTTGTTGATCTTGCATTTTCTATTCCCTTTCAAACTGGGTTTCCCTCAATACTCTTGAATAAAATTTCTTCCAATAAGTCATAATCATTGATCATCATCTTTCTTCTCCATATCTATTCCATGCCCGGGCATGGATCTCGCCAAGCGCCGATCCCTGACTAAGAAAAGTCTTGGCATCGAAATGGAAAGTCGCGTACCTCACCAGGACCCAGATCGCGTAGCAACAATGTACGGCGAACTCGGCAACAAACTGGTAAGTCAAAATCTTCTCAAGCCCCTCAATAATTCCAATCTACGCTCCCCTCCACCCCCCCAAATGTCATAGAAATAACCACAAAGAAAACTAACCAACCCCTCCGAAAGGTCCAACACGCCAAACGCACCCAATCCCTCGCCCACCTCCCACCCTATCAAACCGAAATAGTACGCGCGGTAACCCGCGAAGTGCGTGATCTAGACCGTGATGTCACCCGCCTCCTAGCTCCATTCGAAGGCGCCTTCAATCCATCCGCCGACCCAGCAGTCGCCTGCGCACTACTAGTTGACCACCTCTGCATGCGCCGCAACAAGCGCTGTCTACTAGCCTACCACCGCGTGCGCACAGAGAAACTTGAAGAGCTATGCTGGCTTGGTGTTGATATTCTTGAGCAGCAGCAGCAACAGCATGCTGAGGGTGGTGGAAAAGGTGGGAGTGGGAATGGGGCCAATGGTGGAGCTACGATGACCGCGCTTGGGGGTGAGGGTGGACATAGCTCCCTTAGTCCTGAGGAGGAGGAGTATTTTCGGTTATATGGGGATATGCTTGCCGCGTATAAGGGGCAGTGGACTGATGTTGATTTGACGGGGACGTTGGAGCCGCCTAGGGATTTGTTTATTGATGTCAGGGTTTTGAAGGATGCTGGGGAGATTCAGACGGAGTATGGGTATGTTTCTTCCTTGACGTTATTTCCTTTTGTCCGTTCCTATTGGGGGTTTTTGGGGACGTTGATGGTTGATGTTTTGGCTTTATGGTGTGCTTTGCTTTACTTTGCTAACATTTCTTTCTTAGGGTTATCAACTTGACGAAGAATAGTCAACTCTATGTTCGACAGGGTGATGTAGAGAGGTTGATCTCTCAAGGATTCTTGGAGCGATTGAGCTGAATATACGGAATAATTCGGGGACGTGGGCGTTGGCTATGGAGAGCATGTACATTGAGATACCCCGCCGTTAGCGTCTGAGCTAACGGCCCCAATCGATTTTCTGCATTCAATAGGTGGGATGAGTATACGACATGACTCGAGTAACATTGTCAACCTTGGGAGATGCCCCCAAGGTTGTGATGTGTAAGACGATAGGGTCGTCATGCATCTGCTGGGAGCTATGAAGATCATGGCGCCATTGAACGTCGGTACTTTTAGCCAGTTAAGCTGTAGGACGTAACGCTTATGCATATGCAACTGCCGATCCATGCACGTCTAGGCAGCGTGTCCGACAACGGAGGAGCGATTTGCTGCAGGCCAATATAATTAGAACCAACCACAGAGTTAGATATAAGTAAGTTCAGTAAAGTACCAATAGACAGATAGAAAAAGAACATGGATGTTTACGTAGAACGGTCTATCTGCACGGCCCATCCCACCAGTCCGCATCGGGTTAGCCCCGCAGATAAGAGCTTTAGTCAAAACTCCGAGTTCTTTTTATCTTTGCTAATTGGAGTTGATAAGTCACTGCCTTGTTCTAGTGCCTGGTCTTGCTCGCTTTTTCTCCTGTTCTCTTTGTACCTCGACTCCCACCATGTTCGTGGCCCACTAATCGATTTATCCTCCGAAAAGGTTCCCGGTTGGACAATTGCGCGATGGGCGTGCTGCAACCACGACGTCGCGACTCTCGCGCATCTGTCTTGTCTCGCAACCTGATGTTCGACCGTGATCCGAGTATGGCTCTGTCACCAGAGTCACTGGTGGAACATGCAAACCTGGCCAGTTCACCTGGCCCAATAGGTGCCGAAGCCTCCAGTTACAGTGGATCAAGACGAACCCCAAGTCGATCATTCTACCACCGGTCGTTTAACAGCAAGAATATGGGTGGGTCCCTGTGTAGCTTCCTGACCGCGCGATAGACTACTGACAACACATACTTAGATCCGGCACATTATGCCTCAGATGGTCTCCGGGACCAGACCGCCGAGCTCGCAACGTACGGCCTGTCACTGAACAAAAAGTCTGTCTTGCGGGACCCCCCCGGCCTCCCGCCTGGCCTAGATATATTCCACGGCAGTCAGCATTCGACCGGTTTCTCCCAGGATGAAGCCTCCAGTTCTCATACTGCCCTGGAGGAGGCGTTGGATCCTGGTTCTGCCTCTGTTGACCCTGCATCGGCCTCTTCGGCTCTCACGGAGATGATTCGTCGTCCTTCTGCTGTGGTTGATGATGAGATCACGCCATCTGCTAATGAGGAGGTGTCGTTCCCACCGCCGCCTACTATCTATGAAGCACCCGAACGAGATACGGAACACACGTCACTATTATCGAAGTCACGGTCTAAGTCTACACAGAATTATGGAAGTGCTGGCGATATTGAGAATCAGGGAGATGTCACTCCGTCTCCAAACTTCTTGACGAAGGGCTTTTTTTCAGTGGCCAAATACTGCAGGGCTCTGGCTAGCCCGAAGTCATGGGATAGGCGTACTATTTGGCAGGAAGCTGTAGTCCGTCCAGCTAGTCTGGTACCAGCTGTACTGCTAGGGCTTCTACTGAACATTTTGGACGCGTTGTCATATGGAATGATCTTGTTCCCTCTTGGAGAACCGCTATTTTCCCACTTAGGAACCGATGGTATTTCGATGTTTTACGTCAGTACCATTATTTCCCAAGTCGTCTTTTCCTGTGGAGGATCGATCTTCAAAGGAGGAATTGGAAGCGAGATGATCGAAGTAGTACCCTTCTTCCACCAGATGGCTTTCACAATCATGAACTCGATTGGCAAAGACAACCCCAAATCCGTCATTGCAACCACCATCCTAGCCTTCTCTGTCAGTTCAATCTTGACCGGCTTGGTATTCTTCTTGATGGGTGTATGCGGGCTGGGCTCGCTCATCGGTTTCTTCCCTCGCCACATTTTGATCGGCTGTATCGGTGGCGTTGGCTACTTCCTTCTGGCAACTGGAGTTGAGGTCTCGGCTCGACTTCCCGGGACGCTGGAGTATAATCTTCAGACACTCCAGAAACTGTTCCATCTTGATACTTTCCCGCTTTGGATCGTTCCTCTGTCTCTTGCAATTTGTCTCCTTGTCTTGAAGCGGTTCGTTCGCTCGAACTTCTTGGTCGGGGGCTACTTCATTGCAGTCGCGGCTATTTTCTATATTGTAATTTTGAGTGCTAGGATCTCTATGGTTGCCTTGCATAAAAATGGTTGGGTATTTGACGCTCCGTCTTCCAACAACCCTTGGTATCATTTCTATACACTTTATGGTAAGTGAAATTTGGTCTCTTTTTGAGAAACCGCATGTTGATTATTCTAGATCTCTCTGCGGTCAGTTGGACTGCCTTTGGCGAGACGATTCCAGCCATGTTCGCACTGACCTTCTTTGGTGTGCTCCATGTGCCCATCAACGTTCCCGCTTTGGGAATCTCTACTGGCGAGGACAATCTCAACGTTGATAGAGAACTCATGGCTCACGGTGTGACCAATGCTCTTTCTGGATTCGCAGGAAGTATTCAAAATTACCTTGTTTACACAAACAGTCTTCTCTTCATTGCAAGCGGCGGAGAATCTCGCTTGGCAGGGTTGATGCTGGCTGGAGCTACAGCAGGTATCATGATCATTGGTCCTGTCATTATTGGATATATTCCTGTGATGGTTGTGGGTGCCTTGATCTTCTTGTTGGGTATTGAGTTGTTGCAGGAAGCCTTGGTGGATACCTGGGGAAAGCTTACTCGGCTTGAATACTTGACTGTTGTCATTATTGTCGTCACCATGGGTGCTTGGGACTTTGTGGTTGGAATCTTCGTTGGAATCATTTTGGCATGCGTGAACTTCGTCGTTCAGACTTCCCGCAAATCCGCCATTCGAGCCACGTTCTCCGGCGAGACTGCTGGATCGACAGTCCGGCGACCTCCCATTCAGCAGCAATTTTTGCACGAAGCTGGACAGCAGACATTGATCATCAAGCTTGGTGGCTATCTCTTCTTCGGAACCATCGTTAATGTTGAGAATACCATGCGAGGTCTCATCGAAGAAGAAGCATTCGACCGACGTCCTATCCGCTTCCTCATCCTCGACTTCTCCCGAGTCTATGGTCTCGACTTCTCAGCAGCAGAAGCCTTCACTCGCATCAACCGCGTCCTCAAGAAGCGCAACGTGCAAACAGCCATCTCGGGCCTGAACGTCGAAGGCGACGTAGGCAAGAGTCTCCAAAACGTCGGACTCTTCGAAGCCGAATCCGGCGTATCAATCTTCGAAGACCTAAACTCAGCCCTCGAATTCTGCGAGAACGACTACCTGAAAGTCTTCTACAGCCGCCAAGAAGCCCTGCTAACCCCCACCGAACCCTCGACACCCTCAACCCTCCTCCAAGTCCCGGTCCCGGTCCCCCAACCCTCAACCCTATCCGACACAATCGTCAGCTCTCCACGAGGCCAATACCTGCAACGAGTAGCAACAACCACAATCCGCGAACACGAAACAGCAATGATGGTCTCCCCAGCCTGGTCAGCAATGCGCCAACCTCTTCCCCTTCTCCTCCAAACCTTCCACGGCCTCTCGACACAAAATGAAGACTTCTGGTTCCCTGCCTGCCCCTACTTCACGCGCGAGTCCTACCCAGCAGGTCAAGTCCTCTACCACGAAGGTGACGCCCCGCGCGCCTTCTACCTGCTCGAATCGGGCATGTTGCGCGCGGGCTACGATCTCCCCCAGGGCCGCTACTTCGAACTCATTGTCGCTGGTCGACCGTGTGGCGAGTTGCCTTTTTTTAGTGATACCCGCCGCACGGCGACCGTTAAGGCTGAGCGCGATTGTGTGGCTTGGTGTTTGACTGGTTCACAGTGGAAAATTATGCAGGAGAAGGAGCCTCGTATTGCGAGGGAGTTGTTGACTGTTAGTTTGAAGTTGACTACTGAGCGGATGGATTCTATTACATCGTGAGTATTCGTTTTTGTTCTCCCGTTATTACTGTGGTTACAGTTGCTAATTACTTTCTTTACAGCTATGTCCTTACCATGGCGGCTTAGCCTCAAACCCTACGTTCAAATCCGACCCCTCCTGTTCTATTGCTTTCCACTTTTCCCGTCCCATTTTTGTATCAATCAGTCTTGGCGGCTATCTGAGCGAGTCGTTTCTCTAGTGTTGATATACCCGGGTTTCTTTTAGTTTTTGGTTATGATTGTCCTGTCTTAATCCATTGTTTATATAGCTGTTCTTTTTGGCATATAGCATCATTATGCGTACTCTACATACAGAATGCATACGCGGAATTCAAGCTGGTCTATAATATCTATCTCTGATGAAATATTCAAAGCAAGAGTCTTGAGTCAAGGGCATCATTTGTACAGTGGTGTGATGGTCCTTCTCTCTTTCATAAAGATCATTTTTCTGGTTCTGCACAAGCTTGAATGGCTACTCTCGATTGGTAGTTATCACAGGCCTTCTCATTCAACACTTGGGACTATATTCTGAAGTAATTCTCGATTGCTGCTTTATGTTTGCTATTACTATAAGAGCCAAGTATCCAAAGATAAGTATATCTCTACGTAGCCTGTTTCTTCTTCCCCTCATTTTACTTCTTCATCTTCACCATAAGTACACTCTCCCCATTCCATCCCTTTCTTATCTTCATTTGTATTTCATACACGAAACATCTTTATCGTCATGAAAACCAAAAATAAGCTCTCCAAGAGTGACTTTGCGGTTTCTGATACATGGATGTGCGGTACAATTGTGAAAAGTCTCAAGAATTTTGAGGGATATGTAGTTGAGATGCAAGATGGTAACTGTATGTTAACGTTAAACATATTAGGCCTTTCTGACACAAAGGCTGAAGAGTTGGGGTATGGAGGATGGGGGTTTTGTTGAATAGATTGACATCTGCAATTTTGGGCAATACAATAGTCAATTGAAACTGTGGAGCTTATGGCAAACTCTCTTGAAAGATATAATGATTTATTTACGTCCTTCGGTTCTGATTTGATTAGAGAGAGGTCGCCTAACTAGAAGCCCTAATATATGGAATACGGGGTTTTACAGTCCGAATAAAGATATGTGCATTATAGCATTAGTAGAACGAATTCCATGGTTATTATTGAGTGAATAGCTAATTGGTGTCAAAAACAACCAGATTGAGTTCTAGAATTTCGAACATAGTACCAGTCACCAGTATACAGGTCACGATGAGGTTATTGATGGAGCTAGTCCCCACAGTACACAGTATGTTCAGTTGTATACAGCGAACAGAGCTACAATGATATAGCTTGAGTGCCACAAATCATAGAAGATTACAATAACATACAATAACATATCTCAATAAACTCGGTTAGCACTTATTCACCCTCTGCCACTCTACCAGCACCCCGCGGTTGCTCACGTGACCGGGCGTTTTCCCACGCGTGTGCGGCGCGTCCCCAATCACCGATCGTTTCGACCTTCTGAACACAACTGCCTATCCACACCCTATCACTTACTCCATAACAACGCGCCCACTCTGGCCATGACTCTTGAAAACCAAGAGCCTCGGCTCTTCGACCAGTGTTGCCTCTGCATTGTATGCTCGAAAGATCTCTCCCGAGAGGCCGCGGAGCAGGTATGTGTTGGCACACCACTCGCGCATGACGCATTCAGCTAACAAGTCTAATTGCTAGCTTGCTACATCCCTTGAAGAGCACGGCGGCGAGCCTTTGATTGTCCAACCCGGGGCCGAGGTCCCTAATGTGGCTAGGTTCAGCCATCTGATCTCCAACACAATCGATTTTGAAGCCTATGATACTACCTGTGATGCGCTGATCCCCGTGGTAAAGCCGCAGTGGGTAAGCAACTCACTGGCAAAGAAGAAGCTAGCCAACCCTCGTCAATACAGTCCCGATCCTCGTCTCTTTATGAACGACGTTGTGGTTACCTGCGGTGACATACCGGAAGGGGATAAGGATGCGATTATCGGTGGTGTGGTCGCTAAGGGCGGACTATACAGTCCGCGAATTTCTCATATGGTTACTCACCTGGTGGATCTCACGGCCGACTCGGATAAGGCGCGCATGGCCCTGGCCAAGAAATTGAATGTGAAGATCGTTCTACCGCATTGGTGAGTATGTTGCTACTGGGTCACCAGGAAACCCGCTAATTCAAACCCAATAGGTTCGATGACTGCCTAAAACTTGGTCGGCGCATCGATGAGCGTCCCTATACCCTTCCAGACCCGGAGATCCTGCACGTAGGAGCTGATACCCCGATTCCACCGCAAGACAATAAAGACTTAGTTGGCGCATCGACGACTAATCCAACGAAACTGCCAACGCCATCCGCCTTGGCGTATAACAACGGGCAGCGGAGTGTTTTTGAGGGCAAAACCATCGTGCTATCTCCGGATCTAGGAATTGGTTCGCATTTGCAAGAGTCGATTGAAGCCGTTCTGAAGCAGGGCGGTGCCCAAGTCACATCAAATATTGATACTGCGGACATGTTGATCTGTCGGTACCGAGAAGGCTTTGCGTACCGCACGGCATCGCGGCTCAATTTAGATGTTGGAAATCTCGCCTGGCTTTACAGGCTCATGACATTTAACACATATACATCGCCTCTCAGGCGACTCTTGCACTACCCCGTCTCTCGTACGGGTATTCCTGGATTCCAAGGACTGAAGATCAGTCTGTCCAATTATGTTGGTGAAGCAAGGATTTACTTGGAAAACTTGATTGCAGCCGCAGGTGCGGAATGTACAAAAACTTTGAAGCAGGAAAATACCCATTTAATTACCGCCCATGGCACAAGTGAGAAGTGCAATGCCGCCAAGGAATGGGGCCTCGAAGTCGTCAATCATTTGTGGCTGGAAGACAGCTATGCCAAATGGAAGCTGCAACCCGCCTCAGACCCGCGCTACAGCCACTTCCCTCTGCGAACCAATCTTGGAGAAGTTGCAGGTCAGACTCGACTTGACCGCAACGTTCTTGAGCGAATCTTCTTTCAATCTGAGGACACTGCCCCAAGCCCACGGCGCGCAATGCACAGCAAGGATCAGAACATGCTTTCTGTACAAGCTCCCCCCGAGAAAAAAAGGAAAATTATCGATGATGCTTCTGAGGCCTCGCATGGCACCCCGCAGACTGCTGGCAAGTCAAGTCGGTCCATCCAGACTCCTGCACGGTCTCGCATTATGTCCGAGGGCAAGGAAAACGAGACACCATCTTCGACTAGCAGTCGCAAGTCGAAGGACGCAGCAACAGCCCGACTGCATGAGATAGCTCCAGATATTGCGTTGTATGAAAAAGAGAAGAAGCGCGTGGGTGGTGTGATCTACGGGGGAAGACGCAAGTCAGATGAGCACCGGGGTCAGGAGAAGGAAAAGGAAAGCAAGAAGCGAACATCGGTTGAAGCTGAAGACGAGAGTGATGTTGACCAAGCGGTAGAGCCAAAACGGCAGAAGAAGTCACGGCCACCAATTTCCATGCACCTCTTAATTACTGGCTACCAGAAGTGGATTGGGAAGGGTAATGAGAAGAAAGAGGATGCAGACAAGGTTTGTTGGCTTTTGCACATATAGATTGGCATAGAAACTAACACCTGGACAGCGAACCCTCCGAGAACTCGGTATTATGGTCGTACAGGATGCTCGACGATGCACACATCTTGCAGCGCCGTCGATTTTACGAACCACGAAATTCGTCAATGCACTCGCATATGCACCGATAATTGTGAGCACGGACTTTATTACGAGTTGCCTAAAGAAGGACGAGCTACTTGACCCCTCCGATTTTCCCTTGGTGGACACAGAGGCCGAAAAGAAGTACAATTTCTCCCTTTCTTCCGTCACAGCAAACGCCAAGAAGAACAAGAACAAAATGCTGCAAGGGTATCGCATTTACTGTGTGGAGGACATCCGTGGTGGCTTCGATGCGTTCAAATCCATTGTTGAAGCGAATGGAGGTGAATGCATGCTCTTCCGTGGCCGTCTGCCCCTAGCGAATCCTTCTCGGCGGGAGGATAGCGATGATGAAAGTGAAGCAGATGACGAGCCCGCTCGCCACGAGGTCTTCCTCCTCAGCAGTGCCGGAGCTAAACACGGTCGGGTCTGGCCTCGATTCCGTCAGGTGGCAGGCGATATTCAAAAGTCCCCACGGATCGTCCGAGTTGACTGGCTGCTTGATATGGCCATGTCACAGGAGACACGCTCCGCCGATGAATACGAGTTGACCGAGGATATGATTGATAACACGGATGAGTAGGTTGGTGTCTTGGGTATCAATCCCACATCTGCTATCCATCTAGGGCATTGGCCTAGAGTATTGGCTCTGTGTATAAGTATGGAGTGTCGACGGCGCAGTTTGATAAGCCTTTTGAGCCAGCCCTTGGAATGGGCTTTGTTTTTTTCACGAATAGCCATGATTCATCTCATAGAGAAATCCCAGCATACTCATTTTGGGCCCTTTAGAAGAACTTGACACCCTCCTGCCCCTCACCACCAAAGATCTGAGCCTTGCCCCGCTTGACAAGGACATTCAGCGAGCGCAGCATGACATCTGTATCCATGCCGTGGAACTCTGCGAGACCAAATTAGCAAACATCCAAACAACCGCAAACAATAACAGCAACATACCCTGCGACGCTGTGCCCTCCCCCTGAATCAACTCATAAACCGTCAAAACAGACCCTCGCTGCCCAGTCCCCTCAACCCACTCAACCAACAGATCAGCCCACTCCTCAGGCCTCTTCCACCAAATCCAAGCAACAGCCCGCGGTCCCTGGCCCTGCGCACCCCCCATAACACCTGAGGACAAACCACCGCCCGCATCAGGAATCCACTCCGCGCGCCTGCCACCACCGCCCTCTTCCTCGCTCTTGGTCATCCAGTCTACGACAGCACGTGCTTCCCGGATATCGAGACGCTTGCGCAGAGTTGCGTTAAAGAAGAGTGGTGATTCAACTGCTTCTATGAGCGAGAGACGATATTGGCGATGGTGTCGACACCAGGATTGGATTAGATCGGACCATTTCCTCAGCTGGTCTTGTCGGGTTGTTGTGTTTGGTTGCGGGGTGAAGAAGGGGGGCCAGTTGTGTTCGCGGGGGAAGGGGAAGGGGAGGGTCATGTTGAGAGAGTATGTAGAGGCGTAGACAGAGTGCAGGCAAGTAAAGAATGAAGAAAGACACAAGTCGCAGAATATGGCAGAGAGTACACTGTCAAGCGGAATAGAGTCGAGAGGTTGGAGAGGTGGAGCCAATCGGAGCGGGGAATGATTTTCTTCAATTTTGCTTCTTCAACTTCACTTCTTCGACTCTTCCACACTCGACACGAACAATGGCCGAACAAGTCCCAACAAAGCGCCAAAAGCGCGAGGAATACCGTCGCGGTATCCAGGCCCAGCAAGAAACCGAAGATGGCTCTGTCGTCAAGATGCCGCAGAAGAAATTCTTCCGTCAGCGCGCGCATGCGAATCCCTTCTCAGACCACAATTTGAACTAGTATGTCTTCCCTTTCGCATTCAAATCTGAACTTGAAGCGAAGCTTTGCAGAATCGGAGCTTTATTTGCGACAATATACCCCGGCATGCGATCATGACGTGAGCTGAGAGCTAACACAATTTCACCTTATAGCCCTATCAGCCCCGCGCATATGGATTGGTCTTCTCACTACCCTGCATACGTGGACCCGGATACCCTCAAGACAAATTTGGCCGGTGCTCGCCAATTGACTAAGAATGTCGAGGTTGTGGATATTGGCTGTGGCTTCGGTGGATTGCTTGTTGGGCTGGCGCCTTTGCTGCCGGATACTCTGATGGTTGGTGAGTACTACAGGGCGAACAAATGAACTGCCTCTCCCAATTATATAGCTTCTATCCTAAAGAAGTGCACAAGACCAAGGCTAACCAAAACAAAGGCATGGAAATTCGGACCCAAGTCCTCGAGTACCTAACATCTCGCATTCACGCCCTCCGCACCCAACAACAAAACTTAAAGAACAAAGCCGCAAAGCCAACCAGCACAGAAGCACCAGAATCTACAGAACAACCCACAGAAATGGACACAAGCGACGATAAAGCCCCAGTCCCAGCAACAGACGACGATATCGGCACAACAAAGATCTTCCCCGGAAACTTCGAAAACATCACCGCAATCCGCGCAAACACGATGAAATTCCTGCCAAACTTCTTCGGCCGCCACCAACTCTCCAAAATCTTCGTCTGCTTCCCAGACCCGCACTTCAAAGCGCGCAAGCACAAAGCGCGCATTATTTCCGAGTCCCTCAATGCCGAGTATGCGTATGCACTCCGCCCTGGTGGCTTGCTATACACCATTACCGATGTGGAGGAGTACCATCATTGGGTTCTGAGGCATTTCCAGCGCCAGCCTGAGGACGCGGAGAAGACAGAGGGTGAGGCGGTGCATGCGCCTGGCATTAAGGATATCTGGGAGCGGGTCTCAGATGAGGATCTTGCGGCTGATCCTTGTGTGCGGGTTATGCAGTTTGAGACTGAGGAGTCGAAGAAGGTTACGAGGAATAATGGCAAGAAGTTTGTTGCTGTTTTCAGGCGGTTGGCTGATCCTGAGTGGTCTTCCTCTTAATCCTTGGGAGTGAAGGTGAGAAGTACATGCGAAAGACGCTGCTTGTATTTAGAATCATTGATGTTATTTCAATGATAATCAGAAAAGAGGTGTTTGGGGCGTTTATTGAATCAACTTTCAAAATGCATTGCAAACATTTATATCAATACCAATCATACTCCAACTTCGTGCTAACAGTCTTTCGCTTGCATGCTAGAAATAGAAAAAAAAACTCCAAAAGAAAAGTGAAATGAAGAATACACGCCGAGAAATGTAGTGATGCAACAAGAAAACACCGAAATCAAGCGTGAACCTATCATAAAACAATAGTCTCGTTAAAAACATCGTGGTCGTAGCCAACAGTCGACAGATGGCGCAGAGATCCTAACGCATTCTAGGCGCCTTCAAACGAATAGCCTCACATCTCTCGCAGATAGCAAGTTGCACAGGGCCACCGATGATACGGCCCTTAGTTGTGCGCTTTGGTTCGCCTTCACGAACGAAGAAGCGGCCCTCGGGTCCAAAGCCGTCGCCACACTCATGGCAGCTGAAACAGCGCTCGTGCCATTGTCCACCAATTGCGGTGATGACAACTTCGTCCATGACATGCTGCTTGCAGCCCAGGCAGCGGGGTGCAGTGCGGCGTGAGTGACACTGGAGACACCAAGCGAAGCCGTCCTTTTCCACAAAGGGGGTTGTGGAGTTGAAGGGCTGTGAGGTGGTGTGTTAGCTACACATATTCCAAGGATACGACAGAAAAGGGATTGAAAACATACATCACCGCACTCGGCGCAGAAGAAGTGGCCAACATGCCATTCAGCACCGCATGCCACAACAACTTCTCCCTCGATAGGTGTCTTGCAGCTCTTGCAGCGTGGGCTGAACATTTCGTGGAAATCGAGGTGGCAGTAGAACCGTGGGACGCGGGCCTCATGGTCGTTGACTTCTGTTGCTAGTCTCTCATCTCTGCTGGACTCAGGTTCTTGGTAAAAGGCCACGCATTCGAGGGCAGTGTGGCAGTGGAAGCAAGTAAAGCACTCTGGGTGGAATCGGCATCCACCGGCGGTCACGATCTTGCCTGAAATTGGGTGAGAGCACAGCTCACAGCTTGCAGTTGGGACTCCTGATCGTGTATACGGCGAATGCCATCGGTTTTGCATTTCATTTCCTGGTTGTCCGGGGAATCCCTGCTTGGTCGGGCTGGTTCTGGTTGGCTGGGGCATTGGCCGTGAGGGCTTGCTCTGGTGTTGGCTGGGTGCTTCTATCTCAGAGATAGTTGGTACTTTGATATCCGGGACGTTAATGACGGGAATAGGAGGAGCTTCAGAAACTTCAATAGAAGGTGCCGAGACCTCAATTGCTGGTGCCGGCACTTCGATAACTGGTGGACGCTCCGGTCTTGGCTGGTCGGTTGGCTTCCAGGTTTGGTCAAAGCTGACGATTGGACGCCCAACTCGGTCACTGACAGCTGAAGGCATAGGCAACTTCTCACTCCGGTCTCCTCGTCTCTTGCTAGTTGCTGCACGGATATCATCACCCCGAATCTCTCTTCCATCTTTGGTCGGAACGGGTTCAGTCTCTTCAGGGGGCGGAGTGGCTTCATTTCGTGTATAGCCAGCATTGCGAGACTGGCTGGGAGGGTTCTTGTGGATTTCACGCTTTTCAAAGCGCGAAATTTTATCCAACATAGGGGTACTGTTAGTACCTCTGTTCTGCAACCAGGGAAGAGGTTTGGGGTTGCGCCCAAGGGCGTTGCGAGGCTTGTTTTTCAGAGCCGATGAGTCAGACTTAGAGAAATCGGATTTCTCTTCCTGCTTTTGAGTACTGGAAGGCTCTTCATATATTTGGTCGCTGGGATTTCTAAAAATTCCCCTGGAAGAATCACCGCTGACAGTCCGTCCTCTCGGCGCAGCCTCTGGGACCGGGGGCTCCTCGTCAGGCAGTTTAAAGTTAACCTTAAGATTCTTCTTCGTGGGACCGGCCAAGGATGATCGTTTTCGGAGTGACTCGGGACTGCATTGACCGTCTGAAGAACCACTCGAGCCTGTCGACTGGCTAAATCTATGGGTTGAGTCGTGACCTCGAGAACCGTTCCGGACGGGACTCTGGCTACGCCTGTTGGCATCGGGGTTCTGGTATGGCGCGTAGGGGTTCTTGAAGGCTACACCAGGGTTCTGGTGCATCCAAACCAGCTCGGTTGCCTCGTCCTGCGCGGCTTGATGGACATGAATCTCGTCGTGTACATCCATTTCCTGCAAAGCATGTCGTAGTGACCGTGCCTCTTCCTTCTCGTGTCGCCGCTGGCCGTTTTCACGATATGAAGGTGCCGGAGATGCTGGGACTGTATGGGTGTGGATCTGTGCTGGGAACACGTTCTTTCGAATCGAGTGCGTGCGGGGCTCCTGGGCTAACGGACGGCCCATTGCACCGCTGCCGGGGACATGAGAGGCTGCTCGGCGATGGGACATTGCACTTTCGGAACGCGGTTGGTCCTTGATGTCATCTTCATCTGGGGAACGCATTGAGAGGGCCGAGGAGGCTCTCGCAGGAAGGTTGCCTGGTATATCTGTAGTTGATGCCGCTGATTTGCCTGGATATGGGCGCGATCCAGTCGGACGCGCTGGACGGTTTGCCCGCAGGTCTTTCAAATATGTTGCTGTTGAGACGCGTATCAGCTCTGATCGGCGACGCGAACGGATGGCCACTCACCAACTTGATCATTGGACATGAAGGATGGACCGGGAGGGGAGACCTTCCGTTGAGTAGTATGTTTGTGCATGGTCTAAGTGATTGCAAGGATGTGTAGGGTAATGAAATACAAAATAAGCTACAGGATCGAGGTTAAACGGGACTAAGATGAGAACAGCCTAGTCGATCTATGATAGACGGTCTGAGTTGGCGTCATATGAGTTGTTCATCGCTCCCCACTCCCCAAACAAACACGGTCGCGAGGCAACGCGATGAGTCATCCTGGGCCACTTTGGAATAGGGCTTAGGGTTTGACCACGTGGTAAATTCAAGCCCTTGTAAGACTGTATAACTATAAATATATAGATCGAGAAGATCTAAAGTAAAGCCTCACAGATCCTCGAGTAATAAGCTCCATGTATATACAATCACGAACCCATCCCCCACTCAACACCCACGGCTCCAATCCTGAGACCCTCTCGGCTCTCCGCATCGGCTCCTCGGCACAAGTCTACCCCACAGCTAACTTAACACTTCAAAGGATCCCTGCAAGCTGCACTTCGGAAGCAAAGTAGTCACCGTTGCCATATCTCAACGGTCTAGGCTGTGCTTATTGGTCCAATATCGCCGAGTCCTGCAGTCGACAAAGCACGAAGCCCCCGGACATCTTTCCTCGATCCGAAAAGGGTAACGCTCTTAAATTCGGCATATAGTCCGATGCCGCTAATTATCCTTATCACTGAATCCTTTCTTTTTTTCTTCGCTGTTCAAATTTAACATATCTCCATCTCTCAACAACCTCCATGTCTTGACAAAAGCGGACATCTGGTTTCGGGCTCATGTTGAGAAAGACTCGATCATATTAAAGAAGATCCACAAGCCGGATTTGGTCTTTGCCAGCATGGCAGATAATGCCCCAATCGATATAATCCGATCACACCAAGACGATCTGGATCGAGAGAGTGCCAAGCAAGAGCAGAGGCTGAACCCGCAGTCAGAGCAGCCAGCCGAGGCCGACGAAGATGAGAAATACAAGCGCGACGTGCCCCCAGATGGTGGATATGGCTGGGTCTGTGTCGCCTGTGTTTTCTGGATTAATGCGCATACCTGGGGTATCAACAGCGTACATCAAGCAACTTATTTTTCCCTCTCCAGTCACTAACATTATATACAGAGTTACGGTGTCTTCCTCAGCTATTATCTCTCACATAACGTATTCCCAAACACATCAGCCCTATCATACGCCTTTACTGGCGGGCTGAGTATCTCATGCGCTCTTCTAGTGGCACCGCTAGCCACACGTTTCATTCATATGTGGGGTACACGATTCGTGCTAAACCTAGGCGTATTCTTCGAAACACTCTCATTGATCGGCTCCTCATTCGCAACTCAAAAATGGCACATCTTCCTCAGCCAGGGTGTTTGTTTCGGCTGGGGCATGGGCTTCCTCTTCGTTGGCAGCGTCGGCATCGCCCCGCAATGGTTTGAGAAGCGTCGCAGTGTAGCGATGGGAATCACGGCAGCCGGGTCTGGACTCGGTGGTTTGATATATTCGCTCTCAGTTGGTGCTATCATCCCACGCTACGGACTGGCCTGGGCTTTCCGGATTCTCGGCATCATCTCTTGTGTCGTGAATCTGGTTTGCTGCAATCTTCTCCGAGATCGGAACAAGGCTGTTGGCAGTCGATTCACAGCTTTCCATTTACCTCTTCTGCGCCGTCCTGAATTCCTGCTCTTTTTGGGATGGGGTGTTTTCAGTATGCTAGGATATGTGGCTCTGATCTTCAGTGTTGCCAACTTTGCTCTCTCTGTTGGTTTGTCCTCGCACCAGGGCAGTATTGTCTCTGCCTTGCTCAATCTTGGGCAGGGTCTTGGTCGTCCGTGTGTTGGCATGTTCAGTGATCGACTTGGTCGGATCAATATTGCGACTTTCTTGACTTTCATCTGCGGTTTGTTCTGTCTCGTCATTTGGATCTTTGCTGATAGCATGGGCGTCGTTTGTTTCTTCGCTGTACTTGTTGGCACCGTTTCTGGCACCTACTGGGCCACCGTTTCCCCTGTTCTTGCAGAGATCATCGGCATCAGAGATCTTCCCTCTGGATTGAGCATTACCTGGCTCATGCTTGTTCCTCCGTGTACCGTCTCCGAGGCTATTGCCCTCGAACTTCGCAGCGATGTCACTGGAGGCGGCACTTCCTATCTGCGGGTTCAGATATTCACCGGTTTTATGTATGTTGGCGCCTCCTTGTGCTTGTGGGTTGTCCGTGGTTGGAAGGTTGGCGAGTTGGAGCGTGCAGCAAAATGTGATACCCAGACACGTGAGACTTCATTGACTGAAAATAGTGGGAGTGAGAAGCAAGATCGCCCTGCAAGTGTCTCCTTGGGTTCGGCAACAGCAGTGGAAGATATCAACTTATGGGCTTCGGTCAATTTGGTCAGGAGGATGGTTGCATTCAAGCGTGTCTGAAGTCATCCATGGCTATGATCGAAGTGGAGAAACAGAATATCAAAAGCGGAAACCCACCTTCCAAATCAAAAACGCAACCATGAACATATTTGATGAGAAGAGAAGATATCCAGTGTAAACAATAATCCATCATTCATTTGAGTAAAACACCATTTTGTTGAAGATTCAATCTACATAACTAGTTGGAATTTGGCCTTTGGCCTATGCCTCGATAACCATGATCCGGACCCTTCTCTTTCCGGCACCACGACCTTCTTCCTTGACGGAGCTGACATTGACACGAACGCGCTGGAAGAGCTCGACAGTGACACCACGTTCCTTCTCAGGGTGGCCCTTCTCGCCCACGCGAAGAGTGTACTCCTCGCTATCAAAGTCAGTGGTGCGATGGGGTGCGAGCTCTCGTCTTTCGGCAACGGAACGAGATCCAGATTCGCCGGGCAGAACAAAGTCCTCCAGACGAACGACGCCTTCAATACCGAAGCGGGGAACGAAAATAACGACACCGTTCTCGAAGACACGCATAACGTAGCCGTCTTCCTCGATGCCGGAATCTTTACCTGCTGCAGCGACCTTCTCGCCACGGGCCTTGAGAGCTTGACCAACGTAGTACTCGATACTGGCACGGCCGGCAAACTGGGCATTGCGGTGGCGAACGTTGATGTTACGGCAAATGTCCTCCAGCTTGCTGCGAGTGCTGACACCCTCGATGACAGCGTGTCCATCCTCGCCTTCATAACCAATGGCGGAAGCCAGTTGTCTATGGACGAGTAGATCGGCATAACGACGAATGGGAGAAGTGAAATGAGTGTAGATGGGGGAGGCAAGACCGTAATGACGGAACTCGGATTCGGCATGCGCACCTGCGCAGAAGTACTCGGCAGAGGTCATGCAACGAGTCGCCAAGATACGAACAAGAGTATTAAAGAAGGGGTTCTTGGGGTCGACACAGCGATCCAGGGAGTCAGCCAAAGCTCTTGAGCTGGAGACATCAAGTTCCATGTTTCGCTTTTTGGAAAGTTGGTTAGTGAGGTCCTCGAAGTTCTGCGGCGGGGGCGTAGCGTGTCGGCGCAGTAAGGCAGTCTGTGAGAAGGCCTCATAGACCTTGGAGCCGACAGTGATGTTGGCGAGAAGCATGAACTCTTCAACCAAGCTGTTGGTCTCGAGCATGGCCTTGGTCTTGACATCTGTCAAAGGATCACCCACTTCATCACCTTCGGTCTCGATGCGAACTTCAGGAGAGGCAAGGTTCAGAGCGCCAGCATCCATACGCTTCTGGCGAAGAACCTTGGAGAACTTCAAGAGATTGCGCATGCTGTCGGTAAGCTCGTCCTTCTGTGACTTATCGTCGATACGCAATTGGGCTTGCTCGTAACTAAATGCTTCCCGGGAGCGAATGACAGACTTGGTGAAGTCGGAAGACACAATTTCGGCCTCGGGAGTCATCTCCCACAGGACTGAGAAGGCATAGCGTTCAACGTAGGGTTTGAGGGAGCACAGGTCTGTGCCAAGAAGATGCGGCAGCATGTCAATACGCTTGTCCACGAGGTAAACGGTAGTACCGCGAACACTGGCCTCAAGATCCATTGGGTTGTTGGGCTTAACGAAGTGCGACACATCTGCAATGTGGACACCAACTTCAAAGTTTCCATTTGGCAGTTGACGCGCGTGGAGTGCGTCGTCAATATCCTGACAGCCGGGAGGATCGATACTGCAAATCAGCAGGTCACGAAGATCTCTCCGGCCATTCCAACCCTTGTCCTCCTTCGACGCAGGAACCTTCCAATCGTGTCCTTCAGACGGGAGACAGTCCAGAACGGACTTGGGGAACGGCTTATACTGCACGTCATATTCCAGCAGCAGAGCCTCGGTTTCAGCACCCTTAGTCTCAAGCTCACCCAGGGATCGAATGAAGTGACCAGTAGGGTATCGGGAGTCCCGATCCCAAGCATCGATGGTGACGAGAATACGCTGACCGAGCAGATCGGCAGCTTGTCTGGTTCGTACCCTGATCTTCGGAATCCGCTTGTCCATTGGCAACAAGAAGACATTTTGTTGTCGTCGACCTGATGCAGCTTGGGAGCCGGTAGAACCAGAGTCGACGTGGCCAACGTATTGGCGCCAGCTGCGCTTGATAACACCAACAACCTTGGCGGTGGGTTGAGGCTTGCCTTCTGCATTCTTGCCGTGGGCCTTCTTCACCTCTTCCTGGAGAGCTTTGCGTTCCTTTTCCGTAACCACAGCCTCATTTTCTTCACTATCAGGGTTGTCGTTCCGGGTCACAGCTTCCTCGTCCATGATCTTGGTCGAGGGCATCTTCCACTGGTCTTGTGGCAAGATTTCAACCACAACAGAGTCTCCCGAGATTGCGCGGTTGCTGTTGTCGCGGCCCAAAATGAGAAGCGGCTTATCAAAAGCGGACGTCTTGACGGAGCCTTCCAGATAGTTATAGGGTGAAACGTTGTAGATACCTTGGTGCAATGTCCCTGCGCGGAGGCCAGTCGTGAGTTTGGACATGGAAAAGTACTCGGGATAGAAAAGGTCTCCACGAGCTGCCTCCTTTGCATCCCGCGCATCCTTTGAGTCGCTGATCATGTCCAACAAGAACTCTGAACCTTCCAAACCGGTGACGTAGTCGGATAGTGACAAGGCTGTAACATTCTCTTCCTTCGCCTTCCGAAGATTCTCCTTATCATCGGTGATGACCACAATAGTTGGCATCGTCTTCTCCTTCTTCGCCTTCTTTGCCGACTGTTGTAAATGGGTTCCATACCAGCTGGCTACCGTGCGCACAGCGCGATCGTTCCTGTCATTGATAGATTCCTCCAGGCCTCTACGAACATGAGTCTCACGGCGGAACTCATTGAAGAAGAGGTAATAGCGCTTCTCGTCTGACTTGATTAAAGCTAGAAGACGGTTGTAGAGTGGTAGTGATCTGTTTCTCAACTCTTCGAGGACGGTCTGAAGAATGATCACATCGTAGAAAGCACCAGTGTGCTCAAAGAGGTCCATTCCATTAAGAAGCGCATTTGTATCGGGAAGAAGGTAGTGGCCTTTGGAGAATGCCTTCGTGCCGGCGGGGCGATCGGACAGGATGAACGGCGCAACTGTTTCGCATTAGTCGATCGATTCACCACAAGCAGACAACCCGAGCCTTACTGTTTCCATTGGCATCGGCAGGGGCAATCTTGGGGCATTGCGAGCAGAGCTTCGAAGAGCAAGGAATGTCTTCTCTCAAGTAAAGCTCGCGAACAATCTTTTGCACTTTTCCACTTCTTGTGGATCGCACGTAGACCTTGCTGGTAACGTTCGCAGCTTGCGGGTTGGTAGACGTATCTCTCCGTAAGCTCTTCATGGCGATAGAAATCTGCCTTTCGAGACAGTGGCTCAGTCAAAACCTCTGAAATATTGAGGTGAGAGTCTTTGCGGAAGGTTATCGGGGATCGCGATAGCTGAGTCAGCGCATATCATCGTTGACGTTCCTACAACGCTTGCAAAGGTGTTAAGATGATTTTGAACACGGGGAGTTTAAATTGAGATTATGACCAACAAGGCACATCTGGCAAGTTTGCTAATAAAAGTACTTCATAAAATTGCTGTAGAGAGATCTTTATAGTATGCTGAATCACGTGGCACCCATACGATAAGGCGTGACTCGATGGACTATTGTCAACACCGTCTGCTTGTTACAATAAAACTACATCTCGTGAAAATATACGCATATCGGAATCCTTCGGTCTAGTAGGCATGGTTCTCGCAGTATGTTTGTCATCAGTCGAGAGTGAGGCTAGCTTACTGACCAAGTTGATCGTGAGATAGGCCGTGGGGCAGCTCTGCTCAACTGCTAACATAGCGTCGAATCTGGCTCAATGTCAAGTCCTAGTTCAAAAGGCAGCAGCAGCAGGTGCTAAGGTAGATTCCAATTTAGGATACTGCCACGTTTCTTCATTTTGACTCAACTACTAGGTCTTGTTTCTCCCCGAGGCGTCGGACTATATCGCATCTTCACCAGAGCAATCCTATGATCTCGCTAAGTCTCAAGAGTGCGCCGACTTTGTTTCAGCTTTACGGAAAGATGCTGAGAAACGCAACTTGCACATTAATGTCGGGATTCATGAAATAGCTTCTGAGACCAGACTCAAGAATTCATTGATCTGGATTGATAACAAGGGAGCCATCACCCAAAAATACCAGAAGATTCACCTTTTTGATGTTGATATCAAAGATGGACCTACCCTTAAAGAAAGCGCGTAAGTTCTTTCCAGAGGTCGAACGATCGATAGACAGTGCGCTAACTGCTTGAAGGAACGTCCAGCCGGGGCACCAGATCCCCAAACCATTTGAGACACCTATCGGGCGTGTTGGCCTAAGCATATGTTTTGATGTTAGTCCTGTCTTCCATGTGTCTCCCCGCGATTCAATTTTCTAATGATGCCCGTTTGGGGTTTGCAGTTACGGTTTCCGGAGATCAGTCTGGCTTTGAGGCGACAGAATGCCGAAATCATTACATACCCATCAGCATTTACAGTGCCGACAGGAAAAGCTCACTGGGAACCCCTGCTACGAGCAAGAGCCATTGAGACGCAATCATTCGTGATAGCAGCGGCCCAGGCAGGTCCTCACAACGAAAAAAGAAAAAGCTATGGTCATTCGATCATCGTCAATCCGTGGGGTGAAGTTTTAGTGAAGCTCGGAGGTGAGCACGAAGAACCACAGATTGCGATAGCCGATGTTGATCTCAATCTTGTGGCGAAGATTCGGCGAGAAATGCCCTTGCTTCGAAGGAACGACCTCTACCCAGAACTTTGATAGCTTCACATAAGCAACCAGACAATTGCTACTGGGGGATGCCCCTCAGATCAACCCTTATAATCAGCAGCCTTCATGGCGCTCGAATTTAATCGTTCTTATCATTTACCGAATGCGAATTATAGCAGATTTGTTATCAAAGCACCTATACCAACATAACGAAACAGTTTGGAGAAAGTATCAAGTAGGGAACAAATGAAAATGAATAAGCATGCAAAAAACCTGTCTAAAATGAGACCGGAACATCATATCTGCCTTCGCAGGTAGTACAGGCATAAACCGAAAGTGTCCTTTTCAGATCTCTATATGTACAGCGTACAGATTCAGCGTTTATTTCTTGACCTTGTCGGGGTCCTCCAGGATACCCTCGGCCTCCAGCCTCCGGCGGGCCTCCTCAAGAGCCCAAGTTTGTATGCTATCGCAATTGTCAGTATTCCAACTGTGAGATAGATCCACCTGCGGCGACGCGCGAGGTAGCGGTGAGGTTGTACTTACGAAGTATCGGGCTTAAAGACATATGCGACACCAGCAACCAAGAAGCTTCCAATGAATCCGTAGTACCAGATATTCTCCCAGCCTTCCTTCTCGTATTTCTGGCCGGGCTTCAGGCCGAACAGATAGCCGGTGGGAGGGTCATAGTGATCGCCGTGGTCGGCACCGCCACGGACAACGGAACGGGTTGAGAAAGCCTGAGCGGTCTGGGGCTGGCGCAGAAGGCAGCGCGCGCGCAGCATGTGGGTGATTGGCCGAGCAGGCATGTTGAGGATGGGGGTGAGAGTCGAGGGGCGATCGCAGAAACACGGGCGTATGATTAAATTGGTCGGTGACACACGGGCTAGAGTAGTCGCCTTGTCAATTCGAGTGGCAAGGACAATCTCAATTGATGTTGTGCCTCTTGCAGGGGAGTGGAGGGGTGGTTCGGCGTTGATGTTGAAGCCGTAAAAGGCCGGAAGCTGTTCAGTCATTGCACTAGTCTGCTTTGGGCGATTTTCCTGTCCGCCTTTACGCCTGATATTTTAGGCATACTTATTGCCTTGTAGACAAGGTGTCAGCACTTGACGCGCGACGCGTGCTTATCGCATCTCACCCCGTTTCCCCCCATGCTGCGAGGGTGCTGGACTTGATTCGAAGTCTCCGTGTACGAGTGGCATCATACATATTATCTGCATCAGTACATCTCTCCCCATGGCTGGTGAACCTTCGTTTCTAACATTGTTCTGCTAAAGCTTCCAGCGGAATGTATTATTACCATTTTTGAACGCGTCATTGGATATTTCTAAACCGAGGCAATGGCGACCAACAATTCATACCCAATTTCGTCGAATTCACGAACAAAGTTAAATGCCTTTCGCTACAAAGACGAAGACGACAACACAAGCAAAGACGGGACAAAACCAGCTCATGGGAACAAGGAAAATCAGAAATCGTGGTCCAACGGGGTGGTAGAGCCGATGCAGACATCACCAGACAAAAGCAATCCTCAGGCTACTCAAGCACCAGCTCCAAAGTTCGAACTCCAAGAGGTGAAACCGATCAAGGAATGTCCTCAGACCCCGGGAAACAGGATACCTCTGGCGGATTTGATCAGCAATGCCGAGGATTCTTTCGATCCTGCTCCAGGTCCTGAAGTGACTCCAGTTGAGCATGTCATTTGGCAGCATGTCCCTGCCAGCTCAAATCCAGATAACTCATCGCAAACGCCCGCAGGTCGTCGAAGGAAGCGACGACTCAGTTCTTCTCCGAACGGTTCTCCCTCCAATGCGAATTCCAAAAAACACCCAAAGGAGCCTCTCGATCTGCAGTCAATACAAGCACTATTCAAAACACCACAACACGATATGGCAGCTGAGTTGTGGAACAACTATGTGGATAAAAACATGGTCGATGGTGCTGAAGATCTTCCTCCGCCTCGTCTCGCCAACCTGCTTTCCTCTTCACCCCAGACGCCTGGCTCCGGCAGGACAAGTCGAGATTCCTCGGGTCTAAGACGTTCAATCAGTTGTGCTGCTGAGTTTCCCACATCTCGAGCGAAGAGACGACGGTTCAACAGACAAGACGGAGGTGGTGCTAATCGCGGCATATTTCAGCGAACGAGCAGCAATGTCCTTGAGTCTGGAAAGCCCAAAGCTTCTAGGATCAGCTATCTCATGGAGAAGATCGAGAAATCAATACACCTGGCTCCGGTCGACGCAAATCCACCTGGTTCATCGCCTCTTCGGCAACACATGGATGCGCGAAGGTGTCGTTCGTCTTCTCCAACAAAAGATCGCAAAGCCCTCGAAGATCTTGCGGAAACCAATGAATCTCCATGTGTTGCACCGGTCGATAAAGGAAGGCCTGGTCAAATGCCCGTGCTTCAAGAATCGTCTTCAGACTTTGGAGACGATGATCTTGATCAAGATCTCATCGACTTGGCTGATGCTTCAGCGGATCCCTTTGTTGATACAGTACGACCAACAATCGGGTTTGATACTCTAGGCTCTTCAAGCTGGGCCGCTCTCGCCGCTGAGAAATCTCGCTCCTGGCAGCCAAGGGAGAATGCAATGCTCGACAGCGAACCTCCCTCCACCTCTCACAACCTTACGAATAATGAAACAAAACGTGATGAATTCGATGACTTTGATGACGACTATGATGATCTGCCGGACAATTTGCAAGAAATCCTAGCAAAATGTGATAAAAAGCTGGACCAAGCAAACATGACCACTGGCGAACCTAAGAAGTCAGATACAACGAATGCCCCCGTGGGTCCTGCGTCTATCAAAGCCCCCACAACGACGGGTGTCGGAGACGAGGCTGCGTCATCCGATGATGAGTTTGACGATGATTTTGATTTAGAGGCTATCGAGCAGACTATGAAGCAGGCAGGGGAAGGTAAACCAGCTCATGTTTGTCGCTCTTAGTGGTTTTACTTTCTATATATATGCTAAGACATGAAAAAATTAGAACCTTAAAGATCGACAAGCTATCAAACGTTACCAAGTCATTGACATCGCGGAGGGCACATATGTCAACCCCAAAGGGCGTACTCAATCCGAGCAGGTACGATGCCTTGCCCTTCTTCAAACTAGACCTCCCCGCTGACCCTAAGAATAGGATTTGCTAGTCGAAGACGAGAAAACACGAGACCGCAAGGTCATCATCCTGCGAGAAACATGGTTTGATACTCCTTGCACCAAGGACTCATACATCCATCTGGTCGGAGACTTCAACTCTGCCGGCCAGTGCATCGTGGACAACGCCAACAATATGGTCATCCTTCATCCCGATCATCTTATCTCTGCGACGGTTGTGGCAGACTCAGTCGAATGCCAACGACGAGCTGTTCTCCAAGATCGAGTCAAGGTCATCGCAGCGCTCGAGAGACCACAGGCATTCGGTGTATTCTTTCACGAGATCTTCCAAGAAGCTCTGAAATTGAACCAATGGGATATGGATTCTATGAAAACTTTGGTCGAAACTGTCATGGGGAGACATGTTGAAGATCTGTACTCGATCCAGATGAGCATACCCGAAGCTGTTGAATATCTCATGAGCAAAATGCCTGGTGTTCTTGCTTGGGCAGATACATTCCTTCATCTGAAGCCGCAGGTATGTCTCGAGAATATCTCAATTGGGTACAACTTCTGCTAATTTAAATGACAGGCCACCTCCATGGTTGAGGACCGGAATAGCTCCAAGCTTAATTTAAGCATTAACAAGCTACTTGAGGTGGAGGAGCACATCTGGTCTCCGATGTACGGTCTCAAAGGAAACATAGATGCGACGGTGCAAGTCGCTTGTCGCGAGCAAGGAATTAATAAGAACCTGGTTGTTCCTCTTGAACTCAAGACTGGGCGGAGAGATACGAACCAGGCACACAGAGCTCAAACAGCACTTTACACCTTGCTCCTATCTGATCGCTATGGTAAGTCATCAAATGCGCACACTGAATTGCCATTGGCTAGTCACTAATTGTTACAGATGTCGATGTCACCTTTGGACTTCTTTACTATCTTGAGGTGTCAAGGACACTCAGCATCCGCGGAATTCGACATGAACTTCTCCAAATGCTCCAGGTGCGAAATCGGCTGGCAGGGTATATCCGCGAAAGAGATGTTCTTCCACCGATGCTGAAGAAGGCACGCAAATGTAGCAGATGTTATGCAAAGACCCCTTGCCTCATTTACCACAAGCTTGCTGAAGATGGCGATGGCGAGACCAGTGGACTTGCCGAAGACTTTGACGTGTCTGTCGGTCATCTGAACAACGGTGATCGTGACTTTTTCCGGAAGTGGGATGAACTTCTTACCAAAGAAGAAGGGAATCTGGTCAAGTTCCGACGAGAACTTTGGACATTGTTGAGCCACGAGCGTGAAGCTCTCGGTCGATGCTTCGGTAATGTCGTTCTTGATACCAAGTCTCCCTACGAGGAAAACACTGGTGCGAAGATCAATCGCTACCACTACACATTCAACAAAAGACAACCAGCCCCTGGTTTTTCTTTTACGGAATCACAGATTTCCATTGGTGAGCCGATTGTTGTTTCTGACGAAAACGGTCACTTTGCCCTCGCGAACGGATATGTGGTGCAAGCCAGTTCCTTGCATATCAAGGTTGCGGTTGACCGTAAACTTCACAATGCGAGGTCACGAACAGCTGGATTTGATGCTGCTACAAATCAATCATTCAAGGGGATAATGGAGATCGGGACAACAGAGCCCGCTGTTCTCGAGGATTCAGATGAGCAAGTTGTTTACCGAATCGACAAAGACGAGTTTAGCAACGGCATGGCCATTGTCCGAAACAATCTTATCTGCATGATGGACAAAGACCTAATCCAAGCCAAAGAAATGCGGCGACTCATCATTCAGGGGGAAGCCCCTGCTTTCAAGACTTCATCATCTGCCTACCCGATCTCAGATCCCGAAAGCCTCAATGTTGATCAAAGACAAGCTATTGACAAAGTTATGGGTGCCAAAGATTATGCTCTCGTCCTCGGTATGCCCGGGACTGGAAAGACAACTACCATTTCTCACATCATTCGGGCCCTTGTTGCACAGGGTAAGAGTGTTCTTCTCACGTCTTACACACATACTGCAGTCGACAATATTCTGCTGAAGATCAAGGATGACAACATCCGTGTCCTGCGTATTGGTGCCACCACCAAAATCCATCCAGATGTTCAAGACTTTGCGGATCTTGCCGCAATTCCGAAAGCAACTATCGAAGAGCTCAAGGATTCGTATGAGAAGCCGCAGGTCGTGGCCACTACATGCCTAGGAGTCAACCACAACATCTTCAACCAGCGCATCTTTGACTACTGCATCGTCGATGAGGCTTCACAAATTACGCTTCCGGTCTGTCTGGGCCCAATTCGAATGGCAAGGACTTTCATTCTTGTCGGTGACCACTACCAATTGCCGCCCCTAGTGCAGGACAAGGCCGCTCAAGAAGGGGGCCTGGATGTCAGTCTCTTCAAACTGCTGTCAGACGCACAACCAGATTCGGTCGTCAATCTTGAGCACCAGTATCGCATGTGCGAAGAGATCATGTTACTCTCCAACACTCTTATCTACTCGGGTCGCCTTAAGTGCGGCACACCCAAAGTAGCTGCCCGTTCCTTGGATCTGCCCAACATCAACGCCCTGGATCAATTCCACGTCAAGGACTTAGGCCATTCTCCATCGCAAAAGGACATCTGTCTGGGCAACCCACATACTCCCTGTTGGATACGAGATCTCCTATTACCATCAGCAAAGACCCGTCTGGTTAACACTGATTCCATCGGTCCAACAGCCCTCGAAATAGCACAGGGTAACCGAGTCGTGAACCACATGGAAGTCTTCCTCTGTGCCCAACTCGTCGAATCATTCATCGCTTGTGGCATTCCCGCCCGAAACATCGGCGTGATAACCTTCTACCGCAGCCAACTCTCACTACTCCGCCAAAGTCTACGCCATCACATCCCGGACCTGGAAATGCACACAACAGACAAATTCCAAGGCCGAGACAAAGAAGTCATAATCCTTAGCTGCGTCCGCAGCAACACAGAAAACAACGTTGGCGAGCTCCTTCGCGACTGGCGCCGTGTCAACGTCGCCTTCACCCGCGCTCAAACCAAACTCCTCGTCGTCGGCAGCAGATCCACCCTCCGCGACGGTAACGACTTACTCTGCAAATACGTCCGTCTAGTCGAGAGCAAAGGATGGGTCTACAACCTCCCCGGCACAGCACTAGACAAGCACGTCTTTCCATCCTTCATCTCACAATCCCAACTTATGTCCCCTGGTGCTCCCGGCTCTTCAAAGAGCAAGAAGGCGAAAACAAGTCCAACAAACACGAAGAATTCCCCCGCTTCTCGTTCTTCCTGTGAACCATTGAATCCACTCGGCTCCCGACAACAAGACAAGGGTCTACGGAAACCTGCCAAGACAGGTGCTAAACTATTCAATGGTACCAACGTTGTTGGGAATCGACCTATCCTTCGGGATATCGTGAACGACCTCACGGGTTAGCGCTAGTGCTATCATGATATCTGCACACATCATTCATCGCGAATTTTGTTTCTACAATCATCTTCAAGGCGAATCGGTTTGGGGCATTTTCATTCTTATTTTTCGCGGCTTGGATATGCGCTGGTGCACTTACTGTCATAGTATCTTGGTGTTTGGAATTGACGGTTATGCTATTGGGCATCCTGTACCTTTGTCTTTCTGGTTGTTCTATTTGGTACATTTCGGCCCGTTGGTTCTTAGGCTTTTTGAATGGATGTGATTTGTACACGTTTGATCTCTATTCTTCCTTTTTAGAGCTTCTGCCTTATCTAGTCAAACTATTCCAGTGTAGTTTCAATAATTCATGAGGTGCGGCTGCTCTGGCACCTGTCTAGTCATAGCAAAAGGTTCTCCGTGGTTACCCAGTCACCACCATTCCCTGACAGGCAGCAAGCATTTCATTCAGACTTTTCACATTATCTAGAGAGTTGTTCTTTGCTTCGTCTCATGCCAGAGTACACGAAAATCAGAACTTGCCTCAGCGTCAAAGATGGCATTGGATCAGCGAAAGGCCAGGAGAACATGGGCAGTTCAGACATGAAAAGCAAGAGCCTCCTACATGAGAGCAAAGAATGAATATCAGACAGCCTACATTAAAGAGATTGATGGATAAATATGTATTTAGCAAGTAGGCAACAAAAGTCCTATGTAGACACCATATGTGCGGTCGAAAGCCCCGTAGACTTTCCATAAAAATTGAACAGAAAGTCTCAAAAAGAATAAAAATAAAAATAAAACCCGGTAATTGCAAAAGAAACCATACCCCGTCCCCGCAATACAAAGAAGTAGAAAAAAGTCCTGAATGCTCCATCCTCCTTGTAACCTGAGAAAAAAACACTGTGTCATAGTCTGAGAGCTGTGCGGGCTTTCTTGCCCTCGGATCCGCCTAAGTAGATCCTTCTCTTCTCCTTGGGTTTTGGTACGAACCATCGGCCATGGTTTTTGGGATTGGCCACGAAGTGGTCGGGCACGACGTTGTCCACGAATTCAAAGCTCCGCTTGCTGGAAGGTACTGGAGAAGACGAGAACTGCATGCGATCGATAGGCAAATTTTGGCCGGCTGCAAATTTGAATGCCGGAGCGGAAACATCAGACTGATATTGTTGCGCAGAAGGTGGGGGAATATGGGCAGCCTGGCCAAGAGGAACAGCTTGTAGTTGTTTATTTGGGTACTGGGTACCATAAGCCAGTCCGGCTCGATGGGCGGCCTGGTTTGGTGGAGCGACCTGCATCTGCTGGGGAGGATAGACCAATTGAGACATTTGGGGCGACAGGTCTGACTGGGATAGCTGACTGTACTGAAGTGGCTGGTTTGACTGGGTCAGCAAGGGCGACCGCTGGTATTGCTGTTGCTGGCAAATCTGATTCTGGTGCTGAAAACATCGTACTTGCTGATCCTGTGCCATCTGTTGCTGAGCCGGCTGAAGTGCTTGCATCGACCGAGGCAGTTGCTGCTGGGGGTTCCGTCGGAGGGCTTGTTGCTGGTAAGCCTGTTGCAGTTGTAGCGTGTGTGTATCTTGTTCTATCTGCCGCTGAGCCGCCTGAGCTGCTTGTGTCTGAGGTGACACGGGTGACATCAGGTAGTGCCGTTGTGGGTTGGCTAGGGGCATATTGGATAGGCGCTGTTCGTCTTCCACCTTGTGCGGAGCGTACATGAATGTCTGGGTTGACTGCTGAAGCTGTTTCTGGTAGGCCATTTGCAAAAACTCTGCATGTCTCTCGTCTTCGGTCAATTGCTGAGATGCTTGGACTGTCTGCATCAACTGGAGTTGTTGCTGGCGAGCCTGTTGCAATTGCTGTAGGTAACTTGCGCGTCCAGCTTCTCTGTTAAAAGAATCGGACGACTGGATTAACGAGGGTGGTTGGGTTGCCTGGGATAGCTGGTTGTAGTCGTGTGGCTGCTGCTGCCCAGCCTGATTCAAGTGCAGTTCCCGATTGATCTGTTCCTGGCGGTGGTTGTTTTGGAACATCTGATTCATTCTCCTCAACTGCTGCTGCCGATTCCCATAGATGCTCTGCTGTCCCGGGTATTTCTGCTCGTATAGTTGCTTTTGTGTCTCAAGAGACATTGGCGTCGTGGAATTGAGTTGAACGTCCGGAGGAGCCCGTTGGGGGGGTTTAAAAACAACATCATTTTCTGACGCTGGAGGAGTAGGTGCGATCCTGCGAAGCATTCGAGGTGAGGGGCTCTTCGGGGTGGAGTATCGCTTTGGGGTCCTTGCTCGAGGCTTGCGTTGGGCTGATGCCGTCGTTTGTGTGTGCTTTTTTGTAGAATTGGCTGACCCATTGGCAACTAAAGCATTTGATTTCGCCATCGGTACGATGGTTGCCCTCTTTGTCCCACTTGCCGTGTTGTCGGCGGTCTGAGTAGTCGGTTTGGGTGGGCTGTCAGTCAGGTCGATTGCTTCGACAGAATAGGGAGGGGATATGATTACAGGCCGATTGATACGTCCGAAAGATGAGGTAGGGGCAGCGTTTAGTATCTGGCAGGCCATTTGAACTGAGAAATTGTCCCTGGTTGGAGCTGGAGTGAACATATCAACGATCGGATGATCAGCAGTTGGGACAGAGTCGGTTACCTCGGCCAAGCTGGTGGCAGGGCGGATTGCGGTTTGAGTGGGTGCCTCATTGAAAGGATGGCCATCGCTTGCGAAAGAGCAGTCTGTATCCAGGGCAGAAATGGCCGCAGTCACGTCGGCGTCAGTATCGTTCAGAAGTGCTATGAACTCAGGCTCAAAAATGGTGTTGTGAAACTCCTGTGCCGCGGCTGGGTCGCAAGTATATGGAGAATCTTCACAGAAGTGGCTTGGAAGGACATTTGGATTGGTAAAGGAGGTGTCTGAGACGGAAGCCATGGGGGAATTGAGTTCCAAATGATCGGTGTTTCGGCGGGCAGGAAACGGGTTCCGGTCTCTGGCAGCAGGGCGGATGGCATCAGGAAATGGCCAGTCCCACTTGACACGACCGTTCAGGGGCGACTCAAGTGACGCTTTGTAGACAAAATTATCGGTGAGTCCAGCTTTCGCTTCAGCTTGATTGCGCTTGTTGCTCAGCATGTAGTCGACGATATTCTTCACATGGGTCTGATTGGAGGAACACATGATGAATAACTGATGGGATGAATGATGGAAGATGGAATGAGTGATAGAAGACGAAATGAATGTAGAGGAATTGATTTCGGAGAGATGTGATGAGTTGAAGAGAGATGCACAGCTGCCTGTGTCAAAAGCTGAGTCACAGAGAGCAAATAGATGTGGTAGGTACAAGAATGATATGAATCTCGCGACAAATAACGCTGATTGGCAGCAAAATAAGCAAGACGGATGTAAGATGATGGAGAGAGGTAGGATAGATGGGACGAAAAAGGAAGAAAGATGGAAGATAAGAGAGGAGAGAATAGGAAGTCACACTTTCTGCCCCCAGAGGCAGCCAACCCGTGGATGAAGCCTTAGAACGTCAGTTTTCGGTCACGGATGCTCCCACCAATTCCCACAAGACGGCCAACCCGTTTTCTTCCGGTAGAACCATCAAAGTGAACCCGTCTCTGCCCTCCACAGCTTCTTTTCCAAGCGTTGATACCGCAAGAGAGAACCAAGATTCGTCTTGAGTATGGTGGCTATCCAAGGATAAAGTTAGCTTTGTACCAAGCTTCATTGATTGAAAGAATAAGTCAGTTAGAACTTACCGTAGAGCTAAGAACAGTTCCATAACCCAGCGTGATGAGATAAAGCCGTGCCATTTGACGCTGATTAGGCTGCAAGGTTCACAGTTCTCTGGAACAGAGTAACGGCTCAGGTACGGATCGACGTCATCTTCCCCAGACACACGGGGTGAGTTTATCTGAACCATGGCAATCCATTCCAGGAGAGAACCCAGTTGCTCCTGCAGTCCGCCTTCCGGCGTATTATCGATGTCTTGCGCGATTGCGCTAGGTGACGGAGTGAGGATCTGTCGGTGCTCAGACTCCGATGGCTCACACGTCATCATTTGAGGACGAAGCTTATGGATTGGTCTCGTGGCTATTCCATCCCTTGTTAGCTTATTTCTTGGGTCTGCTTTGTCTGGGTAGAGATTGATATACTTTGGTCCGTGCCAGGGGTACTCTGTAGATCATAAAAGAGCCATGCCACCGACTGAGTCAGAACGTTGGCAAAGGCCCAAACGATCCTTTCAAAGCCTTTCTTGCCATGTAGCATTGAGGGCAGTCGAAAGTTCAGCTCGACCACTGACGACATAATTAGTAAGCGTGGATTGCACATCTGTGATATTATACTGACAGAATCTTTCTTTTGCGTGTTTCCTGCCGCCGCTGCGGAAAGGTTTGCCAGTGAGACCTGTTCGTTCATAGATTTCCTTTCCAAGCTCCATTCGGAGAACTCCTGGTGAAACAAAATTAGACATTCATGTCGACAGAGAAGAGACCTAGGGGCAGCTTCAAAGGGGAACAAACCGTCTCGGAGCGTGAACACATTATCAGATCCCGAACGGCCTTCGGATATCATCAGAATATTTCCTATATTTCAAGTCAGATTATGACTCCAGATAGATTGACGAGATTGGATAGCGATCTAAATCCGAGGGCTGCAGCCTTTGGAGAAACCCAGATGGAAGCGGGCCCTTGGCCTCCAAGGACCGAGCTGGAGGCGTATGTACCTGACTTGATATAGGTATTGAAGAAAGCATGCTCGAGTAGAGCAGAAGGGGCCATGAACACTCGTGCATATTGAGGTTTCTGCAGCTTGGTTTTCAACGAGGACTCGATCTTCGAGTAGACCCCCTTCGGCATGATAGCCTCAACCTGTGTCGAACATCAGTCAACCGGCCATTTTCCTGTGGAGCCAATGATTACCAACCGAGTGTGCGAATGCATGGTTCTGAATTGTAGAAAAAGGCGCCCTTTTGCTTGGAATTTGCTTTGGGTCGATGAACGCCGGCAAGCGGGTGATGGTCGTGAAGCACTTTTCGCGACACGACGCGTCGTCTTCCTGGTCGAACATGACTGAAGAGCTCAACTGCTTTGCAAGATATTCAATATTTGGTGATTGTATCCCAGCGTGGACTCAGACTGAGCTTGACAATTTTTCCAACGGGTGAGGTTTGATTAAGCTCGGGGGCTTATCGGACCCATAAGACTGCAGCAATCGAAGCTCCCATTCGTCAGTCTGACAACTATACACTACATAAGGTATATTGTAGATGTAGATGCGATATGTTTTACAACTGAGGCATGAAAGTGATAGTCTAAGGATGAACTTGGATATAGGGACGAGAATCACCTTGAGTTACCTGTAGTCGAACGGTCTTGAAAGTATCACATTCTTCTGCACCATCATGGGGCATTGACAAAGCGTTGCTCAACACGTATTTTGATTTATTTTACCGCCGAATGACATACCTATATTCTTCGTCGGTCTCATATACTCGGTGATGCGTGCTCCAATAACGGACTCCTTCCTGTGAAGCTAAGGTGACTAAAGGTTTCTTTGAACAGCTGAATATTGACGAAAATTCCATAGATCATTCAGCATCTACATATATAAAACCAGTCAAAGATTCTCGCTTGAAAATACATTTATAGGATGTTCTTTAGAGGCAATGATATATTGATGAAACCCAGCGACGTTCAAGATCTGAAAGTTGTGATTAAATAACGAGTACCTAGGTAATTCATTGCCTAAGCTATGAATTTGAGCAATGGTCACCCAAATGTGGAAGGTGCAGCGTCCAAGGTGAGCCTGAGATTCCCGTGAGGTTCCTCCCCACCGACGATTTCCGCTTGTTCCGCCCTACACCGCCCACTTGCCATGGCAAACCTCGTGGATCATCGTCAGGCAGTATCGGAGCGCCTAAAGGCGGTCTCCGAACACTCAACCACCACCTTATCTCAGTTAGACAACTCTCGTGCTTCCGGGTTTAAGATCATACGTCCTCAGCCAGCTGACTCCTTTCCTGAAATTAACACTGCGGATGAGGAACCTACATTCCACAGTCAATTGAAGGCGGATCAATCCAAACCGCCAAAAATGGCTCCTCCGCGTCGCGATCTCCTCCATAAGGACCACTTTTCCTTCGTGTTTGGGGGCGCAAAGACCCAGAACTACTATGACCCTGCTGCCAAAGGCCCAGGGTCTCACACGTAAGTTGCATCTCAACGCATCAAGCTATGCGCACATACTGACCGCCATCTGAAATCACAGTATCCGAACACTCGCCTGGAACCCCACCGGCCAGCTAATTGCTACGGGCTCAGCAGATCGCACCCTAAGAATCTGGAATCCCGAACGCCCCAATGTCCGCTACTCAACCGAATTGCGCGGCCACACCGCCGGAATCGAGAAAGTCCTCTTCAACCCAGTCCGCGACGCAGAGTTAGCAAGTTGCTCGACAGACGGCACAGTACGCTTCTGGGACGTCCGCTCCAAGACCTGCGTCAGCAAGCTAGACATCGGCGGAGAAGCATTCACTCTCTCCTGGTCCGCGGATGGCACGACAATGATCGTCGGCACAAAGGTAAACACAGAAACCGAACCCCAGAGTCGGGTCCCAGAAAGCAACAAGGCCCTAACACACCCCTCAACCAGGACGACACTCTGATCCCCATCTCGATCGAAAGCCCCTCCACACCAACCGCCCATCCAGACGGCGCAAACGCTCTCAACCTCCCGGCCTCAGTAGGCACAACGACCTACACAGCCCTCGCTCCCCACCCCCAACCCGTCCAGACAAACGCAACTACTTTCGACTGGCGCATGGCAACCCCTGAACGCCCTCAGCAGCAGTTCTTCACCACGACCGGCGAAGGAAAGGTCAAAATCCTTTCCTATCCCTCCTTGAACGTCCTGTACACCATAAACGCCCACACATCCGCCTGCAATGCCGTCGCTCTCGCGCCTACAGGTCGTTACCTCGCAATCGGCGCTAGCGATGCTCTCATCTCCCTCTGGGATACAACTGACTGGATCTGCCAGCGCACATTGTCAAGTGAGAATGGCGGCGCCATCCGTGGTGTGAGCTGGAGTTTCGATGGCCGCTATATCTGTGGTGCATGTGATGAGATTGGGTGTGGTGGGAATGGTCTTGAGATCTTCCATGCTGAGTCGGGTGATAGCATTTACACTATTCCTACTGCAGGTGCTAATGCTGGTGTTTCTGCTGTTGCTTGGCATCCTTCGCGTTACTGGTTGGCTTATTCGACTACTACTGATGGTCCTGGTCATTCCAGCTCGGGTGGTTTGAAGATTGTTGGTGCTGCTGGTGGCGGACTCTGAATCTTGATTTTGCATCTTTGATCTTTGAACTTTGAGCGTCATTTGAGCAGCTCTTTTCTCTGGTGCTTTTCTATTTTCTCTATGTGAGGTCTTTCGTGTTGTACGATTACATTAAGCATTATCATGAATGGATGTTACGAACTATAAATATTAGTATTTGAGTTTGGTGCGTAGGATATTGTTTATTTAGTTTGATATTGTGGTTATATGATTCTTGATGTAGATTCCTTAGATTGAAAAGTCAAGTTCATGTACCTAGTATAATAGTTTAAGATATCCCATAGTAGAGAGTCCAGAGTTCCGCCCCAGAAATAGACCGTTTATCATGTTATCATGTTATCATTCAGGAGCATGTAGTAGCTCAAAAAAACATCGCGGTGAGAAGAGATTTTTCTCAAAAGAGGACGTAGGTTCATAGTCTATTCATCGGTCCTTGAAAATTGGCAAGGTAGATGCGAGGGAGATTAAGGAGCTCAGTTGATCCCGGAATCATTGTGAGTTAGGATTCGAATTTGAAATTACTCGAGGACTGATACCTATGTATGGCAATCCTGAGCCGATGCAGAAGGACCCGTGTACACACATATTCAGAATGGCATAGAAGGCGATCAATCGTCTGAGCTACACATGAAAGCTCGAGGTCATGATTCTGAACGTGCCTTGTTGTTCTGAGTAGGACGACATAGTTCTCCTGGTTGACAAATCACACTGAGGCTTGATCGGAGACTTAGATCATGAATGGTTCATGTAATGCTTGAACATGTCCTGCTTTCAAGATTGCCGCCAACTCTCCCAGCTAGGAGTAACGCCATTCTCGCCGAGAATCTGCGCCCATTGAGCCTCAGTCAAAGCCCCGACATTTAAGTTGCTAAAGTCGGCAGCACCCGTTTCTTGACTTGGAGTTGGCAAGTCCCAAACAGGGGGTATGGAGAACGGATTCGATGTGTCCGTAGGCATGGCCGGGCTGCCAGAATTGTTTTGATAAGCCCGAGCAAGTAAGGCATTGATATCAGGTGCTTGTGAGCTAATATCTCCGGGAGACATGTGAATTGCATTCATCTTATTGAATGATTGGGTTGATTCCTGGTTGGGATACGTTGGACCTGATTTTGGTTGCTGTCTGCCAGGTGATGGGTTGTCGACCCCGTTTATTGAGTAGGAGGTGTTGGAGGAAGAGTTCAGGGTTGAAGGTGTGGGGTGGTCAGAAGGTGGGTTGTTTCTCTCGCTGAGAGTGCCGAAGTCTGGGGAAAAGTCCATGTCTAAATCGAGTTTGCTCCCTGAGCCGGGTTGCTCGTTGATCTGGCTTGTGGTCTGGGTAGCAGGGGTGAATAGGTTATGTATATTTTCGTCGGTGGACGAGGCCATTGTATCCCTCTGTCGGCTAGGGAGGGAGGTTGTCGTGCCAGTATTCATGTGCTGGCGTTTATTTGCATGGCCAGTACTGTGTTGCGGTGACTCTTCCATCGTGCCAGCCGTTTGTGTTTGGCGGAGGTTATAAATGGGGGAGCACTCGACTGCGTCGTTGCAGAAGTTTTGCTACGAAGAAAAAGCGAGATTAGCTTGGTCTAGAGACGAGAAACAACGTCAAAAAAATGAAACTTACGTGTACTGCCATTACCTGTGAAGCACGGACACTTTCTTTCTGTCGGTCGTCCAACGCGCGAATACCAGTTCCATCGAGATCAACGTCCAATTGGACGAGGAAGGACTCGGTCAAGGGATTCTTGTTTTTCATGGCGTTCAGAGCGGAGACAACGAATTGTAGTGAAGAGTGAACACTCGAATCCTCCGGTCGAGATTTGAGATACTGCACGAAGACTCGTGCCGCAATGTAGAGACAGAAAGATATGAATGGGTTCAGCTGCAGCAATCTATCAGTTCCACTTCCAAGCATACAAGCTAAACCAAGACTTACGCTTGTCAAATCGACATGGCTGATCATCTTCATGATGCTCGAAATTTGATTGGCGGCCACAAGACATCTTCGCTTGCTCTCGATCGTGATCTGGTTCGGCATCTTGTTCTTTTCGGTTTTGAAAATTGCCGCTTGGTGGAGACAAATGGTTGAAGTATGAATGCTCATGTTGGCAAAGATGACATTCACATCTGACATGCCACTTGGAAGGCGAAGATGATCGGGTAATGACAGAGCAATGTGCAAAAGAATATTATCATGGCTTCTGTGTCGTTTCCAAAACTCTCCGTTGAGGTCATGGTCGTTGTCGTTTGGCCGTGGCCGATGGATATGGACGAGATTACGACCGAAGAGGCTGGTCAGGACCACCACGCAGGCGAACGGAGACAAGGTAGCAACGCCCTCGCCGGCAATGATATCACTTAGACGAAGTGTTCGTTGCGGCTTGCTCTTTAGAAACGAATCCTCAGAAGCAGGGAGGTTTGTCATAATCTACTTGATATCAGCTTCCACGTTCCAAATTAGAAAGACGTAGAGTGAAGCGAGATACTCACATCGTCTTCGTCTATGAGAAGCGGCCAACCAGTTCCAACACTGGCATACCGGTCTGTCGCAAAAGCACCCCAAAACACTCTCCTACGTTCTTCACGCTCTGTCCAATCTCTTGGTGGTGAAATAGACTGTTTGACATCGAGACCAACGCCATCAAGCCGGTTCAATCCAAGCATCAGTGCCAGTCGTGCCGCTTTACCAACGCTTAACCATGCTCGTGGGAAGAAAATCATTCGGAACTCATATGTCCCGATCAAAATCCAAGTTTGGCAATGCGCCAGACTGACGACACTCTCTCCAAACCCTTTCATCTCGTCCGCTTCGGCATATTTCCGCGCGCGCTGGTAGAAATGGCTGTGTAGGAAAAAGTACTTGTCACTGGCAGATGCAGCATGACACCACATAATGTAGCGCAGGCATATAGGCGGCCGCATATGAGGGGCGAGGTTCAGACTTGCAAAGTACCGTGGGCGATGAATGATGGGCAGCATTTGGTAGACCTTCTCGAAGAATATAGCGTCCCTGGAAAGTGATTTTGTATTAGACAGAAGTTGGAGTATAGAGCAGCATGTAGCACATACAGTTCGTCAATCACATCCTGTGAAGGGAGGGGCTCCTCCAATCCCAAAGCGATCAAATCCCACTGGGTCTGGGGATCACTGCCGGTGTTGGCTATGGGAGGATACATTGTTTGGCCCGACTGAATTGCGTCAGGCGGATTCGACGGTTGGAAAGGACCATTCATGTCACCTCCCAACCCCGAGAGGTCAGGCAAGGCCAGTACAGATTCATCGTTGATGGGTGCGCCAAATGAATTTTCCACCGGTTGAGGCGGGGAGGTTCGTTGAGGAGGTTCGGGGTCTTGGCCTTTGAGGAGAGTCTCAACTTGAGCTGAAATAGTAACAATAGTTCAGTATAGTTCGGGGGAAGTAGCAGTATTCGCGACTGTTATCGGCTTTCGTACCTAATCGAGCTTCGAGCTGCTTAACATATCCCCGCTTTGGGCCACTCTTCTTGCGCACTTCATCATAAGAGCAGTCATGTCCTAAGCGCGAACATGTTCCACAACTCGGTCGTCTCCCGTCGCATCTCAGTTTCCTCCTCCGACACACGACACATGCGATGCGCTTCGGGCGCGGGACAAAGTTGCCTTCTCCAGTGCTTTCGACAGCACCATTCTCTGCGGATCCGAATCCCATCTGTGAAGAACCAGATTCGGTAGCGTACTGCGACGGGTGGAGGCCAAAATTAGACGGCGGGAGTGCCGCCATGGCGTGGTGGCACGATTTAGCGGCTGAGTAATTCGAAGTTGGTGAGGCCAACGGCCTGTGTTTTATCGCGGAGAACTTTCAGGTGACGCGTAGATGGTCAACCCAAGACGTCGAGCTAGCAAGAGCTAGCAAATGCTCATTACCGAAACTGTCAGGGTGGATGGGAAAGGACAAAGTTCTATGGATGACGGCGGGACTTCGTATCAGGAGAGGCTGAGGTTTCCTCCGCCCCCGACTCTTTTACCAGATGGCTCCCCCTTTTTTATTTTTCGATCGGGTTCCAATGAAAACCATGGGAAGAAACTAAAATGTTTAGCTTTCAAAGGACGTTGACACCGATCGGCAGGCCACGCATCAAGGAGCTGCCTGGAGGCTTGGCAGACGTCTGGGGATCTATGCCCGCCGATCAGGGTTTAGAGGCACTAGACACATGATACGGATATGCAATTGAAGAGTTCATAAGTCTATTTTCTTTCGCTTTGAATGTATATCGCATTGGGCCATCGTACTGTACAGTGCCCATCGCCCAAGTTTCAACCAGACAGATGTGCAGAACCAAAATATTCAAAAATAGCGCATGATGGAAGAATAGTACACATGGAGTGTCAAAAAAACAGGGAAAGATATCGTACAGTCATCCTTTGCGCAGTGAGGATGAGGTATAGAAGGAAGTAAGGGGAAATATTTCAGAACATGATGGAGTGACCACCTTGACAACTCGAAATCATCTCTAGTTGTAACCACGACGACGCTGGCCTTGGTTGCGAGGTCTGGCGTGCACAACTGCCTTGTTGATCTTCCACTTGGGGCGGGTCTTGTATCCAGATTTGGTCTGGAGAAGAGATAGAGTTAGTAGCTGGAAGTCTAGCAAGGTGCCACGAAAGACAATACATACCGGAATACCCCAAGGACTCTTCGGGTCGATGTTACCCTTGGACTTACCACGACCACCACCATGAGGGTGGTCCATGGCGTTCATGGCCAAACCACGAACTGTAGGACGAATGTTGCGCCAACGGGAACGACCAGCTTTTCCGAGCTGGGTGTAGTGGTAGTTCGGGTTGCTGGTGATACCGATAGTAGCGCAGCAGTCCTTGTGAATAAGGCGAACTTCGCCACTTGAAAGACGAACAGTGATGTGCTGAGCCAGACGCTCCTGCTTCTGCTGTTCGCGCTGAGACAGCTTCTTCTCGACCTTGGCTTCTTCCGTTGCGTTTTCAGCCAATGGCTCCTCCTCTAGGATGGTTTTCTGGCGCGAGTCACTACCCTTGGCAACAACTGTGGCATAAGTTCCGGCACTGCGGCAGATTTGACCACCCTTTCCAGGTTTCAATCCGACGTTGAAGATGAGAGTTCCGACGGGGATCATGTGCAATGGCAAACAGTTTCCTCTCCAGGCAGTTCTGGCAGCAAGGACACCAGGATCAACGGCACCACCCATGCTGTTCCATAGGTCTTGGGGAATTCCAGGCAGATAACTCTGAACGACGTCGCCAGCCCGCATGCCGTCGGCCGCGAGAATATAGCTCAACTTTCCAGTTTCCTTGCTGCGAGTGAGAGCAATATGTGCACTGCGACCAGGGTCATACTCGATTCGCTCGACGGCTTGAGGTCCGGGGTCCATGCGGAGGAAATCGACGGTTCGGATACGACGCTTAGCACCACCACCATGATGGCGAACAGTCACTCGACCGGAGTTGTTACGACCACCCTTAGCCTGACCACGCTTAGGGAATGTTAACTTGTGGACGGGACGGCCCTTCCACAGATGGTCATTGACCGGTCGTCGCAAATGTCTCACACCGGGGGTACGTGGAGTGTAGGTGCGCAACACAACACCAGAGTCGTCGCGGCTGGGAGGAGGAGCAAAAGAAGTGTTTGGGTCGATAAAGGAGGAGACCGATGCAGCGGGCTTGTCGGCAGGCTTTTCAATTTCATTGATGACTGTCGAGTATCCGCGGACAGGTGTAGGTAGAGAGGGCAGACACCTGAAGGGCAGCCGAATGCCCCGTAGGGCAATTCGGGTCTGAAGCATCATTGGCAGGGAAGGAACTTCAATGAAGAAGAACCAGTTTAAGCCAAGAAAGTATTGGTATGAGGACACCGAGGTGAAGGAAATCGGGCGACGAAGACCTAGTTGCTGCTCCACGCTGCATTGGTCTCCAACAAAAAGTTCGGACTGGTCAGGTGATCTACGTGCACGGCCACAAAGACTGCCACAGTGGCTGACCAGCGCAGGTGACATTTGTTCTGTTGGACCATACCGCCTTCCTATTTGACATTGTGACTAAGTCGTTGCCCGGCAACCACGTGTTTATGCTCGCGCCCTCACTGAAAGGCCGCGCCCTCGCGTATCCACCGTTACGGACGTAATTTCAACCCTCAACGCCTTATTTCTCCCTACATTGCTGGATCTACTTCCTTCATCCTATCTCAACTCCCCTTTTCTATGTCTATCTTTCTGCTCTCATTGCTCATCTCATTTTCTTCTTAAAAGAAAGGGCTCGAATATCAATTCCCTGATACACGCGACTGAGCTGTGGGGCGTCTTGGAGGTACCTGTTTTCGCGCTAACACAGTAGGGCCAAACATCGCCTTGCCCTCTCAAGTTCTTCCTTTTCCTTCATCATTCCAGTTAAAGATACCCTTCACTCTTCACCCCCACTCCCCCATCCTCTTTTTATCGCGTGCGGATTCCTATCGTACAGCTTGCCCAAGTTATTCTCCTACGTTTGATACCTCTTTTCCCCGAATCGCGCGACATTTGACCAACCGAACCGGGGTTCGTCGTGGGTCCAGTCACACGTCAACATAGTTTTGGATTGGACGTGGCTTGTCAACATCAACAACCTCATCTGAAAAGCTGCAGCCGACTGGCCTCGTAGTCCTTTCAGACTAATCGCATATTCACGCGTGGTACGTGCACCTTGAACTCGAGTCTCTGGTATGAGGACTCCACCGTGGTATTGCTGGATGGAATGCTGACCTGATTGCCTTGGCAGGACAAGATTATATTCCTGTCCTTTTCCATTCCCCCTACGCGTTCTTTTTCTTCTCCTCTTCACGATGCCTCAGGTGAGCACTCTTTAAACCCGAGGAAAACGCGTCTTATATCTTTGTTATTATACCTTAATACTTAATCACGACAATTGGGTACATCTGGCGAGTTTCCTGGACACCAACTGACTCCACTTTAGGCTCGCAGCCTTCGTACCAGAGGGACGATGAACGAGAACGATGAGAACGGGCCGTCCGCACGCGTGACGCGGGCCAAGACTGCTGCCCTTACCACCGATATCTCTGTTGAGGGAGCGAAGAAGGCCTTGCAGACCAAGAAGACCACAACCACCGCTACTGGACCTACACGTCGGCGGGCTGCTCTGGGTGACGTCAGCAATGTCAACAAGACTGAAGGAGTGGAGGCGAAGGATGGGAAGAAGCCAGCTGCCAAGGGTCTGGCGTCGAAGTCAACTGTCCAGACTGGTGGGGTCCAGAAGCTCAGCCGCAGCAACACATCACGAACTTCCGCACTTCGTCGTCGCGACCCGAACCCCAAGAATGCTACCGCTACCGGACCCCAGAAGCGCCCCAACCCCAAGGCCCCACTAGAGGAGACTTCACAACCCGAGGGGCCTCCTCGCAAGAAGGCAGAGATTGAGCAAAAGGCAGAGCAGAAAGCGGAGGTTGTGCAAGAGAAGCCAGCTGCTGCTCAGCCTTCTACCAAGGAGCCTTCTACCAAGGAGCTCATCGAAGCTGGTGTGCAGGATCTTGACACGGAGGATTTGGATGACCCGTTGATGGCTGCTGAATACGTGGTTGAGATCTTCGATTATCTCAAGGACCTCGAGGTCATTACCTTGCCCAACCCTGATTACATCGACCACCAACCCGATCTCGAATGGAAGATGCGCGGTATTCTCGTCGACTGGCTGATTGAGGTTCACACTCGCTTCCGTCTCCTCCCTGAAACTCTTTTCCTCGCTGTCAACATTATCGATCGTTTCCTTTCCGCTGAGGTTGTTGCTCTCGACCGTCTGCAGCTTGTCGGTGTCACCGCCATGTTCATTGCCTCCAAGTATGAGGAAGTTCTCTCTCCTCACGTCGCCAACTTTAGCCACGTCGCCGACGAGACCTTTTCGGATAAGGAAATTCTCGACGCCGAACGCCATGTGCTTGCCACTCTCGAGTACAACATGAGCTTCCCCAACCCTATGAACTTCCTGCGACGTATCTCCAAGGCCGACAACTATGACATTCAAACCCGTACTCTGGGCAAGTACCTCATGGAGATTAGTCTCCTTGACCACCGTTTCATGGGATTCCCTCAGAGCCACATTTCCGCCGCCGCGATGTACCTTGCCCGTCTCATCTTGGAGCGTGGACCCTGGGTATGTTCATTTATCACTTGTTTCTCTTATGTTTCTCTCAACTGACTCGTATTAGGATGCCACCCTTGCTCACTACTCCGGATATACAGAGGAGGAGATCGACCCTGTCTTCCAGCTGATGGTTGACTATCTCCACCGCCCTGTCTCCCACGAAGCCTTCTTCAAGAAGTATGCTAGCAAGAAGTTCCTGAAGGGTAAGAAGCCGCATTCATTCTCGCGTTTCTCATTACTAACAGTTGTCTAGCTTCTATCTTGACGCGTCAATGGGCCAAGAAGTACCACCACCTGTACGTCGACAACACCGAATCGCATAGCTACGCCAAGGACGAGCAGTAATTGTACCATTTACGATGTGATATCACCCTGTTCGCCTACGTCGTTGTCTTTCATGATGTTCCAAGGCCCTCGCGACGACGCGGACAGGCAACTCGAGTTCCTACATATGTTGGCATTTCATTGTGCTGGTATCAAATACCTCTGCATATTCTTACGACGACTTGATATTAAATTTGTTCACTACCGCATTTGTCTTCTGTGATGGGGGTGTTCGGCGCACTCTGTGCTATTGTTTGTTTTCTTAAATCATTTTGACTTCGGCCTGCTTGTTTTCCGTGCATGGGCGTTTGTCTACCGCCCTGATACCTTTACATTCTCGTCATTCGTGTTGCAGGCGTCGGGCTTTTATTCTTTTCATTCGAATCGCAATTTTAACTGGATCGCACTTTGCGGTCCATATTCTTCAGGTTAGATACTTCTTGCCTTGGGACCATACTTTGTTTCTCATTCAAGCTATCGTGGCTTATGCGTTTTTGGTATTGGAGATTGGATTTTGAACCCATGCTGAACATGGTGTCTTAGTGGAGGTTTTTATTCATGGACTGGAAGATTCAAACTGGGTACGGAAGCTGGGCCTTCCAGGCAAAGGGCATGGATACTAGGTGGGGAGGTAATCATTGGCTCTGTTTTGATCAAAATAGCTGGATTTCTGGATGCGTGTGTATGGTTACTTAACTGCAACTTGTTTCTTTTCTTTCATATTTGGGTGTACATAGGCGTTTTCCTTGAGCGCTCATGAAATACCAGTTCGAGACTCCGTACTATCTGGTAGTTGGATTAAGCTTAGCCGAGGTTGGACTTCACTTCCGGACTGGTCAACTCCGTCGTAACCTCCACCCGTATGTCGCCCTTGAATTATCCAACGTTCTCGATTTTCAAGTAGCATATTCGGAATCTCCTCACCAGAGTGAATATATTCCGCAACCCTCTCTCTTCTTTATGAGCGACCATCCAAAACACTTCATCAACTGCGCACATTATATCCAGGAACATCCCCAGCATCCATCTCACCAAGCACATCAAATCCATTTCAAAGTATTAAATGGACTCACACGCACCTCCACCATGCCCCTTCTGCAAAATCGCAGCAACATACCCCCCAACCGCCTTCCACGATCCATCCTCAAACCCAACACCAACAACAGACGAAATAATATCCCACATAGTCCTCTCAACAGAGCATATCGTGGCATTCCTGGATATAATGCCCCTAACCCGAGGCCATGTTCTCGTCGCGCCGAGACATCATTATCAGATGTTGGGTGATATGGGCGTCATGGTTGGACAGGAGGTATGTACATGTACTTATCCAGCTATGCACCTTTGCCTCATTGAGGAATTGGTTTATTCATATCCATATCCACATGTTTCGTTACTTACAGTTGTTACCTGGGTTCACGTTTAGATGGGTAAATGGCTCCCGATCCTGTCAAGGGTCGTCACGAAGACAGTCTTTGGGGATGATCCGGATAGGCATTGGAATGTTGTGCAGAATAATGGTATGTGCATACCCGGACTCTTTTTCTGCTCTTCTTCTCTGGTCCTTTTTTTTTTACGATACATGTACAAGGAGAGGGGGTCTCGTCTTCTCCATTCCTTTGGGGGTTGAGATTGTGGGGTGGCTGTTAGGGGTGTCATTCTTGTCTATTGAGATGAAGATTGACATTGGGATTTGCCCTAGTTCATGCACATGCTATCTATCTATTGTACATGTTGCATCCGTCCAAACATACAAAAAGAAAAGGAGAAATGCGAAGAAAAGAGACAGAAGCAGAAGAGAACAACCAGCTAACCTATCTACAGGAGAAAGAGCAGCACAAGTCGTGCCCCATGTCCACTTCCATATTATTCCCCGCCCTGCAACAGGCACCAATCAGAGAACAAGCTTTGCTATGTTTGGTCGTGGGCAGAGAGAGGAATTGGATGATGACGAGGGTGAGGTTCTGGCCCGTGAGCTGAGACTTGAGCTTGTTGAGGAGGTTAAGCGGATTCAGAGGGATGAGGGTGTGGATCTGGCGCAGGAGTTGGTTCTGGATGCGGGCTCAAGAGGGAAACTGTGAATTGTTCTTTTTTTTTTTTTTTCTTTTTTTCTTTTGCTTTATGCAATCAAGCGCGATGTGGCACATCTATTTTTCTTTTCAGTTGCTTTGCATTCGTGTCCCTTTTGTCGGGATCCCTTTTTTGATATATTGATCTTCTATTTTGGCTTTTCTAGCCTGCCGATACGGCTTCCTTGTTCATTTGCGAAATCATTGGTTTCATGGTGTCGTTTCGTTGTCTTTCTCAGCTTTGAGAACGTGTCCTCGGTTCATAAACTATGGTTCAATGGGTTAGTCAATCGATCACGGGCTTGGTATCTCTCATGCAGTACATACCGTTCGTCGGAACAGATTGAGATCATCGGCTCTATGTCCCTGGTCATCAGTCTTGGTGCGACCCAACGTGACATCTGACTTTTCTCCCTCGGGTAGGCGGCGATATGTAATGAGTCGACGAGACCCTTTGGTGTACATTGTTAGCCACACTTATAGAGACAAGCTGAGAGCGTTATCCGTAGGAACACTTACAATTATTGAACGACTGAACAGAGACACTAACAACCTCCAGGTCCTCGTGCATAGGAACGGGGAACTCAACGGCCTCGTCATTAGTGGTTGGCATCCACATGGCAAGGCGTCCATTTGTCACTAAGCTTCGCACCGCGAAGTTAAGGATATCTTTCTGCAATGCCTCAAACCCATAAGGCTTTTTGGGAGGGACATATCCAGGTCGACTGTATGAAGAGTAAGCTTCATGTATCCTATCCTCTGGAGAATCCAGCAGTATCGGAGAAAAGGGTAATACATACAGATGAGCAGGAACACCATCAATAATGACATTTACTGCGGGCTTTCCATGGCGATTTCCCAGGACTCGAAGTCCCTCGCGAATACCATATGGTGGGTCACAGACAATGCCATCGAGGAACTGAGGACGCCGGAGAGGAGTGTTTGTCAAATCTGAAGTGAAACAATCCACAAATTTGCTGGGCATCTCGTATTGCTTGTAGTTCTCGTACACGCCCAGCTTCGCAGCTTCTTTGCCGCGGAAACTGCGGCCATCGATGTCAGCGCCCATACTCAAGGCTCCGAAATGCGAAGCACAAACGATAAAGCTACCAGTTCCGACGAAGGGGTCAAAGAACAGTTTTCCAGGACCGGCAAGTGCCATGTTGGCTGTAACTAGGCTCAATTCCGCATCCATGGAGGTCGTGCTGATATAGTCGCGTTTTTTGAGATCGTACTTGAGGACAGTATCGCGACAGCTGTCACAGATCTTTCGTCCAAGAAAGATCTTCCTTGGCTTTTCAACTGGTGCAACTTTCAGTACACTCTGTTCAACGTCGTCGATGTACTCTTCCATCACGAAGAACTGTTGTTCGGCGTTCTTTAGATTGACCGGGCCCTTGAAACCCGTGTATGTGAATGATGTCAGGATCTCTCTCTTGGATGTCGAGCTTGAGTTGCATTTTCCACCGAAGTACTCGAGCCTGAAAGCGAACTCGGAGTGCTCGAAGTCTTTCCAACGGTGCTGGCTTCGTTGCGGAACGTCTGCATGTAATTCTTCATAGTTGGTACCTTGGCCCCAGAGCTCGAAGACATCTCTGATAAGGATGCTACGCTTGGCAATGGTGCGCATTGCTTCTTCATTTGGCGCTCTCACGACGCAGTATGGTGACTATTGGTCATGTCAGTACAGTCCTTTAAGCTGTGGCGCAGAAATGCAAGGGGCAGGGTAGGTCATCTTTGCCATGGATATTGAAGACAAAACGAATGCCATCAGTTTTAATAATATAGGAGGGTAAACGTACAAATTCATAATAGCTGAGAATCTCAATGTCAACGCCTGCAAGTGTGGCACAGGCATGGATTTCTGGCAGTCGGAAGGTCTCATGCGTCTGAGCGAACCGGACTAGGTAGTCCATGATGGGCATTCCGAAGATCTGCCTGTTTGAATGCTAGAAATTCCTTGTCCTGGTGTGGTGGTTCACGCAATTGGTGTCGATGGCGGGGTGTTTGCGGGTTGAGATTTTTTTTTATCGGGCTCCAAAATATACTCCGGGATTCCCAAAGTCTGGCGCCTCCCACTATCTATATTTCTCTATTTTCGAAAAGATAAAAATTTAAGCATTTATTCTTGTATTTGGAGGGTCTAGGATGGAAAACAATGGAAGGCAAGTATATACCGAGTAAATAGGATCTGAGAAAAAAAAATTGTACAAAACAACGACTGATCGAGCTAGAGACAACAGAAAACATGATCTATTCAAACTCGGACAGAAAAAACCAAATCTGATGAGACATCAACGCATCCAGCTATGAACATGAACCCAAAATACGCCATCCGTCAAGAAAGGAGCAAGACATGCCCAAAACTCCGCCCCTATGCACCAGCTACTTTAAAAACATGTCGTGATTCATATCCTTCCACTGTGGTGATATCAACTTTCTCGTCATCGGGGATCATATGATGTTTCAAATCCCAACCAGCACGACGAGAAAGTTCTGATACTACCACATCGCAATCACCCAAGAGATCAATATCGAAGTCAGTGTGCGAAACCGGCTACATTCGAGGTTAGCGTTGAAGAGGTGAAAGGTCAACGGGGTAACTAACAGTCCGCGATATGTAGATCTGTGGCACATTCCGTGGCAGAATCCCGGGCACTTCTGCCACGGGAGCGACCTTTAATGAGGTTCCAATCACGATGACTAGATCTGCCTTTTCCCGGTCTTGGTGAATCAACCGTTCGCCAAACTCATCGGGGAGATCCTCGCCGAAGAAAGTGATATCCGGCTACGAAATCAGTCAGTATGATAGAAAGTGAGAATCGAATCCAATCAAAACAAACCTTCATCACTCCAGGAGTGGGAATCTCATAGTCGTCCTCATCAGAACTGTCATCTGAGACCTTGCGGTCTTTCTGCTGACCATTGGAGCTCCGCTTGCGCTTCAGTCCCTGAGATTTGAGCGAATCTTCTGCAATTACCTTCTTACAGGCGGTGCACTCTGGAACGTTCCCTTCTTTGATCTCACCAAAAATCTCATCGCCAGTGACCTTGAACTTACACTTCACACAGGTTGCAGTCGCAAAGGATCCATGACACTGTACAATCTTCTCTGGAAGGACACCTGCATTTGCTTCGATGTTGTCGATGTTCTGTGTGTAGTTGGTCAACAGCTTCCCCTTGTCTTGGAGAAGCCGAATGAAGCCATGAGTAGGTGACCACTTCTTCTCGGTGGGAAGGATGTCCTTCGCAATGGAAAAGAAGATCTTAGGGTCTTCCCGAAAAACGGAAATATCAAAAACTTCTTGGGGGTCACTTAGACCCAGATGTTCCAGTTTTGAATAGAGACCGGTATCTTTAGAACGGAAATCGGGGATGCCGAGACTCGTCGAGATCTGAATAATTCCAAAATCAGTATTTGTATGTTATGAATCTCCGTCATGCGCCTGGATGTGACACCTACACCTGCGCCTGTTAAAACGATGATATTCCTGGATTCACGAAGCAACCGAACAGCATCGTCGATAGAGTTGTACTGGGGCAGCTTGGGGCGCCGAGAGAATTCGCGCGAGATCGCGATCGCCAAAAGAGAATGATAAGCCTCATCTGGGGCGCCCTCCAGGAATGCTGGGGGAACGATTCCAAACGCCGTGCATAGCTTCTTGGCCGTGACGGTTTCGCGAACGATGGTCTCTTCCACGAACGCGGCCTTGCCGATCGCATGCAGGCGCTTTCGATATCCAAGCGCTTCCTCTAGGGTACAGGCATCGGGAACTGTGACCGGCGAACGTGTTAGCCGGTGTCTCATTCTGGTCTGAGCGGGGATGTCCGGGGTAAGAGGGGTGGGTATAGTTACATACCGAGTCCGTCGCGGATCTGATCATCGCGGAGGATTTGGATGGCGTCGTCGGCATTAGAAAGGGTGTCCCAGTCCTCTGAGTCATCGCTGTCCGTTTCGTAAGTGGACGGGATGTCTTCCAGCGCGCGCTCCTCCGCGCTCATGGCCAACTGGTCCATGTCCACTGCCTCCACTTCGACCACGGGAGTTTTCAACGAGTCCTCTCCGCTTGGGGCTGGTACCAAATCCATCTTTTGGAGTTTGAGATGCCAGCCTCGGAGTCAGTTCTTTCGATCTTGCGCTGGCAAAAATTCGGGCATCTGCACTTTCGGAGACAACTTAATCCGGGCCGATGAATGGTGGCGATATCAGGATCTGATTTGTTCGGAGACAAAGAATATGAAAGAACTACTGCTGTGGTGGTATCAAAGAACATGTACATCATTTCATGTCGTGACTTATGGTATCTAAGAATCCGCCATCTCGTCGTCGGAGTCGATTTCAATCTCCTCATCTGAGTTCTCGCCTTCTGCCTCGCCCTCGGCTTCACTGTCATCGTCGTCCTCTCCAATTTCCTTGTTCATCTCCTGTACAAGTTCCAAGGCATGGTCGCGGAGTCGGTCGTCCTCGTACTGAAGTAGATCGTAGAGCTTCAAGGCTTGCTTGAGCCACTCGCGACTAGCAGCGAGCGATGCATAGCGCGGGGACTCAGCAAGTTCCTCGGGGGTCGCATCCTTCGGAGCCTGTTGCTTTTCTGCCAGCAGGAAGAGACACCAGCCTCCAAGGTAGTACGCCTCCACACTCTGGTCGTCCTCCAGAATTAGACGCTCGAGAACTTCCAGCGCCTCAAACTCCATAGTAACCTCCATGAGGAGTCGTGCAAGACTGATGCGCAATGCGTAATCAGGGACCTTGGGGTCCTCTGGGGCCAGATCCTTCCATAACGCCATACTGCGAGTGAGCGCAGCTTGCGCATCTTCAGTTCGAAGCTGTGATATCCGGATAGAGGCCAGAGTCTGTAGCACCTCTGGTGCTTCAGGTGTAACCAGAAGAGCTTCTGTGATGAGTGCTTCGCAACGAGCTTCGGCGTCCTCTTCCCAACTAATCATAACATTAGCGATGCCCTCGACATGGGGTCATACGGCAGGAAACTTACGAAAGATCGGTCATGTAAGTCTCGGCAACAGCACAGAGAGCATTGGACATCTTCGCCCTCTTCTGTTCAAGATCTGCAACCTCTGCTGGTGATGTCTTACCCTCAAGACCCTGAATAGTCTGTCTGAGGGATGACACGCCCATTTCGAACCACAGGACACTGTCCTTACCACCCTGCTCACTCAATTGCGCAAGCCAAAGGAACTTCTCAGCACCACCTCCTTCAGATTCCGGTATCGAGCCATTCTGATCCAGCTGAACAGCTTGCAAAAAGCAGTTTCTAGCAGTGTCGATATCGCCAAGCTCGACGTTGATTTCTCCGAGCAAGTTGATCGCGGGGAGCTGTGCGGGTGTGTTTTCAGCGCTCAATTCGAGAGCCTGCTGTGCGGTGATAAGCGCCTCATCAGCTCGTCCGGTCTGCAAGAGGATCGTGGCTTGGTCGACGAGCGTCGAGGGATCTTGGGCCATTTTGCCTTTGGAAATCGAGCCACCAGGGCCGAGGACGGACTTTTCGCGGGGCTTGGAGGACTTATTCTTTTGCGGTCTGGGTTTTCCCATGGCAGGATTATCGCGTAATGTAGTAAGAATATGTTATATCGTCAAGTCAAGTATTCGGTAATGTAAGGTGCAAGTGGAAGTAAAAAAAGTTGAAGCTCTGAGCCAAAATTTTGGAGTGTTTGACGGGTTTGCATGTGGGACTGCAATATTGGCACGCTTCATTTGTATCCGATCTTTCTTTTGGCTGCGATACTATTCCAATATCTCAAAGTCTTCTTCAGAAAGCTATTGGGCCTGTCGCTTGATAGCATTGCTCTTGTCTTCTGGTTTCTCCCCAAAATCCGCACTCGCCCACATCAGTACCCCTCCACTCCGCGGGCGGATCAGAAGCCATGGGCCGCGAAGACCAGATCGAAGAGCGCGAGGTGCTCGACTCAATTTTCCCCGATGAAATCACAGGTTAGTAATTAGTAAAGCCTGCCGAGGGCATATAGCAATCTTTTCCTTGATGTTTTCAGACATTGACATCCGGTACCTAGACATATCCGAAACCTCATACCGAGTATCCATATCTCTCGACGTCCCCGAATATGATGGCGATGAATCAGAAATGCCAGTGATAATCCTGGAAGTCTCATACCCGGAAGCATATCCCGATGTTGCACCGGATCTCAACATCTCTTCTCCACACGATGCCCCGAAGCACCCCCGGCTAGATGTCCAGGAAGACCGGGACCAGCTACTGCAGAGCCTTGAACCCACCATTGAAGAGAACATGGGAATGGCAATGGTATTCACTCTCGTTAGCGCACTCAAAGAAAACGCCGAGACTCTCGTTACCGAACGGGCAAATGAAGCTCAAGCTGAGAAGGATAAGGTGGCCGCCAAGAGGGAAGAGGAGGAGAACCGCAAGTTCCACGGCACACCTGTCACCATTGAGTCGTTCTTGGAGTGGAGTACCAAGTTCAAGAAGGAGATTGAGGACGAGGAGACACGGTTACGTGAGGAGAAGGAGGCAGACGACAAGAAGAAGAAGACTACGGTGAAGGAGGAGAAAAAGCTCACAGGGCGACAACTTTGGGAGAAGGGTCTTGTTGGCAAGGGTGATTATGATGAGGATGAGGATGATTCTATGCCGGCCGTTGATAAGCTGAAAGTGGCTGCATGAATTGATCCATAGAGATGTTTATGACCTCCCCTTACTTCATGAAAATATTCAACCGTTTGCATTATTGTTAGATATATTGACTAGGCTGTAGAGCCCATATGATGGGTATGAGAAGAAATATACAAATGGAGTCCGCTTGGACTTATAATACAAGTAATGTTAGTTCTCGAACACAGGAAGACAAAGTGCTCAAGACGGCGGCAGTATCACGGGTCATTCTTGTGGAGAAGTTAATGGCAAGCATTCCGGGATACCACACTATAGTTAAATAATCAGAGTCCCAGGATGCAATGGCTGATGATGCCATGATCAAGGGATAAGACTCATCCAAGGTTGCATGGCTGATTGTAACGCCGTTGGAAGTCTCGATCGACTGCTAGTATCGTATTCCGGCGTAGGGTGATGACCGAGAAGGCGATGATATCTGGCCTGAAGGCGGTTGGCACGAAGAGATAGACAATGACCATGTTTCTGTTTCCCAGGTATCGTGACAAAAGCAACCCCAGAAGAGCCAGAGTTGGGTAGAGATACATGGCAATTTATACTACGATTGTATCAGTGCTTTGGCTGATTTTGAATTGCTTCCTGTCTTTGCCTTGCTTCTTCTTCGGCCAAAGCTCTTTCGGCCAACACGACGCGCCACATACTCTCTGCATTCTCTTTGTTCTTCATATCCCAACGTATGACCTTGTCACAGACATCGTCTAGAGACTCTTGAACAGGCTGAACCCAGGTAGATCGCTCTCTGGTCTGGGTCATGCGGTCCCATTCGTCTTCGTCTTTGGCGAACAGTATATCGAGTTGTAGCCTCTCCCGACGCATAATCCAGACCCAGCGGTTATGTAACTTTTTGCGTAGTGTGTCGCTAAGGTTTCTCGGTTGTGGCTTCTTGAAGCGCAGGAGTGGGATTCCGCGCGCATTCACGAGGACTGGGACTTTCCGTATTTTGTCCCCGAGGGACCCCAGCGGCCGAGGACGGGATAGAACTGGTGTAGCATTTGGATGCCGTCGTGCAGTCTCTTGCTGATAGCGGATTGACTCTGCCTTTCGAGCCTTCTTGTCCGACAAGGGTTTGACAGGCTTTACGGACCCAGACTTCCTTTGCATTGCGGCATGTTTTTCTTTTTGTGACTTGTGTTGAGCAAGAAGAGTTGTTATCTGATGTGTATCGCGGCGATTGCCCCCAGATGCAGAGGATAAGAGATCTAGAGCCTGATGCAATATAGTCATTAAAAAAAGCTCAGATGCACAGTATTCGATGCGCGTACCTCATAGCCTGCCTTCAGTGCATTGGTTGTCTGAGAAGGGCTCTGTAATTTTTGGAATCGTCGAAATTTTTTTTTCACAAGAGACCTGCTCTCACCCTGCCATGATGTAGTATTGGTTGCAGGACATTGCCGGAGAAGCGCTCGATAGAGCGCAAAACCTATCAGAGGGCAGATCGTCAGTCAAGCTGTAGAACAGAGGAGCAGGATGGGCCTACAAGCAAAGCGATGAGCACTAGAATGACTTGGCACCAATACCTTATGCATTCCAGCGTATATGCACAGGTGACAGAGTATTGAAGTTCCCAATGACATGTGACCCCCCCCCCCCCCCCCAAAACGGGAAGATCAGTAATTTAGATCACGTGATACCACTGGGTATATATACCCGCTGCTCCCCCCCAATCTTCCTCTTCTTTTCTTTCTTCCTTAGCTCTCTTTGCCTATTGGCTTAGATCAAGTGTAGTATCTGTTCTTTTCAGTTTAATCTCTGAAAGTTTCCTCTTGGAAACACTTTGATTATTCTCATTTTTGGATCCCGCAACTTGACCTCTGTGCTTGCGCATGTCTCGTTGCACTGTGTCATCGGGCTTACACTACCCCCGATCGACGCGAACCTTTTTCATCAACTGTTCGGCTTGTCCGGGCGCTTGGAGAAGAAGTCACTGTTGCGCTGTTCTATATGCCTGACGCGTAGTTGTATGTCTTGTGGGTGATGTCGGTTTGTTGACTGGCCCCACGCGATGCTATTCTTAGGTTGGACTTTGGCTCTAGCACCTCGCCGTCGCCTCCCTTTGTGCGATAATACATTTCCTGGGTACAGGATGAATCCAAACCCGGTTCACCATCTACTCACAGAATTTTCAAGCTTCTTTCAACCCATCAAACCCGTGGATCAAATCCGCAATGTGCCTCCACTCCAGGAGACTACGATCAAATCTGCGTCAAGGTATGGGATCAGTCCTTTACCAGACCATGAAACCGAAACGGCTTGAAAGCCCCAGTAAAACACCCTCTCGTCAAATACGCCCTTTAATTTCCGCGAACACTCGGTGGACCACAGGAACTCTCAATCTATCGTTGTCTAGGGTGTCCCCTTCTGCACACTTTGCAGTCCTCATCATCCTGCGATTCTGCATTGCCTATGGCTCAACTGCCATCCTTACCATCAATAGTGCCATTGTCATCATCGGCTTTACCCCGGTGCCAGCGCCAGCGCGACGCCTGTCAACAACTTGATACGTTATTTATTGACGCCGCAGATGTCACCTCGTCAGCCTCTCATCGATGGCATCTTGCTCAGTGGACATCCGTTCTGCTTGCGGTTATTACTATCGCCATGGTCTAAATGGCTAAAGGTTATCCTGCTTCCAAGATCCAGTCTTGAGGCTATGGCTGCAATGAAGTTGGCAAAATTGTGTCCAATGCTGTGGTTTCAATAAACAGATGGCTCTCGAGATCTAACCCGGAAAGCAGGCATTTCGTGGCCTTCCACCAGCCAGCTCCAGCATCTGCCTTTCGCTCATCGGTCCCAGTCCTTCATCGCCACCCATTCGCAAGCTTCTGGCGGTAATCTGTGATCATTTCGGGAGTCACGGCGCTTCCTCCGCAAACAACAATCACTACCCGACTATCCGGTGTGAGGTCTGGCATGACTTCCTTGAGCCTGTCTAACCCCACTTGAACACTTATTCCGCAAGCCAACTCGACCTCCAATCGCAGCTCGTCGCACAAACGCACAACGCCCCTCGCAGCGTCAGCGTCGGTACCTACCACACTAATAACCTCGACACCGGGCGGAGGGGATTGTGCGTTTTTGAACGTCTGCGGTGCCACGCAGAGTGCACCTAAGGTGATTGCCTGGGATGTAATTGCAGGCAGAGTGTACAAAGAACCATGGCGAAGCGAATGCGCCAGCGCATCTGCTCCAGCTGTTTCAACAGCAATGACCCGAACCGCTTTCTTGGAAGGCATTGTCGATCGATCAGTTGGCAAATGCCTCTCAAGGCCACCAACAATTCCGTTCAGAAGACCACCACCACCAACGCTGCAGATAATCGCATCTGCCGGGAAAGAACAAAAAGTATCGGCTTTGCCGCAACACCCTGGAGGTAATTGCCGAACCATCTCATCAACCATAGTCCCCGCACCTCGCCAGATGTCAGGGTGATTGAATGGAGGAATATAGATGTTCCTGGTCAAAGAATCTGGCTTGGTGTCTTCATTCTCGATGAAGGTTTCCCGCAGATGGGCGTCAGCTTCGAACCAACTGGCCCCTTGGCGAATAACATCCGAAGCCCCTGCAGCGCGTAGTTTTTCGACCATCATAGGACTCGCGCTAAGGGGCACAACAACAGTACAGGCACAACCGAGATCCCGAGAGGCGACGACTGCTGCGAGTCCCGCATTGCCTGCCGAGGAGCTGAAGAAGTGCAGGGTCTTGCCATTGTTTGATGGGTCAGCAAGAGATGTCAGGACCAAGTTTCCAATGCCCCTAAAGCAGAATTAATTCTGTGTTAGATCAATGTTTGACATCGCGCCACACGGAATGCTAAACTCACCGTGATTTGAACGACCCAGACGGTTGCAGGGACTCTATTTTGAGGAAGATTCGACTATATTCACTCTTAGCTTCCGGGGCTTTCACTAATGAGGATCAAAGCCGAATCTTACCATCCAGCTGCCTTCGAAAGTGTCGCCGACTCGATCAACGGCGTTTCAATCCAGGGTTTCTTCAGTTCGTGTCCCGCGTCGAAATGCCCCATCCTGGAAGGATTCGAAAGAAAAATGCAAGAACTCTCAATAAAATCTTGTATAGGTAGAAATATGAAGTCTGTTTGAGTTTGGCAAGGGCAAACAGCAATTTATATTGGGAAATATCAGTCAAGCCCCTTAGAACTCTTATCGTTCGATGTCATCCCGACGCCCTTCATTTGACACTTCGGGTACTTGGAGGCGAATATCCATCACGTGCTCCAAGAATATAAATTATCGGTTCCTCATGCCTACATGAATGCGAACTCTTGTACTTTGCATCAATTTAATTACTTACCACCGAGATGAAACACACTAGTTACGACTGTGTGCCTGTTGACAGTCGAGGACACCGCGTGGATATATATATTGATCAATTACCCACCCCTCTAGAGTTGTCGATGAGTAAGGGAGATCATTTGATATTCTTATATGCAGCGCCTGTCACAATGCTCGGGGTCATAAAAAACTTTTCATGAATACTGAGTCAAAAGATAAGAATCGAGAGCTGGTCTCCAAAGAAACCTGATGCATTCATGCAGTGACTGTACACGCTCTAGTAGGGTCATGGAAGAATAGAAAAAGCTAGTGAATTAGATGGAAGCCGAACCTGATACTCGTAAATCTGACTGCGCCATCTGAGAAGATGTCCGATCAGAAATTCGAGCCTTCTGGGGGCTGCGGCAACTTCTTATGTTGCGGCAAGGCCATGTACCTAGACAATGGTCAACACACGACACCAATCTACCGAGTTCCAAATTGTACTTACCGTCTCAATTCAATCAGGACAGTCTCCATGGTGAAGTCGCGCTTCCACTGAGCAAGGGTAGGGAGCTTTGAGGGGTCGACCTGCAACATGATAATTCAGCGATGACGCTCTTGTGTCTTGGCGCGCATTATCATACCTTGCCGGAGCTGGGGTCAACACAGGGGATGTTGACGCGAGAGACGAATTGAATGGTGGGAGGGTTATCGGGGTAGTCGGGTCCGCAGTGGATGTTTACGCTGTATATGCGATTCTCGTGGACGCTCTAAGTGTTGATTAGCATTGGGCTAATCGCGGGGAGGCAAAGCAGGACTAACGTGAGGTGGGCCGAGTATGGTACCGTTCCAGTTGCTCATCATCATATCCTCGCCATCGGCGAGACCGTAGGAGCAGGCATCTGCGACCAAGGAACATGCGTCAGTATTTCGTGATCGGACATCTTCGGAGATTGTAGGATTCAATCGCACCTGCACTCAGACCCTTCTCTCCTTTGTCGAGCTCCTCCAGGAGTCTGAAGTTTCGTGGGACCTTCGCAGACATGGCGAGCACAAAGCAATGATTCAGTGTCTATAGACTTTACAAGAGGTGATAAAGGCACAAGAGGGATGTTGCAGGAGGGGCATGGCGCGTGGGCGGTGAGCATGACATCACGTGCGATAAGCCGTATCTGAGGCTTGGCGCTGGCTGGAGATGCCACGCCTTGTTGTTCCCATCGTGGGCTTGTCGATATAGGAGAGATCGCAGCCATTGCAGCTCAAATTAATTATATGATCCGGCTATAAAGCCCCAACTTGTGTTGTTTGTCTGGCGTACAAACATCGAGCTATCAACTCACACCCGAAAGTCTCCCTATATTGTTGACGTCGGGACCTCGGGCTTTAGCTAATGCTGGCCATGCGTTGATGTACCTATCTTGTATCAGAGATGTCCTCCCAATTTTTGCAAACTGAAATTACCAACCTGATCCAGGAGTCCCGAAGAAAAAACACTGATCTCCGGAATGTTAGTCTTTCACCTCCAGGCAGATATCCTTGACATCAAACTGACCATATATACACGACAGGCCGCCGAACAGTCGCTGAATGAGCTCAAGGCTCTGCCATCAACATCCGAGGCACAGATTGCAGCTGGTTGGTCTTTTGTAAATGCTATTTTGGCTCCGCACTGCTAATTGTCTATTAGACCTTGTTCGCAAACCCAAGTTTGTCGAGCCTTTTATCATTGCATGCCATACTAAGCACGCGAAGCTTGCCGGTATTGGTGTTATCTGCCTACAGAGACTCATTGCGTCTCGTTCATTGCCTTCAATTCGTCTTAAAGATGTCCTCGGAGGGTTGAGGGAGACAACGAGCTTAAGTACATAAAATGACATCAACCAACACCTTGATACAGCGCTAACATATTACAGGCCTCGATATTCAACTGAAGATTCTGCAGTCTTTACCTTCTCTCCTGCAGTACTATTCCAATGACCTGAGTGGGGAACTTCTCGCGAATACATTGGAAATTTGTGCCACATTACAAGCGAGCAAAACAATTGCAGTTTCCAGTACTGCTGCGGCCACCCTTCAGCAACTAGTGGTGTCGACTTTTGAAAGAGTCTCGAGTGAAGACAGTCAGTTATGCTTCTGAATATTTCTCACGGATTGAGCTAATCATCTTGCAGAGCTCCCCAATGATGCAAAGATCACCACAACCATTAAAGTAGATGGCCAGTCGATCGATGTCGGCATTTTCGGCTATGATGCATTACAGGTAAGTCTGCATTCTATTACCAGCCCTGTCTCGCGCTAACCCCAAGTTCTAGGTATTGGATGATCTCTGCCGTTTAATTGATGGAGAGCAACTGCAATTTTTGCGCACCCGAACCCTGTCTCCGCCTTTTGTACTGGAGCTCATCGAGAGCATTCTCCTGAACAGTGGTCGCCTCTTTGTTGGACATCCCGAACTTTCGCAAGTGCTGCGTGTTCGGTTATTGCCATTGGCTGTCCGTTGCCTATCCGAGAGATATTCATTTGCCCAGACTGTCCGGGTGGCCAGAATACTTCTCCTACTTCTTAAGCGGCACATGTCGCTTTTAACCGCAGAATGTGAGATGGCTTTGAGCCTGATCACTCATCTTCTTGAACCGGATGGAACGGCTCCCTGGAAGCGACTTCTGTGTATGGAGGTCTTCCGAGGATTGTACTCGGAGCCAGGAGCTGTGCGACTCATCTACACACTCTACGATGGAGAAGAAGGTAGAAAGAACATTCTCCGCGATCATATGGCCGCGCTCGTCCGGCTGGCTTCAGAAAAACCCGCATTGATTGGAGTCAGCAATCAATCAACAGTACCTTCGCGTGCAGACCATAATAGATCAATCACCGAGGATCAGATAACCCTCGAAACCGGTGGTGTTGCTGGTGTCATTGGGTCAACTGTTCCTCCTAGCGAGACAAAGGTACCTGGGATCAGCACCCAGTGGAGTATTGTTCGGACGCCGTATATCGAGCTTCTTGATAAGACAGATCCGCCTCCCCCTCCGGATACCTACATTTACAGTCTTGTTCTTAACTGTATCAGCAATTTTGCGGAAGGGCTTGCCAAGTTCATTCTTCCCCTTACAGTCCCGGATCTAAAGCAAAGACGCAAGAACCGACTTCTGAGCCCCACTGAAGGCCCTGACTCCGCCCGATCTTCGCATGAATTCACAACAGGAGAAAGCTTGCGAGCACAGTCCACCTCACCTACGAAGAGGTCGCATGTTCCAATCAACCCTTTGGAGTTGCAGTCTCATATTCAATACTCCGCAATCAAGACTTGTGCAGGGATTATAGAAAATTGCTGGCCGGCTGTCCTCGCGGCATGCTCTACTTTCTTGCGCGCATCACTAGATGACGAGTACTACCACAATCTCGTTCGCGCCTTCCAGAAGCTGGCTCACGTGGCGGGCCTTATGAGACTATCAGTGCCACGAGATGCCTTTTTAACCACCCTTGGAAAGGCCGCGATGCCTGCAAGTGGTGGTGGCCACAAGTCACAAAATTCAATTTCTACCGGCCCTCAACAGATTGATTCGCCTCAAAAGAAACGAAAAAGCCTTGACATGGCACGCTCTGGCTCCATGGATGCCACAGGAGCAGGTGCCAGCGACGGTCGTCCCGTGTCCCTGAGCACACGAAACCTGCTTTGCCTGCGGGCATTGCTCAATCTCGGAATTGCTTTGGGACCCACCTTAGATCAGCCGGCCTGGTCCATTGTTTTTGAGACACTTCAATACACTGGACTTGTGATTGGGATGTCTTCCAGTGCAATGGTCAAATCTGCCAGTGGCGGAGAGACCTCGGCAGTCCCAGGAAATGACGTCCCAACAGCTAATCTGGGGACCGAGGTGATTGCCGTACAGGCTGCTTCTAGCAAGCTGCTTGAAAGCACCAGCGATTTCCCGAGTGCATCCTTCGAGGAAATCTTACTTGCTCTGTTGAACCTGTCGGCATTTACAGAGCAGCGCCACCATGAAGATCCCGCAACGCAAGTATCACAAATCCCCAGCTCGCCGCAGTCGTCCAAAGGACCTGGGCGCCTGCACCAAGGTTCTCGACGTGTGTCGCACACTGTGGGAAAATCAAGAATGCAAGACGAGGAGCTGAAGTTCGTGCTGGAGAAAGGGAATGAACTAGCCAGGGCAAATCTCTCGAGACTATGTTCGCTTGACGAAGATGACAACAAAGCCTGGCGGCTTCTGACACAAAGTTTCATTGCTGCATCCACCAATACTGCTATCAGCCCCAATCTCCGCCTACAGGCAAATGCAATTGTGACTTCGCTTGTCTATCTGACAATGAAACAGAGAGACGAAGACGACGAGAAAGTCTACAATCAGGTCCAGACCAGGAATTTGCAGACATTGAAGGACCAAGTGACCTCACTCTACTCCTCAGACATGCACACGTCCAAGTCTTTGCCAATCACGATTATTGAAATCCATGAGCAGAGCTTGGAGGTGTTGAGGAACATCTTGGAACAGTATGCTGAAACTTTGGTGGATGGATGGCATTTGATCTTTGATATGATATCGGGTGTCTTCCAAAATCTTCCGCAACCTGAAGCTGGTGAGCAACCTTCCACAAGGCTAGAGCGCAGGGCATCAGGTCTTCCAGCCGGCCCTCGTCTAGTCAGAGCTGCCTACAAGTCACTGCATCTCGTTGCCTCCGACTTCCTTTCTCTGCTTCCGGCACCGTGTCTCTACAGTTTAGTGAACGCATTTTCCAGCTTTGCATCACAGACTCAGGACTTCAACATCTCCCTTACCACTACCTCTTTCTTCTGGAACGTCTCGGACTTCCTGCAGGGCCAGATCGCGGAGTTCTCCATTGGCCATGTTGATGCTTCCGTTAATGAAGAACAGTTAGCCAAATTAGCCCGGGATCAGGACCCTGCTGTCTCCCGGAACTCTCTTTGGCTGTTGTTGTTGCTTCGCATTGTTGATATCACAACAGACAGCCGACCAGAGATCCGAAACAGCGCAGTGCACACCCTTTTGCGGATTTTCGATGCCTACGGACAACAGCTCTTACCTAAAGCGTGGCGTCTCTGCTTGAACATGGTTCTTTTCAAAATGGTTGAGAGCATCCAGGCAACAGTGATCCAGGCCAAGAATAAGCAGAGCAGTACGAAATCAGATGATTTCAAGTCATGGGTTGACACAACAGTTGTAATGATCAAAGGATCATCGAGTCTGATCACAAACTTCTTTGAAACGCTCGTGCAGGACGAGAAGTTTGACCAGTCTTGGAAACGGTTCCTAAAGTACTTGCAAGGTTTGGTTGACTTGCAAATCCCGGAGTTCAGCGAAGCCACATTCTCTGGCCTTTCAGCGATCCTGCTTCGGGTGAAAAATGCCGGCGAGCTTAGCAACGATGCGCTCGAGTGTGCATGGCTTCTTTGGGCCGATGGCCATCCGGCTGCCGACGAAAATGTGCTTGATCTGGAACAATCCAATCAAGATGCCGCACTGGCGTACCTTCAAACATTCCAGCAAATTTACCACCTCTACAGAGACCAATTGACCACGGAACACATTGAAAAGGTGCTTGCCCACTTCCGCCTACTTGTGTGGAACTCGATCTCACCGCGCTACACTTTGGACATCGACCGACCTTCAGCCGTGCAAGCGCTCGTCATTAATTGCATCAAAAGTCTATGCCTAGAGAAAGAGGACTCTCAGCCAGTCATTCTCTTGTGCCTCGCCGAACTATCCGATTCACCCCTCTCAAAATGGAGCCCCGGCAACGATACCAGGAAACCTGCCTTTGTAGCATTCTCCAAGAACATCATCGACCTAATGGGCTGGTATGTCGCCGAATTCGGCATCAAACGAGACGTCTTCACAAATGGCGCACTCGCAACGGCACTCAAGCACCTCAGCGCTCTGATCAGCCAAAAATACACATGGCAAGGAAAAGACCGCGAGCCCTACCTCTGGCAAAAAGCAACAACGGCCTCCCTAAACATCCTCCAAGTAGCAGTGCCCTACGTGGAAAAGCAATACAAACCAACCAACAAAACCGAAACAGCCGACTTCTGGCACCGCATCGTCGAAACCACAAACGGAATCGTCTCCGCCCACGGCTACCAAGCCCAGAACCTCCAAAAAGCAAGAATAACAACAGACGAATCCTTCGACATAACCTCATTCACCCGCCTAAAAACCCTCATCCTCCCCTCCCTCGGCAACAAAGCAATCAAAGACTCCATCCGCCGAGACTTTGCCCGAGCCCTCTTCAACTCGTCCTTCATCTACGCCCCCCTCCGTTTCGACATCTCAACCAAACTCAACGACACCCAAAGTGGAAGAGAAACGCAAAACCCTTTGGTAAACTTCTACACCGTCCGCCCAGGCCGAACCTTTGACCCCCTCCCAACCCTCCGCCCAAACATGGCCTACAGTCTAATCGACTCACTCTTCGAACTAGCCGCTCACCCACAAGGACAAAATGCAGATGCAGAAGCAGAAACCCTCCTCGCACGCGCTATCTCTCCATACCTCCTCCTCCGCACTGCTGTCTCGCTTAAATCTTACATCGCAGACCAGCCACTGCGAGGTCTAATGCCGCAGCCTACGCCTGCGCGTAAGGCTTTGTTACATCTTCTTGTGAAGTTGGCTGAGTTGGAGAGTGAGCCTTCTGCTATTCCTGATCCGCCGGCGTTGAGGACTCTTTCGGTTGGCGGTGGTGACGCTGGTGGTCATTGTCGGAAGCATCTGGAGTGGGTTTATCCCCTTGTTGTTAGGGCTGTGCAGGTTGCTGGGAAGGAGAGGGATGATGGGCTGGTTTTGGGGGCTTTGGGGAGGGTTTTGGAGTGTGTTCAGGGGTAGATATGGCTTAGTTGTTTGGTGGATTGATGGGTTAATGGATTGAGTGAGTGAGTGAGTTGATGATTGGGTTGGTTGTTGTGATGGAGATTGGATGTGGTGGCGGTTATTTTGCTGTAAGATTGTTCACTCTTGTATGTCTACCGTGTACCGTTTACATGGTGATTGACGTATGTACCTAGACACTGTATTTTTCTTTTATGTCTTAGAACTACCGGGTTTTCCGAGGGATCATATCCAGAACTGAAGAAGTTCAAACCCAATATTTTGTCACAGTAGTCGAGGTCATATTGTGATGCGTTGAAAAGGGACTGTAGACTACAGAATAATATCGTGACACTGCCTTGATAGTGGCCAAGGACCGAACGTACAGACAGAGAAAGTAGTGTAGTGGTAACGGCAGTAGAGGGAGGAAAGTAAACAGAGACGGAGGCGGGTATAGAAGAACAGATCCCCAAGTACCAAGAACTAAAAGACGCAAGTGATAATGAGAACAATCTATGCAGCAGACGCGGGGACAGGCTGGGATTGCGGAGCCTGTTGAGCCTCCTGCCGAAGAGGCGTGGGGATTTCTCTGCCAGGACCGGCAGTAGCAGAGCCAGGTGGAAGAGCAGGCTGCTGACGCTGTTGTTCGAGCAGCATCTGTTGCTGGATTTGTTGCTGCTGGGCGATTTGGGCATTCGGGGCGATTTCGGGAGCTTGGCGATAGAGCGCAATTTCGGACTGTTTGAAGTAGCGACGGGCATCTGTGGTTGGGTTAGTATATTGAATTGATTGTATACGGAGTAAGTGGGCGTGTATGGTAAAGCAGTGGAGCCGATGCCAATACCAGTTTAGCGTGGGGGTGGCAATGCACTCGAAGGCAACTCGGCAATATGAGACCGGCCCGACGTGTTTCACTTGGGCAATTTCAAGCAATTTCAATTGCCGTCGGTTATTGCAGTCATTCCAGGCAGGGATTTGGTCGGTCTTTTGCGTCTCTGCAACCCCGCATAGGGTGCGTCATGGACTATTGCGGGGATGATGCAGGGGTATATGGAGCTCAACGTACCTTCATCGATCAGTACCAGGCTCAGGTAGTACCTCGTCGAGTACTTCTTGTTGACATCTCGGAAAGTGGGCGTCAAGTCAAAGCCACCAAGGAACAACCGGATTGGAATGGTTTCACCTGTGGACAATCAGCTATGTTCGAAACAGACCTTATACCGGCCAATCTCAGAGAATTGCAAATTGCAGCTTGATTCTCGTTGGGTCTCAGGTGGGTGATATTGATATTACCTCTCGATGGCGAACCGTCCATAATCTGCATAATAGTCAGCAACCGCAAAGCAACAGATAAGCAGTAACAACTGTTCCCCAGCACATACCTCAAAGCGAACCAACGTCTCACTCTCGTTATATTGATTTGGCGGTGATCCAGTCGTCTCTCGTCGAATGATAGACAACTCCATATGTTTGATCTTAAGCCGCACGAGCAAGAAATAAATGCGACCAACAATCACATCCTTGAGATGATACTTGGATTTGGAGTATTCGAATTCAATATGTAGGCAGTCCTCGATACCAACATCCATCTTGATGGGGCTGTTGTTTTCTGGGGGCATGCGGTACGAGTAAACCCAGAGATCCTTCTCACGAACAACATCCGCCATGCGCCGTGAGACCGTCACGCGAACAAAGTAGCGCAGCTTGACGTTGATACCATTGTAGGATTCGTATTGCTTCTCCACGTTCTTGAAGTTGAAAGGGAAAGTCTGCGGGTGCAGCAGCTCGCCAGGCGCAGCGAGTTCCTGAACAAGGGAAAGGAATTCGTAGTGGTTGCCTCGGTCGTAGAACATCTCTGTGTATGCTCGTGTTAGTTTGTTTCCACCGTTCGTTATCCACGGGGGATGCCGGACGCACCAATCGTGCCGATAAATTGCACCTTGATGCCTGTGTGCTCCAACCGCTTGCCATCCTTTGGTCTGATTGTCACAGCACCCTTTACGGACTCGCCGTCCATGTACAGAGGGACCCGCTCGCGGCGGCCCTTGTCGAGCTTGACATCGACGGTCTGGCGCTCATCGAGATCTTCGAGGACGACATCGATGTCGACCGGGGTGGAGAAGAATAGGGATGCCATGGTGAGAGGGAATTGAGCCAGATGCAGCTCACGAATCAAGTAGCTTGATGATCTGGAGCTGTCGCGCGGTGGCCTGGAGTGCGGTCTGCTTATGTAACACCGCCCCGCACATGTTGAGGCCTTGCATTGCAGGCTAATATGGCAGTAAACTTACGCTTGATGTTTTTTTTTTTTTTTTTGGGATATACTTTGAGATTTAGCCAAATACTATTCAATGGTGTAGCTTTTCATTCGTACTTCTTTATAGCTTCTTTTCTTGGTATTCCAGGTTCACCGCATGATCTACAAACTACCCGTAGGCTCGTGTACTCTAATGCTACCGGCTGCACTTCAGACACGTCAGATCCACTGCATAGAGAGGTATACTGTAAATGGCAATTCCCACCGATTGGACCTGCAGTTCATTCTTGTGAGGCATCATACAAACCAGCCAAACGGAGCACTCTCCCACATACCCCAGATCAGGAAAACGGCGGCGTCGGAATCCGCTTCCCGTCAAGGGGCAGCACGGTCTCCCCCTCCAAGGACGGTCTGATACTCACCCAGCAAGGGATTGATTCGTTTACCCCGCAGGAACCTTTCTTCCCCGGATATTGAGTGCAAATTAGCTGGTCAGACTCTGGTCAGACGGCTATCAGGGGCCTTGTCGGTGTGACTGTGCTCCGGGGAACTGCATCCCCCCCCCCTCTTCCCTGTCCTATCGGAAGAGTGTATAATCCCCGGAATATTGGTGTCCCCTGTGTTTCACGAGGATCCCACGGGACTGAGTCTCGGCAATCCGTGTGTGGTATCGGGTGGATGTATGCTACAGAGTGTGGGGGTTCGGTGTCAAGGACAGATACTCGGGGGAAACATCGGTGTTTCGGCACGGGACAGAGTAGGGATTGCAGAGGACAGAGAAGAGAAAGTGGACAGAAATGTGGGCAAAACGTGGGAGAGAAGCAGGGAAGAAGTGAAGAGCCAAAGCAGCGGTGTCTTAGCGTGGGGGTGCGTATTGTAATACGTGACATCATACAGATATTCTGTGTAGAGTGTAGATTCTATGTGAATAGGATGGTCAATTGGCTATTCTAATTAGCACATTGGAAACATGCCAGAGATATACCCGAAGTCTACCAATAGTATAGTATGACCTACAAGGATGCATCGTATAAGATCGGCTCATCCCCCACTCGGCTTCTGCTGGATTCTTTTTTCCCCACGACCCACCGTCATACTTAAAAGTTGCTTTTCAGCCTGGCGCGCGAGGCCTCCTTTTCTTTCTTCATTTCTTCATTTCTGACTTTTCCTCTCTTCTTTACTTCTCTACGTCTCTACTCTGTCTCTCTCTTCCAATCTCCAAGTCCAACTGTATACTCCAATCCGTTCTGGGTATCACTACGTCGTCATACATCTACCGGCCCAGCCGAATTTCCCTGGAATCAAACCTCAGGTCCTCATTTCCCACGAACACATCCCTCCTCCTGACACCATGCTCTCCGCCGGGGAACGCCCCCAGCCTCCACACGCTCCTAAAGTAAACTCGACCTCAGTGCCCGTGAGCAAGGCGCACATCATGCCCGATCTCACCAACGGAGCCTCCCTGCATGAGCCCAAGAATGCGAATGCGCAAACGCAACATATCTGGGTAGTAACCGGGCCAGCAGGGTGTGGAAAGAGCACAGCAGGCAACGTACTGCGCAAGCACCTAGGCGTTCCATTCCTAGAAGGCGACGACGTAAGTACAAGCGCATTGCATGTCATACGAACCCCAGCCCAACCCAGCCCATTCCAATCCATTGCGCCAACACCCGTCCCTCAAAAGCCACCAATACCAACCAAATTACTAACGAATCAACCCCAATAGTATCACCCAGCAGCAAACAAAGAAAAAATGGGCCAAGGCATCCCCTTAACAGACGAAGACCGCTGGGACTGGCTCATTTCCCTCCGCCAAGCCGCAATCGAAGCCCTCTCCCCCAGCGAAGCAAACAACAACCACCCCCCAGCCGGCGTGGTCGTGGCCTGCTCAGCACTGAAACAAAAGTACCGCGATGTGATGCGCGTTGCCGCCTACGGCTCGCCCAATGTGCAGATCCACTTCGTTTACCTGAAGCTCGATGAGAAGGTCCTTTTTCAGCGGGTTACGCAGCGCCAGTCGCACTATATGAAGAGTAGTATGGTGCAGTCACAACTTGCGGCGCTTGAGGAGCCCAAGGGCGAGTGGGATGCTATCACGATTAATGTTGAGGGGTCTATGGAGGATGTGCAGAGGAATGTTATTCAGGCTGTTTCCGAGAAGCTTGCGGAGTATGAATGAATGGGTTTGGGCGATACTTTGATTGCATGGAGGATGAGGACTTTAGCATTTTCTTTTGCGTCTTTGTTTCATGTTTGTTTTGTTTTGATCGTGTCTTGTTGATCCTCTCCTCGGTGTTTGGTGTTGACTGGCTTGGTTTTGTGGCCGGTCTGTTTTAGATTTGGCGTTTTAAGAGCTTACTTCAAGCTTCTCTTTTGGTTTCTGATATATCATGTGTCTTTTTGACCTGTCGTGTGATATCAATTGAATTGTCTATATCAATTTTATTGTTCTTATCGGCTTCCATCTTTTGCCAAGCATAGGTATCAACTGCATTCCGTAGTTCTGGCAGCTTACTGGTATAAGGGAACAAAAGCCAGATATAATAATGTATCAATATTTATCTCATTCCATATGTTTTCATGCCATACATACATGCATCCATGCAACACACCCATGAAATAAACATCTAGATGCAATATTTAACTAGAAGAATGATCTAATCACCGCAAATTCAATAGCATAAGCTCAGGCGACTCAACCAGCTCCCGAACCCGATTACCCATGCGAGCCATAGTCGCCCCATCAATAACACGGTGATCCGCACTCCAACTAAAGTTAACCATATCTCCCCGCGTGACCTGGCCAGCCTCATCAAAGACCGGAACAGCCCTCGACCGACCAACACCAAGAATAGCAACCTCAGTGGGCACAATGACCGGCGCGACGTATGTCCCGCCGATATTCCCGATATTCGAAACGGTGATTGTTCCTCCGCTTAGATCGGCGGGTGTCAATTTCCCACTCTTGCCGAGGGCGCTGAGACGAGCAATCTCGGCGGCAATATCGAGGATGGAGCGGCTGGCGACGTCCTTTATGTTCGGGACGATTAGTCCATTCGGAGTATCCATTGCAATGCCGATATTGTGCTTAGCGCGCATAACTAGCTTTGGCTTGCTAGGATCGCTGACATCGACCTTTGCGTTGAGTATTGGATAATCTGCAAGAGCCAAGGAGACGGCCTTAACAACGAAGGGGAGGAAAGTTATTTTCTGGGGGTCGCGGGAGTCGCCGGCGAGTTTCTTGCGCATGGCTGTGATGTCGTTGACTTTAAGTTCGTCTGCGTAGAGGAAGTGAGGGGTGTTCAGGGATCGGGTCATTGTCTTGAACATTTGTGATTGGATCGGAGTCAGGTTGGAAATTGACTCTATTTGTCTTGTGTCTGGTGACACAGAGGCTTGGAGAGGGATTTGGGCTGTCCCAACCGGTGAGTCTCTTTCTGCGACGAAGTCAAGCACATCTTGTTTCATTACTCGGCCGTCTTTGCCGGTTCCGTTTACTTGGATGATGTCCACGCCATGGCTTTTCAGTAGGCCGCGTACTGCTGGCACGGCGAGGCTTGCGTGCTTTGATTTGGGTGCTACCTCTACCTCCGAGATTATGGGCGGAGGAGCTATATGGGAGGATTCAGCTGCTTGGGTTGCAGCTACAGCGAGATCTGGGGCTGGTGGATCCGCACTAGGCTCGTGCGGAGGGTTATCGTCGGGGTATTTTCCATCTTCGACTTCAATATCACAGAGTGCCTGACGATTTTATTAGCCAGATAGTCACATAGGTATGCAATTTGAAATGTGTGACATACTCTCCCCGTGGGTACTGTGTCATCAGCTTCAAAATGAAGCTTCTTAATAACACCCTCATATCTCGATGTAATCTATGCTTGTTAACTACCACAGTAGTAGACAATTGACACTGAAACAACTCACATCATCAACAGCCTTATCAGACTGATACTGACATAGAGGCTTCCACTCTTCAATATGTGCCCCCTCCTCCACATACCACTGAATGATCTGGACCTCGGTGATACCTAGCAACGATAAGCAATCTAAATTGAGGCATGAGACAGGTCCCAAGTGCTCCATACCTTCACCAACATCCTTCAACACTTGTGACTTAATCCCCCATAACAGCGAGCTGGCATGGAACCTCCGAGACAACAGCGGCGGTAGGGTGGAGCGAATGCGGAGGTGATTCTGGGGTAGACAAGGCCGAAAGTTGCGGGGGAGAATTCCCCCACTGCGCCGGAAGCTCATTCTCAAAGAGCCGGGGTGTAGAATGGAACACACAGGAGGTAGGAAAGATGTTGAGAAATTACAGGAGCAAGAGCATCGAGTCCCTTTATTCAATCGAGCGTTCTGCCCGCCGATGCTAACCGATGCTACCCACGTGATCTCCCCGCATTCCGAAGTATACTGACGTTACGGGATATCTAGCCACATTTAATGAGCAGTAAAATATGAAATGTACACTTCATTGTCGCTCTAATAGTGAAGATACTACATGAGGTTAATTGGGTACTCAAATGGAAAATTTAGAGAAAGAATTGCAAATTTGGAGAACCTTGGAAGTCCAAGGCCTACGGATATCCACCTAGACAGTTATCCTGCCGTGTCTAACCCAGCTCCAAGTTTACAGTCAACCCCGGGTCTCCCTCGGTCAATTAGCCCGTATTCGCAATTGGAAAATCGCCAATCATTTTCTTCTCCATTCTGCTTAGTGCTCAGACCCAGAAGGGGTGGATCCAAAAGAGCCCGAACTCTTCTTTGGCAACTTTTTGCTCTGGCTTGAGCTTCAGCCGCTTCGGCCGCTCTTCGAAAATTGTTTTTAAGCTTTGATGGACGAGGGTCAGACTGGCAGCCGTAGTGCCAAACTCGATCATCGGCATGAGTCTAATATATTGTCAAAATTATCCAGCTCAAAAGCTAATGACTCCCGATAACTCACTTCTTGAGAAGCCCTTTCGCATCGATAAACAGCCATCGAGTGTCCCAAATCCTAATCATATCTGGCGATTGTGCACTTCGGCCCAAAGAAGAGTTTCCCTTCGGCAAGTATCGCATTGTTACCGGCATATGGGACCTCAGACTCAGCTCTCCTTCCATATGGTGTATCTCAAGTACTGCATCCATAAATAGAGGGATAAGGGTTGCATGAGGATTTTTGTATTTGAATATACGTATATAATATAAATTTGCGAAGGAGAGAACAGACTGTGAAGCTCTCATCCAAAGAGGATTACTGAAACCTTGGAAGAAATAACTAATCTTCATTGTGGAGAAGACTGGTGCTATTGCTCAGCTTGGCAAAGGCAATCTGGATTGAGGCTTGATAGTAGTTCATTGGAACAATTAAAAACCACTCGATCGCTAATGGGGGCGTAAGGCTCCCCAGGAGACGATTTGGTACTATAGTGAATTAATTCCCAATCTATTGTTCGGAATTTTGACATGGAGTATTACTCTGTATCTTTAAATTGAGCAAACGATTCATTTACTCTGCCTTTTGGGCGATCGTCTTGATCAGGTCTTGCACCTTCCCCAGCTTCCATTCTTCCAGACCCAAAAGGGGATTATCATCCCTTTCCCAGGGGTGGGCAAGGGCTTCAGTGGCCAGACAGTATTGGATTTGTACCACAAAAGTGGAATCACTAATGTTGCCGGTCTGAAGATCCGACAACGCCTTCTGCAAAAGAGGTTCCATGTCATTATACGTAGTTGTCCACTCCTCACTGCCCAAAGCCTGTTTTGCGGTATCGAATAGTTCATTGTGCGACATGAACACGGAGTGAATATAAACAGGGCGGTTCCGAGTTTCTTCGGGATGTAAAAGCACGTTTGCAGTTGCTTTTCCAACATCCTCCAATGTCGTCCATGGAACAACATTATTTCCATCACCAAAGATCCAAGCAGACTTTTCTTTGAAGTTCAAACCGGAAAAGCCAGTGGAGAGACCCCAGTCAAGGAAAGCACCATTTGCTACCAGAGTGTAAGTCAAGCGGTTTTCAGCTGCTTGTTTCTTGACGGCCTCATAAGAAACCTTCTTTCGACCAAAAACAGGCATGTTGTGAACGCCTGGGATTTCAGGATCGAGGCCAAAGTCACTGGTTATACTAAATCAAAAGTTAGTCAATCATGAGTTGCGATCAAATCTTTGGGCTCACGGACAAGCGATAAACGCCAGCATTGGCTGCCGCTTTAACAAGTCGGAGTGGCGTGTCGATCTCGGGCGAGAAAGTGGTATCAATCACTGCGTCCTGTCCGGCTATAGCAGCAGACAATGACTCCACAGAAGTGAAGTCAACAATTTTAACGCTAGCAGCAGCGGGGAAGGGCTTAGAACTGCGAGCAAGCACCGTTACATTGAACTTCAGATCTAGCAATGCATCGAGTACTCGAGCTCCGACATTCCCACTAGCCTAATGGGTTGTTAATCTAGGCTGTGCATTGAGTCTCCTTTTGGATACATACCCCAGCAAGAGCCACATTCTTGATCGTGGATGTCATTTCCTTTGCAGTGGAATTGTTTGGATTATGGCTTTGAGAAGATTGAAGGGGAACAGTCACTGACGTAGGAATTGGGGCATATTTAAAATGAGTGAGGGGATTTGGCGGTAACTCTCCGAGCCTCGGGAACCCACAGGGGATCGAAGCTTCAGATTTGCTATTGGTTCTCTACTCGACGGCGATGTCTATTTGGACACGCATGACCCGGGGGCGAAAGGCGGGCTTTATCGGAGACCGAGAATAGATAGACAAGATATCATGTTGCACAAGTATTTTCGGAATTGCTGTATTAATCCGATATGAAGTTTTACCTTGGGTTGCATGCTCGTTGTCTGCCTTCGGTCTCCGAACTAAAACCGATCGTCCCAAACCGGTTATCTCCGTGCATCCCGTTGATTGGAGGCGGGAAATGAAAGCTTGGTCAATTCATATGACGTATTATAAAACCGGCGGACTGTTCTACTGCAATAAATTCGTGATTGCATGTCGGTCAAGTCTTGAATTCAATTGGGTTTGACTACATCAGATTATTAGTACAATGTCTGAATCAACCATTGTTCTCATCACTGGTAAGGTCTCTGTTACTTCAGGTAATTTCATAGTTCTCACTCCACATAGGTGCCAATCAAGGCATTGGGTATGCAACGACAAAGACCATTGCATTCCAGCCAGGCTATCATGTAATAATGGCCTGCCGAAATCTTTCCAAGGGACATGAGGCATGTTCCCAGCTTGAAGCTACCGCCATGAAAGGAGCACTTTCTGTTGTCCAACTGGATGTTGAAAATGATACCTCAATCTCCAAGGCTGTCGAAAGCGTTTCGAACAAGTTTGGCCGAATCGATGTTTTTATCAGTAATGCAGGCTCACTTTCCACAGATGCTTCCGGACGGGATAAAATCGGGAAAATATTCTCAACGAACGTCTTCGGCGCGATGCTTGCTACAGAAGCTTTCATTCCCCTTCTGCTGAAGTCCAAACAGCCATATCTCATTCAAATCTCAAGTGCACTGGGCTCGCTAGCACTTGCATCCGATCCGAAGAACGTGAAAAGCGCCGAGACGTGGGATGAATACCGGATGAGCAAGGCTGCATTGAATATGATGACCATTCAAATGCACAAACGACTCAAAGACCAGACTGTCCGCGTTTTTGCGTTTTGCCCGGGACTTGTGCGATCGAACCTGAGGGGTGCCTCTGAAGACGCGGTGACTGCTCAAGGTAATGCCGGCGATCCCATGGTATCAGCGAACGCACTGTTGGAGATTATAGAGGGACAGAGGGATGAGGATGTCGGCAAATTTGTTCACAAAGACGGATGTTACCCCTGGTAGTTCATTCTCAATTAACACTCGTGTTTCATTTTCATCTGTCTCCCCGGACCCTGCGCCCCACTTAGATATCGGATCGCTCGCTCCGGATCCACCGGGCCCGATACAGTAGTCCTGCGGGCCGAGACCTGATTCAACGAGGTGCGGTATAGTTATTAGACTTGATTTCGTCAAATTCAAGGACTCCACTAAGTTAGGCTCCTTGCTATCAATAGCCCTTCGTTTTCTCCCCCCGATTTGTGTGCTATTATGGGCCATATTTCATATACACTAACTAATATTCCATAGTTTAAGGATTACACAGTAAGACTTAGGTGTCCTCGGTCAATCAGAATTATAGGTGGGGTGGAAACGTCTGGAAAATTAGGGCATGCTTAGTCAGAAATTAGTCTCGCCAAGGGTCCATCGCGATGGACAAACACACCAGGATCGACGGCGAGGGATAAATGATGCCTCGACAGTTGCGATCGGCCCGTAAGGAGACCTCAGCATCTGAGCTGGATAGGCCTCGTCCCCAGAATGGAATCTATGAGCCGGTCCGTTTCGTCGCGTCCGCGTCGACCCCTCCCGAGCAAGCCATCGTCAGGTCACATCTGCCAGGGCTGGACGAGGGCGATCTTCGGATTTTGCGCAAAAAGCAGAATCGACTGCGGAAATCGGCTTTTCTGACCGCAAGAGCTACCTTGGAAATTAGCCGCCAAGCATCACGAGCACTGGCATCCACGCTGATCTTTGCTCAGCACGAAGCTGGCACCGCCGTATGTATCGAGTCGCGCGGCTGGATTCTGACTTGTGCGCACTGTTTTGGCGAGACCTCTGAAGAATGGAATTCAGAGCGTCTAAAGTGGCTACTCTATTACAATGGACTCGCGGTTCAGGTCGAATGTCGGGCGTGGGATGAACGCCGTGATCTGGCTCTGGCTAAAATTGTTCAAATCGAGATCCTAGATGAGCTATGCAGAGGCCCGGTAGCCCCTATTTTCTCCTATGTTCCTATCGCTAAATCAATGTCTTTCTCCTCTCCAATATTTTGTATCGGGCAACCGGGCGCAGACGATCTTGAGTCAGTCTCTCTGCGCAAGACTGCTTATGATTTATTTGAACTCTCTGAGGGTCGAATATGTGGCATGTTAGCTGGTGCAGATCCGCAGGATAACTCAGAGATTGGTACTCTCAAACACACCGCCTGGACTTACTGGGGCCATTCTGGCGCACCGCTTCTACGAAGGTCGGACGGTGCCTTGCTGGGTCTACATTCCTCATGGGACGATACCACGACGATGCGTCATGGAGTGCCTCTGGCTGCTATCCGGTCATTTATTACAGAAAACCTCCCGATCGACTCGGTAGATTCCACAGTGTCCGAGGCTAGCGAGGATCTACAGGATATCATTGTGATTGATGGGGTAGATTGACTAGTGGGCAAGTATTCAAGTGACCCTCATCATAACTCCTAGACATAGTATATTTCAATCCAATTGAGTGCACAGCAACATAATGTTGGAAAAAAGACAGCGTGTTTCAATATGTCGGCAGCTCGCTCTGTGCAATGAGCCATTCCGTAGCCGAGATCATTTGACGCAGCTCGGGTCCTGCCCGCGGAATATCATTTCCAGCAGTATACCCCAAAACCCATTGTTTTCCCGAGGTACAAAAATTGGACCAACAAGCAGGTATCTTGAACTGCAGGGAGGTCATCTGTTCCGCGTATATGAAGACTAGAGACAGGTAGACGAGTGGCGCAAATCTCACCAGCGGGAATCACTCTTCCTCGCTGGAGGTATATATATCATCAAGCGGAATAGACCTACTGCCAGTCCATTGGATTCAAGAAAGCGGGACTGCTCGCCTTTTTGAGTCCTTTGACAAGTTGATTTCGGGGTTGTCGTTTGAATGGTATGTTTCGCTACACTTCAAACGAGTCTACCGTTAACGGCAAGTTCTTAGTTTATCATATTTCCCCGCCGTGTTATGGCTAATGGCATTCTATTTTCTGTCTTTCAAGTGCTTTATCAGGACTATCTAACTCAGTCTTCCCATCAAATACACATATTTCGCTTTTTCCTCTACAGGGAAAAACAGCATGATTCCAATCACAAGTATGCCTATGAGCGTTGATACCCCGAGAGCCAAACTACTGTTCACGGGCAGCCTTGGTCGCTCTTTGAACTGTGTTATTTTTAAATCCGACAATCAGCTAAGATCCAGAACGTAGATTAGGTTGACTGTCAGCGATACGCTTACCTGATAGACCCAATCAGTATTATCACCAAGGTGAGTTGAGTACCACATCGTGAAAGAACTCCAAGGATATGAGAACCAATTCTTTCCCGTCTTCTTGTCAATGTACCACTAAACCATCATTAGTACCTGCACCAACCACAAATACTACACGGATAGGTATTGAAACTTACACTGCTGCACTGGTCGCTGAAAACAGTCTTGCCTATAGCAGCGTGAATCTGTTGATGATACTGCCGCTCACTGGATTCCTTCACTTCAACGTAAGAGGCTTGATTATGAATGACAGGCTTTGCTACTTGGATGATGAGATCGATAAAACTGTATTTGTTAGTTTTACTCTGACTCGACCCGCTTGAGGCATCTTTCAATTGACTTACTTTTCAACTGCAAGGAGTGTCGATGTGTGCCCCCGCCCAGAGTGAGGGCCCAGAATGTAAAAGAAATTTGGGAATCCAGCCATAGCTACCGTTTTAAAGGCTTCAAAGGTTCCATATTTCTCCCTATGCTGCGCACGACTGAGTCCGTTTCGGCCTATCAACTTGCTGTCGTATTGCGCGAGGGCGAAGCCTGTGGCTAACACCTTGAATGTGGAATCTTATCAGCATCCTAACGTAGAACATGGGTATATATATTGTATGCTTACAATGATATCGGCGGGGTGTATCTGCCCGGACTTCGTGAGAACTGATTCTCGCTGGAGTGAGACAACGGGATCATCTGTCAGATGAACATTCTCCCGATTCAAAATGGCAATGTACTTGTCGTTGTCAAATACCCTCCGCTGGAACCAAAATTCAGCAAAAGAACTATATTATAACAAGGGCAGTATCAGTGAATACGTACCTTGCATCCAAGGTCGAACTTGGGTATCAGTAATTCCCAGTACTTCTCTAGTGAAATTGTGAGACAACTGTTGGCATGGGACAACACGTGGGGCTCACCTGGTGCCGTTGACTGAACATAGTGAACACTTCTCTCATGTGCGGATTGTCTTCGTTTGGCCCCATCTTTGGTGAGGTTAAATTGAGGGCCAGAGGTTTCTAGATACAAGAACACGATGGCCCGCAGTATTTGGAGAATGATTGGAGCGTACTGGAAGAGCGTCATCCAGATTTGAGGTATCGGCATGTCTTGACTCGGCATATAATGCTGCGGTGTCTATTATCTTTCAGCCGAGGAGACCAACAAGAGGGTAGAAGGGAACGAGGCCCTACACGAATAAATTGTGTGATGGACTTTGCATCTTGCGCAATGTTTGGGATCAGTTGTGACGCTGAAGCTATATTGCAGAAGATTGAGTTAATATCAAACGCGAGATTTGAATGAATAGCTTGACTTACAGCCGTTGCCAATCACCACTACATTCTTGTTTTTCATAGAAAGATCATTCTTCCACTTCGCTGTATGAATGATGTCTCCCTCGAATCTTTCAATGCCATCCAACTGGAACTTGTTAGGAACTGTAAGCCCACCAACAGCTGATACAAGCAAGGAGCATTGCTGCTGAAAGATTTTCCCGGTAGAAAGGTCTTTCAGTTTAACTAGCCAGGTGCTGGAAGCCTCCTGCCAATGTGCTTCTTCCCAATCAACGTGACACACAAAGTGTCGGGCGACATCAAAGTGATCAGCCACACTATTGAAATAGTTTAATATTTCTTTCTGTTTTGGAAAAGCTTTCGTGAAGTTCGGGTTGGGAGCAAACGACAGGCTATAAAAGACAGCGGGAATGTCCACCCCACATCCAGGATCTGGGAATAGCTTAGGAAGGACTGGAGCCAAAAGATTGAGCGCAGAGACTACTCACACTGATTTGCCCACCAAGTACCGCCACCTTTAGCAGCTCGGTCGTAGATGACAAAGTCATCGCAGTTAAGTTTTGTCTTCAGCTGGCACCCCATTGCCAGCCCAGAGAAGCCACCGCCAATTACCATGATTTTAACAAACGGTAAAGACGTAGATTCCATGTTGAGAGAGCCAACAAATTTAAAAATGGACTATAAGTTGGAAAATTGAGTAACGTTGCTTGGTAGATAGATTTCCTTTCAGTGTTGGTGCCAACTCTGCTAATATAGCTTTCCATATTCACACTTGGCCCTCCCTTCTCCAATCAGGGATGGGCGATAGATCATTACCCGGTGAGGATCAATGCGGAATTTTTGCCTCCAAATCAATATTTGGATTTCCCGTTTCCCTCTTCTCTGGCCAATGTTCTCCAGTGGTCAGAGTATGCCATCCCATTGTCCTACCCTTGATTATGCACGTATGTTTCCAAAGTAAACGCGGGATGAGAATGTGGATAGCACATACATCTCGTGCTTCCAAGGAATCTACATATGATTTGATGCATGAGTCAGGGCCATGTTGTGTTGTATACTTTCCTATATTCTGATAAGGTGGGTCCCACCCTCCATTGTGCATGCATGTCTCCAAACTGAATGCTGTGTGATACCGACGATTTTTTATGTATCATATCATTTCCAGTAAGTGGCTACGTGGCGAAATGTATGAATCAGATCCAAGTTGAAGTGTTGTTCAAGAATCCACTGTTATATATTATACTAATAGGTGAGCCATTTGGCACCTTGATTATCACACCCTTAACTACTCTTTTGGAGAAAATCTGCCGTACTATTCTCCAACATGTTTTCCAAATCCAACAACGCAGCAACTTTGGGTGTTGGAAGCATTATGGGCTTCCTGCTATTACCTCATACGCTTCGCCAGCCATGGGTCAAATCTTTCTGTTACCTCCTCGTCGGTACATTAATTTTGAACAATTCTCAGATTGATTGGACCAAGGTTAGTCTGGCCATGTTTTCTTTGAGCATGTTGGCGATCTTAGGAGCTGGATCAGCCTGGATGCTCATGGCAGCCTATTTCCGACGCCAGTTGGTCCTCATGGGTGATCAAAACGGCGGCAAAGCAAACGACTTCATTGGCCGACCTCTTCTCTTTCCAACCAAACTGTCCCATTCTCGTATGTTTCCTGAAAGATATAACTATTGGTATAGCTATTTTGTTGTTGGCATACCGGTGGGGCTTAGCGGGCATATCGGATCTGTGCTATCGATAGATGAAACCCGGTCAGACGAGGGTGGAGTGGTAACGCAAAGCGCCTCTCGCAGCTGCTGGTTCACGATAGATCATCGGTACTACCTGGATCACGGGGACAATCCAAGGGGTCTAGAGGGAAAGCTTCACGCGTTCCTACAATCCAAGGTATGATCCACCTTTTCCAGTTTCCTGCCAAAATAAGAGTGAGAGGGGTTTCTGATCTTGCATACAGGGCGAGAACCCAATCCAATGGCCATATGCATATATGATCAGCACGCCACACTTTTTGTGGTCTACCAAGAATACAGTCTCCTGGTTTTTCCTGTATTCAGATAGTAGGGCACTTGATGCTATGGTGTTGGAGATCAATAACTCTTTTGGGGAAAAGAAGCTGGTCTTCTTCCGCTTCAGTCCTTTTGGCCAAGAGATCGAGCAGCGTGAGGAACCAGACAACGTGGACAGCGCCATAGCTACCACCAATGAAGGACCGCAGTCAATGAACTTCCTTCAATCAAGGTCCAAATTCAAGACTTATAAAGCAAAATGGGACAAGGACATGTTCATTTCTCCCTTTGAAAAGGTAGAAGGCTACCTGGTCACTAGTTGCGATGATCCATGCAATTCTGTCTCGGGCAACAAGGGGCCTTTCAATACCAACTCGACACTCTTCTCTCCGGACGGAAAGCCAAAATTGATCAGTCGAGTATTCTCCTGGGGACAGCCAATTGATCCGCTATCTGATTCAGCCGGGAAGCTTATCAAATTCCTTGCGGGATGGTGCTTTGTCGGAGCGTTAACAAAATTCCGGATTCTTCACCAGGCGTTTCGTGTTTGGTCCCGCGGCAACCTAACTTATCTGCAGAAGCCAGAGGTCAGAAAAGAGAACATTTCTCGTATCGGGACAGAAGTTGAAAGGTTGGTGGCCAAGTGACGTCTCACGCAGTCACTTACCATTGAGATTAACATTCACGGTTAGATCTTTCGAGTCTTACTTTCGCATGTATATCTCTTTTCTTGCAGCAAATACTCCATTCCCATTGCAGATCACCTACAAGCCCTCTGCTTCTCCTACTCTGTGCCCCGAGGAGTTTTATTCCATATCGGCAAAGTCAGAGACGACAGAGATGCAGAAACTCACTATTCAAGTTCTGACTCCGGGTGTTTACATCGCTATATTGGGCCACACTAATGCAGCACAAGGTTTTGATGCTCAGATTCAACCCTCGCCAGTTCCAGCGGATAACTCATCCAACTCTCTCTGGGTTTCTGATAGGCCCCTTATAGAGCAACTCCTTGCGTGTGCCGATTCAGCCACTTCTGCACCAGAAATCTCTCTCACGTGGGGACACAGAAGTAGAAAATGGCTGATCACCTGGCTCCGGAAGTCAAAATCCACCGAACTGACTTTTGTGGATCGATTTGTGTATCGCCGCCTATGTGCAAACATGCAGAGAGATTATCAATATCGGATGATTCGGCTTCTTCTCCCTCACCGGTTCGGGCTTCTGGCCTCCGACGGTATGCTTTTCGCGTACAACGCCATCGGACGGGTGATCATTGCATGCTTAGGGCTGCGATTGGCTTATCGAAGTAACATCGTCTCGCACTTCGCGAAACTTGAGGACCTTTCAATCGCTTTGAGCGTATGCATGTTGCTATATGGAACTTGGAAGTTGGGTAGCTCTTACTAGATAACCCGTGAGAGTTGTGACAGTTTAATTCAGCGAAGAGCTCTCTATGGAAACTGAGATAGACTCGGGATTTTGGTTGAAAGACTTGCGGGATACAAATTGAGCAAGGAGAGGCACAATATAGAATATACAGAATAGCTATGGTTGACAAAGACTACACAACACTGTGTTAGAATCGCAAATTTTGGCATTTTAACCATCAAATTACGCGAGTCGGCTCATTTGGAATCACTCAAAATGTAAGCAACGCTTACTCCTTGAAGCCAAGTCAAATGCATGTCTTATCTTAGCTTGATGCCCAAGTCTACTGAATATAATGATAATCACAAGAATTTGAATGTACAATCATATATGTTGCATATACAGCACCTTGCATCTGCATCGGTGTCTCTATTGATGTCCAAGTCTGTTTGGGAAAAAAAGGAAAGAAAAAGATTGACGAAGATGCGACTAAATCGTCCGATCAAATAAAAATTGAGACGTCGACCAACATGATCAATCTTGTCTACCTTTGTAAGCTCGGTGAAGAAATAGGCTGCATAGCACTTTTTTTGGCAGTGGTTCATGTGGCACACGCTAATGCGTGAACTGGCGATCTGCATCATTCATACTAAAGGCGGCATACACGCGAAATTCTTGATGCAGGTTGACTATCTAAGGTTTTTGGCTATCTTGAGTAACAAAGATATCGGGCTTATATTCCCTGACGCATATAAATCCGAAAAAAGAAAAGATACACTGGAACACCTAGCGTCGTATTCAAGTCTGGCTTCATGCACTGATATTCAATCCTCTTTTTTTTTTCAATTCGTCATCTAGCACACACCCACTATCTTTATGTGTCACCCACCATCTTCGAGTGCATTTCGCATCTTGTTGATCATTGGGGATATGGTAGAACTGCCAACATGGGAGCGTTCAGTATCCCTAGATACGTAATTTTGAAGTCAGAAGAACCAGCCTATATAAATAAGATGACTAATACTGATGTTCTTGAATTAATATTTTGCTGGAAACTCCTTTAGCGCACGATCTAAGAAAGGTTCAAAGCAACAAGAACCGGCGCAGCAAATCACCGTACGATGTGAATGTAAGGCTTCCAACAGCACGGAAGCAAATAGATATCTCTTGAAGAAAATGAGCTTGCCAGTTTATCGCGCTACATCCAGGATAAGGCTCAACAAAAACAGGAAAGCCTAAAGGGTCTGGAAAAGGCTATCCTTGAATCTTGCTTCATGCCTTCGCTACGAGCTATGCTGTTATTTCGAGACATTGCCTATGCTCTAACTTTTGTCATTCCTGCCTCATACCTTTATCATCTTCCGTATTCGGGTATGCGTGTGGCAGCCTGACTACTGTACGGATTTTCCCAGGGATGTGTAAGGCGTTGGCCTCTGGATTCTGGTTCGTGAATGTGGCCATGATGCATTTTTCTCTCCTCGCAAGGTCAACAATCTTGTTGTCCAGGCTCTTCATTCTGTTTTACATTTCCCCTACTTCTCTTGGAAGATTAACCACGCTTGTCACCATCGATCTACTGGCCATATGGAAAAGCATACCGTTTTTGTTCCTTCCACGAAAGAGGAGTACAGCTTAAAGACCCCAAAGGCTGAAGGCGTTCATGAGCTTCGGGAAGATGCTCACTTGATGACTGCCCTGCGCCTTTCAGGTCATCAGCTGTTGGGGTTTCTCATGTATTTACTCATCAACATCAGTGCGGGGAGTGGCAGCATTCCTCCCACCAAGGCTGGCTTGGGCAGTTTTGCCAGTCATCTCTATCCACTGGGGAACCTTTTTATTTCCTCGCAAAAGGTTAAGGTCGTGGTGTCTGGTCTCAGTATTGCTACCATGGTGCACCCCCTGGCTTTGGTGGGCCAAAGAATAGGCTGGGGAAATGTTCTGCTCTTCTATTTCCTGCCGTATGTGTGGGTCAATCACTGGATTGGTAAGACATCACGCTGATGGTATCATTATAATTTCTTGCTTGACCTTGACTTCTAGTCGTCATTACATATTTGCTCCACACTCACCCCTCAGTTCCCCATTATGGGGCAGAAAGTTGGATATACACCAAGAGAGCACTGGCTATGGTTGACCGAAGCTTAGGGTTCATTGGTCGTCACTTCTTTCATGAAATCGTTGATTTTCACCTCATCCATCAACTGCTCCCTAAAATCCCTTTCTATAAGGCCGAAGAAGAAACTTAAGCTACTCGAAAAGTTCTCGTTTCTCTGTATCAGGAGCAAAAGATCGAGAAGTTCTATTACCCACTCGTTCCAACATTCTCAACTTGCAAGTTTGTATCGTTGCATCAACATGAGGATGTTGTTGTTCACTGAGAAATTTCCAAAGGTTGAACATGAGGTTTTGCCTTCTTTCTAGATCACTGGACGGTGAATTACATGTCCGATACCTTGAGCCCAAGCTGTTGATCTCATCAATGAGTGCCTTTAAAATCGCCCATCGGAAACTCATAAGTCAATTGTACTCTTCCAAGATGAAACCTCCTCAATGAAAGGTTATTAATAGGGTCATGCTAAAAAGGACACCACCCACTTTTTTATCAGGCTAGCTATGTTAGCGCTAAGCCTAGTATTTCATTTTCCAAGATCAATTAATAATTGTATAACTTGATTGTTTTTAGAAAATAGTGAAAATATATGAAGTTTGCCAATTTTCCTAAGAGTTTATTACATTTAAAATATGCTATAGGGATCCTCCTAAATAAAACTCAACATAGAATAGTAAGACTTCTTAGCTTTTGTAGAAATTTTGAAACAAATACTTTTCCCTACTTTGGACTAGAATAACCAGAAAGAGTGACTTAATTTCAGTAGGGACTTACACATAAAACAGAAGTACCTTATCTTTTTATGTGGAACAATAGCTATATAGTCATGAATCAATGTTGAAAATTAAAATTGAAATACTAGACTTACCGCTATTCTGCTTAGTTTGATATATGAAAAAGTGAGTGGGATGTCCCTTTAGCACTTGGGGGTGTCCATTTAGCACTGTCCTATCAATATAGAGTCTTCTCTTTGAATCTTTTCTTTCTCATCGTTGTAAAATCGATATTTTACTCCTGTTTCTTCTTTCTGAGATAGGGTTCTGTTTGGAAGGAATGGATGTTTAGGCAGGAGGATCTTGACTGATACATACCGTGTCAAATCCTGTACGTGCAAAAGCCGTACTTAGGACACCATCAAAGCTAAGTCATAAAATAAAGGGTTGCATAATGAGATGATGTAATAAGCAGCCACTGCCGATGGTACACATTAATGATTATCAGATGCGACTCGTCCCTGTCATCATGTTAAGTCCGAACGAATAACGTGTTAGCCTCGCCAAACTCGGGCTCAATTTAGCCATGCAGACCGAGCTACCCTTGAATTGCAGGTCCACTTAGTTGCAAATAAGGAGGGTGCCTTGCAGGAAGTCGCGGCAATGTCCAGTACCTGACCGCGTGTCCGGTGGGGCGTGAGTTTAAACCGAAGATCATCGCCGACTTGCCCGATTTAGAAACTGAGGCCGACTATGCAAGCCCCGAAGTGTATGTATCCTTCAGTGTGACTTGGTGTTTAAACGGTCATTATATTGTGCACATTGTACCATATACAAACTATATAAAGAGGTCATCCCTAAACACCTGGTAGCATTCCCCAGGCCTTTACATTCAAATCCTCCTGCCTTTGTGATTGACAATGGCACCACTCCTTTCCAAGGCTCTTGCATCCCTGGCGCTGGGCGCCACTGTCACTCAAGCTCAACTTTGGGACAAGACCATCCAAACCAGCTATGGCCCAGTCGAGGGTTTTGAGTACTTCAACCAGACCACGCTCGACAAATACTTCAACGGCACTGAGTCCAATGTGGCTGCCTTCCTGGGCATCCCATTCGCCGCCGATACTGGATATCAAAATCGCTGGAAGGCACCACAGCCTCGAGAGTCATGGAATGAGACTCTTCAGGCCAAGAACTTCGGCCCTGCCTGTCCTACCAGCTCGTCTTCTGATATCAGCGAGGACTGTCTCAGTCTGAACATCTGGACCAACGCCAAATCGGCAAGTGACAAGCTTCCAGTCATGGTTTGGAATCAGGGCTCCGATGAGACTAGCAAGAACACCTGGTGGTACGGTGGTGGTATGGCTCTGAAGGATGTCATTCTCATCACCTTCAACCGCCGAGACGATGCATTCGGCTACCTTGCTTCTCCCGAGCTCAACGAGGAAGGCCTTGAGGCATTTGGTCACAAGACTTCCGGCAACTACGGTATTCTTGACCAACTCGAGGTTCTCAAGTGGGTGCAGAAGAACATTGCCAACTTTGGTGGTGACCCAGACCGTGTCGTCGTTGCCGGTCAATCTTTCGGCTCTTCTCAGGTCTACCATGCTGTCAACAGCCCTCTCTTCACCGGCTACTTCCATGGCGGTATCTCTGAGTCTGGCATCAGATACCCTTACGATACCCTTCTCGCTGGTCTGGCGACCTCTTATGTGAACATGTCTACTGCCATCACCAATGGTGCGAGCTACATCAAGGCTCACAATGTCTCGACCATTGAGCAGATGCGTACCCTCTCTATGGAAGAGTTGATTGTTGGCGCCTCGGACCGCGTTGGAAACAATTCCATCTGGTGGGTTACCGCGCTCTCGGCCGGCTATCCTCTCATCTTCAAGCCCGTTCTCGACGGCTACGTACTTCCCTCTACATATCTCGAGACTCTGAAGAATGGCCCTGCCAATGATGTCCCCGTCATCACGGGTAATACCAAGGATGAATCTGGTGCTTCTACCACAACCGACTACACCCCGGAAGAATACAAGTACTACTGTACCTTGAAGTACGGCAGCCTCTCGGAGCGCTACTTCAAGCTCTACCCAAGCTACAACAACGAGACCATCGCTTCTCATGCCTGGAATGCGGCTGCTCGCGATACTTCTCTCGTCGGCTCATGGGCCTATGCTACAGACTGGTACAAGGCTGCATCTTCGGACTTTTACACCTACTACTGGACCCACGCACCCCCGGGCCAGAGCCAGGGTGCTTTCCATCAGTCTGAGATCATGTATGCCCTCAACGCTCTCTACGCCAACGATGAGACCTACCCCTTCACCAAGATCGATTACGAGATCCAAGAGAGGATGTCTGCCTACTGGGCCAACTTTGCGAAGACTCTCAACCCTAACAAGGGCGGTTCCTACACTGGAAGTCGCTTGTTGCCCCGTTGGACTCCTAACAGTGCCAATGGTACTCAGGTTGTTATGGAACTTGGTAACCAGTTCAAGAATGTGCCCATTGCTAAGCCTCAGCAGGTGGAGCTTCTCATGGACTACTTCCACCAGCAGGTTCCTTACTAAAGAGTATATTATTTTGGCTCTGGGACTGTTTGACTTTTTACAATATGGTTCCTGACTGATTCGAGTCGGTAGATACTTTTGGTTCCTGCATATAGTTCTGTCGTCGTATCAAAAATTATGCGATCTTTGGTACAGATTCCGGGCAAGAACCTTATCTGAATCAATGACTTCACCAATTCTTACATGTAATAACCAGTAAACCCCTCGATGGATAACAATTATCAGGCTGGTTTCTTCAGATTTCTTTTTTTTTTTTTTTTTTTTTTTGTTTTCGGTATGGCATCAAACCCGAGGGGGATCGAAACTTCTCAGGTCACTAGAGACTAGAGCTAACAGGGCTGAACTAATGTACGACATGCGCCAATTATTCCCAAAAGGCGTCTGCCTGGAGAATCTCCGCCTGCCCTCTAGACTTCCTCACGAATCAGCGTTGTGCGCCAAGATCAACAATTCTCCTATCGGAGATCGCCCGCTGATCACAGATGGAGGGGTAATCCACTTCGATCTCTCCCCAGGCAACATTCAATTGATCAGAGGCTTCTCATTCAAACTGATCTTCCCCAATCAAGAGATCTTGAGATCATTCACAATTCACCATGGTTGCCGAGCACCTCACCCTCCGCAACAACACCTCCACGCCAATTGTCCTGAAGCGCATTGAGCGCTTCCAGGCAGAGGAAAAGTCATTCGGTGCCAGCGCCTTCACCACCCTGGCTTCCAACCTGACCCAGGTCTTGACCAACCAAACCCGCAACGCATCCGTTGCCGTCATCAACCATGACAGCCGTCCCTTCAACGAGAAGGACGTGGACATCTACCTGGAGCCATTCGAAACAAAGAAGACAGACCTCCGTTCCTTCATTGACTCGGACAAAGAGCGCATGCGTCTAATCTTCGAAGTCGAAGGCCAAAGATATCAAATCCAAACTCCGGTCCCAACAGAGGAATCAGCAACCATGAAAGCCATAAGCGAGAACCCCAAGTTCCAGTTCACAGGCGTGTTCGTAACCCTGGAATCACACCTAGCAATCTTCTCCTCGGCAAACCTCAATGCCTGGATGCGCGAACTCCGCGACGACACCCTCACCTCAGCCCTCTCAATCCCAGGCACACACAACTCCCCAACCTGCCACATCGCACCACCTTCAGTACGCTGCCAGGCCGTAAGCCCGCGCGAGCAACTCGAGAACGGCGTTCGCTTCTTTGATATCCGCGTGCAGCCCCAATGCCCAGAAGACCCAGGCCGCGACGAGCTCATTCTCGTGCACAGCGTATTCCCCATCTCTCTAACAGGAAACAAGTACTTCCGCGATTTGATGCGCGAAGTGAACGAATTCCTGGAACGTAACCCATCCGAGACACTCATCATCTCCGTGAAGCGCGAAGGACCCGGCAATGCAACCGACGAGCAGCTCTCACGCATCTTGCACGACCACTACGCTCGTCCCGACAGTCGATGGTGGGTGCGACCCAAGATCCCGACGCTTGGCGAAGCACGCGGCAAGGTCATCCTCCTGCGCCGGTTTAACCTGCCGGAGAACCTGAAGGGTGAGCATGGTGGTAATGGATGGGGAATCGATGCGGCGGCGTGGGCAGACAACACTGCACACGCAATGTGCCCCAGTGGCCAGCTCTGTATTCAGGATTTCTATGAGGTTATGGAGAAACCGAGTATCGAGCAGAAGATCAAGTATGTCTCCGAGCATGTTGATCGGGCCAGTTGCTGTTGCTATCCGTTTGGGGTTCAGCCTGATGCGCATGCGACACGCGCGTTCCCTTACTACATCAATTTCTTGAGTGCTAGTAACTTCTGGAAGACGAATACTTGGCCTGAAAAGGTTGCTGCAAAGGTAAACCCTGCTATTGTGGATTATCTCTGTCGACGGAAGAGGGATGGGGATAAGGATTGCGCGACTGGTATTCTTGTTACGGACTGGGTTGGTCTGGATGGGAATTGGGATCTTGTGCGTTGCATTGTTGGTATGAATGCCAAGCTGCGTTTGAGACAGCAGTAGATTATGGACATACATTGGGAGGGATTGTTACTTTCATGCGTGGTTTGGTCGTTTACATATTAGGGTTCGATGGGAAATGGGTTCTTGTAGTTTGGACAGAAAATACGATTTCTTCAAAAATAATTTCTCGCAAGTATACATTCATCCAAGAGCAGAAAATGGGGCCTTGATGAAACGCAGGAATATGATCTATTATACAGGAATGACACAAAGATACCATGACCAAATTAAGATGACTCGCTCTTGTCGCCTTCCGGTCCCTTCTCCTCCTCTTCTAGAACACTGCGGCGACTCTCCATGGTGAAGTAGAGGCTCTTTCCAGCTCCCTCCAGGGTGGAGGCAACGCTGGAGCTCATGCTCTGCAAGGCTGTAACAAGCTGGGAGCGGAGACCATCCATGCCACCCTCGATGCTGCCAACCCACTTGGTCTGGTCAATATCGAAGACCTGGTTATCGACACGAGCGGCGAGCAAGTTGATCTTGCGGAGACCGTTCTGGACGATAGGGTCGTGGTAATCGGGGTTAGCCTTGCGGGTAGGAGCAGGGAAGCCGGCCTCCTTGGGGGTGAGGATGGACAGCGCGGCCTTCATGTGCTCAGGTGAAACATTGGGGATGGAAAGAACAGCAACAGGTCCGATAAGGAGAGTCGAAAGGTCGTGCTTGCCCTTGAGGTTCTTCACTGCGGCGTGGGCAGTGCGCGACAGATCGTGTGTCAGGGCAGGGTCGTCCTTGGAGCCGGAAACCGCAGGGAGCTCGGCGGAGGTTTGCGTGACGGGGTCAATGGCACTTGGGGGGCGTCCTGATGCCAGAGAGGCCTCGCTAGGCTTGAAGTAATCGACAATGCGCAGAGCCACCTCGAAGATGCTGGTCTGGATGGTCTGGATTTTAATGTAAGGAGCAAGAGGAGGAGCTGTCCGGCCCTCGGCGGCGATCTTGTCGTCCACCTTTTTCAAGGCATTGGTGAGTTCTCGTCGAATGGCAGCCCATTCCATGGACTTCAAGTTGTTGTGTTGGAACAGCACGATGAGAGGAGACGTGCGGAGGAGGGAGGTGTATGACCGCAGGAGCTGCGACCGGCGGTATTCGGGGTTGCGATGGGAAGGTGGCTGGCTAGGAGGGAATCTGGACATGGGAGCTGGCGAGTGTCTCATCTGGTCAATGGGAGCTGCGGGCGTAACAGCTGGGGCCGCGGTACTTGCGCTCCTAGCGATGCGGAGTTCATATTGGCAAACAGGGAATTGGCGTCGAACCGACGAGAGCCTTAACCGAGGGGGCATTGTGAATATATTGGATTTGAATGGCAATTGAACCACCCAATGCCTGAACAGTTGTCAAAAAGGTGATGTTGGACGAGACAGCCTCGGGAACTGCACAGCGTAGTGATATTTTTCGAATCCCAATATGGTAAAGCGTGATCGATGGCGGTGAGCTGTTCTGCCGGGTGCATACATCCAGCTCTTGGTGGGGTTTTGACTCATTAGATTGTTTGCTTTTGTCAACACATATTGGGACTTCTGTTACTCCCTTGAGGATATCTATTAATCACAAGTTCTCATTATGGAGATCATTGAACCAACTGCACCAAAGCGCCCCGATCCGATCTCAATCTCCCCGCTACTTCAGCGACTGGCCTACCCCCCCACAGCAGACCTTCGAGTAAGCGCAGAGAAGATTGCCGAGGTCGGCGCGGATGAGATTGCTGCAGCTTTTGCATTGATCTTCGAGGATCGACTGTCTCATGTTCAGACTGCTGCACTCTTGACCTTGCTCCACTCAACCGGCAAAGACCGGGATCCTGCGGTAATTGCGAAATGTTCTCAAGGTATGCGAGATGCAGCTTGCCAGGTCGAAAAGGGCGCTATGAAGAAGATTATCAAGGCTCGTGGGAGAAAAGAAGGAAACTATCAAGGTGGATTGGTATGACTACCTGCTCCTCGTTACTATTGACCCGACGGCAATAACTAACTTCACTTGATGTCCAGTGTGATATTGTCGGAACTGGCGGAGATTCTCACTCTACTTTCAACATTTCTACAACCTCGTCAATTGTTGCATCGCCACTCTTGATGACCGCCAAACATGGCAACCGTGCCCAGACCTCGTTCTCTGGATCTGCGGATGTTCTCCAGTCCATTGTGCCTATTGCACCCAACATTGATGCCGTAAACGCCGAGAATCTGCACAAGGTGTATGAGAAGACTAACTATTCGTTCCTTTTTGCCCCCAACTTCCACCCTGGGATGATGCATGCCAACCCGGTTCGCCGCGGCCTTGGTCTCCGAACTATCTTTAACCTTATGGGTCCCTTGGCAAACCCTATTGACTGGGCAATCGAAGCTCGTGTCGTCGGTGTAGCTTATCAGAGTCTTGGTCCTGTTTTTGTCGAAGCTCTCAGACAAAGTGGCGCGAAAAAGGCTCTCGTTGTCTGTGGCCAAGAGGACATGGACGAGATTAGCTGTGCCGGTCCAACCAACTGCTGGAGACTTTCTGAATACCCCAACCCTGCCTACAAGGAGTCAGATGACGGAGATGATTCGAGTGACGAGGAAGACCACAACCCTCGTACGCTGGTGAAGCTCGATACTTTCCAGCTTACGCCGTCAGACTTCGGTCTCCCTAGTCACCCTCTGTCCTCTGTGTACGGACGCAAGATGCCTAAGGATAACGCTGCCAAGCTCATGAGCATCCTCCGCAACGAGCTTCCACGGGGCGACCCCATTCTGGAGTTCGTTTTCATGAACGTTGCAGCTCTCCTAGTTACCTCCGGTGTCTGTGAAGCCAATACTAGCAACATGGGCCCTGGCGATGATGGCAAGGTCATTACCGAGCGTGGTCCTGGAGGCGGACGTTGGAAGGAAGGTGTCCGCCGTGCCCGCTGGGCAATTGAGAGCGGCGAGTCTTTGAAGTGCCTGGAGCAGTTCATTGAGGTCAGCAACTTGCTTTGAAAACCTTCCATTCATTTCGGATTTAGTGTTTTGATTGTATTTGGGGGAGCTTTCGGGTCAGGTTTCGGTTCAGCTTTTGTATGGAGTGCATCTACCTCATGTTCGGGTATTCAAAACTGTTTTATTTTAGGAGTTTGATGGAAAATAATCTTTTCTTCTTCTCTGAAAGCAATGATCATTGGTCGATTCTAAGCGACAAAGCTTAGATCGGTTTTATTTACGAGTCCATGTCCTGGTTGGACAACGCGGCCAGGGCAACGCATCCTCGCAGTCCAAGAGCAGAGCAAAAAAAGGAAAACAAGTGTCTGCGTTGATGTAGTAGACCCCAATGCGCCATTCAAATGCATAATTCGTCAAAATCAAGATATCCTCGGGCCAATTTCTCCAACTCCGCACCAGTCCCTGAGACTTCCCCCATCCAGGGCCATTCGCTTCAAATCGAGAACAGGCAAAGCATTTACCGAGCCTGGAACTGGACCATACTATCAAAAGCAAGAATGTCAGCTTAAGCACTTGTGAACGAGGACTGCAGAAGAAAAAGCTTACCGCTTCGTCCGTTCCTTGTACAGCACACGGTGACCACAGTCCTTGCAGCGGATCTGGTCGCCACGTTTGAGAGGGACGCGGGCAGAGCACTCGCCGCAGAGGTACACGACGGAGGGGCTGTCGATGTTCATGGCGCTGCCGTATCCGGCCTGGGTATCGAAGGCGTTCTGGCCGCCCATCGAGGGGACCTGGTAAGCTTCGCGAGACATCGTTTGTGTATGTGTGGGGCAATGTGTGAGGATATCGGCTTGCTGCGATTTGACAATCCCGTAGGAGGTAGGATGTGAGGTGCGAGTATGGAGTGCTGGATCGTGAGACTTGGATTCTTTTTCTTTTCGGGGCGGGATATTAGGTGATTAGTCAGATATAAAATGTACAGATTAGTCACCGATGTGGCCCGTGCTCGACATGCGGGCACGAAGTATAGCCTTCAATCAATCAATCAATCAATCAAAGTTCTATTAACCTGTTGCAGCCTATCTAGTATCGAATAGCTATGCAGGCGCTTCTTTCCAGTTGAAGCAAGAACTCGTGTCCCGTACGCCTGATCATGCTCCAGTACAGAAAAATAGGCTGGTCTCGAAGCGAGAGAGAGCACCAGCCCTACATGTAAATCAAAACCGTGAACCCAAAAACCCCAATACAAATGAGAGTCTCAGTGCTGTAAGCCGCTGAGTATAAAATGAATGCGTGGATGCACCATCCACCTCCCCTGTCCTTATCTCACATCCTATATAAACTCCTCTCGATCTCGATGACAGTCAATTCTTGCTGCAGCAAGATCAAACCCCGTTCTCCGACATCCTTACTTTAGCCTTAATTGCTGATTATTGTTGGTCGGGCCGGGCGTAGGCTGTGATCCGCTCCGGTACCGTGTATTCGAATAGCTAGCTAAGGCTCTCTCCTTCCTCAAACGCTATATTAGCAAGCGGTGGTAAGTACCTAGCGTCTTCGGGACTCTGCTCTATAACCTTAGTAGGGTCTCTAGATTCGTTATTAGACTCTTCCTACTAAGTATATTGAAACTGAGCAAGTAGGCCGGTTTGATATATGAATTTGGCGACGTAGCGGATCGCTAGCGGGTCTGACACTAAAGTATTATAGTTAGTAGGGTTAGGAACCCCTACCTAAAATAGTTTATCAAAAAGCTCTCTTCTTAGACCACTAAAGGTCTAGCATTAAAGCAAGACGTGCTTCGGGGTCTAAGAGCCTTCTCCATACGGGCATTTGTCCGAATCCGCTATATTGATCTTGTACAAGAAGTGTCGCAACGTAATGCGCATTGAGCGCATCTATATTATGATCGATAAGCGGGGTTTGGACAGTCCTTCGTATAAACGTAGGACCTTCTTATTCGGCCATTCTACCAAGCGCTTTGTCGGCTGGGCAGTCCTCTCCGCATCCCACTGCTTCCGCCAGCGGTCCTGAATGCGGGCCCGAACCATGCGCTTGGCAGCGGCGGCAAGTCGGATCGTCGGTTTATCCGCTCCGGCCCCTCCGTCGGTCGCTGGCTGCCAGTTTCGCACTGCTATCGGCAACTTCATTGCCAGGCACCCGAAGTATAGCCTTGCTTTGAAGATTCGATTTCTTTTTTGTCTTTCTTTCTGTGAATTACGAAAAGCCTCGATGAAGTAGATTTCTATAATTGAAACCTGCTATTGTGATATTTGCAATCACCAAGGCTAGCTTCTTGGTAATAAACTGCCAAAACTCCAAAAGCCAACCTCATATATCGTCGCCCATGATCCTCAAATGTAAGAATCTGGTATCTTCCCTGGGCATATGCAATCATAATTTGAGAAAAATTTCAACGCCATGCAAATAAACATAGATCAAATAACCTCCATGCTATACAAGAAAATGCAAACATAAGGTTTTACCAACCACCACCAATCTTGCCAGCTAGTTCAACGACACGAGTCGTATCATTAGCAGGCGTTTGGTCCTTGCCAACGTCACTTTCAACCTTGCGGTATGTAGTGTATACGAGCTTAGAAAGTGGGATATTCATGAATTGGGACCAGCGACGTAGGCCTTCATGGATCTTAGCTTCCTTTCCAGCTACTGAAACCTGCTGCGACTGTGGTTCCGCCTCGGGCTCAAAATCCGATTCCATGGAATAATATGCCTCATCAACGCGCGCGAGCCATGCGCGCTGCTCGTGGGGCGATGCCTTGACAATCGCACCTGTTTCCTCATCTTGGGTGGGGGCGACGGCTTCTCTGGCGTCCTCCACTCGAATCTGACCACCGCCATTCGTGCAACCACCTGGGCAGGCCATTACTTCAACATAGGCGTAATCAGATCCAGAGCTGCCTGTGGAGGCAGCATTGCGTGACATGGGCTGGCGCCGACCTGCGGCGGGTTTGACGGCGGGCTTTGCACCAGGAAGTCTCGACACCCGCGCAGGTTTGAGCTTCCGGACAAGGTTTTGGATATTTCGGAAGCCGTAATAGCGAGCTGCCTTCAAGATCGGCTGGTTTTCTTGGGACATGAGAACATACTCTACAACGTCAACATTGCGCCCACGATTGACCACAAGTTCACTGCCAGGGTTGCGGGATTGGAAGTTCATGAGAACATGGTGCAGATAGCCTCCAGAGGTGCCCGTAGCAAGAGATTGTTCGGTCCGAGAAAGTTTGAAGGAAATGAAGGATTCGAGTGTTTTCTCGGGGAATGGCGGGGTAAAGGATGCTGGCAAAGCTTGCAAGGGCAACTTTGGCAGGGAGAATCCTCGAGCGGAAGCTAGAGATAGGAGCTCACGGGCAGTGATGACACAGTCTACGTCACGGACAGGCTGTGCGTCAGAGCCTATTTCATCTCCGTTTCGCCATGACACATCTGTGAGCTCTTCTCGACTAGCTTCCAGCTTCTTATCAAAGCAAGGCATAACTGCCAAATGCCAGATTTGAGAGGGGTGGACCCCGAGAGACTTGCTTAGGACGGTCTTGAGAAACGTTCCCGATAAAGCCTGCGGTGACTTGAGTCGGGACAGATGCGGAAGTATAAACGGATGTGTCTTCTCGGCATAGCAAATCCATCCAGGGCATGCGGATGACAGGATGGGCCGCTTCGGAAGAGAGTCATCCGATTGACTGGTCGAGTCTCTCGAGATGAGCGAGTCCGACACCTCATCTGCGGTAAGAACCAGGACGGCCTCTCGCATGACATTTGTGTCTACAACCCATGTAAAGCCGCTGCCATTCTTGCCTCCCCCCGCAAGCCCTGCGGGCCACTAAGTAATTGGTCGATCATGTACCCCGCCTCTTTCTCCGATATACCATATGTTGTCGCCAAGCTTGCTCTAACCTGTGGGCTCACACTGGCCACGAAAATCTTTCTCTCGCCAAATTCACCGGCATTGTTCGCCACCTTTCCATTGTGTCCATGCGTCAGAGGAATTTCCGGGTATGCATCGAGCGTGTTAAGAACCTCAGTATGAGACTGAAGGGAAATCAAGACTGCCTCCGCGGATGTAACACAGCCAGAGCAAGCAAGGCAGTCAGTCAGAGAAATCTGCGCGGGAGGTAGTTCTTCTGGTTGAACTTTGTCTTCGGTAGTTACTTCATAGGCGTTCTATGCTTCAAGGTTAGCCAAGATACGCTCAAGATACACTAGGAAAGGGTTGGACCAGCGCGAAATGAAACTTACCTCCGAATTTTTTGTGTCTTTTTGTGGAAGTGTCTCAACTGGCTTGATACACGCGACCCCCGGCGAAATGAAATCATTCAGATCGTCTGCCGAAAGGATCGCGCTCATTGTGGCGGGGTACCGCTTTGAGCAAGATAGATCTTGAACAAAAAAGAAGGAAAAAATGCGCTATTTTGAGAACGAGCAACTTTGTGCAGGATCAAAGATTGAAAGTGAGCAAGCAAAATTAGAATAGACCGCATTATTAACCATCGAATATTGAGCCAACGGCGTTGCGCGCTTTGTCATCGGTGGCGAGATCGGAGATAACCTTGGGGCCTCACCGCCGCGGTTCTGCCCATTTCCGAAGTATACAATGTCGCTTTCCTTTCAAGCTTCTTTGATCTCATTGTTCAGTTATATCATTGTTCGAGTCACTTGTTCTTTCAATAAAATGGGTTTAAATCTCTATAAAGAGGATTCTGCGTCCTTGTCCGCAATACAATACTTTCCCACTATACTTTCACATTCATCTAAACCTTATTACATGGAGCATGGACGACACAAGCATCCAACTGCGAGCTCCTCAGCTCAAGTACAGCTATTCTTTGAGTAGCAAGTCCTCAAGCACAAATATCAGCAGGTATACTAGCCATCGAGTTCGAAGCCGCGGGAACGGCGTACAGAAATTCAACAACAGGCGCAAATTCACGAGTGGGCAGCGAGATCGCCAAGTGACACGCGCACCGAAATTGAGACCTTTTAGCTGGCGAGGTCGAGGTGGAAGTTACGGTCGAAGGAGAGGAGAAGATTCATGGACTGTCTCAATGCAGAATTCACCCAATCTCAGACGTCTTTCTGACTATCTTTCGAAGGCCTCAATTTCAGGCCCCCTTGATCTCACAGTCTACCCCGCCACCTTACCAGATATTGAAATGCGGAAACCCAGTTCCTACTTCCAACCTGGTCCCAGAGGAGGCGCCCCAAGTAAGAAGGAACCTGCGACTGCTCACAAAGTCGGAGGCGTTAATTCCCGTATAGCCAAGCTGCGGCATATACCAAACATCGGGAATACGGGCAGGGCGCAGATAGCCAAGGATGCAAAAAGGGAAATTCCAAGAATCCTGCTCTCAGCGGGTGCTGCTGGCAGGCTTGGTTACAAAGTTAGCCCGGACATGGTTCCTCCTCTGACCTCTGATATGGAAGAATTTTCCGATCTACCTACTCGGGTGGTGGTCGTAAAGGGAGATACATATGATGTTGCCATCGCGCTCCATAACTCCCGCAAAATTATGGAACATGATGATCCTATGCCAGTCTGTGTTCTCAATTTTGCAAATGCTGGAATTATCGGCGGAGGCTGGTTAGATGGCCACCCTTCCCAGGAGGAGCAACTTTGCTACCGAAGCACCCTCAGCGCAACTCTCTTGCCCCGACTATACCCTATGGGAGCTAAGGAATGCATTTACTCGCCTCAAGTTTCAATCTTCCGGGAGAATGAGAAGCGAGGGTATATCTGGATGTGGCCGAACGCACTAGACCCACTCCCAGTAGTCAGCGTCATTAGCATGGCTGCTCCAAAACACCCATTAATCACTGCGGACATGAAGTATCAGAATGTAACTGATCGCAACTTTATGAAAGATAAGATCCGCATCATCCTACGCACAGCAGCACATAATCGCCATCAGCGCCTGGTTCTGGGAGCCCTTGGCTGTGGCGCGCTTGGTCATCCTAGACAAGATGCGGCTGATTGTTGGAAAGAGATCCTCAGGGAGGACGAGTTTCAGGGATTCTTTGAGCTGATTGTCTTCGCCATCTTTGATCCAGGCAACACAGATGGCAACTTTCCAGTCTTTTACGAGACTCTGCATGACATGGAAATGTATCAAGATGCTGTCCAGTGAGTTTTGTTGATCGATTTATATTTTTGTACACTGATTGCTACTTCACTTTGATTCACTTTTGCGAAGAAGCATTTACGAAGGAGCATTTACGAGTAGTTAGCGTGGATTGCTTAATGACTTTTCATGAACTTGGTTACTCTTGCTACAAGTAAACAAGACGCTTTGAAGTAATCTAAACGTAATACAAACTCAGAATGATCAAATGTTTTGATCTATATGTTCTCCTTCTCTCAATGGTATACAAAATGGCAAGTTGAATCAGATTTCATGAAAAGAAGTGCATGTATCATACAAGTAAATTCTTTTACTTCATACGGGTAGATCGTCTTCTACCCACTGTAGCTGGTTTCGTCTCCTCCTCCTCCTCCTCCTCCTCTTCAACCTCCTCTTTCTTCACGGCTGGTCTCTTTTGCTTGAGTGACCCTCGTTTCTTACCCTTCGGAGCATCTTCTGCTTCTGAACCCTCTTCCTTTTTCGGAGCAGCACGTTTACGTCCAGATGTAGCTGGCGTTCCATTTGTAGCATCCTCGTCGATTTCCTTGGCGACGGCACCGGTCTTATTCTGTACAGCTGGAACAACGGCACTGGTCCGACCTCCGACTGTAAGGAAAGTGATTTTATCGCCGTTTGGAAGGACTGCTGGCGCGTTCTTCTTTCCCTTGCCCCACCGATGTTTGAAAAGCCAGTGATCAGGGAACTTCTCTGAATCTGCCAATACACCAATTGAGGTAGAGCAAACATAGTGGATAGAAGAGTGTAGCGCTTTGATTTGATCGTCGTTCAAAGTATTGCTGTATTGCTCTGGGTGTATCTTGGCATGATACAGAATTTCATCACTGAAGAATATTAGCATGAGTATAAAAATGACACATTTAACCGAATAACTCACCCCATCCAATTCCCAATTCCGCTAATATTAGCCTGATCCAGCAAAAGAGCTTTGATAGGCACTTTCTTCTTCCTCAGCTTCTCCATCAACCAAGCCTCATTGACAATATCTTTATCGGTAACTGGATCAGGGCCATTCTCCTTCAGTGGGGTGTAGTTCCGAATCTCATCAGCCGGACAATCAACAAGCCTGATGCGACCAAGTCTACGGGCATCAACGAATGCAGCCTCGGTTTTGAGCTCATCACTGGTCTCCATCAAGAACTTCCAGTACTTAGGAGGCCATTCCTTATCAGCGGGCTTGTCACTTCTGTAGTAGTATGTGTCGGCATCTTTGATCTTTAACCACCCAGCCATTCCGAAGTGCATCACGGCGTGTGGTGGTGAAGACATTGTAATCCAGAAATATTTCCCTTGCTGGCCGGCTCCCACAATTTTCTTCCCTTGCATTGCTTGTTGGAATTCAGAGGCACTTGTGCCGACTTTTCCGAATACAATCGTGTCATCTTGGGCTTGGACTTTGGACAGCGTCTTCCCAACCAAGTGTTGGCGAATGAAATGCACGATGCGGTGGATTTCCGCGAGCTCAGGCATCTTGGGGTAGAAATTCAAATGGAAAAGATAACTGTAGATGTGAGAAATGACATGTACAAATGGTTTTTCTGAAAGGCGTTATGGTGTAAACAGCTGATGCGATGGTTCAGTATATGCTATAAGAAGGGTCGCGTCTTAATTGACAGGGCGCGAATTCACGCGCCGCAATCACAGGCTTACTAATATCTCGAGAGCCTGCGGTGTTCGAGTACATAATTATTCTTTTGAAACCTAGGATTCGATTTTTCGGTAATTTATGTTGCTAGTATTAGACAGTACGTTATGATTAGCTTTTATCAATTTCCGATTGATTCTACCGGGGCAGTATCGGCATGCCGATTGTAAGGCCGACTTCCGGTTAATGATCCCGAAGCACCGAACAAGTATTTGCATTCATGTATTTCGAGGATCCATTATTGAATATTGGTTAGCTCTTTGCTCATTCTTTATGCTGGTTATTGCTCAAGCTTATGCAGGCATACAGAAAAAGAAGCAAGATGAGTTGATTTGCTGTCCTGGCCAGATAAGTACATCCATACAGTTGTTAAAGCAGAATGTAAACTAGATCATGATGACTATGTAAACTGAATATAGTATGTATACTTCTTTTTTTCTGCTCTGGATCAATAGGACTTTCTTGTCTTTTGCTCCTTTGTCTTTGGGGCTCCCAGGAATGAAGTCTAGACATAGATCTGGTATAGCTCTCACAAATACACTTACCCTAATTTTAGAGCTCTACTTATATAGAACGTCTTGGTATGCCTTTTATTACTAGTATTTGGCCAGATAGCTCAGTTTAAACTGGCTGCTTCTAGATATGCTGTGTCAGTGCTGAATCATGAATACTGAATACTGCTTGAGAACCGGAATTATAGTAACTCCGAGTAAGAGGATTACTAATGATGAGCATAGCATAAACAGCAAGAATTAACAAGTAATAAATGACAGAGATTTCAACGCCCTTATTGGCTGAGCAAGTTACGGAAGACAGCAAGTTCCAACACTGTTGTCAGTGCTGCATTCATGAATACGGCTTGAGAACCGGAATTATAGTAACTCCGAATGAGCGGATTACTAATAATGAGCATAGCATAAATAGCAAGAAATAGCAAGTAATAAATGAGAGATTTGAATGCCGTTATTGGCTGAGCAAGTTACGGATGACAGCAAGTTCCAACAACTGTATTTTGCCTCAGGCATTAACATATAATACGCTAGACCTAAAATGGCCTAATGCAGTGGACCTCTGGGCGAGCTTGGACTGACGATGCTCTCCGTCACAAGTCGCCAATCCATTTCTATTACACCGGACAACGCTCTGTGAACACATTGCGACTTTGATTATACAAGTTACTCTGACATATATCAAAAAATATCGTCTTCAAACTGGAGTGGTTTTGGATCAAGTCAAATCGAGAATCTGGGGAGGAAGCTCGCAGCAGAATGTCACAGGTCTCATCAACGGAGGCTCCGGCGCTCACTCCTCGGTTTTGTTTCGACGAGAGGCTACTCAGAGGTTCGTTAGAAGCGATATCCCACGCTCAACATGGATTAACATCTTCGTATCTGCTCAGATTTTCTCCGACTTTCGAGATCGACGATCGACGATTCGATAACACAGAACATCAATGCGTTGATCACACCAGCTAAGGAGGGTTTTGACCCGTCATCAACAGCAGTGCGACAGACCGACTCTCGATCCAGAAGAACCATCGACCCTGCCGCCTGCCAGGGCTTCAAGGAAAATGTGCTATTTCCGTCATGGCAAACAAGATCAGATGTCTTAAACTACTGCGCCGGTGTGGCTACGAGTCCCGACCCGGATGATCCGGATCTGATCCTTCGACAGACGGAATCCGCGCAAGATCGGGAACGAGTGGTTGATGAGCGCTTAGACCCATACTCTGGTCGGTTCTTCCCTCGCGAAGCAAGGACCGAGTCGTTGGCAAATTTGATTCGAAATGAGCGCACCATCGAAGAAATCATACGAGCCCGGACATGGGGCATGGTTTCCGAAAAATGCAGTGGCTCTACGCCGTGGCAGGAAGCTCTCGACAGTTGGCGCCATGATCGTCAGAAATAGGTATGGCAGGTCCGTATCTCACTGCACCCGAGATGGTCTGTTGAACCCTCGACCTAGACCTAAGTCTCATCTCCACTTGTACATTACTTTATAGCTATGAATTTCATGGCTTCTGCCGTTCAAATCATGTATAAAATGCATAGCCCACGGTGGATGGATGGCCCTGGCGGTGCTTCATTACGAAAGTAAATCAGGTCTTATACTCAGCATATGATCATATGGCATAGTTTTTGACGCTGACTATGTAAAGAAACATTTTTTTCCAAAATGTGCTTTCCAAAAATACTCCCTTGTAAGCTTATACTTTCAGGCAATGGATATTGGATATAATGCTTTAAGCTATATGCCAAAAAAACGTGACGATCTACTGACTAGCTATAATAAATTCAACAGGCAGATAAAAAGTATATGCCGTCAATTCTCTGTCAATTTTGTCCCTCTATAAAGTCGAAGGTGAACAAACGCAGGGCTATCTCTTATCGGTCTGTTCATTCTGCCAGGTCGGACTCGGAGAAGTCGTCCCCCGCACACTTCGTTTCCACCCTCGCACACAGGTCCTCCATCAGCATCGCCCACCATGCCGCAACCATTGAACTCCAAGGATCAGTCCTTGTTTCGTCAAGTGGTTCGCCACTTTGAGATGAAGCAGTACAAGAAAGGTACGCCCCTCCCGCCCTAAGTTTGCTGCTGTCTAACCACGTCGCTCTTCAATAGGCATCAAAACGGCAGAACAGGTTCTTCGCAAGAACCCTACCCATGGTGACACCCAGGCAATGAAGGCTCTCAACATGAGCCAGATCGGACAATCGGAGGAGGCCTTTGCGCTCGCCAAGGAGGCTCTTCGAAACGACATGAAGTCGCATATCACCTGGCACGTCTATGGGTTGCTGTACCGCCAAGAAAAGAACTACGAGGAGGCCATCAAGGCTTACCGATTTGCTCTGCGCCTTGAGCCCGAATCGCAACCCATTCAACGTGATCTCGCGCTGCTCCAGATGCAGATGCGGGACTACCAGGGATACATTCAGAGCCGCAGTGCCATGCTGCAAGCTCGCCCCGGATTTCGTCAGAACTGGACCGCTCTCGCGATTGCCCACCACTTGGCCGGAGATTTCGAGGAAGCCGAAAAGGTTTTGACGACTTACGAGGACACATTGAAGGGCACAACACCACCTGTCGCCGATATGGAAAACTCAGAGGCTATTCTGTACAAGAACTCGATCATCGCGGAGTCTGGAAACCTCGAGAGAGCTTTGGAGCATCTTGAGGCCGTTGGGTACCGGTGTACCGATGTGCTCGCAGTAATGGAGATGAAGGCGGATTATCTTTTGCGACTGGACCGCAAGGCCGAGGCCGAGGCGGCCTATACAGCACTCCTGGAGCGCAACCCGGACAACTCGATTTATTATAATGGTTTGATCCTGGCCAAGGCCATCCCGGAAACCGATCACAAGGCATTGAAGGCCCTGTACGATGAGTGGGTTCAGAAGAACCCCCGTTGTGACGCTGCTCGTCGCATTCCCCTCGACTTCCTAGAAGGCGAGGAATTCAAGCAGGCCGCGGACGCCTACCTGCAGCGCATGCTGAAAAAGGGCGTTCCTTCATTATTCGTCAACATCAAGCACCTCTATACCAACCCAACCAAGCGTGAAGTTGTACAGGAACTAGTGGAAAGCTACGTCTCTCAGGCAAGCTCGGAGTCCAATGGCTCCGCCGAGTCCAAGGGCGAGAACGAGTTCTTGTCATGCACTTACTACTTCCTAGCTCAACACTATAACTACCACCTCAGCCGCAACCTCGCCAAGGCTATGGAGAATGTTGACAAGGCCATCGAACAGTCACCCAAGGCTGTGGAGTATCAGATGACCAAGGCGCGCATCTGGAAGCACTACGGCAACTCGGCCAAAGCGGCAGAAGAGATGGAGAAGGCTCGCCTGTTGGACGAGAAGGATCGCCACATCAACACCAAGGCTGCCAAGTATGCGCTCCGCAACAATGAAAATGAAAAGGGACTGGATCTCATGAGCAAATTCACTCGCAATGAGACCGTCGGTGGCACATTGGGCGATCTCCACGAGATGCAGTGCACCTGGTTCTTGACCGAGGATGCCGAGGCATTCCTCCGACAGAAGAAGCTTGGCCTTGCCCTGAAGCGCTTCCACTCCGTTTATAACATCTTCGATACCTGGCAAGAAGATCAGTTCGACTTCCACAGCTTCTCTCTCCGCAAGGGTATGATCAGGGCCTACGTGGACATGGTCCGCTGGGAAGACCGCCTGCGTGAACACCCCTTCTACACCAGAATCGCGCTTGGCGCTGTCAAGGCCCACTTGCTTCTCCACGATCAGCCCGATCTTGTCCACGGACCCATGCCCAGTGGTGCCAATGGACTCGATTCTACTGATGAGAATGAGCGAAAGAAGGCCCTCAAGAAGGCCAAGAAAGAGCAGCAACGTTTGGAGAAGATTGAATCTGACAAGCGCGAGGCAAGAAAGGCCGCCGCTGCTAACGCCAAGAGCGTTGATGGCGAAACAAAGAAGGAGGACCCTGACCCTCTGGGCAACACTTTGGTCCAGACCCAGGACCCCCTGAAGGACGTCATGAAGTTCCTGACCCCACTGCTCGAATTCGGCACTAAAAACATTGAGGCCCAATGTCTTGGTTTCGAGGTCTACCTCCGAAAGAGTAAGTTCTAACCACCATGATCCAGATTGGGCTTAAGTACCTGAAAATTAACAAACTCACAGACAAGCACCTCCTTGCCGTCAAATGCCTCTCCGCTGCTCACGCTATTGACCCCTCAAACCCCACTCTTCACCTTCAATTGCTTCGCTTCCGCAAGGCCCTGGACAACCTTTCCGAGCCTCTCCCCGAGCAGGCTGCTGAGGCCGTCAACGCCGAGTTCGAGAAGCTGCTCCCCAAGTCTCAGAAGCTTGAGGAATGGAACGAGTCCTACCTTTCCTCCAACAAAGGGAATGTCGCTCACGTACAGGCCGCCCTCTCCGGACGCCACCTCTTGAAGCCAGAGTCCAAGTTGCAGTGCGAGAAGGAGCTCCTTGCCACCCTTGATGCTCCTGAGATCACTATCGACGAGGCTGTTATTGCCATTGACTTGTTGAACAAGTGGGGCAGTGACAAGACCGCTTACGCTGAGAAGGCCAGCAAGAAGTGGCCCGAGTCTTCCGTCTTCCAGTTGAACTGAACTGATTGGAGGTCGACCATTACATGGCACTCATCTCCCGCAAGTGACATCCAAGCTTCGACGATAACCTACGCAGCGATGGACACACTAGCGAGAAGGATTTGAATATGGAATGTGGCATGTGGAATGAGAAAAAAAGGTGCAAACATAGACAAAGACCGGGGAGAGAGATGATCTTGCAATATACTCCAACTGACTCAAATGTCTGAAAGTATACAAACACAAAAAGGACTCAATGTACCAGTATCTATTTCAAGGTAGTTACCAATCTACCAAGATCAAACAATGTTTCCTTGACAATGTACATTTCTAAATCAACATTGACACAAACATAAAAGCGCCTTTAATGTACAAGCCGAGGGGGGAGTCAGGATATGCAAAAACAACAAAAGAAAACACACAAGCCGTGCTCCAAATGCCAGCGAAGAAAGAAAGAATCCCATCCATGGATCCCATAAACCGTTCTATTAAATGAAACAAAATTTCATACCATCAAGATCAAGGCGAAAATATGTTTGAAACATCTGCTTTTGCCTTTTTTCACTGTCCATCCTCTCCGTCAATGTTACCCAGAATCGGCTTGCGCTTCAGGGCCTCCTCGCTTTCGCCGTAGCCGTAGTCGATCCACATGCGCTTCCAGAAAGGAACGGGAACGGGACGCTCCTCGCCAAGAATATACTCCTGCTGCTCGGCAATGCGCTGAGCACGGCCGTCATCCTCGGGCGAGAGAACGGCACGCTGCATGCGCGAGGCAATGCGGGGATCGAGGACAATGTCGTTGAGCCAGACACGCTCGCCTTCGCCTTCTTCGTGCTTGTGCACGGACTTGTGCCACTCCTTCTCGGCAGCCTCTAGGACGGTCTGTTGCTCGAAGTTGTTCGATGGGAGGTCCGTGAAAGAGCTGTCAGGGGATGGGGTAGAGTCAACACTTGCACCGGTGGTGTCGAAGTCAGGGCTGAGGACATCATCGCGGTATGGCCGGGCATTGGCTGCGAGGACAATGGCAGCAACATCGCGGCCGACGCTATCGGCAAGGTAGCGTTGTGTGAGGAACCGGTAAATTCGGATTGGGGTCTTGAGGAAGCCGAGAATGTGAGGGAATTCGACGGGGATGGAGCTGTCAAAGCTGTGGGGGAGGGTAGAGGGGAGGCTGGCGGACGAGTAGTCGGTGGGAGTGATATATGCGGGCGTAGGACCGACGGGCTTGGGCTTTTCTTCCTTCTCGGTCTCGGCGGCCTCGGGTGTGCCGTCCACGTTGATGCCCTCAACTGTCTCCGGGATCTCTTCGGGAGCTGAGGCAGGGGGTGGAGGTGGTGCGTCCAGCGGTCCGAGCCAACCCTCGTGCAATCCGCGAATATATTCCTTCCAGGTGTGTCTTCCAATCACGAGATCACCCTTGGGGCCGGGTTCATCGGAGATACCGATGCGTTCGCGCGTCTCGGCAACGATGGCCTCGACACCGGTTTCCTCGACGGCTGAGCTTGGCTCACCAGCCTTGCGACGCAGCTTGCGAATGTTCTCCGCCATGCCGGCACGCACGTCTCCCTCCCGTCGTCCTTCAACCACGGTGTAGTCCAACGCGGCGGCGACCAGGATTGGCTTGACGTATTCCTTGAAATGATCTCGGGCCACGCGCAAGCCATCTCCAGGTGGTGCAGCCAGGTAGACCGTCATTTTGCGGCGCATCTGGTCAATGGGTAGGGGATCGTTGGCAAGGTGAGCCACGAGCTCCGACCATTTTTGTTGCGCGCGGCGTTTCTCGCGGCGGTCGTAGATGAGAGCACCCGTGAATGACCCGGTGATTGTGAGAAAGATCATCCAGTTGCGGGAAGGCAGTTTGAAGCGCATGTTGGGCATGCCTGTTTATCGCGAACGTTAGCATCTTCGGCGGACAGAATCTGGGGAACAGCCCTACCCATCATTGCGAACACTGGGTTGGGTGGCTTCGGAGCCGCAGCGGGCTTGCTGGCGCCTGTGGCCGCAGCAGAAGTGGTTGGATCTGCCATTGAAACTTGATATTGGAGAGATTGAATGTTCACTCAAGACACGCAGTAAACCCCGGGACATGCTTGTTCGGGAAAAAAGTTGCCATCGGGGTTATGTTAGTCCGCTCACGTGAGCTATGGACAGACTCCCTCCGGCCGACTTCATCCTGGCCGATGCATGATACTTTCAATGTCGATCAGGCTGTCCTTGAACCCCTGGACTATAAACCCCTGGACTATACTTTTGTGCCTGTAGCTTCGTGGTGCAAGCTATGTGAGATCTGCCCAGTCCAGACTGAAATCCTCACGGCATCCAATACAACGTTCCGAACTCGCACGGAGCCTCGCATTCCTGTACAAGTACACAGTACATGCCCCTCCCCCTGGATTGTGCCATCCTTTGTGTCAGGACTCTACATTTGGAGGGGTGTTTGTTGTGGTATAGAATGTGTGAATATATGCCACAATCACACTGGATGGGGTATAGCTACCCGTAGCCCGTAGACCTTCGACATTGGCAATGAACCATCTCAGGAACTATTTAACCGCCTGCTCGTGTCTCCTAGAAACTCTTTGAAGTATCACAAACTCGCAGACCTTCGCGTTTCAGTTCAAATCGAACAAATCAAGTAAACCCGTCGCCTTGATTGGAGGGGCTAGATTGCCTCCTGAGCCACCGCTTCTTTACTCCCCGCCCTCTTTTCTTTCTTTCTCATCCACCTTTCTTCCCCGTCCTGTCAAGATGGATCCGAATAACAGGAACAACATGAACTACGGGTACAATGACCGTAACTACAATGGCAATTCCAACAACCGTGCCTATCCCACCACTCCCTCCGCGTTTCCCCAGCCCATCTATCAGACTCAGGGGGCTCAGGACTATGTCGATCCCTCTAACCCAGCTTATGCACCGGGATACTTCATGCCTCAGCCCTACCCACCACAGGTGCAGGCGCAGTATGCCCAGCAACAGCAACAGCAACAGCAACAGCAACAGCAACAGCAACAGCAACAGCAACAGCAACAGCAACAGCAACAGCAACAGCAGCAATATGCTCAGCAGCAAGCCTTGCAATCGCCCCAACCCGCCTACCAACAACGCATGGGCTACGCCAATGACGGTACCAATGGCTTGATTCAGCAATTTTCCAACCAGGACCTCAACGCAAACCGAGCAGGCTTTTTCAATCGGGCTGCATCGCCAGCTCAGCGGCCTCGCACCGCTGGTGGTTCTCCAGCCCAGGCCCCAGCCCAGGCTTCACACCTTATTCCTCCAGTGCCCCGCAGCCCTCGACCCCCCTCCGAGAATGAGGAACTGCAACGTTTCCCCGATCGATACTCAGAGAATGTGCACAAGCGGGGTAAGGCCGCGAAGGAGCTGGTGACTGTGTTCTTTCACGAGAACATTGAGCGGGCCCGTGACCGTAACATGCGGTAAGTGTTTACACGCGTGAAGATCTGCTTTGGTCTGACAATTACAGCTCGGCGGAACTCGACAAGACGATTCGTGACCCCAATCTTCCCCTTGACAAGAAGCGCCAGGATGCCGATGTTATCTCAAAAAGAGAATCCGACTTCCTTCGATTCCTACGTACCAAGGAGACTCCGAACAACTTCCAGACTATCAAGATTATTGGAAAGGGCGCCTTTGGTGAGGTCAAGCTCGTGCAGCGCAAGACCGATGGCAAGATCTACGCCCTCAAGTCTTTGATCAAGACGGAAATGTTCAAGAAGGACCAACTGGCTCACGTCCGTGCTGAGCGTGATATTTTGGCGGACTCAAAGGACAACCCTTGGCTGGTGAAGCTACACGCTTCGTTCCAGGACACTGCGTACCTTTATCTGCTGATGGAGTTCTTGCCCGGTGGTGATTTGATGACCATGTTGATCAAGTATGAGATCTTCTCCGAGGATATCACTCGCTTTTACATGGCCGAAGTTGTGATGGCCATAGAAGCTGTACACAAGCTTGGTTTCCTTCACCGGTTAGTGACCCGATGCGCAACCTGTTCAAATACGTACTGACAAGCGGATAGTGACATCAAACCCGACAACATCTTACTTGACCGCGGTGGTCATGTCAAGCTTACCGATTTCGGTCTTTCGACTGGAGGCAAAAAGACCCACGACAACGCTTACTACCAGAACCTTCTCAAAAACTCTACTTCCAAGGACCGGAACCGCAACTCTGGTTACTTTAATGATGCGATTAACCTCACGGTGTCCAACCGTGGGCAGATCAACACCTGGCGAAAGTCCCGTCGTGCGATGGCTTACTCGACTGTTGGAACTCCAGATTATATTGCGCCTGAAATCTTCAACGGCCAAGGATATACCTACCTTTGCGATTGGTGGTCCGTTGGTGCTATCATGTTCGAATGTCTGGTTGGCTGGCCTCCTTTCTGTGCTGAGGACACAACCGACACCTACCGGAAGATCGTCAACTGGAGAGAGTGCTTGTACTTCCCTGATGAGCTGGTTCTCTCGCGTGATTCCGAATCCTTGATCCGAAGGTAAGTTTTTTTTCCGAGGAAAAGATACCGGAATGTGTGTTAATATTTATAGCTTCCTTTGTGACCCCGACCACCGTATCGGCAGCGACGGTGGCCAGCATGGAGGAGCCTCACAGATCAAGAACCACCCCTTCTTCCGGGGAGTTGTCTGGGACCAACTGCGGAGCATTCGCGCTCCCTTCGAGCCCCGCCTCAGCTCCAACATCGATGTTTCATACTTCCCCATTGATGAGATTCCTCAGGAAGATACCAGCGCCATCCACCGTGCCCAGGCTCGTGCCATGCCGGACTCACAGGAAGCCGAGATGAGTTTGCCATTCATTGGTTACACCTACAAGGCTTTCAATGCCTTCCAAAGTAACTAGGCTTGCACATAATCCGAGAGTGATCGACTGGTGCTGGAAGATTTTAGGAAGCAGGCTGGGCTTGCATCCGTTTTTCAAGCATCCTGTCTTGTCGATCAGAGATATACTCGGTTTTGTTTTCATCTCTACACATTATCATTGAGCATATCAGCGCGAGGTTTTCCTGAATCATGACCCACTTTGGTTTCACTTGTTGATATCTAACGCCCTGCATTTTTCTTTCGAGGCTCGCATACTATTTTTCGGGGGTATCCTGCTAAGAGCAGTTCCTAGCTAGCGTTGATCTACAATGATAGGGTCCCCCGAGAGAACAAAGGGACTCTATTTTTAGGCGATATCCTGTTATTGTAGTGACTGTAGCCCCTGCGATCAGACTATGCCTACATGTAATATAAAGCAAGGATTTGAAGCCAGGAATAGGAACATGACTTCTCAAAACCTGGTCGTACAAGCAATGTTTTGGAAATATCTTGAAAGTATCCTTGATGGCATGGCCATCGTAAGTAGAATATCAATTGCCATAAAAGCCAATCGCTCGAGGTAAAAATTATGCACATGGAACCCCCAAACGCCTGGTCCTAATTCCCACCATAGAGATAGAGACAACGATCTTTTGTTGCCGAAGAGACAGTAGATAGCGAAGAAAAGAAATCAATCAATCCCGCATAGGCGCCAAACCAGGCACACCACTGAACCGCTCCTCACGCTCAGTCTTAAACATAATCTGCACCCAGAATTCCTTACTATCCTCATCAAACCAAGTCCAATACCGATCCTCGCGACGATCAATCTCCTTAGCCTGCAACTTGAACCCACAGCTCTGGTACGGCTCGGCCGCCACAACCAGATACTGATAATGACTATCAGGCTCCTCAATCTTCTGCTCAAAAGCAGACATGATACGGACACGGGGCACAACACCAGGTGTAATTTCCTGGTACTGCAACTGGAACAGCAAACCAAGCTGGCGGGTCAGGGGATCCTGAATCTTGGTGATTTTGTATCCGGGCCGGCCAATCTTGATCATCTGCTTCTTGACCTGCACGCCCATGACACCGGGCAGAGATGAAGGGTCCTGGTTCCGGCCTTCGCGCTGCTCGCGCGCGGCTCGGCGGGCGAGGTTCGTTTGGTGCTTTTTGCCTTGAGTGTGTGCCAGGTACGAGCCGTCATTTTGGTGGACTGTCAGGCAGAGTCGACATTCGAAGCTGCCTACGTGGTTCTTGAAGAAGTATGGGTCTTTGTCGAGATCGATTGATTCGAGCGCGAGCTTGCGCAGTCGCTCGCGACGGTCGGCGTTGGTTGCGGATTGGGAGGCGACGCCGCCGCCGCCGAATTTGGAGCCTGCGCGGTTCTGGTGTGGGTGTCAGCATGATATTTGCTGGGATGGGATAGCGGATGCATTTCACTGCTCTGGGTATTCAAGCGTGACTTACCTGGTAATCCATGATGTCGGCGCAGTCTTAAGAAAGTTGATGAAGATCAAATCGGCCCAGCTTCGAAGGGCCTGGAGATTAGGTAAGCGGGTCTTTTCCATCCATGGATATCACAGTAGAAAGCGGACTCTCCTAAACAAAAAGAGACCTCGGGTCTGCTAGAACTATGAGTGCCTCAATTGTAGGCCAACGTCGGTCATTCGATGGCCACTTGTGTACCATTCGCTACGTGGGCACTGTTCAAGGCACCACAGGCGACTGGTTGGGCGTTGAGTGGGACGACGCAATTCGGGGCAAGCATTCAGGAGAGCATAAAGGGATCAGATATTTCTCATGTAAGTTGGTATGACTTTATACAAAACAATTTGGCTAACTCGGTCTCAGGCAAAAGCAACAAGCCTACAGCGGGGTCTTTTGTTCGCCCCTCCAGGCCATCAGATCAACCCCGGAGCTTCCTTGAAGCTTTGAGGGAGAAGTACGCTTCTGAGTTTGAAGATCTCTCTTGCTTGAATATCAGCGAAGCATCTCGCAAGAAGGCAATTCAAATCAGCGGAAAAGTCGTTGAAGAAGTCGGCTTCGACAAGATCCGCAAGCAACTCGCGGAATTGAAAGAGCTGCGCATTGTCCTACTCGATGGCCTCCTAATTGCTGGCGTACTTCCATCCTATGACCAGGTACAGGATCAAGATGCAGCCCAAAAAATTGCAGAGACTTGTCCCAAGATCATTGAATTGGATCTCAGTCGAAGTTTGTTGAGCCGGTGGCGCGATGTTTGGGAGATTTGCAACCAACTTAAGCACCTGAAACGGTTGAAGTTGAAGTAAGTAATACCTTTATCATGTTAGTTCTTAGTATATCTAACCATACTATAGTGGAAACCGATTCCAAGCTTTGAATGATCTGATCTTTGAGGGGGTCACTGAACTACATCTAGAAGACACGCTGCTAAATTGGGATGAAGTATGCACCCCGCTCATCTATACAGGTCATGAGCTGACTATTGAAGATTGCTGCTGTCGCATCGCAATTCCCCGGCCTTACATCTCTCACGGCATCAGCAAATCAGCTCTCTGAGATAACCCGCCCACTCCCCAACACCATCACCACCTTGACCTTAGAGCACAACGAATTCACCTCAATATCAGCTCTCAGACATCTCGCCGCTCTCCCGAATCTGGAGCATCTCTCCGTCCGAGGAAGTGCTATTGACACCGTGAATAATGACACAACCCCCCTGGACTTCCAATTCCCCCAAACTCTCCGCTCCCTCGATCTATCCCGCAACAAAATAACCTCATGGACCTTCCTCAACCAACTCCCAACCCTCTTCCCAGGCCTAACAACCCTCCGAATCTCCGACAACCCCCTTTTCGACCAACCAACCCTCCCACAAACCATCACAGCAACAGAACCCTCAAAACCAATGACACTCGACGAAGCCTTCATGCTAACCCTCTCCCGCTTCCCGTCATCACTCACAACCCTAAACTACAGCATCATAAAACCAACCGACCGCTCAAACGCAGAGATGTACTATCTCTCCCTAATCGGCAAAGAACTTTCCGCAACAAGCGAAGCAGAAGAACCCGCCATCCTATCCACACACCCGCGCTACAGCGAGCTATGCGAATTATACACCGAACCTACCATCACCAGAGCTGTCATCTCTTCTTCCGGTTCAAGGGTCATCCACCCGCGCTCTGTAGCAGCACGATTGGTCAAAATGGCATTCCGTCTTTCCAAGAATAAGGAGGATATATCAGAAGTCCGCGTGAAAGAGATTCCTGGCTCTTTCGATACATACCAGGTCAAAGCTCTTGTCTCGCGGCTTTTTGGGCTTCCGGCGTTTGGGTTCAAGCTTGTTTGGCAGACGGATGAGTGGGATCCTGTTGAGAAAGAGAATGTCGAGGCCGTTGATTGGGATGACAGTGAAGATGAGGCTTTGGATGAGCAGGACATTGTTCTTCCGAAGCACGGTGGCCCTGATAGTGGGTTTGTGCGGCGGGAGGTTGAGTTGGTTGATTCGACAAGGGATATTGGGTTTCTGTTTCAGGGTGAAGAGGGAGAAGTTAGGGTTCGAGTTGAAGTGCCCTTCGAATCTACTTTTACGTCTTGATGAAGCATTTTCTACCTCTCCAACTGCATCTACACCTACATCTACGACAAATAAATGCACAGTATCAGAATATTTGACTCTTTTTTTGGCTGTTCGAAGTAACACATCTAGCCGTAGCTTAGACCTGTTACAGGGTATGGAACTCAGGCAAGATACAAAAATATTCACACAAGCAGGTGGAAGAAAAGGCCGATAAACGCCAAGGTGCTTTATTCGCTGCCCAGTCCCCCTAACCCCGATAGAAGCAAAATCGGAAACGGAAATTGAACCGTATCATTCGGTAGAAAAAAAACGTAACGCCTAAACCATGATGCTTTTTTCGCAAAAGAACAAGATATGAGCCCTGCAAGGCAGGAGCTGGATCGAATGTGTAACAACCGTAGCGGGGAAACACTTATGCAAAAGAGGATAGAAGAATAATGGTGATGGCAGGTAATCAATTACCCACGGGCAACCCACCACGAGCGAACTGCCATACAGCACACCCGCTTGTAGATTTGTGTTGTGCCCTTGCCCTCGGCTTCTTCTTCGAGGAACTTTTGCGCAACGAAGAGTTTGGTTCCTGCCTCTTTCTCGGTGGTGTAGCCGACCTTGGGCAAGCTGTTGGGGAAATCGGCCCAGCGCTGTCCAAGGTGACGTGCGACGGTGATGGAGTAGATGATGTCGCGGTTTTCATATGTATCCAACAATTGACGGCACCGACTCAGCGTGTCATCGATCTGCTTGGCCGAGCTTGCTTCATTGTCATAAAGCGTGAGGAATTCTCCGACCTGATCCCAGAAATCTAATTGGCGGCTCTGGAACTGATCCGGGCTGTTTGGGGGGTTGGCGGCATCCATGACGAGCTCCCGGGATAGGGGGTTTGAGTCCAGGTGGTTCCATGTGAGCAAGGCCTCGACGACGTTCAGCCGAGCGCATGCCACGCATAGGTTCCAGTCACGCCCGTGCTGTCCACTTTCTCCATCAGGCACCTGGCGACACAACGCCATACTCTTCCAGATAATAGAAGCCTCGAAGCTTTCTAGGCGAGCAAGTGTCTCGCCATCTTGAAGGTTCCATTCGTTGAAAGCATCAATCAACGCCGAATAATCAGCCATAAGCTGGGAGTCGGCCATGAGGAACGAAAGTGCCTTTTCTGAGTACCAACGAATTTCGAGAAGTTTGTCGATAGCAGGTGCATATGTAGCCAGGAAGACAGCCTGGATTTCTTCGAGACGACCAGGGGGTAGAGTTGTGACAGGGTGAGGGGGAGGAGGGGCAATTCCCCTCAGGGAGAAGAGGTCGTTGACATGGAGGTTTTTGGCTAGAATCAGCCGTTAGCTCACATCGAACCTGCAGGGGTCAGGCAAAACTCACCTTTGTATGAGGGCTCGCCCTGGGGACGTTGCACGGCGTTCTGCATGTCTGTATGATTTGTTTGGTCCAACGAAGGATCAAGGGTAGCTCCGTGCTCGTGGTGATCGGTAGAGGCCGAGGGTGACTCGGAGTGGAGAGAGGGCGCAAATGGTTGGGAAGAAGCGGGCATGTACCCTGGGGGCGCGGAAGGATAGGAAGGCGTTGTTGGTATGGTAGAAGGGCCCTGAGGGTTGACAACCAGCGAAGGAGGAGGATTAGGAGCTGGTTGGATAGCTGAAGGAGTTGATGCTTGGGTCCTAAACACAGGATCGTAGCCCAAACACTCGCGTTTGCTTTTGACGCAATTTCTGCACACGGGATGGGCTTCGTCGCACTGAAGAGAATTCAAGTTAGAGATGTCAAAGAAAAAAATGAGAGGCGCAAAAAGGCGAGTTGAGGTGGATTTGACAAAATCGAGGGCGGGGTGCGGGCACAAGCGAGACTCCGCCCCGCGAACTACAAACTTGCGAACTTGCGACTCACCTTGATTCTGCGTTTGCGACAGGTTAAACAGCCTGTTTTCGTGCGTCGCTTGACTTCTTTCTTGTGTCTATTGCCTGATAGCATCTTGTTAGGGTCCCCGGGTAGCTGGTACCGCATCTGCGCATTGCCCTGCCCCATGTTGGAGGGATATCCAGTCATGTAGCCCATGGATGCCATAGGAGGCATGTTGTTTGGGAGAGGTGATCCAATCGGTGCTTGAGGTACCTGTCCCTGGCCAGGGTTGTGGTACATGTCGGTGTTTTGGTAATGCTGAGGCTGTGCTTGAAACTGGTGCTGGGAATGCGCCTGTGAGGGCTGCTGTCCTTGAGGTTGAGCAGGACTGTGCGCATATTGATATGTGCCATTAGGCGGCTGGTAATGACCGCTATTTGTCTCGTGCTGATTCGTCTCGTGTCCAGTGTCCGGAAGACCCGAATGGGAATCGTGATGGTCCAGGTGGCTGTCGTCAAAGGAATGATCTCCATCCATTGTTGGAATATCGGTTCCAATAGCTGGTAAAGAGTGATCGAGCGAGGGCAAAGTTGTATCGATTGCTGGTAGTGATAGATCTTGGGCGCCAGATGAGCCGATTGGAGGTAATTCATCGAAGGAGTGCAATTCCGCATCGTCAAATCCATGCGATGTTTCCAGAGCCGGGAGGGACGAATCTATCGCAGGAAGCGATGATTCGATCGACGGCAATGTGACATCAGGCGCTGGCGCTTGAGCTGGCTGGCTGGCTTGTTCCGGGGGTTGATCTGTATTCACTGTTTCGGATGGACCTGTGGACGGGGCTGGTTCTGCGGGTTGTTCGAATGACGGTGGTAGTTCTTCACTTGGCTCTGCATAATGATTCGGTTCTGCCGAATGTGGCTCGCTTTGCGCTGGTGGTTGGGCTGCCTCCGCTGGCGCATTCGGTTCGGTCGGGGGGTTGGCCGATTCACCGGGAGGGACGCTTGAGTCCGTCGGCTCCGCCATGTTGAGCTTCGCAGCCTCCCAAAGAATAATGTAATTTCGTGGTTACGATCGGATAGAATGGTTGGGTCAAATTTGACAAGTAGACTCGAGGGTGACGACTCGAGGAAGGGTCGAGATTTCGAGGTCAAAGGTCGTCTGGTTTGTCGCTGAGCGAGAAATTCAAACCAGATCGGTCGAAGTGAGAGTTGGAAATCATTTATTCACTCGAACTGTGGGGTTCAGTATTGATTAGCCAATGTTCATTTGGTCAACAATGCCAGCGTTGAATCCCGCAACGAAGCACAACAATTTCCGACAAGAGAAGAAGCAGTGCCAGCCAAGGGAGCACAGCTAAAGAGCGACTCTTTGAACTGATTTTCTCTCTGCGCCGTGTCTCGTGTGGTAAAGATCCAATCAAGCCCAATCGACGGTGCAGACCATATGCAGGACAAAGTCCCAAGCGCAAGTGTAAAGACTCGGCGATATTGACCATAATAAAGACAATATGACACCCGCCTGAGCCACACGTTCAAGTATCCCGCTAGTCGGTCGAGTTTTGGTCCTTCGCATTCGAGATTTGGTCTGCCTCGAATCCAACGGCCTCTGCTCACAGCCCCCGCACAGTCTCGGGAAATGTCGCGAGGTAGATTTCAGACTTCAATGGCCTGTTTCAACGACAGAAATACCGAACAGCTTGTGGGACAGGGTGGTGTGAGGCTCCGGCGCGAGAGAGAATGGGTGCGCATGTCGACAACGACCAGGTGGATTGGCAGGACTGCGGGGGTGATGACAGTGAATTGCAAAGACTTACCAGGGCAATGTATTAATATTATAAGAACAAACCAAGCACTCGTAGCTGACAGTGCTGATCTGGTGGAGGTCAGGAAAAGCGCGAAAGAGGCTAAAGGAGCTTTCCTTTCCGGCGATGAAACTCTCCGCTCTTGCGATCGAGAAAAAAAATTATAGTGGCAACACCGCTTTTACCCCAACTTCATGCAGTGTTGATTATTTACTCGGTTTTGAATGCATTCCTGTTTCATCTTGGTTTCTTCTATTCTTATTATGTTCATTTTTAGACTTAAATGGCATTTTAATTGCATTTCAAGTATTGCCCTGTTATTCTGCTGCCCGTTTGATCTGTGGAAGCTGTGTATTGTCCTTCGATATCACAATATTGGTGCAATATCACAGATTCAAGGATTCACCCTTTCAGTCGATCTGTTCCTCGCTATAAGAAAGTGTTGTGACACCAAAATCACACTATTAAGAACACACTGTCATAAAGATTGACCCCTGGTAGTCACTTTGACTGGAGATCATATGATTGTTGCCAGGGTTTCACATCTAAATCGTCCTGTGGCTTCAGTCAAGTCCGCCAGCAGGAATAATTCATTGGTCAGTCTCGCTTTGTCTGGTACTTGAAACCAGTAGCAGGACTGTGGGCTATAGATCAATGGTACAGTCCAAATTCCATAGTTGATGATTGAGGGCGAGGGCAGGGACGGGTTTGTAAACTTGACAAAATGGGTTTAGCAAATTGCATCCTCTTTGAGACCATCATTTCCTCATTGTTTTAGGCTTGCGCTTCTTGAAAACAACTCCAGGTGTAGCGTCTTCGGTTTGTGGTTTCTCTTCTGTTGGTTCTGCAACCTGCAAAGGTTCCTCGGTCTTCACCTCGGTCTTCACCTCGGTCGCGGATTTCTCTTGAGTCTCCAGCTTGGTAGGCTCGTCTTCATTCTTAACAGACTTAGCAGTAGCATCGGCTTCTCCAGTGGTAGTATACTGTCCATCTAGTTCAACCTTTGGCGTGAAAGTTTTCGTTTTCTTGATGTCTTTAGTGGATGCAAACAGGTCATCCAGGTCCTCGTCATCCTGCGCGCCGGGATATTGCTTCGTCCTCGACCCCCAGCCCTTGTTCACGATTGGTTCTGGGGCATGTTCGTCCTCCTCCTCTTCCTCACCTTCGTGTTTGCGCTTGCGCACTCCAACTGACTTTGTAGGTCCATCTATTCCCTGCGTAGGCTCGATCTTTGTCTCGGACAAGGTCTGCCATTCTCCGGCCAAGGCCATGTCGCGGCGGAATTCTTCAGGAACAGCGACTCCCATTTCTGCGAGCTGTGCGATCTGTTTCTTTCGCTCCTCTAATGTAGCAGGGCGTTCTGCAGCCTTTGGCGCTGGCTGTGCGTTTCGTTTCCATGGTGGTGCGGCGTCCTTGTCCGACGCGGATCCGCCGCCGACAGCCTGTCGCAAGCGCTCAACTTCGCTTTTCGCGCGTTGTGAGTCTCTCTGTTGTTGTTCATTGTCCTTGTGGATTTGTCTGAGGAAGCGCTTGAGGCTGCCTTGATGTTTAGGGCTTGCTTCGTGTTGGGTCTTTTCGAAAGGTGTGTCGCGAATGAAGATCTTGCACTGTTTGCACCAGTGACATGGCTGTGGCCTTGTTAGCAAATACAAATAAGACAGCGATTAGTTAAAACTTACTGCTGATTTCCAATGTTCAGCCATGGCGGATTGTTGGTGAAAGTCAAGAAAAGATGGAGTGAGGTCTGATAAGATGGGAAGCTCCCAGTCTAGTCCCAAAGAGGGGAACCCCATGCCTTGTTAGGCTGTCAAGTCGTTGAACTACAACATCTCAACCTAGTATCACTCTATGTCTCTCAGAATCTTTATAATGTAGGGCATTCAGTCTAGCGATTGCATGCTAGAATACACAAGGTGGGCTCTCAAACTACATAATACCCCCAGGTCTATGAAAAACTTAACATAAAGTCTGGTCATCTATGGCAATGTTATACGTTTAGACAAATCAGAGTTATGTTTTCAAGCTCTACCATTTCCTATGCAGGGCTCGTGGGGTTATTCCAGCTTTTAGTGTCAAAAAGGTGAATCCAAAAGAACTATTACTGTATGCATCGACGTATCTAAGCTTCTGCAACCCCGTGGTATCTACAGATCAGCCTGTTCTGGAACCGGGCTCTTCAGCTTCCCAAATTGGATAGCCATGCTGATATTCTCAATAGCCCACTCTTCCATAGCGAGAAGGGTCTACCATAGTTAGCTTATGGCAACATCACAGAAATAGAAACATTAGATACTCACCTCACTAGTCCAAGTGCCCATATGAGGCACAAGCATCACATTCTGGTTGCTAAGAAGACCAGGGTGAATTGTAGGCTCCTCTTCGAACACATCGAGACCAGCTGAAAACACCTTGCCACTATCGAGGGCCTCAACCAAGGCAGCCTCATCCATGACAGCCCCACGAGCGGTGTTAACAACAACGACACCATCTTTCATCTTGGCGAGTTCGGCTCTGCTGATAATATGGCGAGTGTTTTTCTTCTATCGTCAGCATCACATATCTCAACCACAACTTCGACAACAACTTACATTCAACGGCAAGTTCAAACTGATCACATCACTGGAAGACAAAAGCACATCAAACGGCACATATTCAGCCCCATCAGACAGTTCATCGCTCAACTTGCGGCGATTATGGTAAACAACGTTCATCCCAAAGGCCTCAGCCTTCTTCTTCAGGTTGCGCCCAATACCACCCATTCCCAAAATACCAAGGACTTTTCCTTGAGGGTCATGACCGAGAGGTGGTGCAGGCTTTCCACGCCACCTTCCCTGGCGAAGGGCGTTCATGCCGGTGTTGAAGTTGCGCAGTGCGCCCAGAATCAGGAACATGTTTATATCGGCCGTGGCATCATCCACTGCGGTTGGGACATTGGAAACCCGGATTGGAGGGTTGCGGGTGCTGCATGCATGGACATCGATTTGGTCATATCCCGCTCCTGTAGAGGTACTAGATTAGCTTGTCCTTTGACAATTGTCTATAGAAGACGTACCACAATGCGCAATATATTTGAGCGAGCTTGGCAGTATATTCACAAGTTCTTCATCAACAAGCCCTGTCATCTTTCCGGAGAAGAACGTCCGATAGACCGCGACAACACCATCTAATTTGCCGTCTTTGCATTCTTGGATGAACTCTGCGCGGTTGGTTGCTATTGGCTCGACTAGGTCTGCTACTTCACCCAATGCGGTCCAGGCTGTAGAAGCACTGTTCCCGGGTTAGTAGGGAGTTATCAGTTCTGGGTGAGAAGTAGACGTACTGGTCAACACTTCCAAGGAGGAGAACTTTGGGCTTAGCACCGGTAGAGCTCATTGTGATTTTGCAGGGTTCTGTATGCAAGAAGACAATCAGTGAATCGAGGATGTAGAACGATGTAATATCGTTTTCATTCAACGCCCTCTGGATTGCCTCTCAATCATCCAATAACAAAATTTCAGGTGGAACTACCTGAGGCGCCTTTTCTTAATATGTCTCAACTCAGCGGAATATTATGCAAGTGATGCTTGTTTAGTTAGCCCGGTGAATTACCGAGAGAAGAACCGTCAATGGACGAGAAGGAAGACCAACTAAATGAACCATCGAAGAATAAGAAAGAAACCTATTGATAAGAGACATGAGCATCGGCCGAGAAATGTCCCCCGCCAGACTTATCGGCTTTCCCCGACGAACCTTAGATGACTTCGGAAAGTCGTCCGAGCTAAAGTCTTCCTAGATAGAGAAGTGCTATGCGGTTGCATGCGGAGTTTATCGGAAATACAATTTGATAGCTCTTTGGTGGCCCAATGGGGTTAGATATAGATTCGAATGCTGTTCAATTATACATAGAGCGAGCCAAACAACTTCAAGACCCTTCAACTAATACACGAGTCCAGTCGAACTTCCTCCATCGCTTTCTGAAACCGTCAATTCGGCGGTCACCACGGTTCCAGCGTCCCTGTCGCTTGATAACGTCCGGCGCAACATCCAGCATACCACCGATGATCTCTCGAGCAAAGAGATCACCCCGGGGCCAGCGAGAATCATCTTCCACAATATGGCCCAGGCCACCATCGAGTTCGAACCAGACGTGGAAATATGGCATCTCCTTAACTAGGCTTCGGCGGAATGCAGACCGGCCCATTCCTTGCTTTGATTTGGCCAGGGTATCAATAAGCTTGCGATGCTGCGACCATTCTGACTCTGCGCTGAGGATCGCCTCTTTGAAAAACGCGGGAGACGTTTCTCCAAGGCTGTAGGGCAATGGAACCACTTCCATAGATGCGTGTCGTTTGCGTTGTGGCTGGGCTGCGTTCTCGTAGAAGATTACATCGCGACCTTGGTCGTGGTACATGCGTGTGAGACTCTTCATGAAGTTGCGGATTTCTTCCCACTCATCGTCATCGCACTCCAATAGGTTAGTGCGATGTTGAATTGGTACGATGGTAGCACCGCCTTCGCTGATCTCGGGTTCGGTGGGAAGTGTGAGGAAGACTCTTGTCGCAAGGGACACCACTGGGGCAACTGGGGGTGTGCCCTTGTCTTCATTGTGACAAAGTGGGCAGTTGTCCAAGATCCGGTTCATCTTGTGGAAGTCGTTGATAGTCGTGTTTTTGAGGTCAATTTCAGATCGATGCATCCGCTTGGCGAGCTTGGACGCATTGTCATCCATGTACTCCAGGTCATTCTACAATTGGGTTAGTATGATAGGCGCAAAGAAAAGTAATAGACATACCTCGAACTTAGCATCGCGGCCGATTCGCTCTGCCAATCGTTGTCCTTCTCCGCCAGGTTGGCCACGGGTCTTGCGCTCTTCACGAACCATATCCTCGATACTCATGTCTTCGTTTGCTTCCACTTGGCCTCTTTCGCGGCCTCTCTTGGTGTCAATTGACTTAACCTCGTTCCTTGAGCCTGCCAACATTCGGTTCTCCATAACGCCAAGAACCACAACATCAGATTCTTTGCGGTTCGACATTGCCGCAGCCGCAGCATTGTATTTATTTTCAAGTTCGGGAGCTTCTGGACCACCCTTGAGCTTCGCCTTCATCATCTGAGCTTTCATGCGGTTCAATGCAGTCATATCAAGGGGCCTGGTTGTATTTGAAGGAGGCACGGTATCCATTTTCTTGCCTTGGCCCTCCGCTTGGAGCTCTTGCTCGGGATCACGGACATGCTCAAGAGGGCCTCGTTTAGCATCGATCTGAAGCTTTCTCTCTTGGAACAGTTCCCCGCTAGGCTTGTCCTTGCCAACGTAGGATTTGCCGTATGTTTTGCGACGTTCAACCTCGGTTTCTTCTTCCCGGGCGTCATCGAATGACCTGAGATCGCCAAACCGCTCAACAGCAATCTCATCTAAAGGTCGTCCGCTTTCCTCCGCCTCTCTGTACACTCCTTTAAGCTTCGTCATCCTCCACTGTGAGCCCGAGTCTCCAAAAGTGTAGTCGACCTCATGCTGGGCAGGCTCGTCCTCTATCTCCTCAACGGTCTTTCCGTCCGCGAGATCCCGTAGATGTTGATTCATCTCTTTGTTGTGGATCTTCAACTCATAGTCTGCTGAGAGCATTTTCGGTTTGTCTTCCACCTTTTGCGTATGATCTGGCCGACGAACGTATTCAACGTCAAGGGCGGAAGGAGCTTCCATCCAGGAGTCCCGCTTTAAGCTACTAGGTCCTTCCTGGACCACTGATTTGGCAGCAGAAGGCTCTCCCTCCTTGGATCGGTGTCGGCGCTTATGGTCGTGTTCGTCGCCTTGGTCGGTAGAATGACGCGAACGCTTGTGTCGGTGGCCATCATCGTCACGGTGCCGCGGCTCACGGCTTCGATCGCTGCCACGTTCCCGCGATCTCGAAGAATGTCGCCGATGATGGGATGAATAGTGAGAGCGGTGATGCCTCGAGCGGTCTTTGCTGTGGTCGCGGTCGCGGTCGCGGTCATCTCGATGGCGTCGCTCTCGATCGCTTCTTTCGTGTCGCCGGTCCCTACCCTCGGCCAATGACTTTTCAAAGTCTTCTAAAGTCATGGTGCTGGTGTGGAAAGGGGATGAAGCTAAGCAAAAAGCTGTGTTGGAATGACGTTTAAAGTGCCGGGCGGTCCACGCGCAGATCTTCCCCGCGACAAAAAGATTTCAGCAAAAAAAGAGCTTATCGTTCTTCACTTGCGCATCTCCGACACTTCCATCACACGTCTGCATTTTAACAGATATTGTATCACGACTGTTTTTATCGGGTCTTTCTACGTCAAATCCCATCAACATGCCGTCTCCAGTGTCCGTGGTCTGCGTGGGCATGGCAGGTTAGATGCAATTGCCCTTGACCAATTAACCTGCTAAGATCTAACCATTTTCAATGCAACAGGCTCAGGAAAGACGACATTTATGCAGAGAATCAACTCCCATCTTCACGAAAAGAATACGGTGCCATATGTCCTCAACCTCGACCCCGCGGTGCACTCTGTGCCCTTTGATAGCAACATTGATATCCGGGACTCGATCAACTACAAAGAAGTGATGAAGCAGTATAACCTTGGTCCCAATGGAGGTATTCTGACCTCTCTCAACCTCTTCGCCACCAAGGTCGACCAAATCATCTCTCTCCTCGAAAAGCGCACGGCTCCGAACCCCGAAAACCCTTCCGCAAAGCCCATCGAACACATTCTGGTCGACACCCCTGGCCAAATTGAAGTTTTCGTCTGGAGTGCCTCGGGTAGCATTCTTCTCGAGACTCTCGCGTCATCATTCCCCACAGTCATCGCCTATATCATCGACACACCCCGTGCCAGCTCTACCAGTACCTTTATGAGCAACATGCTTTACGCATGCAGTATCTTGTACAAGACCAAACTACCTATGATTCTGGTCTTCAACAAAACTGATGTTAAGGACGCTGAATTCGCCAAAGAATGGATGACAGACTTTGATATATTCCAGCAGGCTTTGCGACAGGAAGAGGAATCTGGAGCCTTCGGAACCGAAGGTGGTGCTGGTGGCTTCGGCTCTGGCAGTGGATACATGGGATCTTTGCTGAACAGCATGAGTCTGATGCTGGAGGAGTTCTACCGCCACTTAAGTGTTGTTGGAGTCAGCTCCATGACCGGCGACGGTGTTGACGAGTTCTTTGAGGCCGTGGAGACCAAGCGCCAGGAATTTGAGCGTGATTACAAGCCCGAGCTTGAGCGTAAAAAGAAGGAGCGGGAAGAGCAGAAGGAATCCCAGCGAGAGCTTGAACTTGGAAAGCTAATGAAGGATATGAGCGTCTCTGGATCTAGCGCACGCACACAGAAGGGCCCTAGCCACGAGCCTGAGACTGTCAGTGAGGCTGAGGATGATGAAGACAATATCATCAAGCGCGGTCTGGCTGATGGCGAGGCTGATAGCGATTATGAAGACTACGAGGGAGCTGATGCGGGCAACGATGAGGGTCTCTCCCAGCGTTACAAGGAGGCACTTTCTGGCTCTCAGAGCGCCCCTTCAAACCAGGACAACAGCTTCACAAGATATTTGCGCGCAAGTCAAATGGGTCAGTGAACAACCAGTCTCACGCAAAACAGAAGGCACGTTTAATGGGTTATCGATCTCATGGGCTTTTTCTATCTTTAGGCGTTTGTGGTCTTAAGAGGCGCTCTTCCTTGCATTTAAAACCATTCTATATATTTCATCAATCAAAAATACTTGATAGTTTTCCTTGTCATCGTAATTGGAGAATGAATCTAGTGCAAACAGGACAAACGGGATGTTTGATCTGACGTCACTTACATATAATGCTTCAGCCTTGCGAAGCTTCTCTTCTTGGTATTTACCTCAATCCCCTCAAGCTTCAAAGTTCTTGGAAAACTCAGCAAACTGTGCAAAATGGATGTGAGTCAATACTGTGCAGTTCAAGTTATACAAGACAGGCTTTGAATGAACAGGAACTAAAGACTGAAAGGTGTTTCACGCCTACACGTACTCGACGGCTGCATGGCTGTCGCTTCAAAGCCTACCCTTGATTGCTGGACCAAGCATGATAGTATCCATGCTACTGGATGAGACTCGACCCGCATCCTGTACGTCATCCAGAACTGTCCGAATGATGTCCATGTCATATCACAACGTTCATGTCAAAAGCCATTCTTGATCTATGTTAACCTTTTGCGCCATCAGCTATGGAGATCTACTTCGCCCGATGCCTCGGCCTCAGTCTTTTCACGATCACCGTCCTGACTGTGATGTTGACCGGTTCAATCCCTTTAACCTCTGATATCAAGGACTCTGTTGCGGCAGACGAGGATGACCCCAAGGCTCCATACGCCGTGCCAACTCTCATGGTGACGTCTGTTTACCACGCCGTGTGTGCATTCTATGCCTATACTTGGTATGTCGGCGGTGGACAGGGCGTTTTTGCCATTGCTGTGGCTGGGTCTTCGGGCCTTGCGGCTGTTGGGCTATGGTGTATGCTCTTTGCCAGCAGCAATGGCAAGATTAGTCGTCGCACAGGCGCAGACAAGAGAACGACAGGATTCCCTTTCAAGAACTCAGAGGCGGCGAAGAAACATGCAGGCAAGAAGGGCCTGTAGGCTTAGATTGAGCGGAGCCACCTATTGCTCTCAGCTATATTTGACTTTTACATTGAACGTGCAATAGCACGAAACAGATAGGCAATAATTGTATTCAAGCTCAAAGTCCAGAGTTGTCTCACAGTCGTTATGTGGTTATTTGCTTAGAGCAGCACGGAATGATCCGAGCTTTCCCCCACACCCAGCAACTCAGCAACTCCAACCCTCAAAAGCAGCATGCCGCTCCACCTTTCCAGGGACGAGATAGTCGCCCGCATGGCAATGTCCATGAACAACTCGCCCCTGAACAATCTTTTTGAGCCATTCCAGTACCGCCCCGATGTCGACCCCAACGCGACACGTCCCCACAGCTTCATCCGCCCTCAGCACGGCGCGGTGAATCATTTCCTAAGCACAACCCCAACCCACCATCAATCGCATGCCGATCGCCATGGAGCCAGCGCGGGCGCTACTCCACATTTACAACCGCAAGGCCAAGCCCCGGCTCGCATGAGCTTACAGCAATCGCGCGACTTCAACAATGGAATTGATGATAGCGCGCATCTAGCACAGATGCGAGAAGCCTTGCAGGACTCTCCCGCTGGGCAAATGATGCCACCGACAACACTATCGCAAAGCGTACTTGGGGTTGGGAATCCCAGTCCCAATGGCGCGCACTCGACGCAGAATAATAATGGACTGGTGATGCTCGAGTCACCGTCTCAATCATTTCAACCGGAATTTATAGCGCTAGATGTTGAGCCTATTGGACCGGTATCTTTCAGCACGACTTCTGAAGAAGCCGGTATGAAGATTGTTCCGGATGCTCCTAATCTGGAGTATTGGCGAAACAAGCTATTTAATGTTGATGAAATGATTACGTTGAGCGAGGAGGAGTATGGTCTTCAATGCGCGCCATGTATGGATGATATCACTGGGTACTGACTTGCTTCACTGTACAGGTTTCAGACTTATTTCCCGCACGTTGATAATGTGTACTCGCATCGCTCGACGCAACGGTACAAGAGTAGACCCTTTGTTTCTCATTACTGGGACTGTCGATTGAGAGGTCGACCGCCTGGTACGCCCAAGTCGGATAACCCAGAAAAGAAGAAGCGCAAGCGCACGGCTAGAGAGCGAGATCTTTGCCATGTCAAGATTAAAGTTGTTGAATACTTTCCGCAGATCGAGTCAAGTGCGGATATCATGCCTGTGGACTCGAGTCCTGCTCCTGTTTCTGCTCCTGCGCCTTCCGCGGCTCCAATTGCTGTTCCTGGTATATTTACATGGGCTTTGGACACCCCGGAAAGCACGAGAAAAAGCAGTGGGCAGGCGTTTCAAATGATCACTCCTAGTCACAGCCTTCCGCCTAATCATCCTGGTGCAAACGGGGCGAGATACTATACAATCCAACGAGTGAATGGCAACGGCGCCAATGGGAAGAATGACGGTGTGGCTGGTGGCCATCGACATACACTAGAAGAGAGCGACCGCGTCAAGAAAAATAGTGTGCAGCGATATCTGAATAGGGAAACTAAGGACAAAAGAAATAAAATGGTACGTTTGTTTGGGACTTAGACCTCCCCGCATACGTCACGTCACGGTCTTGACTTCATATGATATCCCCACATCAGCGTGTCACATTACACGGCAAGATTCCTGAAACTATTCCTCGATGCCCTAACATCCCATACAATAGGAACAAACCATGTCTTCAGGACGGAGCCAAAAGTCATACCATACAAAAGCGACAGGTCTGGCCGCTGAGACGGTGGACAAACACGCCGCCGAGTCTAATCTCAAGCTGTATGGAAGTTGTTTCTGGTGAGATGCCCCATGATTTACTGCGTGGATATATCTGACTCTGTTTGTCTGCAGCCCCTTTGTGCAGCGGGTATGGATTGCATTGGAGATGAAAGGTATCCCGTATCAGTACATTGAAGTGGACCCCTATCAAAAGCCCGATTCCCTGCTGGAGGTGAATCCAAGGGGACTTGTTCCAGCATTGCGACATGATGACTGGGGATGCTATGAGAGCAATGTGTTGTTGGAATATGTGAGGAGCCCTTAGATACTCGTATGCTAGTCCGCTCACTGAACCTTTCATAACAGCTCGAGGATTTGAACGCGGGGACTGCATTGCTACCGCGAGATGCGAAGCTGCGTGCTCACTGCCGACTGTGGGCAGACCATGTGAGTAGACAGCCATCCACGAATGTTTGTTTCGTTGAATCCCATCACTGATAACACTAGATCAATCGGCATATTGTGGCGAATTTCTATCGCGTCCTGCAAGAACAGAACGAGCAGACACAAGTCCAAAAGGCGCAAGATCTGCGAAGCTCAATCGAGCAATTGCTGGAAGCGGCACATCCCAAGGGTCCGTTCTTTCTGGGCGCGCAGATGAGTCTTGTGGATGTCCAAGCTGCGCCATGGATAATCCGGCTGAAAAGAGTCCTGAAGCCATACCGAGAATGGCCAGATGCCGAGGAGGGAAGTAGATTGGCGGCTTGGGTGGATGCAATTGAAAACGACCAGCATGTCCAGGCGACGACTAGCACGGACGAGCTGTACCTCGACAGTTACCAGCGCTATGCCCGTGAGTAGATCCTACTCCATTTCGACATCCAATGCCAGCTTGCTGACTCTCCCTCAGAAAACCGCCCAAACACATCTCAGGTCGCAAATGCAATCAACTCAGGAGAAGATCTCCCCTGAAATCAGGTGGTATAGACAACAATAGGGACGAAAAGTACATTAGCCAATTCGAGCACCTCTGTTGCCAAATTTGAATCCACCCCTTCCACTAGCATCAGGGCCTCGAGGAGCGCGCACAGGTTGCTGCGGCGGCGTATCAGAGCCAGACCGCTCAAGCTGCGGCCGGCCTCCTCCCCGTGAGAACGGAGTATTAGATTTGCCAGGACTAGACGGGTCGTAGAGATGTCTAGAAGACTTGTTGGAAGCGGACGAAGAATCTCTCTTCTCGCGAAGATCCCTGCCACCACCACGGCCCTTGCCCCTCCCTCTGCCCTCGCCAGAGTGATTCTGCCGAGGCGGAGTCGTACTCCCAGGCGAGGAGTTGCCAGAGACAGTCGCAGAGGAACTACCGAACAGTCGTTCGCGAACTTCTTCGTACTTGCGCTGCTTCTCTTCCCGGTTCTTGAGTGCGATGGCCTGGCGCTCTTCGGGTGTTGGCTCGGGCGGCTTGGTTTCGTCGTCTGAGTCGTCGTCGTCGTCTAGTCCGAGCTTATTGAGGCCGGCTGCTGCGGCGCTGACTCCGCCTGCGGAATTCTGTCTCGTTACTAGCTGTGGTTTCCGGCTAAGTAGTGTAACGGCCGGCTTGAAGTCCTGCTTGAGGGGTACCTCGGCGCGGGCTTCGACGAAGTGGAATGTTTCGGGGGATTCACTGGGGTTTGAATTAACGTGTGAAGGGTGAGGATCGGATCGTAAGGAATGCATACGCTTCAGCCCATAGTTGGCGATTGAATTCTGCTTGTTGCGCTCTGCGTTGCGCCTTGGTCACCTTTGACGAGACTTTCTTCTCTGGCGGGGTAGACGTTGGATCTAGTTTCTGTTGAGTAGCCATCAGTATGGAAATCTTGAAATGCAAGTTGTAGATGTCGCCTGGCGAATGCTGGCGAGTTGCACACAATCACATACATCGACTTGGTTTTCCCACGAATCCTCCCAGGCATCGGGAACATCGCCGGAGTTTGCGCTCATTGCACACTGACAGCACGTTCAAGCGGAAATGCGCAAGGAAGAAAAGATGAAGAATGATATGTAGAAAGTCTGAATGAAATGAATATGCAAGTGAACATCCAAAAGCGACGATAATTGTATGTTCAGTCTATAAAGAACGTAAAGGAAAGAAGAAAATTCACAAAATCCCGGGGCCACCGCCTGTCATCAACATCTCCCTCCGCCCACATATCTCCAACTACAAACAACACATCTGAATATCTACTCTGTGAATTCTTTATTCCTCATGGCTCTGGGTAAGTCCCCATTCCCTGCAACCCTACAAAGAAAGACGAAGGGCACAGTGGGCCCCGGTATCGATAGCGAAGCTCCCTACCCACCTACTTTCGGCCTCTCTCCCTTACTCTCTTCCTGCTACATCTTCACCTTCCATCATTAACACAACCATCAGATCCCAAAGACCCAGACGGCGACTCCGAAATGACCTCGTCAGTTGAATCCCTCCACAGCGGCCAAGGCGGCACTGGTGCCCTCACGCCTACTGGTATTGCCCAGGCTCCGGCTGGCGCAACGGAGCTCTCCCCGCCCGGCTCGCAGACACAACACTCGGCCGCTCCTTTTGCGGGTGCGCAAGCTTCAGTCGATGTGCGCAAAGCTTCTGTTGCGGATAAGGCCGGGGAATGGGAATCGGGTATTGCAGCTTGGAAATCGAAGCGCGCTCAGGATGATGTTCATCGGGCTATGGAGTTTGTTGTTGACCAGGATTTCAGCTTAGGTGCGTGAACATGTTCTGTTTCTCGAGAAGCCTCGAGTGCCGAGTGGTGTGTGCTAACTTCCTAATTACAGATGAATTTGGGGATCCGTTCGATGAACGTGACTTGGAAGAGAAGCTGTTCTGATGGGGACTTGCATCGACTTTTGCCCTTTGCTTGCTGGTAGCATATGACGAATAATGAGATACGACTCGAGACTTTTCTTTTCTTTTCATCCTTCCTGCGGAGTAGCAGCCGTTTGCCCCCGCCAATTTTGGTTGAACACATGACTCGATGGGAGCAAACGCTCTTGGTATAAATACCCTCGCTTCTCCTTCCGTTTCTTCTTCTTCTTTCTTTTTCTCTTCTTTAGTACCATTTCACCAGGAATCCGCGCTTCGTTGCTTGCTTCGGCAGGTCATGAGGAGTGTCTATGCCCCTCTCTCCTTGTGGGTTAGGACTCTGTGGTGTAGACGCATCTGCTCGATTCCAATATTGATATGAGAGCTTCTCTGGCTGCATCACCTCGCTGTACTCCGTTGTTTTTTGTTCTTTTCATGGAGGTGTCTGTATTGTGTTCGCCTAGAGTACTTACGGACGAAGCGACAAATGGAGATGTGGTTTATTTTCTGTCTCTCGACATTCATATAGCTTTTAGAATACGTGTTTTGTTGTCGTGTTTTCGTTTATTGTTGATATTTTGCTGTAGCTTCTACAGGCCGAACAGTTTTTCGAGGTTTTTTAGATTTCCGAAGTCCAGTTCAGTATGATAGAGATGGATATCAACAAAAATTATACATGCAGTAACCCGATGTAAACATCTGCCAAAGCAGATTCCCTTCAAAATGACGCTCGAACAGTACTATTAGAACCACAGTATATGTTAGATGCACACGAAGTATACACGTTTATGATCGTCAATTACCCGAGACTTGACCGCTACGTGGGCTCCCATGAGGCGTTGGCCAGGCAACGGGACAAAAGCATCAAAGCAAAGCCACAACGGCCAGTTTTATGACTTTTCACACACATCACTATTCGACATATGCTTAATCGAGGGGTTATATTCCCACTTGCATCCTTTGATTAGCATCACATATATGCGCCCTCGATAACTCGACTTAACTGAACATACACCCCCAAACCCAAATTCCAACGGTTTTTGACACATTCCACGCGTCAACAATGGAAAACATCCCTCCCTCGCAGGCGCAAGCTGGGTATGTGATTTCTCCTCTCTAGTTCTCGTTCCTACAATACCTGCTCCTTCAAACACAAGCGCGCCTGGGAAGCCCCTCCTTCAGGGGTCGTTCCCTCCTTGTTTTGATCAATATACACGAACCCGCCACATAACCGCAGCGCTGACAACAGCATTATATAGCGACGCCGCCAAGCCTGCTCCCGAAAGTTCTTTCAGCTTCACGCCTATCAAAGCTCTAGGCGCGCTACCACGTCTGTGGGATCGCAAGCCCTCTACTCCTATTCGGGCAGGCGACAAGACGCGCAAGTTGTGGAAGCGCATTCGCTTCCCCTTTAGTAATATGAACGCGACACAAAGTCGAGGCACGTCTATCGGCGCATCGAAAAATGCGGATTATCAGCGTGGCGTTAAGCGCCAGTGTGTTGACCCGACCCAGTCGGCAGAGCTCGAAACTGAGGCTGAACAACGTGGGCGGTCTTTCTTGGAGACCAAATGGGAAATGGAGGCATCTCGCAAGCGACGTGAGTATTTCTTTTTCCTTTCTATTTTCTTTTTTTAAAGGAGTTTATACATCTCTTCTGCAATGACCGTTTGGTGGGCTTCGTTCTGACAGTAATAGGCAAATTACCGGAATTCAATTTCGACATTCACGACGAGACCGCCCAGGGCATTTTCAATTTCGCTACTCAGGCCGAAGCTGCCAATAACGCTCGCCAAGATGCAGCTATAAACGCCTCGCCGCAACCACTCGGTCTGTTTGCGACCAAGACGCCTGTTTACAATGATGCCATGGACATGGGCCTCGACGGCGTGGCGTCGCCTAAGCCGACAGATACAGAGTCTGGACCGGTCCAGGAGACAGCTGCAGTGGTCGACAACGCAGCGCCCGCTGAGGCCGTCGACGACTTGACGCAAGAGCAGGAAGTCAAACTAGTGCGATCGGCACTGCGCAGCTCTCTGGACGGAGAGGATGCAGAGCTATTAAACGACTTCTTGTCGAGGGCCAAAGCGAAGCGTGCAGCTAAGGCGGCGCAGAACGATGTGGAAGTAACTGAGCAATCCTCCAGCCCAGAGGTGCCTGAGATCGAATGCTCAACCCCACGATCGCGTCGCGCGCTGGAGGAGCTGACTACAAATTCTCCTTCGCCTATTAAGCTGCAGATCTCGCCTAGCAAATTCAACATTGCCCGCGCCGAGGCCCAGGATGAGGTTGTCAAGGACCTTCAGGAAGAGACAGCCCCTGCAAGCCCTGCATGCCGTCGCAGCACTCGCGCCAAGGCCCCGTCCACAACTGCCCCTGCTGTGCGCAACACTATCGCGCTCCGCCGTGCTAAAGGAACGGAGTTCATTTTCCTGCAGCGCACCGAGGCCCAGGAGGTGGCTTTGGCTACGAAGCGCAACACCCGGCTGAACAAGGGCAAGTCTGTATTCCCTAATGTCGCTCTTGAAGCTCTGGCTCAGCAGCCAGAGGAGCCCGAAACCAATGACAAGCCTGCACGCTCAGACCAAAAGGGCCTTAGCAGCCGATCTACCAAGCGGAAGCAGGTGTCATGGAACGAGGAGCGCATGGCCGAGTATGAAGAATACAAGGACTTCACGGATGATCAAGAGGAGGAGGAGGGCGAGAGATGCACCAGTGACGTCGGCGCTACACCTCGCCGATCTAGCAAACGTTCGGAAAAGAGAGCTGCAGCCAGCGACAATAGCCGTAACCGGACAGAGTCAGAGACAGAGACTCGGGAGGTCGACGGTGGGCCGGACAGCGGCCCGACCGCCCCTACTGCATCCGCTACTGCACCCCCGCGCTCACGCCGGGTGAGGCGTTTGGGCGATTCGGGGGCTATGGGCTCTGGCACCCCAGTGAAGACTGGTCGCACAAGCAAGCCTTCTGCAGCCTCGGCGTCGACTGGCCCTTCCACACCAACCAAGGGTCGCCGCAAGCTTACGCCCAAGTCACCTAGCACGTCCATGCTCCCAGCACCAACCCAAAGTGGTATCCCGACTCGGAGCAACAAGGAGAAGAGCATGCTCCAGGCCAGCGCAGGGTGCACGCCCACCGCTCGCCGGGTCCGATCAAGAGCTTGATCGGGGTGTCTACTTCGTAGGCATTCAACTTGTCGCGTGCCGTCTTTCTTGATCCTCTCTATATATGCAGGGAGTTTGCTTGTGCTTAAGATACCAATTGCCCGTTTTGTACTGCTTCAGAATTCCTCTACGTATTTAATTCACAAATACCATTGAACCCTCGTGAAAACCATCCCCCTTCCCTTTCGATTTAGATAAGATCGTGTAGCACGGCCCAGCCGCCCTATGCAGAACTCATGCAGAATGACGTCTGTGCCGTTTACGCACGAACTTCAACTTCACTTTCGGGTTGTGCCCGGAGTACCATGCTCGGACTAGTCGTCCAATAGTCCCAAACCAAATCCAAGTACGGAAGGTTTTCCTACGTATCTTAAGCTCGGCTCGACATCCCGAATTTCAGTCCCAGCTTAGCCTAACCTAATGCTTCCTTGTATTCTGTACCCGTGTATGCACCTAGCCGCTTTGACTTGAGGGATATTGCAGGGCGGGCAGCGCGTTTGTGGTCTGTTCTCGGCGATGATCCCTCGTGTCAGAGAGGCTTGCCTTTTTGCATTTGTCGGCCCAATTGGAGGTGCTTATTGGGCCTTGCTGGCCCCTGCTGGCCCCTGCTGGCCCCTGCTGGGGTGCGTTGTGGCTTGGGACTTGTATGTATACCCGGTACAGTGCTGATCTTCAAGGTTTGCAAATTTCAAATTGTGCATGTCTATGTGTATCCATGTACGGAGGAGGTATGGCTGTCTGCATCGATCGGCGGATTTATATCTACAGTTATGTCTACTATATGTTCTTGACTAACTTAGTCCAGCCATGTCGATGTACTCAGCAACATTATGCACTATAATGCACCCCAAGTATAACTTCTTACCTGTCAAATGCAAATGCATGCTACTATACTCTGTACATGCACCAGCCTAGCCTCAAAGTATATCCCTAGCCTCCTGACTACCGAGTACCTAGTATAGACAACAGACGTCACCAGTCCCAACGCCAATCCCACTTCTACAACACAAAGAGAAACCGGTAACAACGACCCGGTCCAATATAATCCACCGAAGTTCCTCCCGGCCAACAATCGGGATCCCCGATCTAAACTCGGCATCGCAGCCTCTCAGAACCCGGGCTGGCGGCAAAAAAAAAAAAAAACCACGCAATCCAACGATCCAGAGTTTGGAGCGGGTAGCGTGTACGTCTGTGTTGTCCATTGGATTTAATGCCTCATGCGTACTACTGGATTCTAGTGTACATGGAGTAGGGAGAAAGTAACTGAAAGAAAACAGTAGGTGGACTACGGAGGGTCGTCCAATAGCAAGCAACGAAAGACAAACCAAGAGGATGGAATGCAACATGAGGTAAAGAGTAATATCAGGTACCAGGTACGAACTGTCCAACCATGGAATGCACTGTGTCCAAGTACCGAGTACATGGGCTCGCAAACAGGGCAACACTGTGCCCCTCCAACCCCTCCAAACCCCTCCAACACTAGCAACACTAACAACACTAACCACACTAGCTAACACGAACGAATACTCAAGTGTACACTAACACCAACTAATACACTGGAATCGGAAAAAGAAATAGATATTACCCCATTCGGCTCTCGGTGTTCCCATACCAAACACGGGCTAGCAACCCGACATCGCCCGGTGTTCGACTCTGCGCTGCACACTAGTCCCGAAAATGGTTAAGCGCGCGAGAATAGCTGAGCCTTCCGTGGCGCAGGGCCCTGCCACAGGATGACATCGTCTGCATCGGAGCACTCTGCTCCTTTTCTGTTGTGTCCGCTTTGTATGGTTAAGTTACTTGTACATGTACATGTATGGAATTACATAACTGCAGTTATTGGATGTGGTTTATGGCTTATGTTAGGGTTGGGTTGGCGGGTGTTACCCTGTTCCTTACCCCTTGCACCTTGCTTCCGGGTCCGGCTTTGACTCTGCATTCTGCATTTGATTGTCAGGTACGGTGTAACCCTATGTACATTGCTTGCCATTGACATTGACATTTATAATGAGGGCTGGAATTGGAATTGGAATTGGAATTGGAATTGGAATTGGAATTGGAATTGAGTATAATTGAGATTGGGGGTTTGGCCTTGAATTGAATTACAGATACATGTACTCCCATGTACTCCGTACATGGGAGCAAATGTAACATCTCGTACTCCGTAATCTTATTCCAGGTTTGTGATTGACTCTCACGTTATTAGACCCCTTCACCCTAGTGGATCCTGTAGCAGCCGGTGTGTGAAGGGGTGATTAGTTTGCGAAGCCCGTCGAATGACATCGTCGGGACCGCTTCTAACCTTCCAAGGTTGCCGAACTATACGAAATTTCGAAACTGAAACCACAAAACTACGGTAGAGAGAATGAGGCTTGTTTGAGATGTAGATGGTACTCCGTGTGCGGGAGGAGGTATATCCAATTCATCTAAAGTTCAACAGAGATCGTAGTCCGTTCATTACACATAGCCTCCCAAAATGGTCTTTTTTTTTAAAAAAATTTAGAGAGACAGACCCTTGGCAGTCTCCTCAGGCCAGACATCGTAACCGAAGGTATCCTTCATGTTAACGAAGCGGCAGTGACGGCCCTCGGCAACCTTGTTGACAGCAGCAAAGTCCTCATCGCTGAGCTCGATGGTCTTGAAGTTGGACTGGATACGCTTGGGGTTGGAGGACTTGGGGAGAACGCTGTAGCCACGGCGGAGACCCCAGGCAATGAGGACCTGAGCCAAGGTGTTGCCGCCCTTTTCGGCGACCTCGTTGAGGGTCTTGTTCTCGGCGACACGCTCACCGGTCGTGGGGACCTGGTTCTGCGAGCCCAGAGGGGAGTAGGCCTGGGGCAGGATGTTCTTGGAGAAGCAGTAGTTGACCAACTCGTCGTTGGGCAGGAAGGGGTGGATTTCAATCTGGTTGACCTGGGGCATGACCTTGGCGTACTTGGTCATGGCCTCGAGCTGGGGGATGGTCCAGTTGGACACACCAATGGCGCGGGCCTTGCCGTCGGCGTAGAGCTTCTCCATAGCGCGCCATGTCTCCTCGTGGTTCTCAGTGAGGTCCTTGAGGATGACGTACTGCACAGTGTGTTAATTGGTGCTCAGTACTCAATGCTCGGTGCTCGATGCTCGCGTGCTTACCTTTCCATCGGGGCCGATCTTGGGCTTCTCCTGGGTCTCCTTCTCGGCGGCAATGGGCCAGTGAATGAGGAAGAGGTCGACGTAGTCGAGCTTCATCCGCTGGAGGGAGTTCTCAACGGACCAGAGGACATCATCGTAACGGTGCAGGTGGTTCCAGACCTTGGTGGTCACAAAGATGTCCTCACGCTTGACGGAAGGGTTCTTGGCGAGGAAATCACGGATTCCATCACCCACCTCGTCTTCATTGAGGTAGAACCAGGCGCAATCCAGGTGGCGGTAGCCAGTCTCGAGGGCGCAGGTAACGGCGGCGTAGGTCTCGCCCTTGGAGCCCTCGCTGGCAAAGGTACCGAAACCAACAGCGGGGAGCTTAACTCCGTTGCTCAATGTGCAAGTCTTTCCGGAAGACATAGTGATAGTATAGATTGTAGATAGTAAACAGAAGATGAGGAGAAGAGAGGTTCTAAAGTACAGAGGTAGAACAGGAGTGGGGGGGGGGGAGAGCTCAAGCGATGACGAAGGTGGGGTGGAGGGGTAATTATAAAATAATTATCATAATTGATTTTATTTTCCGGTACTCTGTACTGCCTGTAATCGGCTAGCCACCAAAGCAAATTATGCATTCTACATGTAATTCATGTAGCATCCCCGTGTCGATCCTGAAGCATCAAGTGTACATGTAAATAATGTCACTCGAACTTGAGATAGAATAAGAATACATAAATACACGATACCATACCTGACCATACCGTAATTTTCACAATGACATCATCGAAACGGTTGACCCGCCCGATCGTCATCTTCCCATCTCCGGCCCACGAACTGCCTTCTCATCCAATCAATTTCAGACCTCACTTTTCCTTCTTCGGTGTGCTATGCCCAATCAACCGGTTGCTGTACTCCTTATCCCGTGTATCGGGTACTTGGTCTGACACTGTGTCAGCCACAATGACGCAGGTACTCTGTACATCCGTCTCGCACCATGGTCCACCCTAACGCAACCGCTATCTTGCAAAATGATGACGATAATTCCTAGGAATGATGATACCCGAGTGGATCCTTTGTAAATGGCATACCAATCTCGGTATTCTCCTGTTAAGGTGTATATATATGCTGAAGCCCGCTCCTGAACTTTTTTTTCTTATCCAGATTCATCCTCATTCTTCAATCCTTTCTTCCATTGAGTCCTGTGTCAGTGACTCTAAGTAGAAGCTTTCCTCTCTCTTCTACTTTTTTTTATACCAACCACCCCCACCATCATCATGCCTGGCTTCGACGATGCCGATCTGGCTCCCCAGGACCCCCGCCAGACCGATGCCCAGGGTGCTCTCTCTCCCCGGGACCAGCGTGCTGGCTCTGGCCTCGCCATTCCCTCGGATTCCGGCAACACTATCGAGATCCCCGCCACCCGCAGCGCCATCAGTGATGCGGCCTCGTTCATGCACAACCTGAGCTTGGCTCCTTCCATGAAGGATCGCCGTGGCTCCCGCAACTCCTTCGGCACATCTCTCCCCATTCCTCGCTCTCCTCGTCTCTCTCGTCTTTCTTCCGTGCAGAAGACCAGCCGTCCTTCCGTCTCTCGGGATATCCTGGCCTCCCAGGTCCAGGATATGTCCGCTGAGAAGGTTGCCAAGGCTAAGAACATGGCTTTCGCCTTTGACATCGACGGTGTGCTGGCACACGGTAACCACGCCATTGAGGAGGCCAAGGTTGCTCTCAAGATGCTCAACGGTGATAACGAGCTTGGCATCCGCATCCCCCACATTCTCCTGACCAACGGTGGTGGTAAGACTGAGGAGGCTCGCTGTACTCAGCTCAGCGAGATCCTCGAGCAGCCCATCTCTACCGACCAGTTCATCCAGTCTCACACT